TCTCCAAATGCCTGAACGAGTGGCTGGAAACCCGAGATCTGTCCAAAAGAAAGACCACTCCTGGCGGGATAGGGATAGGGAAGCCCACCATGACCTTCGCCCAAGCTGTCTCCTCTGGCCAACGACAGCATCCATGGACAGTCAACACTACCATGAAGAAAACACAGCCTGGCGCCCTTATCACTGCCAATCAACTGAAAAAGAAGCAGGATGATCTCCGGGTCTTTGTCCGCATGGATAATAGCCACTTAGAGCCTTATGGAATCAAGTCTACACTGAATAAAAGACTTAAGCTCCACCCTCAGGAGCTTAGAGAAGTGACACGGTGTCCTTCTGGTTTTACCTTACACCCAAGGGACAAGCCAACTCAGGCTAAACTTCTGGCTTTCTAAGAAGAAATTGCCGACATTCTTAAGGCACAAAAGATTGAGACCCACACAGTCTGGCATCACTATAAGGTCAATGGATGCCCAAGAAAGGTCATCAGTGCGGAAGGATTGACAATCGACATTACCGACATTACTGTTGCTGATGAAGTTGAAGCCCAAACAGGTGACAGACCTTTAAGGTGCATACTCTCAAGGAACATAGTTGATTCTGATCCAGAGACCACATGGGTGATCTCTCTGCCCCGTGCAGCAAGGAAACCATTCACGCTTTTTGCCCACTCAATGACCTCAAGGCATATTCAACACACCCCCAAGGTTCACCAGTGTGCAAGCTGCTTCAGATACCATGGTAGGAATTACCGATGCGAAAAACAAGTATGTGCACACTGTGCCAACACAGTACACCAGGGAGAGTACGAAAAACCAATCCCAAAGTGTGTCAACTGCAAAGGACCTCATGCTGCCAACTTCGACAAATGCCCTGCCCGCCCCAAGGTTGTGAAAAGTACCATCCATAAGCACACATGGGAGCAAATCCAGGAAATAAGGCTAGCCAGAGAAAGAGCCAGATCCAAGGCCTTCAACGAAGCAGGCAGAAACCAAGCTGGGTCAACACCTAGCAACAATAACAAAGACACCACAATGCAAATTGACACAACAGATACAACTCATCCCAGAGATGCCGATACCATTATTGTCAGTCAATGTTAGGTACATCAAACGAAACATATCGACACAGGCATCTAGTCATCCATTCTATGAATACAGCAGGGGGACAAAAGAGTGCAGGCCCTACAGAGTTAGCCATCAACCTGGCTGACTATAAAGGAGAACAAGCAGACATCATTCTGATGCAAGAGCCCTGGGTTGGCATACCACCAGGCAGGAGAATGGGAGTAAAGACACACCCCAATTACGATATATTCTCCCCAGTGGATTCCTGGGACAGCGACAGTACACGGCCCAGATCTCTCATCTATGTAAGAAAATACCTTCAAGTGGATCAACTTCGGCCCTATGCTACACGAGACATCACCTGGGTCAAGGTACAAGGCATTACATTTGCCAGTGTCTACCGGCCATGTGACAACCCACAGGAAGTGGATGACATTCTGGAAGTATGGACTCCACCTTTTGGCTGCGTTATAGCTGGAGATTTCAATGCTGGCGACACATCCTGGGACTCAAGCAATCCAGGATATTATGGTGGTGCTATACTTGCACAAACTATGACAGACCACGGACTGGATCTGATTTCTGAACCAGATGTCCCGACACATGATGACGGAAATGTACTAGATCTGGTGTTCTCTGATGTCCCCATGGCTGAAGCCTCAGTCAATGATGCACTTCAGTGCACCTCAGATCATGAGACATTACGAATAGTCATTCCAATCCAGGGAGATCTGGACCGAGTACCCAAGGCCAATCATTGGATAGTACCGGACGATAAACTACAGGAGCTGGCAGATAATGTCCAAACCAGGATTCATGAACTCCCCCGGCTGGGTGTATCCCCTGGCCAGGTGGACACCTTTACACAAAGCCTGATCAACATGATCCAAGGCTGTATCAGGACAGTGGGCAAGAGGCCCCGTCAATCTAGGCCCACTGATTGGTGGAATGATGACTGCAAAGCAGCTATTCAGACATACAGGGCCCTTTCCAAACAGACTACAAGCCAAGAAGGACGGAATTCAGCCCGACGGGAATTTCGCGGCGTGGTTCGGAAAGCTAGGAGAGAGTACTGGCAGACTCTAATCAATTCAGTAACTGAGCCAAAGGACCTATACAGAATCGTCTCTTGGCACAAGTTATCAGCAGGATTGCGTTCCCCTCTAATCATCATAGGAGACCAAATATTCGAGTCACAAGAGAGCAAGGCAAATGCATTACGCTCAGCCACGCTTGAACGAAGTACCTCAGACAACGATATCATCGACCCCTGGTCCGCTCAGATCATACAACCCAAGCCACACATCCCCCTTGAATACCACGTCGGACTGGAAGAGGCTGAAGGGTGCACTTTAGGAACCAAGAGCAACTCCCCGGGAGTAGATACCCTCACAGTACGGATTCTGAAAGCTTGCTGGCCAGTCATTGGTGAACATATCAGAGCCCTTTTCCAGACCTGCCTACTGATTGGACACCACCCTAAACCATTCAAAGTAGCTGAGGTGGTGATGATCCCAAAACCAGGAAAGAAAGACTACTCCAATCCCAGGGCCTACAGACCAATATCGCTACTGTCATGTCTTGGCAAGGGCCTAGAACGACTCATTGCGAAAAGAATTACCTGGTTTGTTGTCAAACTTGGAATTCTAGCCCCACAACATTTTGGAGCTCTACCAAAGCGCTCTGCCACTGACCTGGTAGCTGCACTCATACACGATATTGAGCAGGCCCTTGACCAAGGCCTCGTTGCAACGGTAGTCACATCAGATGTGAAAGGGGCCTTTGATGCTGCCCTAATGGGACGGCTGGTGGTTCGCATGAGAGAACAGGGCTGGCCAGGCTTTCTCATAAGATGGGTCCAGTCGTTCATGTCTGAGCGGTCCGCAAGAGTTCGGTTTGAAGGTACTGTGACCGATATAAAAGCTCTCACTTGTGGGCTCCCACAAGGCTCACCAGTCTCTCCAATCCTCTACATGCTGTATACAGAGCCAATCTGTGCCCGACTTGGCATGAAAAGAAAACGCTTTGGATATGCAGATGACCTAGCAACATTCTGCATTGGAAAGAACCTTGAAGAAATAGCTACAGAGGCTTCTGAAAACCTTCATTTACTCAACCAATAGGGACATAACAATGCTATTGAATTTGGTCCCGACAAAACCGAGATCATGCACTTCTCACGGAAAAAGAACTCAGACAATCCCCCAGTTTGCCACGGAACAATAAACAAAACAGCTAAGCATTCCATGCGATGGCTAGGTGTCCTTCTGGATAGGAAACTAAACTTCAAAGACCATGTTTCTCACTGGGCCAAGAAAGCTAGTAGGGTAGTAAATCACCTTCAAGGACTATGCAACACAGTCAAAGGACTTCCAGTAAAGTCAACCAAGAGGGCTGTGAAAGCTTGTGTTATTCCTATTCTCACACATGGCCTGGAGGCCTGGTACCCAGGAATCGAGAAAGCTGGGAGCTTAGGTGAGACATCAGCATGTCGCATTAAGGGGCTTCTTGGAACAATAGATGCCGTACTACGAACAGCGATCAGGGCTATCTTGCCAGTCTGGAAAACACACCCTGGACATATCTTACACTTTGAATTGCAGATTTCCCCAGCAGGAGTTCTTGCAGAGTCAATAAGACGACGTCACGGCCTCCGACTAGGACGAATAGATCAGAGACACCCTCTGGTTGGCAGGCTCCAAATACAAGCTCGCAAGGATCCAACAAGGCTACAAAGGAGCTTCCAGCTAGTCCCTGACTTCCAGAGACCAATACTTACCAGGCCATCATGGAAGAAGCGCCCAATCCGCAAAGACAAAGACAAAGAAACAGAGCTCTTCAAACAATGGTTACAAGAGAGAAACGTGAACACTGACCTTGTCATCTACTCAGATGGATCACAGTTGGATGACCAAGGCACAATCCGCACTAGATGGGGTTATACCATTAAGAAAGGCGGCACTACACAAGAAGTATACCGGGGAAGGGGCAGACTTCTACAAGCAGAAGTAGTAGATGCTGAAGTCCATGGTGCTCTCCAAGGTCTTGCAGCAGCCAGGGCAATTGGACACGGAAAACAGCTATATGTCTGCCTGGACAACACGTCAGTGGTAGATGGGCTCAATGGGACTCCACCCGAGACATCACAAAACATTTTTCTACGATTTCAAGAACTTGCCACAACACACACTCCTGGAGTGACCGTCAAATGGATTCCTGGACACAGAGATATTGATAACAACGAAGCTGCCGACACACTAGCAAAAGAGGGTGCCATGCTGGAAACAGACACAACAAATCTTCCTATAATCTCTTGGGTCAAGAGAGATCTCAAAAGACAGGGCAAGAAAGAGTTCAACCAATGGTGGAAAGACCAATCAGAATCTAGGTATCAAGAAGTATACTCACATGCAGTAACTAAAAGAGACCTTATATCTTTTAAGAGGAGTACTTTACACAGACTTCTAGCGGCCAGATCTGGACATGGCGACTTTGCCAGATACCATGAACGCTTTGGGCACACAGACTCAAATGATCACTGCAGCTGTGGTGAGAAGAAAACACCACAACACATTTTCTTTTGTAAGAGGCTGGGGAAAAATCGGCTACTGCCTAGGCATTCGCCTAGGACAGCTTGTTTACAATACTTAGGGGAGAGGAGCACAGAATGGGCAAAATTCGTGGAGAAGAGCAAGTTCTTTTCAACAATCTGCCCCCGATAGATAACCTTCCTTGAAGGACCAGATGGATGACCCCAAGGTCATACCGCCGCAACAACGGGGATGGGCCCGTGAGCGGGACTGACTGTACTTATTATCTTGAGACCTCCATAACCCTGCGATGCAGAGGCTCTGGGAGGCGTGGTTTGCACTACTGAGGAGCTACCCCCACGTTAAATACAAAACAAACAAACAATTTTCTTCCCGGCACAAAATAATGACGCGAGGAAGGAAAAGATCCTTTTCGCATATGGGAGAATCATACGCGAACCTAGGAAGGTCTCGGAGCTTCCGCACTGAGATGCGAGAAGAACGATCCGTTCCACGACCACGCCGGCGGCGACGAACGCCCTCTTCTAGGCCTCGAGGGCGATCACCTCCCCGTAGGCCACGCAGACCCACACCCCCTCCTGCCCAACCTGCCTCACGGTCTCGACGGCAATCACCTGGATTCTCGCCAAGACGGACGTTCCGCCAAGTCCGACCTCGTAGACGCCGAAGTCCTACACCCCCCGGAGAGGGGCTCATCTATGCCGGACTTCCTTTCGACACCTCCCATGAAGACAGGGAGGAGTACAGACCCGGCGGACTTCATCCAGTCCATATTAGCGATACCCTTGATCAAGGTCGGTACGAGGTGTTCGATAAGCTTGGCTACGGTGCACATGCAACTGTTTGGCTTTGCAGAGACTGGGAAACTCGTAAATGGCGTGCTGTGAAAATCGTGAGGGCACGCGACTCCACGGAGGACCACCCTGAGCTCAAAGCAATTCATCTACTGGACGGAATATCCCGAGAAGAGCTGAAGCAACAACACATATTCTCCCCTTTGCGCCACTTCTGGATCAGGGGACCTAACGGCCACCATCTTAGCTTTGTGTCTGAGGTGCTCGCGCCACTCCTGCCGCTCTACGCATTCGTACGGAAGCCTCAAGACAAGATAGCAAGTTACTGCCTTCAGGTATCAAGAGCTGTCCAGTTCCTACATAAAAGAGGGATATGCCACGGAGGTACGTATGAATGCCCCCGGTGTTAAGTAACTGAAACATATGGAAACTGAGCTGACCAAGTCTGCAGATATTCGCATGAGCAATCTGGCAATACAGCTAGATGAAGGCATTCATGACATAAGCGTCAGGGAACTTGGCCGGTACCTGAAGGAGCCTCACAGACACAGGTTGGACACATTGTCGGGCCGTCCGCCCGGTCCGTGGGGCCCTGACTACCTTGTCCTGCGGAACTCCATGCAACCGCTCGTGGAAAGATTTGGAAAAGACAAGCTAGCGTTGATAGACTTTGGGCTATCGTATGAAGCATCTTCGCCCGTCAAAGGATCCAACTTCTATCGACAAAATGCTGGCCCAGAATACCTGTTTGGCACTGGTCCAGTGGGGTATGAGTCGGATACATGGGCCCTTGCCTGTGTTATTTGGAACATAGCGGACGGCCGGGCGCTCGTCGAGGACACAGAATCTTTCCATCAAGTGGCGCAAACACTGGAATGGCTTTTTGGGCCGCTGCCGGTCATGTACAAGAAAGGTCTTGACGAGCACTTGCGAGAAGAGGCCGTGACAGACAGAGCTGGGGTACCTGGTGTTGCTGGTCCAAAGGAGGCCATTTGTTACAACGCGTATAGGACAACCGTTGCGCCATGAGGCAAAAGCTTCAACAATGACCCGAATGGTCATTGACTCCTATTTCTGTACTATATGCATTACTCCGCACAGCGACCCACTGTGCGACCGTAACACCATTGCCGACGGAGACCCCCTGAGCTTGCACTACAACCTTGATGAATATAAAAAGAAGGTGGCCGATCGCCAGCAAAATCATGGCTGGGAGAATCCCGTCCAAGCCTATTTTGGAAGCATGCGACAGACGGATTGGGAGTTCATTGATAGCCGTCTGAAGGCAATCAACGATGAGGAAGCAAACACTGACAAGCTAACTGAAATCAAGTCCAATACTTGTTCATCAAGAAGCACTAGGAGGGCTCAGGCACCGTCCAGTCTCGATTCTGGTCACTCCCAGACTGGCAGCAACCCTCATGACTACCAGCCCCAATTGGCAGCAGACATCACGCACCAAGAGGGCGAAGAATGCCTCGCCAACGATGGAAAGCTAGATGGCCAACAAACCAACCTAGATACGGAAGATGAGATCTCGAGGGAGTCGCCAACGTACAGAGACGGCATAGACAACGAGCTTGGAAAGCCAAAACTAGAGCAAACAACGTTCACTCAGGGCGCTGCGACCGGCAAGGCAAGGGCTTCTCAACGAAGTTCAGGCGTGATACCCACCCAGAGAGAGCGGTTTCTTCAACAGATACTCCCGTTCGAGCAAGGCAACTATCCTAATTCCGAGAACCCATGCACTTGCTACTCAAGCGATCCGTCAGAATCAGACCAGGATGGTTGTAAGGCGGGTAGTCATTGGAATACCAACCCGGAGCACGTTCGTATGATGCGATGGAGTAAAGAAGAGGTGGTGTCGATTTCTGATCTGCTCTTGAAGATGTTCAAGCTTGATCCGAAGGAACGTGTAGGGATCGATGAGGTGGTGAGACATCTATAGTTCTACCTTTGGGGGAGAAACAGTACTGAGTGAAGCGGTGGAGCTAGAGGTTACATTGATCTAGACTCTGGGCTACGTCAGTCGAGGAATCAAAGTCGATTATCGTTGGCATTTAAGACGTGTGAATCAAGAGACCGGCAGAGGGTTCTAACATGATAGATGGTGCCCACAGTACTGCACGATTCAGAAATAACATTTTACTTTCTAGAAACAACGGATCTATTATGACCATTTCCGATCTATTCTCCAGGCCATTCAACTGGAACAATCCCTGATCGAAACGTAAAGAAGACACACAGATAATGCAAGGAGCCGCCTGTTCTCTCAACTCCACAAACGAGCTCGCGCCGAACGCCTATCACACAGTCGACTACACCACCGCCACCAGCGCCGTACGCAAGATAGACACATACGCCAGCCCGCTCTTCACTAACAACTCAAATGTGGACATCGAGCTACGATAGCTGATCATCCGGTGCATGTCGCGCAGATCTTGGGAGCGGCATTCGCTGCAGGACGTGGTGCAGATGTGCGCGAACGCGGTCGCGAACAAGGCGGCAGCGGACTACAATAATGCCCCGTTCGAGGGGGAGGATGCTATCAGGGCGGTCACTCAGGAGATACTTTTTAACGCGGACGCGTAGCTTAGGTATGAAGAGGTCGGATTGGTTCATGTAACGATTGGCTGCGCTACGTATACTCTACGCGGATGTCGTTTTTGCCAAGGAACTTGATGTAAGATGGGCGCCAGAGCTCGGCCTGCCGATGCGAGGGGCATTGAAGTGAAATGTATGTACAAATATCTCAGCTGAGCAAAACGAGTGACGAAGCCGAGGATAGCATCAACCTAAACTCCCCAGCCTGCCAACGGGTTGTTGCCCGGGAGTGCCGTGATCCAGTCCTCCGACGGGTCCGGGACGGCCGACTCAATCTGGCATTTGTCGCTCGTGTTGATCCCGCCAATGATCTTCGGGCACTTATCCATGCCCGCGTCGCCGGCATTGCACCCGTCAATCATAGTCTGCAGGGTATCCACGTCCCAGCCGGAGATGAAGTCGGCGTGGGAGCTGAAGCCCGTGCGGTCGCCGTTGGACAGCACGAACGGCTGGTGCGCGCCGTCCTCGTCCCACTCGTTTTCGAAGTCGGTCGTGCTGTAGTAGATCTCGTAGAAGAGATGGGGCACGTGCGTCCAGCCCTCGGGACAGTCGAGGGCGTTGCCGTTGGCGGTCGGGAAGGCCATGTTGTTGGCGTAGTCGTCGAGCCCGGCGGCCGGGTTGTAGCAGGACGGCAGGTGGATGTCCTGACGCAGGGGCGAGTACACGCCGTCGCAGTTGACGACGGGGAACCCGGCGCCGCTGCCCTTGTTGTTGGGGTCCACCATGCCGGCCTTGGTCCCGTCGGATCCGGGCGGGTACCGGTCCTCGTTGGTGTTGGCGGTCGGGCAGGTCCACTGCACGGCCTGGATCTCTCCTTGCGAGGGGTCGAGCTGCAGACCGCCGGTTGCGGGAGGCGTTCGCTTCATGGCGTCTCCGCTGACGATCTTCAGCCCCGATGGGAAGGCCTTGATGTCATCGTTGGTGGTGTCGAACCTTCATGATGTTAGCATTCCGGACTGGGAACCAAGCCTGACTACCTAGGTATAAGTGGACACGCACTTGTAGTAGACACTCATGTAGTCCAGGGGAACCTTCTTGAACGTCGAGTTCTTCGGAGACTGGAACCAGAGATTGGGGACCCAGTAGTTGCTCTTGTCGTTGACGATCAGGGCGTTGGTACACTTGGAGTCGAGGAGGTCAGGGCCGTTGACGGTAAGTCCGAAATTGCTGCCGCCCATGATGCCGTGAGAGTGGCCCGACGCGGTACCCGGGGATACGACGGGGTCCATACGGCCCTCGGTGGAGAACTTGCCGCCTTCATTGTTGAAGCGCAGGACGGCGAAGGAGCCGTCGTGCTTGGCGGCAACGGATATGGCCAGCACGGAGGTGAAAGAGAGTGTGGTGAACTTCATAGTGAGTGAATAAGTACTGCACGGGGGAGAACGTAATGAATGACTAGCCTGCTGGTACTCGGTATGGACAGCTTGTCGAAGCAAAAGTGTAATGTGTCTACCAGCAGATCTACGAAACTTGGCTACCGTACCTACTTATATATATTTCTCGAATCTCTCAATATTGTTTCACTGTCCGCGTGTTTGCCCGGACCTCATTTGATGCCAGGGATGGGCTGAAACCGCCCATTCCACGGTCTATGCAGCAAACCTCTCATCCAATGTGGGAAGAATCGAGTCATTCACTATCGCCGAATCAGTGACTGCAGTTGTCCGCGAGTGCGTGCGTGTATGTGTGTGTGGAGACCCCACACATCCAGGAACGCAACATGGGGGTTTGTTTGTACGACCAGCAAGGGGTCACATGTGCAGGCATTGGAGTTATTCTACTGACTGCGTACATGTAAGGGAAGCAATTCTTAATGGAGCATGCAATTGCAGCCCTGCCCTGAATTACAGTTTGTTTGCCTTCGATTTATTTTTGCCAGGAGGACGGCGGTAAGGTGAGCACTGAGGCTTGACTAGCTGTATCAACTGCGTGATGATCCAGTGACAAGTCATTGTGGCGTCGCCAACAATCTGTACTAATTGGTTTCGGGTACACGACCGCGAGTTGACATCCGGCATCCGACTTCTCGGCTCGAGGAGAAATGTGCGGTATAACATCTCACCCCCCCCTGCGGACCACCCCCCCACGGACCACTCCACACCACACCACTCTCATTCAGATGAAGCCATCTACAACCACCACAGTTGCTAAATACACTAAGGTCGTGGTGTTCTAACCATAATACAGCTCCCAGAATCCGATTCCGACCCTAAATCTTCACCAGGGACCTCTTGTGGGACCTCTTCGCCTGCAACGGAGTCCTTATAGACCCTCCTGTTCCTCAGCTCCATTTTGGCCTCCCTTATGTTAGCCATTGTGACGAATCGTTCCCCTGGTGTTGGTTTGACTGTTTTTCGAGTGGTATTAGCCTTTTTAGTCACTTGAGCCTCAAGCAGCTCACATTTGGCCCGTAGATTTGTAATGGTAGCAGCCTGAACATCCATAGCCTTGCCAGCCTTCCACACCAATAAGCGCTCAAAGGGCCCCCCAAAGGAAGGGTCTTTTCTTTCGAGCTTTCGAGCACTCTCCCGCAAAGCCCGGCTTCCAGAGGGTGTTATGACAATGGTTTTAGCTACCATCTCGAGAAAATCTGGTATTGTGGCTCGCTCAGAAGCCTTAAGGTCCCTCTGGCATGCCCTGGCCACCCCCTTGTCCTCCAGAATCACATATTTCGACTTCAACGCCTCTGTTCTGTTGCGAGGAACAATCCCAGTCTTTTTCCAGGCAATTCTGATGTTGAGGAGCGTCATTGTGTCCTTCCGGGCCTGCTCGTAGCACTCCAAAACCTCCTCCTTAGATGGCCTGAGTCCCAGACGGCCGCTGGGCGTCTCCTGGAGTAAGGTCTTCAACCTTTTCTTTATCAAATTGAAGACTCCCACATCTAACACCTGGACTACATGGGAACAGTGAGGTTCATAAAAGATCAACCATACTTTGTTTCTCAAGCAGGTGGCTAGGAACTCGTCATTCGTGTGGGAGTCGTGGCCATCACACACCAAAACCACCCATGTGTTGCCGTGGACCTCCCGAATGTGAGGAATAAAGATACGTTGAAGCCATTCTAATGTAATGGGATTCGAGGTCCATCCATTGGGCGACATAATAAACCTCCAGTTAGTGAATTTGCCCTCATTTTGGTTGCTAAATTACTGGGCTTGTACGTTAACCCCCTTGAGAATCACTAGCGGCGGCAAGGTCTCACCAGATCCGCTCACACACTCTAGGGCAGTTATCCATTCACCCTTCTCAACCCCTTTCTTTATAGCCACGTTGCCAGAGGCCTCGGAGACCACCCAATGGGAGTCTCTAACCCCCTGGGCGATTCCCATTTCGTCGACGTTGTACCAGCGTGCTGGCATGAGGTTAACCATGTCAGGGGCATCACACTAATCGAAAAAAATGTTGATATTTGCCGCTGTAGCACCATTCACTCGGTTATAGTCGATAATACGAGACTTCATTATCTTGACTTCCGGGTTTCGAGACAAGAACTTGGATGCCTAATTTTTCCCTAATTCTCGAGCATCCCCGGTGGCATGGAGCATCCGCTGGGCCATGAGACGGAACTTAGAGACCGCCGGAGAATACCCTAGCCGTGCTTACCCCAGGGCCCAGCTTGCCAGCTTATGTTTGAGATACGGTGAGAGAGCCTGTTGGAGAGCGCTGGTCTCATTCCGCGTTGGGGTGCCAGAGATTCGTCGGTTGACGTACGAGCGACTGATTTGCCATTCGAGGGCTGACGAGCGGACTGGAGCTCCGCGTTGGATGGCCAAAATGGCGGCTTCAGCTTTTATTTGACGGTTGTAAAATGACATCATGAGATTCAGCAGTGGATAAGGATTCAAATAGTGTGCTTTGTGAAAAAAAAGATGCAAAAGTGATGGTGTAGATGGTGGATCACCATAATCCTGGTGGTTGGTGAATTACGCGTTTGTGGGTCAGAACGCGCTGGTCCGCGGGGGGTGGTCCGCAGGGGGGTGGGAGATGTTACCCCTGAATGTTCAGCCACTCGGTGCCCTACCGCCGGGCCCGGCAGCCCGGGTTGGTGGAATTGGCCACGCATGGCAAACTTCCCCACACTTTAATCTAGACCGCGGCATGGCCGCATATGCTTGCGTCCGCATCCAAGTCCGCCGTAGAGCCATGTAGTTCAGACCGTAGGACTTGTCGGCAGTATGCGTCCTGGTCCTAGTCAGCTAGGCGCTCGACTCCGCGCCGGTGTTCGGTATCGCTTGCCCGGCTAGGAGGAGCGGAGATATCTTCGCGAAAAGTTGCTCGGCTGGTCAACTTCGGCTTGGCGTCGGTTCAGATGAAAATGACAAATCATGTCAGCACTGTCTCACCCTTTCCCCCTTTCATCACCAATTTGTGCACTATATGATTCATCACTTTCCTGGAGAACAATGATGCGACCGAGTTGCTATCACTGGAAGAACCCAAGGGTGAATCCTGGGCAGGTGCATCTTCCCAATCTTGTGATATACCTTATAGATTGATTGATTGATTGTATTTATCGTGGGTGCAGTCCCTCCATAGGGCAAACCACGCCTCCCAGAGCCATTGCATCGCAAGGTTGTAGAGGTGTCAGTCTAGATACATTCAGATCCACGCACGAGCCTATCCTCGCTATAGCGGTACCAACCTGGAGTGACCAGATGGTTTTAGTCAGTACCTAAGCACAATTCTGTCAAAAAAACCTCCTGTCCAGTGACAAAGCGACCCAATGAACCTCAGTCCTCTGGTGTACACATTGTTCCAGTAGCCATTCGATTTATGTCGCATTGGTGGGTGAAGTAGGTGTTTGTTATCTACTGGCGAGGGAAACCACAAGGGGAAAAACCTCGCAGGAGTGGGTGTTGTGGAGACAAGCTGCTTGGCTATCGGGCTCTGCAATAAGGGACCTCTCTACTGTTATGTGCTGGTTGTCGACTCGCACAAGCCGGGTCAGAAGGGGGCCATAGCAGGATTCGAACCCACTTGTTCTCGTCGCCCACCGCACAAACGAGAACACAACCAGGCGCATTTGACCATTGCGCCATACGGCGGTATACCTTATAGAGAATGCAGACAGAGGCTATCTTGGGTAGAACACTAGACAAGTTGCTCTCATCCTGTGAGAACTTCAGCTGTGAGGGTGCTAATATCAATGTGGCCTGGATTCTTGTGATGTTTCCGGATTCGAAGGTATCAGAGGGAGTGGTGGATGGAACCCATAGAACTCGAACAAAGGACCCAATGCATGTCTCCTAATTCAGGGTGGTCTCGCTATAGCACTCTGCGAGGAATCAATCCGTAGCAGAGAACCACCATCGCATTTACGTTTCGACGTATGACCCGAGTGCAGAGTCGACCGTCCATGGTGTGCGGTAGAGTAGGTCGAACTCATGATGCAGAACAACTACTACGCGCAGTACGATACGACAGCCCAGTATGAGACGCCGATCACCAACCAACAGGACGGACATGATCGTTGGCCGACCCGTCAAGAGGTCCTGAAACAGTGTCTGGGGCTACAGGACTCGCCCAAGAAAGTGCGGGATTGGTTCAAGACGTATCTCGAATATCGCGGGCTGGATGCGATCAACGCCGACAAGTTCTTCTGGCGCGAAGAACCGCATCGGGCGACTTACTCAAACCTGCTCGAAGCCTTCAAGCAGCACTGTGGGAAACTGGACTGGGAAGCTGATGTTCTCGCTTATGACGTGTACACGGTTGTCGAGGTAAGTGGGAGATGAACAAGAGGCCAAGAAAATGTCCTCGAACAAAGCCTTTCCTCAAAGAACCACCTCAGGTGACAGTCACTTACATGATGAGAACAGGGCTCCATACCGCCACCAGAGCGGACGATGTTCCAGAAATACGTGGAAGGGCTGTTTGGATACGAGTTCTACATCAACTTGATGCAGTGGACGAAGCCAAACCCTGGTTTTCTCGACCGGGCGAATTGCATCTTTTGCTGGCTTGGGTTGTTGAGCATTCATGGTGTTCTCACTCTCATCGGCGTGGTCATAACCGCATTCTTGTTGAGTACCTGATAGGCCTCACAGGGAAGGAGAAAGGTGTTGGAGCAGGCCTCGGTCGGAGTGTGAGCGTATAAAGACATTAAAGAGGCCACCTTGGTAGATATAGACAGATGGGGTCCCTTGGAGGTTCTGCGACTAGCTGTCAGGCTCATCAGCTAAGACCATACCCCGACAGGCCTCTTCAAACTGCCTTCACAGTCCCAAACGGCGCACTTACCATAGACTCAATGTAGAATGCGCCCGTGGCTCGCCTAGGGCCTCATCGAGACGAATGGATGACCAAGGGCTTATTCCACCACGGTGCTTTGAGAACTTCCTTCATGGGGTCCCGGCCTAGACATTCTTCTGATGATGTAATACTAGAAGAGACCGGGGTTCAAAACATGAACACCAGTGTCCTGAGGCAAACCATGGTTATAAATGCTTGCTCAGCACCGATGGCACCAAGAAGGGTACACCTAGAGACTCGGCAGACGTCAACAGGGTATCAGCCGGAACGGCCCAGATCTACCAAGACCATCGTCGACTTCCCTATGCGGTAGAAACGTAGGAGATTCCCCGCACCCTGTTCGCCGAGCAGATGACTCCATTGGTGTTACTATGGCTTGGCAGACGTCCGCGAACCTGATCTCCAATTCCCCATGGTTTCTCAAATATAGTTTGCCCATACCCGCGGCTGCGACACCGAGGGCTCCGACACTCCCGACGCGGATGGGATATATTGGCTGGCATGCCTACCTCTGAAATCGCGAGCTCCAGGCAGTTAGTTTCTGTACACATCCACGTCACACACGCTTCTCACAATGCTGGGATACACCACGCTGATCGCTCTCTGGAGCACCGGCTTTCTTGTCGCGTCGAGTGCTGCAGAGTGTTCAGTCGCCGATGTATCCGTCATCGCTCACACCGGCGACCCCGTCGGCAGGGAGGAGGTGTATAATGAAAGTATGAACTTTCCCTTGATTGAACGAGAGCGACCAACTGACCTAACCTTCCAGTCAACCTGTACATAACAGGAAACACGTCCGACACGGCGGTGCTATACCTGACCGACGTATTCGGCATCCAACTACCCGAGAACAAACTGTCAGTGCATCACCACCCGATGCTTACCGACGACCATCTAACCCAATCGCCAGACTCGCAGACAGCTTCGGCCGAGCCGGCTACCTCACAATAGCACCGGACCTATTCAACGGCACACCATCCCCAGTGGACATCAACGGGACGGGGACGCCTGGCTTCAACACAACAGCATTCCTCGCCGCCCACGGCCCCGAGGTTACGGACCCGATCATCGCGACCGCCATCGACTACCTGCGCACCGCGCTCAACGTGACCAAGGTCGTCACGACCGGGTACTGTTTTGGCGGTCGTTATGCGTTTCGGGTCCTTGCGGAGGGAAAGGGCGTCGATGTGGGCTTCGCGGCGCATCCTAGTCTCCTGGAGGATGCTGAGATTGCGGCGATCACGGGGCCAGCGAGTGTTGCGGCTGCTGGTAGGCGGACATCTCAAGCTCTGTTGGGTGATAATGGCTGACAGGTCGACAGACGCAGACAGCTTGATGCCACCGGAGCGTCGCGCGCAGATCGAAGCGCTGCTGCTAGACACGGGACTCGCGTATACGCTCTCGCTGTACGGCGGCACGCAGCATGGGTTTGGAGTGCGTGCCAATATTTCGGATCCGGAGCAGAAATTTGGCAAGGAGCAAGCGTTCTTCCAGGCTGTTCGGTGGTTCGATACATGGGCTTGAGCTGTGGTGTGAAACATCCTGCCGGGATCACTCTATGTTAAGAAGTCCATGAAGATGGGGAGATGGGTTAGCACCTTTCAAGTAAAGAGTTCACGCATCGAAATCTGTTAAGTGTCAGGCCGAATGTGGCGGAGGATTGAGTTGATTGACTCGGCCCTTTTTTTTGCGGGAACACGACGGGTTTGCCTGTATGTACTCAATGAAGCTCAAAGTGCCGTTTCGAGTGGTCTCGATGTTCCCAGACCTTCCACATCTCCTAGAGTTCTTGGAATGTGGCATGCCTAACCCGTCGTCTCGGTCTACGCAGCAGGGCTGAACCGAACCATCAAATCCGGCTTCTGCCACAACATGACAACCCTGCTATCCTTGACCCAATGCTGGGACTTCTCATCCAGCGCCCAGTCGAAAGAATACACAATCTTGGCCAGGGCGATACGCATCTCCATCCAAGCGAGGTTGACACCGATGCACATGCGCGGTCCAGTGAGGAACGGTATGCTGAAAGGCCGCGTACCACCCTCCAACCACCGCGATGGGTCAAACTCCCAGGGCCGCTCGGCGTTGCGCTCATCGTGGTGGAGGGTCCAGAAGTCTGTGGACACGTACGTCCCAACCGGTACGTACACGCCGTCGACCGTCTCGCCGGGACTCACGCGCGGTGGCCCCTCCGGGATCGGCGGCATGATGCGCATGGTCTCCTCCAGCACTGCGTTGAGGTACGGCAGCTGGGCCACCGCGTCCGCCGTGATGTCCTCGTACCGGTCAAAGGCACCTCGGACCTCTTTCTGAAGCTGCTTCAAGCATTGCGCGTTCCCAGGCACGGCGAGGAACCACGTCGCGGAACCGAGAACCTGCGCGCTGGTCTCGGCGCCAGCAGTGAGGAGCACGCTGGCTTGGTCCGCGAGCTTATTCTCGCCCTTCTCCTCTTCTGTGCCCTGCTCCAGGACGTGCGTGAAGAAGTCCTGCGTATTGCGCGAAGGACCCATGGCAATGCGTTTGCGCGTCTTCTCAAGGGTGAGGGCACGGTGCTGTATCGTGGAATTGATGGCGTCGTTGACAGCCTTGGAAAGTTGCGGCACCCATCGCAGCGCGGGTCCTAGGATTGCCAGGCGCTTTTGCAGATTGAGGAGACTGCCGCCGTAGTTGGCGCCGAGCAGCAGAGTCACCCAGTAGTGGGACCGCGTTTCACGGACGGCGTTAAATGACTCGCCGAATGTGAGTTCGCCTGTCAGGGGATTAGCGACTTGCTGACGTGGATAGGGGTAAAATGACTTTAGATGAGCAGATTTAGAAAGACAATGCGCACCAATGATGTCGAATGTGAGCCATTCAAACCACAAGGCCATATTGAGACTCTCGCCACTGGCAGTGCCCAGGCGCCGTAGTTGGCTGATGAAGAAATCCGTGTGCTCGTGTACGATGTGTTCCTGCGAACGGAGGGCCGACGCCCGGAATGCGGGTGCGAACAGCTTGTACTGCTTTGCGTGCTCTGCGGGGTCCATCTCGAATGCCAGGTTGGATATCCCCACATCGTAGAAGAGGTCCGATTTGGGGAACAGCTTTCGTGTCTTGGATGGCGATCCGTAGAGGTCCTTTGCCGACTGAACAGTGGAAAATGAAAGCTCGTTTGGCGCAATGCGCACAATGTCTCCTGCGCATCGAGGGCACAGAGTAAGCCCCTGTACAAATCTCGTCAATATGCCTTTCTAACAGGGTCACTCACCGTACTTTCGGTGCGCCTCATAGATACGATGAGGCCATAGTCCTCCAAGCCAATGTTTTGCGTACCAGAGCTAGAAGTATGGTTAGTCCAAATCCCAGATACCACGAGTATGTGGTTTTGTTCATGCAAGTACCTGTGAAACTGCTGCTAACTTGGGACCTGGGTATTTGGACAGCGGGTGAAACCAGAGCAGGTACGCGTACCACCCCAGCTGGTATACAACTATCTACAAGCTTGTTATCAGTCTCCGTGTTCAAGTAGTTCATCGGGTAAGAAGGACTTACCCCCAGAATCAGAGTCCCCGCCACAGCGTACGAAGTATAACTGAACATAGTGGCTAGTCTGGCATTCCTCGATGGCGTTGAAAGGATACGAAAAGGAGATCTTATCCGAGCAAGCAGGTGTCTACCACTTGTAACCTACATGTAGAGAAAGGGTCTGGCGACCTTATGCCGGGTTAAATAGAACCTCGTGACAGCACTTGACCCGCTATACTGCTCTTCCTGGGATATTTAGGCAGTCAGATAGAAGGTTGCAACGTCTCCGCTCCATGTACATGCATCATGCGCTATCGTGGCACTTGGCGAACAGGAAGCCCTCAATGTGGTCTCTTGCACCAACACCTATTGCCGCTTCGAGGCATGAAGAGCGGCAGCCCTTTCCGTGCGGGGCAAGATATCCGAGGAGGGCGGGATCAGCCGCATGGTGCTGCAGCGCGAGAGGCCTTCGGGGACCCGAAGACGACACCAACAGCGGGAATGAATAGACGGACAAATGAGGCATCAAATTATCACGCCAGAAGACCAGTGAGTACCGAGGTACGGGAATGCATGTCCTACTCCCAACACATGAAGATGGTGTTCTGGGGGGTATTATTGGTGTAATCTGCAAAAAATTCCAGCTAGACCAGACACCCCAAGACTTGACGTGTTGAGCACGCCCGTTGTGGTTAAGGGGTTTTGCGACAGGGCTCGAGGGTCTTCCAGTGCTGGTGATGCCTGGACTGCAACTTGCAAGTGACACTTTCTAGCAACAGATCCGAAACGCAGTGTGGTACGCCGTCCCGAGTCTCTACCCGACCAAGTGTCGCAGATATCGGGAACGGCGGGGAGCACGCGCAAAGTGTTGTAAACGGGAACTGTGATCCATATCTGTGGGTGGGTAACATCGACTCGATATGCGCGTGCCATACAGCGGTGCCGCGGATAGCAGTGAGTGCCATGGTCGTGATGTGGTTGAAGCAAAACGACACACCGTGTCTGTCATGCTTCTGCTGGCTTCGGCATCGTCTTCCTCACGACACGGCTTCCGAGCATCCTTTCTCCAGATCCTCAGAGAGCATGATGAGGTAGGTAGGAGACCTGCTCGAAACCGAGGGAGAGATGACGACTTGAACACTGCTTCATGAGGTTCTGGAGCTGGTCTCACTCTCGAGGTCCGTTGTACACTTGAACGCCAGTCTGCGAGGTCGTAGACGCGTGACAGGCTGACAGGTCAAGCCGGGAAACGAGAGAAGTAGGCGCTCCGAGGTCTTATGGGCATCGTAGGAGAAGGGGTCCAGATCAGTGATTACCTGTAGCCAACGCGGGGTGAAGCTGGAAGACGATGCACCGCCAGCGCGGAACCCCATTGGAAGTGCACTAACGAACCGCCAGGCGACGTCACTCTTGAATTCCAGCGCTACCTAGGTAATGAAACAGACGACCATTGGCGCATCGCAACGCCGGCGCAGGGGCCATGCCAGCCTAGCAACGGCAGGACGGCGGCCCTGACCGCCCTGGGAAGTCTTTGAACCAATAGGACCACGCTTGGTTTCAGCGTTATGGGGCCGGCCCCTGGAGAGTGGGGTAGAGTAGGGTAGAGTGAGGATCGGGTTGGTGTATCCCTCCAGCAACCAGAGCCCAGCCACATCTTTTATTTACTTGGCCAGACGCAGTAATCGTCGTCAGCGACTGGACCTGCTGCTGGGAATCCGAATGCCAGGGCGAATTACATGTGTACACACACACACACACACACACACACACAATCCCACCGTTTCTCCCGCATCTTCGGCTGCATCTTTGAATCATCAATTATCCACCCGAAGATTACCAACCTCCTCTTTCCACAATCCAACCGTACTGTACCTAACTGAAGGGCCACACCGGGAGCAAAGATAGATCCTGCCAGAGAACAAAGTCTACCCGTAGACAAATCTATCTTCATTCCAAGCTCTCCCGCGCAGAAGAGTACTCGTCTCGTGGGCAGCTACTGAACTTCCTAAGTTGCAATACCTACCATCATCCACATACTCTACCACTCTCTCCACCTCCTACCACACCCACCAACCAACACCCTCTGGCCGTGGGCACTGTTGATCTGACACGTCAAGAACAAGGGATTGCGATTGCGAGTGTCGAAGAACACGAACGAGTGAACCGAACGTCGCTGTTGCCGACCTTTATAACATCCTGACGAGACCCAGCGAGCCAGACCAGGCTACCATTGCATTCCAGCGAGACACGAGGATTCTTGAGAGCGACCTTGCTGCCGCATTCCATCTCAACGATCCCACACTCCTCGATCACCACCACTACATTCCTCGGCGCTGCTGAGCGCGCTACTCAGACCGCACCGTCGCTCCCCCGGAGGACGGAGGTGGACACAGAGACAAGAGAGCTCGGGAATTTGGACACAAAAACAACAATATGGCACCAGAGAGATTTCAGGTCGGTTGGTACCGTGAGTGCTACCCGCAACATCGTGAAATGCCGCTGCAGATTTGCTGACTGTTCTTTCTAGGGTTCATACCGTTCCTTGGATACCACCATGTTTTGATGATCTTGATCGCAGTCTCTATCATATTACTATGTACGTCGCTTACCACATTCCTGCCGATGGCACGCGTTGCCTCCCATGGCCGATCTCCACTGACATGTCTCTCTCCCAGCACTCCTACTAGCAGGTTGCTCGTCATCTTCACCACTCATTCCCGACATCTTCCTCCTATCCATCTACTACCAACCAACAACGGCGGTGCCCGACACCTCCCAAGTCGACTACAATGTCCACCAAGCAATAAGCAACATCGTCGGGAGCGCACACCTCCAGGCCCGTGTCGGGTACTTTGGGATATGCATCAACCCCGACGGCGGCTCATGGCTGTGCAGCAACAACGCTACGGCACTCGCCAACGAGGTGGCCGTCGACCAGGACCCGCTCAACTTGATCTGGCTGGCGAGCCAGTTCAAGGACATGATCGTGTTCCCGTACCTGATCATCATCGCCATCATCTTCGCCTTCGTGTGCTTCCTGCTGCTGGCCACCTTTCCCGGCTGGCACGAGGAGGAGGACAGCGAGGGGTCTGACCGCGAGATCAAGCCCTTCCCCAGCCGGCCCGTTTCGCAGATCGCGCTGGCCATCATCTTCATCGCCTCCATCTTCGTGCTGGTGTCGGTGCTGTGGCAGCACACGGCGTCGGTGGCCGCCTCCATCATCGCCCAGGACTTCGGCAACGGCAGCGTGCTGTCGGGCATCGGGACCAGCGCCATGGTCATGGGATGGTTCAGCTTCACGCTGCTGATCATCGTCACCATCGGTCTGCTGGTCATGATATTGAGCATCAGGGTGCTGACGCAGCTGGCGGACTGATAACTGGGGACGAAAGCTTAACGACTGGGTACGCCAGTAGAGCATGAAGACGGGTTACGCGGCACGGAGGGCAATCTGTACATGGTGTCGACCGCGAGCACATTAGGGTATTTTTCCCTCTCTCGACCAGCATATGGAACCGGAGTTAGCAAGACGAGGGGGGCATCGGTTGATTTTCTAATGATTTCGGCTCTTACTGTCTCCCGTATCGAAGGCTGGCTCGCATGGCCCGATCGGCCCACTGGTCGTCGCAGCACCTCCGCCGAATTTTCTCACGCAGGGCCACTGGCAATAGGATGGAGATACCAAAAACGGAATATACTGGGAGAGGTCCATAATGAATGGGATGATGACAGACGAAGACGGAATGGAGTTGCGCTTTTCGACGCGTTAGTGGGGTGCGAGCGAGCGAGCGAGCATATGGACGGGCCTCGATTGGGGGGGCCCTGGATGAAGACTTGCTGGCGCTTGCGCTTGCGCATGGGGGACATGTGTGTATAGAATCTTGTACTTGAAGAATGGCATTGACATTGGGCACCTGGGACTTATGACTTGATCTTGATACTGAATACTTTTCCTGTGTGTGTGACTTGCTTTGTTTTTGATCGTGATTTGTATTTGCTACCTGCGCCGCTCCGTGGCAGCCACCTCCTGAACCCCGTGCGGTGCGTCCTCCAAACCTCCCTTACGTAACCCATCGCGCCTGTGTATGTGGTCAGACTTGGGGTTTTGTGGCTGTAGGACACAGACCCTTGTCCTCTTCGGTTCTGTCCTGGCTGTATTGTTCATCATAAGCTGTATGAACCAGAGCCCAAGCGAGTTTCCCACACCACGATGGTGTTTCGCTTTAATCACCCGAGGTGCTCATCAGTTGGCACGGAGCCCTTCCGCCTGAATTATCTTCTTCACCCCCAAGATGGCGTTCTTTGGAATGGTATCTCAAAGCCCCTTAATGATACTTGCAAATACACCGCAATAGTCAGATCATGAGGGACCCTGAGGCCCATTGTCCTGCATACTACGTCGGTGTATCCGTCGTTCAACTTTGGGGCCGGATTTTGATAGCAGCAGGACGTCCGGACCAGAATGAAACTCGACACGGAGGGAGGCTGTTGTGGTTGGTATGCTGGCATCCCACCCATATGCGTGCATGGCCTGATATGGGAGTGCCAACCAACGTCGTAGGCGCCCGTGTTACCAAGAATCTGACCCATGCCGCAAGGCTACCTCTCATCTCGCCCGGCGTGGACTCCTCACATTGGTGGCACTTGTGTAGGTTCTCTTTACTGACCACACATCCCCCCTTGGATTGGCTCAGTTCATGCGAATCACCTGAGACATTTGCCGGTCATGCCATGGCTTGACTGTTGGTAGCATTTGGTCGAATGGGGTCGTTGCTTCGTGCATATGTTGGTGCAGACATGCAGTGATGGGTCGTGCCGCTCCTGTGGTGTTACTCAAGGCAGGCTGTGCTGCGCCAACGGCATCGCTTGAATTTTTGGCCTCACCGTGGCCTGATACAGTTGCACCAGTCCAGCTGCAACATCCGTCTCTGCGATAGTGCTTTACTCCGAAAGAGTGAAGACACCGAAACAACAGCGGGTGCTCTACTTTTTGTTGTATCTTAGGGCATTGGGGTTTGGCTCCTCCCTTGGGGTCGAAGAACTTAATACATAAAGAACCGACCCCGAAACAACTGTCTCCCTCATTGTAACCAACGGGTATCTGTGGTGGTGGCCAACGCACCAATAAGCCGCTCAGAGGCATGCAGCTACCTTGACGAGTCCAACCATACTCATCGAGTTGAAAAACGTAGCCAGGCCCGGGCCGCAGCCGAAGATGGCAGACGTCCTGCATGTTGGTATGCAGCCGGCAAACGGGTCGCCTTCTACGCTACCCCAATATTGGAGATGGTTCCTCTCAATGAGTGCCTCACGCGCCACCAGTCCAACCATGCTACGTACGGGATTTATCTCATACAAGAGAAGTGGACTGACATGTTAGTTCGGCAGCGACTACAACACGAACCCTGGCCTTTCATTTGGAGACTCTTGAAGTAAAAGCCTCCTCACTCATACAGGTCTGGCAATGCAAGGCCACGTTCGTTACTTGCATTCGTGACACCCTATATGTGTGCCAGAGGCACAGTCTCGTGTCTTCAGCATTTCGGCAGCCATAAGACATCCCGGGACCCGGCCCTCGATTACGTCGATACCTTCTCCGTAAAATAACCACTTCTCCATCTTACCTGTACTCACTTGTTAGTCGAACAGGCACCGTCGTGCAAAAAAGGCCAGATGATAGACCCGACCAAGCTTCCCCCTGACCAGCAAGAAGCTCTCTTCAATGGCCCGGCCATTCCTCCCCCGGATGGCACCGTGCCAGTGTTTAATCATTCACCCGACGACCAGACTATAGTCGGAAGGTTGACTATTGCCTGTCTGGTCATCACGTCACTTGCCATCGGGGTACGAGCGTATTCGAAGCTGCACGGGGTGGGAAAGCTCAGAATCGAAGACTGTAAGCTTCCGCGTGTGCCATTCCCAGGCTCCCGCCCTGATGCTGACGATACCTGTTGTTCAGACCTGGTCATCGGCGCTTTCGTAAGTTCCATACCCATGTGTGCGCGCTCTTGAAGCACTGCTAAACTTCAACGATACAGGCAGCGTATATAGCGACGTGTTGGAATGTTTTCTACATGCAATCACGCGTTGGGTTCTTCATCCATCAATGGGACGTCCGACTCCGAGACATGGAGCCATTCATCTACGTTCGTGTCCTGCTCACCTACCCCTATTCAGCGACTAAAGCTGACTAAGCCTGGGACCAGAGTTTCTGGATTCTGGACATAGTCTACTCCATATGCATTATATTCACCAAGACGTCCATACTCATCGAATGAACGCACATCTTCGTCCCGCGCCGCACTCGCAATGCCTTCTTCTGGACGGCATATGGGCTTATTCTCGTCAATTTCCTGCTGTACCTTTCCGCCATCATATCCTTACAGTTCTACTGCATACCCAGGGAGAAGATATGGCACCCCTGGCTTCCTGGCTATCGCATCGATAGGAGAGCGTTGGAGATCGTCACCGCGGTCTTCGACTTCGCGTTTGACCTCGCCATCTTCCTTCTCCCACGGAAGATCATCTGGAATCTACATCTATCGCGGCCGAAAAAGGTCGGCATCTCCCTGGTGTTCTCAGTGGGCGTTGTAACGAACAAGGTCTAAGGGATGAACCCGAAGAGCTTGATATATAGACCAATGTATATTGTAGCTGTTAAAGAAGGAAGAGGAAGGAAAACAAGTAGCTGGGGGTCCAGACCTGGTTATATACACATAGGGTGGCACGGTACGTACCTAGGTACGTACCCGTGACAGGCGTTTTGTAAGTGATCCATCTTAATGACAGCCCGGATCAAAGACAGAATCCCACTGACAGAAGCCTTGCGCCTTAAAGGGGATGTCTATGTGCAGCTGGTCGGGTCTACGCTGTTTTGAAGATCGAATTCGTCGGCGACACCACCTACACAGGATCGCCGGCGTTCCTCTGGGCCATAAGCGAACTGACCTGCGGGCTCCTCATCTGCTGCGTACCTGCAGCTCCGAAGGCCTTCAAGGAATCGACACTTTTGGCCAAGATATCCAGCACCATACAGTCGTGGACCAGCGGATCCCAGGGCACTGGTCGTGACAAGTCACGCGGTGCTAGTCTCTCGTGGTCCGGTGGCGACCGGAAGAGTGCGCCCTCGAATGTTTACCAACAGATACTGGATGATAGCCATATACCTTTGACGGAGACGACATTGTCGCACCCGACTGCCGCATACATGGCTCCTGGGGATTTTGATCCTGTGGATCACCAACAGGGGGGCATTCTGCGCACCACTGAGGTTATCACCGTTGAGGAGAGAGGCTCGATGCATCTGGGCAACGCTTGTGCTAGTCCCCATTATGCATGGGCGGAGACGAGCTAATTGAGAAGAAAACCGGTGATCAGCAAGTGGTAATGAGGGTTGTTTCCGTCTGTGCCAAGCCCGGATTTGATATGGCGGTCCTTGAGTAAAGGAGGGTATCTTGTGGTGGCGATGGCCATGGCGTACGATGGCCATGGCGTACTGAGTCAAATCAGTCAAGGCAGTCAGCACGGCAGTTTGGTCGGCAGGGTTTCTATATGATGTGTCATGAGCCGGTCTGCTTCGGAAACATTTCTCAACATCGGTCTGGCTGCCATCCCGACGGGGTGGACTACTCAGCCAACTTTCTTTCTTCTTGGAACACTTTGCTGGTCTCACTACTATTTCACGCTCAGGGGCACCTTGACAAGTCGGGAAGTATTGTATTCATACCATTACGTATTCCTTCGATCTGCTATGCCCATGTAATCAGATACCTAATACATTAGCCGGGTCTCGCACCTCAGAAAATGCGACGACTCAACGACTTGCGTGATCCAGACTGACGAGATTCAGACACCCTTCCACTCAGCCACCATAACCCACAGTCCCGAACCCGGGGGTTGTCTGCCACCCTCAAAGTGAAATCCCAGACTCGCTACTTCAAAAAGGCGCGCCCAGCCCGTCATCTCGCGATCGCTCGCGTTAAACAGCATCGTCATGTTGAGATCGTCACTCCGGATGGCCGCCGCCGAGCCCGCCGTTGAATCCCCGGGTCCCGGCACGACGACGTCGTTAAGGATCACACGCGCCCCAGGCTTCAAAGCCGGAATCAGCGCCTGAAGCATGCGCACGGCATACCGTACTTATCAGACCAGTTGTGGAAGCACGCGCGGAACAGATGCACGTCAGCCCCGACTACAGGCTGTTCGATGAAGAAATCGTGCGTCATGAAACGCACGCGACTGCCCCCATCGGCTGGCTTGCTCGCATCGGCAGCACGGATCGTCAGCGCGTCGATGTCCTGAACCACCAGCTTGAGCGAGGGAAATGCGCGCGCCAGCGCCAACGCTGCCTCGCCATGCGATCCGCCCACGTCGACCACGGTCGCGCCGGTGGGAAGATCGCCCCAGGCCCAGGCGTCGACAAGGTGGCGGACGTCGAGATCCGGGCGCGCGGCGTAGAGTCGCATGCCAGCGGCGATTCGGGCGGCGGGTTCCGGATGGGCGGCAAGGAAGTCGAACATACCGAGGTTCGTATCGTTGGCGAGGGCGAAGCCGGTCTCGTTCGGCTCCTCGGACGCCGGCCAGCGTGCCATGGCTTCGCACGTGTAGTAGGCCGCAAGCCAGCAGTCGTCAGCGCTCCAGCGGGCCCATGCGGCCACGTCGGCATCTTCGGCTAGGAGTCGCGAGATGGCAGTATGGGCGACGACGCCCGGGCGCGGCTCGCAGAAGATGTGCTGGGTCATGGCATGGCGTACGATCTTACGCACATGCGCCTCGCCCAGGCCAGCTGCGGCGATGAGGCCGGCGAAGGTTGCCTCGCCGTCGATGGGAATGAGACTGGCTAGCCCGAAGCGCACGATGACCAGTTGGCTAAGGAGATGATTAGGTCTGTAGCTGAACAGCTGTTCGCGCGGACCGAGCATGAGTTGGCGCAACTCTTCCGCATCGTGAATGACTGCTTGACGCGCAGCCGCGATGTCGAGCTCAGCGTTGGGGATCTGCGACTGCACAGGTGCATCGATGTCGAACAAAGGAGCAGGCAGAGAATTTGCTGCCAAGTAATCATCAACCTTAGCCGTATTTACGGCTATACGTGTAGCCAACTCTGTAATGCGTGTGGACATGTTGGTCAAAGGCCTTTACCGTGGCAGTGGTAAGAAATGAGGAGAGTTCCATGCCGTGGTCCAGCCCAAGACTGGTCTGTTCAGAAACAATGTAAGGGAGCATGTTGGTGCTTACGTTGTTGTTGCTCGCCGACTTCAGAGGTCCCCGACGGTGACATTAATGGGCCTTGTGCGAATACAACGTGCATCATTGGGGGAAGGGGGATGTAAATATGCAGACAACCAACATACGCAACCAACAACGACAGTCCAAACCGATATTACAATACGTGTGTCCATAACACCGGGTTGCCATGAATGCAAGGGATCACGCTGTGTCAGCGATGATGCCTACCATGCGTAAGATTGACTTGTTCGACCTGGTGTCAATGTTGGGATGGGATATCGAACGTCACTCGACCGTATCCATAAAATCAAAGCATCCGCCCAAGTAGATTACAAGACAGGTTGCAGGTATGCTTGCACTTCATACAAGTATCTTTATACCCTTGGAGAGTCTTCTCGGTGCCCTCGAGCATAGGCCTGCTCGTTGTCCTTTGCAGCACCTTTCGTGAGAACCACCCGCAGACTTTCCGTGACCTTCCATCAGTACATTATCACCATGTCTCCATCGATGTCTCCCTGGAATCAGACAAGTGGTTTTGAGTTGGACACAAAGCCGACTCTACCTCATCCACCTGATGAGCCAGCAGATGAAGCGCAACGGCCCGCCGAGGAAGAATGGCAACCCACCATGCACGAGAAAGCCATCATTTACACTCTCGCTATCATCAGTCTAATTGTAGCGCTGGATGCCACCATCGTTGTAACGACAATGAATGTAATTGTCATACGTATCCTGACTGAGAGCAATCTCGCTGACATCTCCTCGCAAGGTTATCATCGAAGACCTCCAAGGCACTGCCACCCAAGCGTTCTGGATAGGAACGTCGTACCTCCTTGTCAATGCGGTGACCATGCCGGTCATCTGCGCTGTGAGCGACGTTTTCGGCCGCCCAATCTGCTTGACCTTCGCTCTCGTCGCCTTCACTGTGGGAACCATATGTTGCTGCATAGCACACAACATCGGCACCATGCTTGTTGAACGTTCCATCCAAGGTATCGGTGGCGGTGGAATCCACAGTCTTGGTTTGGTCACGTAGACGGACATCGTACCACTGAGATATCGTCCGAAATGGTACGGAATAACGTAAGTGCTCCGATCTCTCCGGCCGGAAGCCCCTGAATCTCAATCGAATATTCATAGGCTTACCTTTTGGGCTCTTGGGTTCGCGCTGGGTCCAATCATTGGCGGAGCTATCGTTCACGGCAGAACGTGGCGTTGGATCTTCTACCTGATGTTTCCCTTCTGTGCCTTTGGGCTCGTCGCCGTTCCGTACCTCTTGACACTACGGCCTAAGGAAGCGACCACGCGCGAGAGGCTGTTGCGTATAGACTGGATCGGGTCCTTCTTGTTCACCGGCTCTGCCACTTCTTTTCTCGTCGCAGTATCCTGGGGTGGTACGCAGGTACGTATGGTTGCTATCCGCCTTCACTGCGCTTGAGCTCATAATCTTATCCATCGCCATCCCCTATCACAATCCCTTTGTGATCAAGAATCTTACAACTCCGTCACCGGCATCCAGTATTCGTGGGGTAGTGCTCAGACTCTCGCGCCTTTGATCATTGGATTTGTAGGCCTTGTCGTTACTGTGGTCTACGAAAACTACTTCGCAGCACAACCCTTTCTCCGGAGAAGCCTGTATCACGACACGACCTCGGTCGTAACATACATCGCCGGATGCATTCAGGGGCTAGTGGTATGTTCTCCCTCCCGTCTATGCTGCAACATGTATCTCGCTGTAGCGATGGCTAACCTTTACTTCCACATAGATGTACGGACTTCTATACTTGTGAGCTGGCCCACCTCTTCACCGATTCAGTTCGGTACTGACCCAGCTTCTTAGTGGTCCATTCTACTTCCTTTCCGTCAAACAATTCACCCCTCTTGATGCCGGTGTTGCCATGCTACCATGCACATTGACAGTAACATTCTCTGGCATTATCAGTGGTCGCCTCGTGACGCGATTCAACAACTACCGCTGGCCGATCTGCGTTGGGTGGTTCATCGCGAGCATCGGATCCGGTCTTTACTTGATCTGGCCACACAACAACAGCGCAGGGGTCTGGGTCGTCTCGTACCTCGTCATAGGCATAGGCCAAGGTACCATCCTGAACGCCCAGAACTTCGCCTCACAGGCCATGTGCAAGCCAGGCGACGAGGCGGCGGCGGCTGCAATGTATGCCTTTGTCCGCCAGTTCGGTATGGCCCTCGGTGTCGGCATTGGCGGCACTGCGTTCCAGAACGTCAGGGCTTTGAAGCTTCAGTGGCTGGGTCTTCCGACGGATATCGCCAAGCAAGCCGAGGGATATATCAGCACGTTGCACAGTCTGCCCGCTGGCGACTTCAAGAGGGGGGTCATTGACTCTTACAACTATGGCTTCACTGGAGTCTACTCGGTCTATCTCGCGATCTCTGTTGTCGCTCTCGTTATCAGCCTGCTGTTCGTCAAGAACGTCGACTTGACTCGGAACCTCCAGAGCAACCATCGGCTTGATGGGACTCGTGTATCTAAGTATTGGGGCGGACGTGAGAAGTCATCAAAGGTGATTTCTGGCGTCATAGGGGCTACTGGATTGAAATTGGGGCCCTAGGCCTCGGGAAGAATGCTGATCTGATCTTGCGTGGTAACGTGCTTGGGAGAAGACCTCGCTGGTGTACAATTTGCGGCCTTCGGAGGTTCGAGTGTTTTGACTTGGAGGACCTACTTGGGCGACGCCGTCTGCTGGACGGACACAAACCCCATATGGGAGCATACGAATATGAATATCGATATCAGTGATGTTCGTGATTCAGCAGGAATCTAAGTACTTCGCATGTTTTTAAGGGCGCAATCGCTTATGGGCCGTACTGGCCATGATAAGAAGAACACACCAACACCACAGGATAGCTTCACGCAGTGGTTCGGAACCTGGAAACCATCTCTCGGACCAGTCTCGCCAATACTGTTCCCACACGCTTGGAGCACGTTGGCATGTGTCCCTCGGCTCCTGTGAGGGTTTCCACCAACAGCCGCCGTCCCAGACCTGGCACCCCAAGATGATGCATACTCCCCGCCTTTGCATCGACCGCCGCAACTTGTGAAGCTCAACCCATCTAGATTCAACCGTGACTTGCGATCGTTGGCTTCAAAGCTGCCATGACAGAAATGTCCCTTCTGTGATGACAAGCAAGCGATACTCTCGCATGTCTGCGCCGTCTTGAAGTGTAGCAAGGTCTCGTGATTCGTAGCGTGCGTCAGACGCATCGGCCATGACCAGGTCATCGCGGTCTAGACTTCTTCCTCGTCAGCCCTAGACGCTACCCGTCCTCTTTTCCGGGAGGAGGGCGATCACAACGCCATTACTGGACTTGCCCCAAAGGGGCAGGCATTGGCGACGTCTCCAACACCGCTGCGAAGCGCTTCACAGTCCCGTAGCATGTGCTGCTCTTCATTGTGCAATTCATCAAATAAGACCAAGCTTGCTCCAAGTATCGTCTTGACGAGTCAAGTAAGCAGGACTGGCTGGAAGAGAACTATACTACTGATGTCAAGTATCAGCATAAACTCGACAGGGTGTATTTGAGATTATTGTTCCAAACTGCGCCATGCATGTGGTGAGGCGATGGTAAGGCGACGGTACATGTAGGGCGCTGGTAAGGCGGACTTGGCGAAGCTTGCAGCCCTTGGCGCTCAATCAAACCTTGTCTCAATCGGGCAATTAGATAGGCATACGCGATAGACTTGCTATTATCGTTTCATTCTCTCGGCCGCGATATCAGCATCCTTGCTTCCATGGATCGTTCGATTATCTTCCGCGCCACCTTAGTATGTCCCTGCAGAACTAGAGAGGGGGTCGGGGTGACGAAAGCAAGTCTGTCGATCGACGGGAGCTTATCCAATTGAAGCTATATTGATAGTGTTTCGCTTTGAAGCGGCTCAAAAGACTCGCATGGTTCTGTCACTGGAGAAGGTCCATGTCCTCTTTACCCATACCAGATAAGTAAACTGTCCCGGTAAGCGTCGGTGACGAGCTGGGGAATGCCGGCTGTCACGCGTCACGAGACTGGATGGACTGGCATGGCATGACGGACTACCTGCTGTAAGGGGTCACCGAGGCCGTTGCTACTCTCCCAGGCGTTTTATGTTACTATGTAGAACGACGCGCCTCTCGTGTAGAACGCCGTCCAACTACGGGGCTGTATATAAGAGATAACTCAGGGTGCTTATCATTCACTGCCCCAACGGTAGCCGGGACGGTGGCTGGATGGTTTGTAACGGAATCGATTCACGGTAGTAATGGCACTAATCCCCGCGAAATAATCTGGGGCATCGTGATAGGCCGCGTCGTGTCATCTGTCTCCGTAACTAGACCCCCGATAAAGGATTTTTATCAGGTAATAGTGTGGGCCGTTACGACTCGTCTGTCAGGGCACGACCGGGGGCTATCTACACTACCTCCACCACCAAGGAACGGGCGCCGACGTGATGGGGACCGAGAGGCATGGCTATACTCCTTTGGGATGCCTACCGGCTGACTTGGTGCTTCGAGCTTGAGCCCCTCAAACTCTATATGTAACAGCATCCCCTCATTGGAAGTTTCAATTCCCCAGTCGCCTCTCGCCAACTGCCCACCGCACCGCTTCACCTCGCCAACCCTCCAGCCACGGGCAACGACGTACCGCTGGACGTCCAACGGTCCAGCCTCAAGACCGCGAGCGACTCGACAAGAGGCTGAGCCTCGCAGTGACCATGGTCCTAGACGACTCAAAGGCCTACGAGGCCACAGAGACGGGTTATGAGCCAAAGATGGATCACTCCATCTCCAACACGGTCGGGGAAGTGGATCTTGCGCCTGGTCACCAATTGGAGCGTGGTCTGAAGAGCCGGCACATCCAGTTTCTGGCGCTCGGAGGCGCGTAAGTATTCCGTGAATAACCCTGTGTGAAGACGATTTGAGGGACTGACGACCGTATAGCATTGGAACTGGGCTCTTCATCGGCTCGGGGCTGATCCTGGCTGACGTCGGACCGGCGCCGCTGTTCATGGCGTACCTGTCGATGATGTTCGTCGTCTGGGTCGTTATGAACAACTTGGCCGAGATGGTGACATACCTTCCGATGAAGGGAATCTCCATACCGTACTTCGTTGGCCGATTCGTGGACCCCAGTCTCGCTTTCGCTGCTGGTTGGAACTACTGGTACGCGTACGCGATCCTGGTCGCCGCCGAGTGTACGGCCGGAGCCATTATTCTGCAGTACTGGACGGAGGCCGTTCCTGTCGCCGTGTGGATCGCCATTCAGCTCGTCGTCATCTTGCTCCTGAACATCATTGCCGTCTCATTCTTCGGTGAGGCTGAATTTTGGTTCGCAAGTATCAAATTGATCACCATCATTGGTTTGATCATCCTCGGTATCGTCTTGTTCTTCGGTGGCGGTCCAAACCACGATCCCCTGTACTTCAAGAACTGGCAAGATCCTCCGGGCGCATTTGTCCCCTACATGGTGAGCGGCAGCACTGGCCGTTTCCTTGCCTACTGGACGGCTTTCGCCCGTGCTGGTTTCTCATTCATCACCTCGCCCGAGCTGATTGCTTTGTCCGCTGGTGAGACCGTCGCACCCCGACGCAACATCCCCAAGGCCGCTGGACGTTTCGTCTGGCGACTTGCTGTCTTCTACGGCTTCGGCTCGCTCATAATTGGCATCATTGTGCCAAACGACGACCCGAGGCTCGTGTCAGGAACCTCGAACGCCTCGGCCAGTCCGTTCGTCATCGGCATCTTCCGCGCCGGCATCAAAGGGCTTGATCACGTCATCAACGCAGCGGTCTTGACATCGGCATGGTCTGCCGGCAATGCCTTTTGCTACTCTGGCTCCCGCGTTCTGTATTCCATGGCACTCAACGGGCAAGCGCCCAAGATATTTGCTAAGACGACGAAGCGTGGTATTCCCGTCTATGCGGTGCTCCTCACGATGGCGTTTGGGTGCCTTGCATTCCTCAATGTGTCGACCACTGGTTCCAAGGCTTTCAGTGAGTGATTTTTAGCAACCATCTATTTTCCATGTGGTCCCGTCTGGGACCACTTCCCCTCGGTGATCACCAATGATTAAATGCTGACTTCCATTCCTAAAGCTTGGTTCTCCAACCTCTCAACCATAAGCGGCTACATTGCCTGGATCGTCGTAATGATCACGTACCTCCGCTTCCGCAAAGCCATGGAATACCAAGGTCTGCTCGACGTCCTTCCGTTCCGCACTCCGCTCCAGCCATATGCCACGTACTTCATCCTCGGCCTGGTGACGCTCCTCACTCTCACCAACGGCTTTCAAGTCTTCTTTCCCTCGGAATGGTCGGTTTCGAGCTTCCTGGCCGCGTACATTACCATTCCGATATTCCTCGTCCTGTACCTTGGCCACAAGCTCGTGTATCGCGGCCGATGGGCCATCAGGGTCGAGGATGTGGACTGCCTGACCGGCAAGAAGGAGATGGATGACCTGGCCATGATGGATGAGACAGAGAGGCCGATCCCGAAGAATTGGCTTGAGAAATGCTGGTTCTGGCTGGCTTAGACAGCGGCTTGTCAGCACACAATCTAGCGAAATATATCAAATTCACATTTTCACTTAAAGTCAAGCAACGAGTAGTCAGTCCTGCAAGAGTCATGAGTCTGGTGATACACCCAGCTAGCACAGATACCGCGAGGCTAATGTTTGGTCTCCTCTGGCGTACCTTTCCAAACCGGACGTCTATGAAGTAGGTAATGCTTACTCTCAATGGCCGCATTTATACCCAGGACCCCCGGAATCGGCCACAGCGATCTGATCCACTCAACCCAAGTACGTCCCTGACTCCGCTCCGTGATGTCCACCTTCACTTTATCATAGACCGTAGGAGGAGACTCCGCCTCGTACCGCCGCCTCAAACCAAAATACCACTGTCAATCATACAGCGCCCAGAACTCCTCCTCGGTATAGTAAGTATGCGAGTACAAAACCTTCCGGCCCCCAAGCGTCCCAAGCACCTTCTCCAACCGCCGATTGTGGCATACAAACGTATTCCAATCCCTCGACGCACGACCCCAAAGCCCGATATTCAACATCGGCTCCGCCAGGGTAGTAGATGGGTGAAACGTAGCCCCCTGCACCCCGCGCAGCGGACAAAGCCACAACGGCCAGATATCCAGCTCCGTCGCCGTATAGTCGATAAACGCCTCCGCGGTCGCATACGGCAGCGCCAGGTCCTGGACCATAACCCCGAACGCCGAGCGCTCGCTGCCGCTGCCGCTGTGCAGGGCCCGGTACAGCATGCGCGTGTGCATGAAGTCGTCGAGGAACCAGCGGGTATAGCGGTTGAACGGTATCGGGCCGAAGTAACTGAATGCCTCGCGCCCGACCCAGAAGCCGCCGCGGTCCCAGCGGAAGAGGTACTCTGGCAGGGGTACGTAGTCGCTTGTGGTGCCGGCTGGGTTGAGGGGAGCGGTCTTGGATTGGAGGTGGAGGTAGTACCAGGGGTCCCAGGCGCGGCTGAAGGTCTGTGGTTTAGTCGTGGATGGTAGGGAGTCGGTCATTCGGCCGGTGATGACTACGCCGTGCGTCTTCGAGAAGATGATACCGTCGATGTAGTCGTTACCAGCATCCTGAGTCTCTCGCTGTATCGTCTCGATTGTCTCTGCGACGCTGCCGGTTCGGTGGTATGTAGTACATACGTATTTTTTCGCCGGTATGAGTCGCAGCTCGATCAACGTCATGATCCCGAGGGTCCCCAACGCGCCAGCGGCGCCCTGGAAGAGATCTGAGTTCTCGGTGGGTGAGGCTTTGATGATATCCCCATTTCCTAGTATCATCTCGACCCAGTTGGCTGTTTGGTCGAAGTAGCCGTGCTTGAATGAGCTGCTCTCGCCTGCGGACGCGGCGTAGCCGCCGCCTGCGGTGATACCTGGGAACTCCATGACCACGGGTGGGATGAGGTTGTGCTGGAGTGTAGCGGCGACGAGTCGGTCCATGGGGACATTGGGCTCGACGAGGATTGTGTGTGCATCTTGGTTGATGTGGATGATGTTCGATAGGGCGCTGATGTCGACGGTTTTCTCGTGGTGTGGCGGGCGGGTGCTGTTGGTCGAGCCGCGGAAGATCCGGAAGGATTCTCCTCGATCGTAGAAGGACCGGACGGTCTTTGCGATCTGCACAACGGAAGCTCAGTGGGTGTTCATTGTCAGTTGATATGGTCTTGAGTCGCAGCGTAGTGCTGGACGTTATGTTGCTATTGGTGCTCAGGTAGAGAAAGTCATACGGAATATACAGAAACGTATGACCCTGGAAACCCGGGGATTCCTAGACAGCAGTCAAGCATTCACCGGAGAGGCGAGCATTTCATTCAACAATTCTTTGTTCTATGTAAGGGGTGGAAGACTCGTGATACAGCATTCTCGGTGGAGTAATACGACACGCAAACATTCCAGACATCAGATGCTTCATTCAATGAGAAGAACCAAGTGGACATCATTGGCTAAGCCAGGAGACCCTTGGTCATTCCCCTGCCTCGAACTCCGGACCGCTGGGCCATTCACCGCTTGAGCTGATGATAGCGACGACTCCTCATCAAACGCAGATGTTGTCCTTGTTTCTGCCCTTCATGCCCGTCACTCTAGCTCTGGAAGCATGGTGCTCAACCTGTATACCAAATCCTTTTTGCCTTGCCTTGTCGCCCTCCTACTCGTGGCTCACGATGTGTACATCACGTCCGTCAAGTAGGGCACGAGGCCAGGTTTTGCATGGTGATAAGGGAATAATACTGATGAAGGGGGCCACAGGCACTTGGCGGACCATTTCAGTACATTGGGCAACACATAGTTGTAAGGGGACGATGTGACATGTCAAAGCCCCTGAGAGACTTGGTTCGTACTTGGACTACGCAGCAATGACGTTTGTCAAGCGACGGCGAGTGTGGATGGTGAGGTGACACTGAGCTGTCGGGCACGGAAGCAGCGAACGACGAAGCACAGTTTCCAGTTGACATGCGTGCAAATGTTGGCCGAGATACATCTAGTCCGACTTCCCAAGGAAGCCGCATGCAACTTCGCACCTGCGTCGCCTTGCCACGGGCTGTTTCCAATCACATCGTGGCACCGCAGCCAGAGTCCAACATCCCGCCTACCTAATTCCTCCCGTCCTCCTGTCTACAACTCACAACACAGCCGCCTCAACAACTCCTGCAGTACGCCATCATGAGGCTCGGCATCATCCACATCGCCTTCTTTGGCACTCTGATGTGCGCCAATGCCCGCGTCACTCCTTGGCAGGATTGTTCGAACCTGATTAAGCCGCTGTCAGAGGCGCTGGACACCAGTGCAAGTAGCACGAGCAAATGGCTGGACCAAGCCGGCATCAAGATCAAAGACGAGTTCTGCAAGTTCGACCGCCGCGACCGTCGGGCCCGCAACACCGGCTGGTTCCAATGGGCCAAACGTCAACCTCCAGCCCCCTGGTACGAGGAATTCCTCGGCATCGATCCGCCCGCCCACTTATGCGACTTGGGCATCGAGGTGCGCAAGGTGTTCCAGCGTGCCGCCGGAGCGAGCAACACCCCTTTGAAGAGGGGTTTCCGATTCTCCCAAAAGACCTCCAGCGCTTCATCTCGGTCTTCGGTCTCGACGACCCGCTCGTACATGGTATACACAACCTCCTCCTCGGTCCCTTACAAGGTCATGGGAAAGATGTTGTGGAAAATCGCCAAGTTCGGCGTCCTGGTCTCCTCGTCCTCGAACCCTTACTATGTCATGGAAAGGTCTTGTGGGAGATCGCCAAGTTCGGCGTCATGGTCTACCTGGCGATGTTTTGGCGGCCACTGCTCTGGGCTTTTGGCTTTTGTGGCATCGGAATATTAGCTGGTAAGTATCTTTTGGTTTGGCTTGAGGGGGGCCCTTCTGACGGCAATGCAGCAAGCTTTGCGAGACATTGCATGGGCTATAAATCAGGCAGGCCGTGTGGGCGCAGGCGCCATGTACGGGCTCGACTGGCTCAAGGCCAAGACTTAGATGGCAACGAGGACGACGGCAGGGCTGAACTGTAATGACCCGTCACGTCACGATGGAGTCGGAAAACCTTGGAAGGAATGTCTGACCTGGGAATTGAGGTTTCCAGAAATGAAACGTGCTGCTTAGCCAATTTTGAACGCCCCTTGATACACAACATAGTGCACGCGAGTAACATAGGTGATGGTTCCTTATCTGTCGAAGATCCAGTACTAGATAATCGTCTCGGAAATCACCTGCACACTGTATCTATGCTCTCGGTTGGGAGGTACAGAGATCGTGTTGAGGGGCAACCCTTGGATGACAGCACCTGGTCTAAGGTACATTCGACAAGAGCGAACCTCAAAGACGAGTTTAGAGCAATGATGGAAGTGCGAAATTGGAACAGTAACCACCCATGTAGCTACTCAAGAGCTACCTAAGATCTTTGTAGCAACCAAATGTGCTTCACTAGCAACCAATCTCCTCCGGCAACCAAGGGCCCAGCCTGCAACCCATGTCGATTTTCTACCTACTTTCCAAGACCGCATATTTCATCCACCGCAATACTTCACCTTCGCAAAGGCCTTCCGGCTGACACCGTCCCCAATTGCACACCACCCCTGTTGCGAACCCTTTTAAATCGCCATCAACCACCTGCACTCTGCCCATTGTCCATCAAGATGAGAGCCCACGTCAACCTCGCGGCTCTTTGCTGCATCCTATCCTGCATCTTCGCTATCTCCTTGGCCCAAGATACTTCATGTTGCGACGCAAACGGGGTGTGCCTCCCACAAGCCGTCCTCGAGCAACAGGACACCGCCACTCTCAGTACCCTCGCTGGTCGCCTCCTCGGTTCCCTCGGTCGCCTCATAAATCCCGGTCGCTTCCCCTGTGCCCTTCTTGATCGTCTCGTCGAGTGCCAGGTTGTAATCAATGACCTGTCGACCAGCATCAAAGCTCCTTCGCTGGAAAATGGCAAAAACGACCTCGTACTGAACGTATCACTGTCCTTCACCAATTGCAGAGCCAGTTTCACTGCTCTCAACGCGGCTACGGCGACGGGCGAAGTCGACATCCAGTTGAGGATGAAGGGCTTAATCGACGGCGGACTCGCTAAGAAACGGCATAGCTGAGATGGAGAATCCATGCGGAGAATCGAGAGAGGCGTTGGCAATTGAACCCGTGGGGAGAAAGGTGAATACAACACTCATGCTAGGTGGCAACAGGAGCAACCCAGACCAGATGCAATGCAGAATGATGCTGCTGGTATGACCGAAAACGCGATGAATGTCTATTCGTACGGACCGTATTTGAACACAACGCCCTCGTACCTGCTTCAACCGATCCAGCTTAGCCAGCGCATCACCCAAAACCTTTGATGATACCCTGGTTGCCTTGCCTTCAAATTCAATGTACAACCAGCCGGAACTCGCCAGCGTCCATTCCCCTGCGAATGGAGCTCTATGGCCCTTAGCCCTACCGATGGGGCAAAATCTCAGCCTGCACATCTAGCACAATTAAGGCTGACTTGATACTGGAGACTTCTGGAGGTTCAGTCTAGCAACTGACTGACACGCCATGGCCACAGCAAGAGAAGACAATCAAATACGCAAATGGAGATTTGCGGAAAGGTGCCCACGACGATTTACCACATCTGACCAAAGTAATGTCATGACCGGACGGGCCCACTGGTGACTGGTGTCTGCGCCCGGGGACAGCATCAATTCTCCGTGCTGTTGATATGTTGTGGCCTTCGACGAACTCCGAGCTCTAAGAGCCTAACGATATTGCGCAAGTATTCTATCCAAATTCTAGCGCCACCTCTATTCCGCTTCATGGTATAATATTCTAGTAGTGGACGCTGTCTACAAGCGACCATTTGATCTTGCGCCCCAGACAAAATCTATGCAGAACCATGCAGCCACTGAACCCAGCAATAATTATATAATCTTCAACGGCCTGCTATGACCTTCCAACCTGAGAGAGGTACCAAGTTCATCTGATTCGACCAGCACCGCTGTCCACCTCCTCTATATCTCTCTAGACACGGCATATTTGCTCCTCTTCCGAATCATCCAGCCCCATCGATATAGCACATACGGTATAGGAACCAGGAGACACGAAAGCGACCCCAAGATCGTCAGCGTGTAAGGTACTCCCATGTTCTCGTAAAACGGGATACCGACCACCGTCATCCCGCCTGCCGCGACATACCGCACCAGGGCGACGAATGTCAGAGCCGAGGCCGAGTAGGTCTCGTAGGCGTCGATGATGTACATATAAGCGCATATGAAGATGCCCATGACGCCGTACCCGAACAACGCGACCGCAAAGATGGGCGACCAGATGCTGATGCTGGCGAAGTCGGTCCAGCCCATCCAGAACAGCGAGATCGGGATGGATACGGCCGAGCCGAGCATGGCGTACCAGAGGCGGATCTCCGGGTTGAATTGGCGGCCCTCGCCCCGGGATTCGGCCAGGTTCATCTCCTTTATTGTCATGCGGTAGACGATGGGGACCAGGACGAAGGTGATCTCGGTGCCGATGAACATAGCGACGAATATGACATTGCTGAGGCCCTGGGAAATGCCGTAGGTGTGCTCGAAGATGTAGGGAAACCCGACCAGGAACGTAAAAAGTACTATGTATACCACTGAAAGGTACAGCGTCATGGCGATGATAATCGGCTCAGTGAGCATGACGAACGGCCGCGTCATGCTGACCTTGAGCCTAGTAAACAGCGTCGCTTCCACAATCTCATGCTCGGACCGGAACCGGTCATCGCCTGTGATCTCGCGCAAATGTCGGGCCTTCCACTGCAGCAACAGCGGCGCGTACGTCTCAGGCATGAAGAAGATAATAAGCGTCATGACCAGCCCCGACAGGATCAACATAACCCACTCGGTCCAGCGCCAGCTGATGAGCGGCGAGGGCCCGATATACGCGCCCATGACAGCCCCGAGCATAGGCCCGCCAAACGCCGAGATGGCGTACAGCGGGAATCCCCAGGTCTTCTCGAGCCCATCGAACATGTCAGCGACCGACCCGCCCGAGCACACCAGCGGCGTCGACGCCGAGCACCCAGCCAGGAACCGAAACACAGCCTGCGCGCCAATATTCGGCGCCAGCCCGCTCGCCATTATCCACACCATGAAAATAAACATCGAACCGCAATAGACATAATTCCGCCCGAACGTCTCGGAAAAGGGCCCCGCGATGAGGGACCCGACGCCCATGCCGACGAGGTACAGCGCCGTGTCGAGCGACTCGACGACCTCGCTGACGCCCAGCGCGGCGGCTGCTTGTGGTAATACTGTCGCGTCGATGCCCGAACCGGCGCCCACGGTGCCCGCGATCAGCGAGATCTGCAGCGTGCACCCGATGCGGCGCGCCACGCTCCAGTTGCGCGGGTCCTGCGGGTCCGACGCGCCCTCCCAGCCGACCACGAATACTTGGCTGCCCTTGCCCTCGTGCGTGCGCCGGTCGCGCGCGTGGATGCCCGTTAGGGAGTGGCCGAGGGCGGCGCGCGATGTGTATTGCGTGCGCACCGTGGCCATGGTCTGGACGCGCTCGGCGGGTGTGGAGGTGTCGCTGGACGTGTCGCTGCTGCTGGAATTTGTTGTGCCCCCATCCCCTTCTTCTTCTTCGTCGTTTCCGTCATTCTGATTGCTCATGCGATCCAAGTCCAGGGACTTCTCAGACCGCGGGCTGTGTGGCCGCAGGGGCGGTTCCGATACGTCATCGTGATCCCTTGTGCTCGCCGGCTCGTCGTCGACGCCGCCACCGCCAGTGCTGTGAAGAGTGATCAGCCGTGCCTTCTCTAGGTCCCGTTCGACTTGCGCTTTGGCCGCGAGACCTATGCGCCGGGACTGGAGGTAGGACTGCATGCCTTGACTACCTAGGTATGCGCTAGGTGTCTGCAGGTATTAGATCAACCCCATGAGATTCCAATTCGGAATCCAATGGTACAGTACAGGCACGACGGGGAATGGACGCAAAAATATTTGGTGTTTCGAGAAGAAAAAGTTATGATAACCATGATAAACCTGCATGACGGATCTCAGGTCCGGCAGATAATAATGACCAATTGCTAACGTTAGTCGGTTTAGTGGGGGGCCAATTTACTACTCCGGCCTATTCCCATGCCTCCATCTCCACCGATATCGCCACTCATCGTCTACCAGACCCCGTGCGAAAGACCTGACTGTCCAGTCAGTCCAAATCTGCCACGTGAAGGGGGATTTTGTTCGCTTGCATGACTGAAGAGTACGTGTTACCCGTCCTAGCCGCCTATATTTGGTCTGCAATACCACAAACCTCACACATACCGGCCGAACGGCTTTTCGCGGTGGGTATAAGGTAATCTAGTGTAGTGTTATTGGGGTTGGCCACGGCCCGCACGGTGGCTCGGTTGCGCCGATGTCATACCGATTGCGCAACCGCTCGGGGATAAAAAGGGGCTCCTCGGAGAGACCCCGAACATTTGAGTCGGTCGCAGCGCTAGAGACGAAACTCCAAACACCAACGATGCCTCTCGAAAAGGGTTGGTATAAGAAAGTAAGGACGAGGGTACTTACTACTTTTTCGCAGGGAGTCGAGAACGAGACGCGTGGCAAACATACCGGCCGGTCTTCCACCGTCTAGTAGGCGTTCGATCTGCCCAGACAGTAAGTATCGTCACTTTCTACAATCTCTTGAATGTCACGCAAGCCACCGTGGCGCCAGGGAGGTGGCAGTGCACTGGAACAGGGGCATCTTGGGCATCAAGGCCACATCACAGACCTTCAGAACAACACAGTCAGCACTGAATACAGGAATAACCACCATATGAACCATCTACGCACTTTTTGACACAATCCGTGTTAATGAACGATATTCTGCCCGCTCAAGGTATACTGTCTCGACAGAGATCAGAAACCACGACCACCAAGGCCCCCAGAGTTCACTAGCCATGTTCGAATCACTACGTTTGACCTGGGCAAAGGTTTTGCTGGACAAGACTGCGCGAAACTTCATGGCCGTTGATTTGACATACAACCCCAAGCTTCTCGGAAACTTACCAGGTGGATAGTAAACCCACCATACTGCGTGAAGATATGTTTGGGGCTGGCATGTGACGAGCGCGGTGATTGTCGTAGAATGTCGCAAGTCGAAGACGGGTGTTAGGATCGAAGCTCAGGGTAGTGCAGCCATATTACACCTGCTCGTGGCGTACCGGTGACCCAAGTGAGGCTGTTCCTTTTCAGCTTCCAGGCCAGAGATGAATCAGCGAGTTGCTTGACGCAACGCTACGGTTATTATATAATAGGTGGCATTCGACCGCACCGAGTTTCCTGCAATGACATCCGACACATGCCGAGCGGCATGCGCATAAAGCCTTGCCGATGAATCTAGAGCCTACTCGAGACACCTTGTTCCCTCTTCCATCCTCTCCCATACATGTAACTCAAGGAACGATGTGGGACATGGGCGTGTGCCTTTGATCACTTGTACGTATATGCTACGAGAAATCCTACCCCACAATGAATTTTGGCTGTGTAGCGGCGTCATCGCGCGCGCGAGCAGCGCGGACAGCACGAGACTCTCTTCGACGGACATCCCGCCCCCGGAGCCCTGCCAGGGCGTCGTGGCGTACGCGGAGGCGACCACGACGCGGGTGGATCGCCGGCAGAGGTAGTTACGAGAAAAGATACGGCACTTTTAGTTTTCGGCTTGCCCTTGCGAACTTTTTTCGCTGCTTTTTAAATGCGGCGCTTTAGGTTGTGTTATAGGTCCGCCTGTCACCATGTCGGCTTTTGCGACTTTCTACGATAGGCCCTTTGGCGAGTTGCGTTACTTGATTGGCAGCAACTCATATTACCCTCTCTTTTTTTATGTATATCGTCCTAAGCTCTCCTCGCTTATCCTTTGCAACCTTACAGAGCTTCCTCGGGTAGATCCTGCAATACTGCTCGCTCACACTAGGCAGTCGCTTAAGGAAAATGCCCAGGTAGTGGTCCTGGTCGACCATGCAGTCGATGCTCGCAATGAAGGTGTTCGGGGTGTCCTAAAACAACCTTAAGCTGATTGACAAGCCCTTGTTGGTGACTGAGAAAGGTGTGAGGTTCCTTCCGTCGTCGTGATGCTGTAAGTGCCCAGAGTTTTTGAAGCAATGCGGAGCCGGCGCAAGCAGCCCGTAGCCGGGAGAGCTGCTGCTGGTCCCGTCGTCCGTTGCTGTCTCGTCAACCCAAGCAAAGAGAGAGTGGTCGTCCGAGTACTTCATGATTTCCTCTTGTAGCCTTCGAAACGCCCCCTGACTTCCTTCTCCGTACAGTGTAGGCATGTTCACCCCGAACAGTCCCATCAAACAGTAGGCCTCGTCCTCTCCTTTGGTGGTTGTCCGGTCTGAGAACCAGCTCATTCGATGACTGATGCTGGTCTTGCCAATGGGTCCCCCCACTTCCAGTATGCCTCTTGCAATGCCGGTTCCAGGTGATAGCTCCGCGCTGCACTCTTTTCTGTTCCCGAGATGTCTCCAATCCTGATAGAAGAACTCCAGAGCGGTCGGTGCAACTAATTCTTGCAAGGTCCAGCCCCTGGTGAACCAGTCACTGTCGGTCATAGACGAGAAAGGGCCCCTATCGTGCGGATGATCGTATAGGTAGACGAAGCAGACAGTTGCGGCCTTGTACCAGCGGTACATGGAGTTGATTGTCTCGGAGGTCTCGCCCGGGTCTGTCTTGTTGATGCAGACGGTGTCCAGCCAGGCGTAGTCTATCGGTTTCTGGTTATGACGCCAGGCCCTTACTTGCGCACAAGCGCCCCGTACCTTCGTAGCGCTCCGGGCCTTCTCAGGTGGCGCTCGCAACCCGTTCGCGACGAATGCAGGCATGTCACCGAATGTCATCTCGGTAGGGAACCACCGGTGGGAAAGAAGAACATAAGGGACGTCAGTGGCCTTCTTGTCATCCGCCAATCTGCGTTTGATGTCGTCTAGACTCTCGACAGCAAAGGTGTGAACGTTGAGCAGCCGCATCTTGCAGGTCTTGGGCACGCGACACAGTTGCGCAGGAGCAGGAAATTGCTGGCTTTAGTCGGTCTCGAAAAATCAAGTTTCGCTTGTGCACTTGGAGATCATTGCCATGGTGTATGGCGAGCTGTCCTTGGTAGCTAGGATATATTGGCGGTTGATGTGGCAAGGGCCTACGTCGATGACCAATCCAGCAAGGCCACCTCCGTTTTGGAGTGTCACACAACAGGCATCCTACGCAGTAGTATTCTCGTACATGAGCTTATCAAGAGCCCTTGGTCTTCCTGAGCTGCCAGGTTCGCGCTATTTAGAACCTCGTCGCCCCTGCCCCCCGGACGCCGCGAGAGGTGGGGGCCGAAAAGTCAATATCGTCTTCATGTTGGGGGCCAAAAGCCCAGAGAGGGTGTATCAAGGGCAACATTTAAAGGAAGCTCATATCATCCCCTTTGACACTACTGGAAACATCTGTCACCTCTCAAAAACTGCACCAAAGGCCAAGTGTTGATCAATCCAGAGCCGTCAAGTCTGCCTCGTCACGTTTTGAAAGATCGCAAGCAACGAGCTACTCAACAATGGCCATCAAGCTCGAGACACACAACGCCCCCTCCGATACGCCCGTCGAGGAGAAACCGGTATGGCAGCCACCACAACCGCAGCAGCCAATGGAGACCCATGGCAACGCTGGGATGGGCAGAGTGACCGAAACACTGGGCATCGAGCCGGATTTCATCGACTGCAGCTTTTGCCAGAAGCGAAACATGACAACGGTCAAGCGGGAGCCTAGTCAGGCGACCTTGTAAGGGCACAATGTATCTCTACATCGAGGTCAACTACTGACGCGCTTTTCTCACCAGGGTCGCCCAGTTTTTTTGTGCGCTGGCATTCTTTCCTTGTTGCACCTTGTGCTTGTATCCGGTACCCAAGAAAAGGGAGTGGTGGTTTAACACGAGGCACAAGCGTTCGATGTGCGACAAGGACGTGGCATTCATCAGCCATGACATTAACCGTATTGATGCGAGATATGTCCAGTCGCAATTTGGGAGTTGAAGCTGGAGGCACAGGCGCGGAAGGACGCCGGCGGCTTCAGAGAGCAACATTTGATAATATGACAATCGATTTCGTGCCTTTTGTCTAGATATCCGATCCGCTCAGCGTCACTTCGCGTCAACCTCTACGCCAGATTTTGCCACAACGAAATTAACTCAGAATATTGCAACTGGGTCGTGGTTCTGGCTACAAAGAGGAACCAGTCGCCCTAGTACGGTGGCAATTTCTATTATGCCAACCTCAATACTCTGGTCGAGCATGCGACAAACAGCCTTATAATCCACGATTGCTCCGGCTACCATGGTACTACCCTGCAAGAAGAACCACCGAACATGGCCAATGCGGATACCGACCATCGTGGCATTGTATTACTTGCCGATTCAGCCACCCGCAGAGCTTGGGATAAGAAGGCTGATATGTCTTGATACGAATGCCCAAACTCGGATGCCCAGACCCACGCACTCGCCTGGTTGGCATACAGCATTATTGGACATTTGTGACTGCCGCTCTCCATGTGGTCGGACCCCAAATCGTTCACCAAGACTACCGCGGCGTCGACGATGCATAAGACACAGCCTATAGCGCATGGGATGTACACCTACCTTTGGCATCTTCAAGACCACGGTATAACCCTTCGAGCTGATGACTTCGTGTTCTTAACCTAGCAGATTGAGATAATATCGATATTGTAAAATCAATTCAGGCTTTGCTACAACCTTGAGCAAATAAACAATTTTTAGTGGCTTGTAGCTAAACTTCATTCGTTTTGTTCTTTAACTTTAATGATGTTAATAAAACCTTTATATATATCATTATTTAATAAGTTATGAAAGCTTTATATCAAGACGGATCTTTACACGGGAATCTTAAAAAAACACGTATTATATATGATTATATTAATTAAATAGTTTCTACTATACGTAACGACGTTATTTAATAATTACTACTTTATTAAAAATAAATAAAGACCTTAACGGTAATATCGATTATAACGTTATAATATTACAATAGCCTTAAAAAGTATTTCCTATAAAATCTAGCGGTAGTTAAAAATTACGTAGGTAATACTATCGTTATACGGCTTATTTTTGAGGAAAAGATATATTATTTTAATTCGATTTTTGAAGCTTACTAGTTTATATACCGACTTAAAACTAAAACTTTATTTAAATATACTATAAGAAGTTAAATAAAAGCAGCCGCGATAATATATAATATCTTATTAACGCAAACCCTAAGCGCATATAGCGGTTAACATTTATATTTTACGTCGCGGAAAATAACCTAAAAAAAGACCTAATCGATATTAAAGGCTCGGAAGCTCGGAAAGCGCAACGTAACGGCAATCGCACGACAACCCGGATTAAAAGCCGTAGCGGAAGGACAAATTGAACTGAACGGTAATCTGTATGCTATAAGGTTATATCAATCAAAAATCAATAAGAAATCAATAGTATCAACGTATATTTAATATCCCCGGCGGCACGATTCGAGCTGATAACTTCAACAAACACCGCGGTAAGTATGTCCGTGGTCCACCCGATATATCAGCACACGAAGGAGTCCTGACTGGTGAGAGAATAGGTCTACGGCACTCCACAGTTTAGCGATGACCAGGAAGTGACCTCAACGCTGGGAGTCGACTCCACCGAGATCAAGAAGGCTTTGCAGTACGTCAGTGCCATTGTTGTTGGCATTGGGGCAACGCTATACTTCATCAAGTAACTTTACATCATGGAACGAGATTGGGCGACCGCTTGGAAGATGGTCTGAGGCATCTGTGGCGTGACTCTGGAATGGACGGCGTCAATCACGACTCGTCATCCCGGCCCGTCCTGGCCTGGGAACACCGGCCACTCCCCGAAACCAATATCACCCAAAGCACAGTATGTATGTGCCGACCCCGTCAGTCCTTGGGCCATCCGGATGTTCAACCGCGCCTACGTTCAGTGCCTTTTGCAACTTGCTGGCCAACCGGAACCGTCCTGGCGAGATGTTGACAGCCAATTTCAGTGCTCATTCTTCAAGCATCGAGGAGAACGAGCTCTTGGAAGCTAACACGAACGACGCATAGACGGATTGGTCTACGCAAAGTTTTGCCAGTACAAACAGTTGCCCCTCTCACTCAGGAACGTATGTCTGAGATCGCCGAGGCCACGAGTAATGGACGTCACGGGCGGATGCAACGTACAGCTCTGCTTCGCAATGTCATTTTGCTGGCCTGACAGTTCTCGTTTCATTTCTTACTTCTCTTAACTGACAGTCTTTCTTTCTTTGAAAGGTTCTTGCGTAAAGTCGATCGTGCTACACTCAGCCCTCAAGTCTTCGAAAGTGATACGGTGTTACGTCTCGTATAAGGGTAGCGGAATAAGCATTTACTGTTCTACACAATGCGAGTATACTGAAGTATAGCAATCCTCGTGTCGTATTAGACGTGTTAAGTCATGGATGTCCTGGGGGGAAGGCACGGAGGTTCATTGTACAGCCCTTACCTACGTTCCAACGATGATAAGTCATGGAACTTGAAGAGACGGCGGTGGTGTTCAATCAATGAGCCACCAGCAGGTCTGTTGTTCTGTCATGGGATGATTTCCTACTTCTTTATTACTCTGTGTCATATAAAAGCGTCAAGTGATAGTTAGTTCAATGTGGGATTGATTCCACCACTTCTGCATATCTAACGAGTGTTCAAAGTATCCATCGAGTATCCAGTCGTAGGCAGCCTTTCTACCCTACTCCAAAACTGAATCGCGGGATCCCCTCATGTTATGATGCTACCATATTCCAAGAATCTACTTCGAAGCAGTCAGCAAAGACCGTCCATGGGTCCCTGGCGTGAGACGTACGCCGATACCCCGAGTATCATCAGATTGGGAATGAGTTGGTCAACACGTTGACCTCGTCCATAGGGAAGGCATTCTCCCTGACATCGACGCCTCCCAGAGGAAAAGCGTTGGTCCGGACATCGATCTCCCCCACAGGGAAAGCGTTGCTTCGGACGTTGATGTCTCCCACGGGGAACACGTTGGTCCTGGCGTCGATCTCTCCAACTGGAAAGGCGTTACTTCGGATGTCAACCTCGCCCACCGGGAAGGCGTTGGTGCGAACGTCGACCTCACCGACGGGGAATGAGTTGGTCCTGACGTCCACTTCGCCCACGGGAAAGGCGTTGGTGCGGACGTCAATGTTGCGCCGCGCGTTGATCTCGATCCATTCTTCGGCAGGGGCAGCGGCGCCGGTGTCGACGCTGTTCTTCCAGGGCTGGGCTCGCTTGTCGTTGGCGGCCTGCTCGACAATACCTTTCGCGAAGGCTTCGTAGTGGTTGGCCATGTTGACTGTGGTGTTTTTGGGGCGAAGGTTTGAGTGTAGGCAGGAATGATAGAAAAAGGATGTGGTGATACTCAACTCGTCACTCTAAGAAAGTAGCATCCGTTTTATAGACCTTGTGGCACCATCTCTGTCTTTGGGGTCATGACTGCATACAGTCCCGTGATCGTGACTGATAAGCTTCCCCTCATCACATCACAGTTGAGCCGGGTCCTCGATCCCAAAGGACAATGCATACGATGATGCTTTTGTGGGATCCCTTGCGTGACCTTGGCCCTGCAACCTTCCTTCTCAATACACACCTTGTTATCTATGGACAAGTCATAGGCTCTCAGAATGCAAGAGCCTTCTGACATGCAGCCATGGTATAATCCTTTGGCTCCGTTTGGTCTAATGCACCGGTGCGGCACCAACAGCATCGAGCCCTGCAACATGACCTACCAATAGGGGAGGGCAATAGGGGATGGCTAGGACTATGGGCTTGGCCGATAAGCTATGTCATATCATCCTGTGCGGAGGGAAGGCCTACGCATCGATGTATCGAAGGATCATTGTGAGCAAGGTGGATTGGGGCCCCAAGCATGGACTTAGTCAAGTTAGAAGCAAGAGAAAGGCCCAAAAAGCTAACAGTATCATCGACCTCTGCACTGTGTTTTGCTTGGCTACTTCAACACTCCAAGTTTTTACGTTGATTATACCTCAAGACTCTTTGATATCGTGAAATCAAGCATTCTCATCAGCCTTTACATTAATATCCATCAACTTTATTGATGGCGGAGGCTGCATCTATCCGGTTCTTGAAATGGGACCCTATTTACGAGAAAGAACGCCCGTTCCAGATCTTCATGGATCTCCTGCCTGATGCCAAAGACCTGCGGAAGACCAACATTTCCTGGGATGAAGAGGTCATTGGCGTCCAAGACTTCAGAGACCAAGCCACAGACTTCCATCTCGATACCCACGGGTTCACGTCTCGCCGTCTCCCGGGCTTCACCGAACTTTCCGACAAGGACACAATCCAGGGGAAGTATATCCCCGAAATCAAGGCAATGCTCCAAAGAGAGCTAGGAGACGTCGGCACTGTGTTCGTCTTCGACTGGAGAGTAAGCCAACCACTGGCGGCCCTGAGTCCAATAGAGAGCTTACACAAGGTGTAGATCCGCAGCAGTCGCGACGAGACAACCACAGCGAAGATCAACTTCAGCGACCAAACGCAGCCGCTTCTGCCGAGTAACTACGCCCATATAGACGCCGGCCCGATGTCGGTGCTTCAACGCATCCAGAACAGCTTCCCAAATGATGCAGCTAGAATCCTTCGCCAGCGCATCAGAGCCGTGAAGTAACCTACTCTCCAAGTCCTGCATGATGAATCCTTCCGGCTAACAAGTGCATTTCCAGCGTGTGGAAACCGCTCTCGCATCCCGTCGAGGAATGGGCCCTCGCGGTCTGCGACGGCACGACGGTAAAGCCGGACGACCTCGTGGAGACCGACTCGATCCGCCAGGGCAGCATCAGTACGAACTACTACGTCAAGTACGACGAGGGCCAGAAGTGGTACTTCCTGAAGGATCAGAAGCCCGATGAGACGCTGCTATTCAAGCACTTCGACTCGGAGCCCGGGGTCGAGGCACCCTGTAAGTTACGTCGAGTCCTAGGTAGTTGCGGTCGTAGGGTGGTACCGAGAACTGACATGTGACTAGTCGCCCTGCACTCCAGTATCAGACACCACCATGTCGCCGAGAACGCGAGGCCAAGGAGGAGCATCGAGGTGCGCACGTTGATCTTTTCCGAGCGGTTCGAGGGTGTCGGAGGGTGCTGAAGTCAGGATGAACGGAGGGGTTGCATCTCAGGGTCACACTGCATTATCTCCTCACCCGCGAAGCAACAACTCCGGGCAGCCCTCTCCGAACTGGGCCAGATGGTCTGTCCATGTATGAAAATGAGCGCCAATCTAGTGTGGCTAGACCATTGTTCCCGGTTGCGGGAATTGTGTTTGATGTTGGTCACTCAAAAAAGGCCCTCGCATCTGGAGGGTTGGGGTGAACCAGACCACTGGATAGCGTACGAAAGGATTCGTTGAATAGTCATCGCACAGCATGATGTCTCAATATGTCCCTGTCAAGCTGCTTCCGTTCCACTTCGAAGCGAAGACCACATAACCCTTTTCAGCTCCGTCGTACCACCACACTGTGGTAATGCCGTCGAGGGCACAGCCCGTGACGGTTCGTAACCGAGCTTACACCCAGCTTGTTGGGTAGCAGCAGCAGTAATCAAACGACGATGCTAGGATGGTCACATACCCATTCACGCCACCGATCCCTTGCGTTCCGATGAACGCAAGTTACCCTATCAACCTCGTGCCACACGCCGCGTATGCTCCCTCCATGTAGTCGAAACAAGGTTGCAATAAACATGATCTGTTCTATCCCAGGCAGTACAACGTGGTAGGGCCAGACCCTTCGCAAAGCGTACCTCATCGCCTGCGGTATCAGTCAGCCCGTGGCGTGCGCCATCGCAACGGTGAAGCTGCAGCTAGAGGTTCGGACCGCCGCGCCACGCTCTATCGGACCTGCCATTGTCAGCTCTCTCGCAAGATCTCTTGGATTCATAGACTATGACTAGATGGTAGACAGAGGCTTCGGTCCCCCAATATATAGCGGACGACCCTCAACACTTGCTGCACGATACCGCCCAAGATCCTTCCATCAGTCAGCTGAGAATACCCGACCAACCGGAACGCGAAGCCGGGGCCCCTGGGTGACGGAAGGATTTTGCACCACCAACAGATGTGATCTCAATAGCCCCGACCAACCAGACGTCAGATCTAGCAATGTGATGAACGGCAGTCGGCGCTGGCCCTCTTTCCAGCCCCTGTCTGCGCGGTCGATTTGAAAAGTCCTACGCAGCAAGACAAGACACCCCAAGGCGCCTCTGCCGAGGTGGGATTTGGTGTGTCGTCTATGTCATCGTATAGGACGAGAAGGGTGGAAGTCATTCAGGTGCCCTGTTTGCTACCGAACAGGGTGTTCGAGATAAGCACCACCAGAGTGCACACAGGCTGGGTGACTCCACTAACCCGCCTCATGGTGTCTCGGTTCTCCTATTTTCGTGTGCTACCACGCAACTGTAAGGGATAGTGTAGCAGCGGTAGGAGGTGCGATCTGCACCCAGCTGAACTGAACTGTTGGTGGTCCGCCGTCCCGATTTGACTCGTCACAGCAGCCAGCCGCACGCACGGTTGTGAATATTACGACACGGCCAACAGGCAAACAGTCATCATCGGTAGTGGTACGAAGCACCAACAGACGAAAATAACATCAAGACTCCACTCTCGTACCAACCGACGTTGAATCAGTGAGACCTGGACATGACTACATACTTTGTGCAATGTCACCCTATTCAGGGCCCCCGAGCTCAGCCCCAGACTGGCTTCACGACTGCGAGACCATGTCTTCCCCTCGCTACCTGCCTACCTAACTCCCACCCCAAATTCATACCAAAGCCATATTCCACACGTAGAAGGAGCTTGAACCTCATCATTCAGTATCTCTCCAACCAGCCCGGTCGGCGCGTCAGTGGCTACCAATTCGAGCGTTGGGAACAATCTAGATTCAGGTCCTTCAGATCCCACACCCTGCTGCACGATCAACGAGTTCGACTCCAGACCAAGTCCCGCGCCCGGAGCTATGGAGACGACACCGGCAGAGCTCAAGGCCGCGGCCACCGCCGACAGCAAGCGCGCTACGGGATCCACAACGACCTCAGACTCGGAAGACGAGAGAGCGCACAGGCAGGCCAAGGAGGTAAGTTCGAAGCCATCTCCAACCTCATCCTTCCTCAAAAACACACCAGCACAGCATGAATAAACAAGAAACTGACCAAACGACCCCAGACCGACCTCCCAAATGCCCACACACGCCCAAAAGACTGGCCCCGCCGCAAAAAATGGACCGCCACCCTCCTCCTCAGCGCCTTCGCCTTCCTGCAACCGCTCTCTGAGACGATGCTCGCGCCCACTCAAATCTCCATCTCCACCTCCCTCTCCATCTCCTCCCCATGGCAATGGCTGCTAGTAAACTCCCTAATCCTAATCGGCGTCGGTCTCGGCCCCCTCCTCCTCGCGCCCCTATCCGAGATCTACGGCCGCAAGCCCGTCTTGCTCGGTGGCAGTCTGGTATTCGTGGTGTGGAACACGGCGTGCGGTTTGAGTAAAAGTCTGGGCCAGCTGCTGGCTTTTCGGCTGTTGAGCGGGTTCGGGGCGTGTGTCGCTGATGCGCTGGCGGGCGGGCTGATGGGTGACTTGTGGCGCGCTGACGAGCGCGGGAGGGCGTTTGCAGTGTTCATGGCTGCGCCGCTGCTGGGGCCTGCGCTGGGGCCGATCTGCGGCGCGTATATATCCGAGGGCACGGGGGACTGGCGCTGGGTGTTTTGGATCACTTCTGCGGCTTCGGGGGCGGTGATTTTACTCGCTGCGGTTTTTCTGCGCGAGACTTATGAGCCGCGGTTGGTGTTGCTGGCGGCGAGGAAGGAGGAGCGGAGGAGGCGGGCGGCTGATTCTGGATCTGGAGCTGGAAGCATCGTTGAAGAGGGAAAGGAAACGGGAGAGGAGAAGACACCCCCATCACCAACTGACCTCAAGACCCCCTTCCTGTCCCTAATGCGCACGAACCTGCAGCGCCCCTTCCGCATGCTCGGCACACAGGTAATCGTGCAGCTGCTAGCGACCTACATGGCGCTCCTCTACGGCACAATGTTCCTCTTTCTGTTCATGTACCCGCGGATGTGGGCCGAGCAATACAGCCAAGGCGTGCGCACCGGCTCCTTAAACTACATCTCGTTCGCCATCGGCCTAATCGCAGGTGTCAATGTGGCGGGCCACCTCAGCGACAGGGTCTACGCGCGTCTCAAGGCGCGTAATGGCGGTGATGGCGGTGATGGCAAGGGCCGCCCCGAGTTCCGCGTCCCGACCATGGTCATCGGCACCGCCCTCGTGCCCGTCGGCCTGCTGTGGTGGGGGTGGTCCGGCCAGCCGCGCCTGCACTGGATCATGCCGAATATCGGCAGCCTGATCTTCGCGGCGGGCGTGTACGTCTGCTCGGGCTGCGTGTCCGTGTACACCATTGACACGTACGGGCGGTACGCGGCGTCAGCCATCTCGACGAACTTAGTTCTGCGCAGCCTAACGGCCGCCTTCTTCCCGCTATTCGCGCCCTACATGTTCGACAGCCTGGGCTTTGGCCTCGGGGCCACGGCGCTGGCAGGCGGGTTTGCCGTCTTTGGCACCGTCGTCGTGGCGGTCTTGTGGTTCTATGGCGAGAGGCTTCGGGGGCGGAGTACTTATTGCGCGGCTGGTAGCGAGGACGACTGATAAAATTTGAGTTAGGCGGATGCCAGGCCGCGAGGAGTGCTGTCATTGTGTTCATAGGCGGGTCAATAAGTGATACCTTTAGACGTTGATCGCCAGATAGGATAAAGCTCGCGAATCAATGAGCGAACAACGTCCAACTCTGTCGCAAAGTAGTAGTTCAGGGCTCCCTTGAGGCTTGAGACATACCATTTTGGCTCCCTGGCAGCTTGAGACATCAGATCACTGCTCTCCATATATGGTGACCACAGCAGGTCATCTAGCCAGGTCACACTTGCACCAACACATCACTGTTCGTCTCTTTGCCTTTCGTGGCGAGTGAGTGAATCATTGTATCGGTCACACCGATACCTCATCCTCATGACAGCCCCGCTTGTCTATCCCACCATTGGACGGACGTTCAACATGACACAGCATGAAGATAGAAGCAGGTACCGAAGCATGTGGTCGCGTTCTGCCGCCGGCGATGACGACGCCGTGACGACGCCTACCCCTTGCAATGTCGCCCGGGTGTGGAGCCCCCACAATCCCGCCCTGCGACTCTGTGACAGACCAGGCTTCTCATGTGTGGTTATCATAAATGGTTGCGAGCTGCCTCCATCCTCTCCTCGGTGATGCTTGCTTATGTTATATACAATTCTCTACTCTAACATGGTATCTCCCACTCACAGTCAAACACCAAACGCCGCTATTGGCCGCTTGAAGGGATGCGCCTCCGTATTCAGTACCCACTCGTCCAGGCTGATGAGACTCGGGTCCGAGTACCTGCGAGGGAAATTGTCAACTTCGCTGTCACCAAGAGAGCAACATCCCGCCTCGCACGAGTGTCACACGGGGACGTTGGGTGTGACAACTTACAGCAAGTAGAAGTACTTCAGCGTCTCGGCCGTCCAGAAACTCTCCATCTCGTTTTTCTTATCGGAATTCGTAATCAGGACGTTCTCAATCGCGCTGTTTCCCACTTCTGTCGACGTCTGGCTGGCGATGGCGGTGAACATCTTCCACCCCTTTTCTTGCCAGTACTTGTCACCGGTGATGCGGTACATGTACCAGACAGATTCGATCGCTTCGGGTCTGACACCAGGCATTAGTCATGTTTACCGATATCTGCACCGGCAGATTACCAACGAGGCGGGACGCATGCTGCAGTATAAGAAACAAAGACGCAGGCGGTCGACTTACCGTAATATGTAACTCTTGGAGTTCACATCGACAAAACCTGGAGGCAGCTTTTCGTTCTTGATCCTCCTTGCCACATACTCCTCATGCGAAAGCGGGCGCGCAGGGTCTTCGGCTTCGTCCTCCTCTGCTTCACGAAGGGGCACCTGGCTACCGCCCAAACCGGTCAGGCTGGGGGCCGGGTCACTGTCGTCATCCAAGTCAAAAGCTGCTTTCAGCAAATCTGCCTTCACTCGTTTCCCGGCCACGGTGTCGCTTCCGGCAGCGTCGTCTCTTAATGTTTCGATCTTCGAGGTAGGTGCTCTTCTCTGGACTCCGGGTGACTTGCGCTGACCATGACCACCCTTCGGAACCGGTTCTCCAGCACTACCCGATTCCTCGTCGTCCAGACTAGCCTTGCGCAATTCTTCTGCCTCGTCGTCCGTATGGCTCCCTGCCTTCGTGACCTTCGCTTCGGCCGCCTGACGCACAAGATTTTCCCGTTCTTCTTGAGCCTTTTGTTTTTTGAGCTCTGCCTTGTGTTTCTTATAGTCTTCGATTTGAGCAGCACGCGTGTCGAACAACGGGTCCAGCCACTCCTCATACATGGTCTGATTCCAATGGCAGTCGTCGGGGTCGGCACATGGCACCACGTGCGCAATCTCGGGCATGATGCCACTTGGCGTGTTCTCGTACGCCCATACACAGCCATCAGTGAGCTTCCTGCCGATCTCCACGTCGGCGGGGACGTCAAAAATCTTCCCACCCAAGCCGAACATGCCGCCAAGGAAGCAAGTGAGGTGCGTAACCTCGAATTCGCTACGAGCGTCCGTCGCGGGCTCTCCCTTTGTCGTGATCTTAGCCGAGAAAAGGATATCGCGATCGTCGGGTACCATCGGTCGGTAGAGCAGCCATTTCTTGACTGCCTCAGCTGTCTTGAGGTGCAAGGTCTTGTATTTGGGCTCGAGGCCACCGAGAAGAAGCCATTGCTTTGGCCAGTATTCATATGTACTATCCTGGGAGCCACCCATGCCATATTGTTCGGACCAGCCAGCAGGAGACAGCCCCTGCGAGACACACTCCGGTAGAGGCTTTTGCTTCTGCTCCTCCCCGAGAGTGGGACTCTCGACGGCAGCCTCAGCGGTGCGATTGCAGCCACTTGCGTCGACGTGCTCAGGGAAGATGCCCGTGATCGACGTCCCTCTCTCTTGCCACTCGAAGAAGGCATCGGTGATGCGCGCGACTGCGTCATAGTACTTGTTCTCTAGTGTTATCTGCGCAAGTCGCGTGAATTCCATGGCGAGCGACCCGAGCTCAGCAACACCGACGTTAGCTCCGGCTCGCTTGGATTGCGACGCGAGCGCAGGTTTCCAGTTGTAATACAGGATAGGCATACGATTTGGCGTGTCGAATACCCCCATCAGGATCTCGGCAAGCTCGATGGCCTTCTCCATGAGAATATCATAACCACCGGCCTTGCCACCACTGACATCGTATGCAGCTACCAGCCCGCCCAGGTATCGGATCGTGGTCTCGAAGACGGGTATTTCGGAGCGGTTAGACACGGTGAAATCAATCTTCTCGACCTCAAGCAGCGCCTCTTCAAACTCGTCCTTCATGTCCATGATCCACAGCGTATCGAGCGAATCAACTAGAGTTGCTGCCCATCCACAGAACGGATCTCGGAACTTCTTGGTTACGGGACTCAACTCGTCGTGGCCGCGTGCGTATGTCATGTACCCGGACCAGCTACGTCGCATCGCGGCCTTGACGGTTTCCTTGCGCTCCTCTCGCGCCATCCGGTCTGTGGCCGCCTCTTTCTCGAACTTGTATTGCACAGCAGGGATCGGGTTGGGTTTGCCCGTCGGCAACGGAATAAAATCATTCTCGGCGAGAGGGAAATTCTCGGGCATCTTCTGCCAATGGATAGGGGTGGTCGTGGTGGTTTGGACGTTCTTGTGTGGAATGTCGAGCAAGGTGGTCGTGATAGGGAGGTCGAAATCGTCCACGGTGACTTCGGTGGGTTTCAGATCGGGGATCTTCACTGCACTCTCGTCTTCGCCAACGTTTTCGAATATATGTTGGGGGAGATCATCGTTTTCGTAGGGGAAGGTCGTGCCACTCTTCGCGGGCGCTCCCGCTTTATCGGTTACACGGTATGCGTGCTCGGGGTGTGACTTCGGCAAGGCGCCGGTGTACGGGAGGGATCCAGACACGGCCTCCCATTGTTCGGTATTCTTGGTGACGCGATACAAGACGAACACAATAGCTGCAGCAGACAGGAGAAAGACCCTGTATCGCCTCAGTCGTAGCATAGCGCTGGTCGTCGACCCTCGAGGGGGATATCGACGCTCTCGTCGCGAGGGTGAAGAGCACGCGCACGTCGGTAGCGGGCGGCTGTGTATTGAACCTCGCGAGAGGGTAATGCAGTGGTTGAAGTCTAGCGGAAGATTGATTCTATCATCTTTCCAACAGCAGCGTGGGAAAAGAGTCTGCAGATGCCTGGTCGCGTGGACACCATTCACCGTGGTCCGAGGGGCACAAAGAGCAGGATGGGCACGAGATAGCTGAGTTGGGTATATACCTACGAAGTGAGCAATGAACCTGATGGACAATCCGAAAGCGCGCGATGGGCAAATATAACAGTTACGAAGGGAATGGAATCAGCTCCTACGGAGGTGCTGGAAGCAGTAGCAGGCGAGTGAAGGCTCATACGAAGGAAGGGACAGTGGTGTTGACGACCTCGAGAGTGGAGGAGATGGAGGAAAGCATGGAAGTTCCAGTTTCAACCTTGAACCAGCTGCTCATCCAGTCTCTTGGCAAACAACGTACATACTGAACAGTGTGGTGGCACTCCCGGTTGCGGCACACCTGGAGGCACAGTTGGAGCTACCATCCATAAGGAATACGGCTGAGAAATACCCATCCTGCCATCCATGGATGGTCAATGGATATCCGCGGGCCCTGGTCCTAGTAGTCTTGGCAGCCGCCGTCCATTGGGCTCTCTCGAGTAATGAGGGCGCACGTACTCTTGGCGGTTGTCTCGTAATAAGGGACATCAGACAGCTAACCTCCATGTACACGATGCTCAATATGCTGTGACATTGTGGCATTGTGGCATCCATTGGAGGTAGGTAGCATTGCGGGCTGACGAGTTGAAACCGAATGGAGCCAGAGTTCCAGGTTTCTGGGAGTGGAAGGAGTGAAGACGGCCAAAAGGAGGGGTTGTTGTTGTTGCCAAGCTGCTCGGTCGGGATCCGGTGGCATGGCGGTTGTACGTTCCTTTCCTTAGTAACCTGTTCGGCGGCAGAAAATCAAATGAAGATTACGGTTTGTGCTATCCCGGTAAGAATTGTTCTAAATTATGTATGATTTTAATGGCTGGCTTATTGTCTAAAAATAGTAAGAAGAATAATTAATATTTACAAGTATTTTAATTTGTTACTAAAAGATATTGAAAATGTTGCTGATTTTAATATCATATTAAAATAAGGTATTATCAATGTTAGAACAGGCTTGAACGATCAATCATAATACTCGAGTATGGGGTCAAGGTCATGATGTTGCTGATGGGTGGATTGAGAGGAATCTAGCTGGACTCGAAGGTCTGGCCAAGTGCCCTCTCAATCCACTATCTTATCTTATCTAATCATACATGTGGGTCCTGGTATAGATGGTTTGCAGCCTGGAATCGCATGGATCCAACAATCAAGGTTATTATTAAGGTATTTCTGTAGCGATCTTTTTAATTAATTAGATTTAAAGGATTTGTCGTAAATTAAAGGATGGTGATTTCTTATTTTTAATTTAAATTATAAATAGAAAGTAAATGAAAAAAATTATTAAAAGCGTTAAATTTATATAAAATTAGTTGATAATTATTTTGTGGTATTTTTTAATAAAGTTATTTCTAATTTAATAGTTAAATCGTTAAGTCGTTTTACTTTTTTAGTTATTAGTTTCGAGTTTATTTTCTTTTTATTACCGATTTTAGAGTGATATTTTTCCTTATTAATAATATTTGTTTGATTTAGTTTTTTGGCATACGTTTAATTATTCTTAATATAGTTAAATAAGGACGTGATTTTTAGATTGTAAGAAGTTAAATAAGTATTTAAAGCTGTTTATTTTTGTTTAATAGATTTTTATTTCATAATTTCAGTAGTTTAAGAAGGTAAAAAAAAGCTATAAGAATAAATTTAATAATAAGGAGATTTTTAAGTGGTTTACTAATCTGGGTATTTTTTTAATTTAATTTTATGGAATTATTTAACTGATATTATATATTAATAACTAGGTTTAAAAAACGCGGTTTTTAAGATGAGATAGATTTTATTTTAATATATTATAATAAGAAACTAATAACTAATTAGATTCTTAATAAGTTCGGTTAATTAAAATATTTAATTATTATTTAACTACATATATAAAAATAAAATATCCTTGATTAAGACTACAAGTTATAAATAATAACTAAGAATAAAAAAGTTATCAAGAAAAATTCTATGTGTGACGGTGTATTATCGCATATTTTATAAAGTTTACTTAAGCTTAAATATTTATATAATTAAAGGATATTGACACACGTCACCAGGGGGAGCCCACTGTAAGTGGGTGCCCTAGCCAATCAGAGTGCGGCTAGATAGTTAAGATAAGGAGAGACTCCCACCATATATAGTGGCAGCCCTCACTATCTAGCTAGACAACCAACCCACGCACAACAACATATTTGACCCCAATACTCGCTCACTTCAGATACTTACTAGTTATAATAGGTTAAAACCTTTGAAAACGGTATATACTAAATAATAAATTTTAGCAGTTTATTTAATATTTATGAAGTTAATTTTAATATTATAAATAATATTAAAATGTACGTTATTAACAAATACAACGACGACAACTCAACATTTTTAAATAAATAAAATAGGTTTCAAATAAATAAAATTAGATAATAAAAAGATTCATAATCATAAAAATGAAAAGGTTCATACTTTATACGTTATCTTATTTTATTTAAGTTCAAAGTAGATATATTTATAATAGTATAATAGTAAAACTTTTATTTTCTAAATATATAAGCGCGTATTTAACATTTAATGTAAAGTTTCCATATTTAAGTTAATGAAATATTCAGCTTATAAAGACGTTGATTAATTTAAGTATTGAGTTATATTTAATAATTTTTCAAAATCATGAGCTAGTATATATAGTAATATTATTGATAAAGATTGGTTTTTTTAACCATTTATATTTATATTTAATTTTTAATATAAATTCTTTATACACTTGAACGGTAAAGCATAACTAGTTAAATTAATAAGATATTAACTTTTTAATATTGTTAGTATTTATATTGTTATATTATTATTATTTGCGACGTATTTTATATACGATTTCATATTTTTTATGTTTTTTTTTACCTGTTGCCGGATGTGGTAATAGGTCTGGTGTGTGGTTTGACGTGGTCCGTGCGTTTCAATGGGGTGTGTGACAGCAATTGAGTGTTGTGTGACAAACAAACAGCCACTTGTCTGTGTGACAGTTGGTCAGGGCTCTAGGCCACCTATTCAGATAGCGATTCGTCCCTTCTTAACCACCATTAAGTTATTTGACATGGCAGTTGGGAGATTGATAAAAGTGTCCCGCTCGCTTGTGATCTATGTTAACTTTTTTAATAATTACCTTACTAAGATAACCTTTACTAGCCTTTAAAATGGAACTTTTTTTTAGAATATGCTTATTAAGACGAACTTTTATAGCATTTATAGCTATTATAACCGTAAATAAAGCTAGTATTAGTAACGTTACTAATGTATCAATATAACAATTATACGAATTAAAAAACACCGAATTAATTAAAAATTATGACACTAATGTATAAAGAAATAATTAATTGTTTTTGTTATTATATAAATAGTAATACTAAACCTGAATACATAAGTAAAATACTTTAATACTTTAATAATTTATCCCTATAAAATTTTTCAATATAGCAAATTATGTATAATGCTTGAAAAAGCTAATCAATTTAAAATAAAATGCTAATAAAATTATATACTTATATGGATGAAAAAATAGTTGTTTTTTACATATTACTATTTAAAGCACCTCTTTTTGTATAAGTACCAAAAGCTTTTAAATAATAATAATACTATTTATTAAACTTTTTATAAAGTTTTCAACGCTTTTGTACTATTAATGAAATCGAATATTAAGCTTATATAAAATAGTACGTACTTAAAAATCGTTGAAAAACTTAAATACAATCCGTTTGTAATTAATATACTTGCCCGATTGATAATTTACATTTTAAAATTAAAATCAACGGCGATAAAAAGCAACAAGATAATAAAAGGGTTCCTTTATTAATAAATATGTAAATTATACATAATTTAAACAAAAAGTTTGTACACATATTAATAAAATAAAATAAAAATAAAAATAAAAATCGGATATTTAGTGAATCGACTAATAAGGAATACCTTATTATTTTTAAATACACGTTCTTTTTAAAAAACGCCAAATTTGGAGGAAAAAATTTTTATGCCGTATTAAAATAGGTTGAACTATTTTTAAAGAAATGGTCGACTAAAATTACAACTGATAAATAAAAATAACTATTTAACTTACGGCATATTTAATTACATAACGTAATCGGGTAAAAGAGACAAAATCAACTTTTATATTTTAAAAACAAATGTAACGTAGCTGACAAGCGAGTTGGCACTCGTCATAAACTTTCTAATTGTCATATGGAAGAACTTCACCACAACCCATTCAATTTAATACAATCAATTGGATTCCTCTTCTTCAGACATTTCTATCTCTATTATATAAGTTTGCGCATTATGGCCAGTGTTGCCACAAATGCCACACTGTCGTTCATGCGCTGCCGTCCTCTTTGGATAATGACTACTTTCACTCATTTCCTGTCTTGTCAGCTCAGTATTGTTATTTATAGCCTGAAGACCTATTATATTTTTAATAGAAAGTATTTCTCTTTTTATCAGACATTTATTTTTTATTTTCTAGCATTTATTTAGTAAGTGATTGGCCTCCTCTAGCTCTCGGACCTAGGAATCAACTACAGCAACCTTATGCATAAGACCCTATGTAGCCTTTGAAAACGAGCTTAATGCATCAATTATTGATATAAGTGAACTTTCTTAGTGGTTTTCTGACTTAATTTTAGATATAAACCAATTGGTTTACCGCTTTGTTAATAGTAATGGGTGTCTTAAAAGTCCAAGTAGTAGGTGGCAGATTGGGGTCTGGCGACGGTGTTTGTATGACAACGACAACATCCAGCTTTAAAATGAGACTTTCTGGGTCAAAAAGAACAATGCCAGTGGCACTGAAATCTGTTCAGATATTTCCTGGCGTCATAGCAGCGTTATGTACTTCACAAAACGCTGTAAGGAAGTCCTCCTTTGAAACATGGGTTATATGACGCCGGATGAGATCCTCAATCATGCGGCTATAAGCTTGTTTAAGTGGGCTCAAACAACTAACATTTAAAGACTAGAGTCTGTGTGATGAATGGACAGGCATATAAAGAGTAATAATGCTATTATTCCAACAATAATTCTTAAAGACCTAAGAATAGTGGCTTTCATGACCATCTAGGATAATAAGGCGTTTACCAGCGGTCATACGCGGTCTGTTATACTTGTCAAAATGCTGAATCCATTTCAAACTGATCTCATTTGTAGTCTAATAATTGTCAGACATGACCACCTTCCAATTGCATGGTAATGTTGTATCGCAATACCATGATGCGAGGTGGGTTTTGCCCTGTAGAATGATGAATGGCAGGACTACCCAACCATCAGCATTGATAGCAAAGATTGCTGTAGACCATTCTCTGTTGCCTTGCTGAGCATGTCTAGGCTGGCCACTTTTTTCGGTGCTTGTGATGGCCATGCCAGACCCAATAATGCCCATCATAAACCCAGTCTCATCAAAGTTGTAAATGTCCGCGTCTTGGATACCATGTTTTGCAATTGCTGCTGCAACTTGGCAAAACCATGCGCAATACACGTCCGGATCTTTATTTAAGAACCTTGAGTAATCTATCCTGCGATGAAAACGCGTCTGGAGGCCTGGTGTATGTTTAATGAAGTTGTGCGTCCAGTTCTTTCTGATGCATCCAGCTCCACGTGCCGCTAATAATTAATTTGCCATATCTTCAACATAAGTGTACCAGGGTAGAGATGCTCGCACATCCAGGTTGAGTATGAAAGAGCAAATGGCATTCTCTTCAGAAACCGTAAATTTCAAAGAATTAGGCATGCTATTGTGTCATGATAGTCGGCCAACGATTCTTTGAGCCAGTGAAGAGATTGGTAGGTAGAAAGTTTCAGCAAACTTTCAAACAGAAACATGAGGGTCTCATTTTTTAACTTAGACAGCTAGCTGCATGTCTGAATTATTATAACGCGGTGCCATTGTTGTGAGTGGAGGAATACTGGTTAGAAGTTAAAAGTTTAAGAAGTTCATAAAAGTGTCCCACTCGCTTGTGTGTCTCGCTCGCTTCTGATCTACGTTGATTACCTTATTAGATAAAAAGCCGATACTTCAACGGGAATTATAGCTAATAATTAGCTAGGAATAATGGGTCAAAGGTAAGAAAATTGGCGGTAATTATGGTATAATAATTTTGCTGACTGCCTTGAACGGATAGGTTTTGATTCTGATTAGGCCCTATAAGTTGTCATCAAATTGTGGCCCCAAGTAGATTCTGGACGCTACTACCTGTGTGCTAATATAGTCGGGTGTTATGTCGCGGGGCGGAATAGAGAGATTTAGAGAAGGAAGAAGAGGACCAGGTTACGAGAGCGAAAAATAGGAATGAAGGACGGCGTCTCTGATCCCGCTCCTTTAAGAATTGGAATATTATAATGCTGCCTCCCCGGGCCAGGTGTGGGGCTAGATATGGGGCCTGGTGCATCTGCAGTTTAATTTATTTAATTGGGCATCTATCTCGCACTGGCCAGTGGGAAATCAAGCCACCACTGGGCGATCTAGACCACAACTCCCCTTGTCAGATCTATCACTTGCGGCCCCTGTCTTCTGCCCCGGTCCTTCGCTGTCGATAGTTGTCAGATTTGAGCCAATCGTCAGAGTGAAGTGTGTGTGTGCGTATTCCCTCTGTCTAGAGTGTCCTTGTGCGACCGTGGCAGTTTTGTGCCAGAGGGGGCTGGATCGGGACGGAACAACTAGTTTCCGTTGTTTACCTGTCAAGGTGCCTTCTAGGCGTACCTTTAATCCAACAATAGTGCTCTCCCGCGTTCTCATCCAACCACCGCAATCGCCTCGGTGCTTGCCCTGGGATTCCGGCATTCCTAACGAGTACCCCTAGGTTGTGAATTGTCCGTTGTTGAAACATCAGGGTCCACGAAAGGTGCTCGTGTGGGGTTTTGTGCCTGATCTTGGCTAGATCTTGGTACCCTGATCTGTCGCAGCCTTCGCGAAGCGGAAGAGGAGAATAGCCGACGCGCGTCGATCCAATGGCAACACCTACAGCGACGGTGTTCCACCCTGTCCGAACATTCCAGACTTTCAACCGTCAGGGTCGTGTCGTCCACTGAAGATAGCTTTGCTTCACGGCTGAAATTTGTAGGCCCTTCTGGTCACAGCTACCCCTCCACTCCCCCACGACGGACGAGGTGGTCACGGTGAACGTCAAGGTTGATCACAGCGACTACATACAGCAATGGCCAGCCTCCTATTCTGGACGAGGGAGGATAGCTCAGCCATTGGCCTCGCACATGACCTCTTTCACTGACACCGCCAGCTGTCCTGACATGGTAGGCTCAGGTCCCAGGCACGAACTCGTCCCCTGCAGCAAGGGGCCAAGCAGGCCATTGCAGCTGCCGGCAAGTGAGTGATTCGAGGACATGCCAGCCTTTCGCGACAGTCCGGGCTGCTATCTGACCTCTGGGAGCAAGCGTACCTTTCCCGAGTGGCCCTGGCATACGCCACGTGTGGTGCCATCGCAGCGTCAGCTATCGGTTCAGCGGCCTAGACCGCCGCCCAGCTTGGGTTCGTTGGGGATCCTGCATGTGCGAGACCGCTCCCCGGATCCATCCGGCCACGATAGACATGTGGAGCCACGTCGTAGGGGACGGTACCTTACGGTATATGCACAGGGACAAAACCCTTGGAGGACCCTGACCCGGCTGCCAACAGTTCAACTTCCCCTCGGTCTCGTGCTTCCACCTTCGTCATTGTATCACTATACTGTCTTCTTGTCCTACAACCGAGCGGGCAATCAACTGTTTCTACCTTCCATTGCAACGTCTCGACGGATCTCAGTAAAGCATAGACCTACCCAGTACTCCTGCGAGAGGGTTATATGTATGCCGCTTGGTGCTGACACGATACTCCGGGTGATGGCAAGTGGGCTGCTTTAGTCACCGAACCCCAACCACACCTCTTCCAGGCTTTGATTATCTGATATCGCCCGAACGACGACCAAGATACACCGGAACATCTCAGTCTATACGATATAGAGCTTCTCTGTATACCATAATAGCAATCACCGTTCTATTGCAGCTATAAACTCTGCGAGAGTAATCACCGCAATGAACAGCATCACAAGCGTCGGTCCATCACGACCCAGGAGCATTCTGAAGAAGCGCAGCTCCGTCGGCCTAGACGTCCGAACCCGGTCACCATCACCCTCATCACCGCCGTCTTCACCGTCTTCGATAGCCCGAAAGAGCGCCGCTTTCGACGAGGTGGCCCGAGACATCATGACCGGTGCCGAGGTACCGCAGAGCCCCATGTCCGGGCGCGAGTACCGTGCTTGGCATAAGGGGTACCGTCAGGCAGTCGGCAAGGCCCTTCTCCTCGCCCGGATTGAGGGCATGTACGAAGAAGTGGTGCGTCGGGTCGATGTGAGGGAGGAATCTTGAGTTGTCGAGTACGAGGATCATACGATACCACGAATGGGTTCCTCGAATCCGGCGTCGCATCTGAGAATGCATTGGATTCGAATTAAACTGAATTGGCGCATATGCGACGTGATCGCATCTGGACGGGAGGGTGCACGGGACGGCAGGCGGTATTTGGAAAGACTGTTTGGGTCCGATTCTGTCCACATTGCTTAGCAAGCTGTGGCGAATGAGCGCGCCACCACGAAATTACGAAGTCATGAATATGTACTTATAAAGATTGTGGCCCGAGGTATTAATGTAATACTACATCGAGCAAGCACAAACTGGACCGCGTGTCCATGGCGTTTCAATGAAACCCATCATCCGCAAATCGACACGCTCTGGAGAAGCACGGAGTCTAACAGATTACACCGACAGCAGACGTGGATAATTGTCCCTGCGTCCACGGATAGCTGTGTGGATAGATCTCACCTCGAGGGAGCACGCACTGCGCGTAGGTCGACCCAGTCCCACCTCGCATCCTGTCCATGTCAGCTTGCCACCATTTCACGATCACACATAAGTCATGCCGACACAGATGGAATTGACCATATCAAGGACCGAATGACCGCCCAGAGGGAAATTCAATATTCCTCTCTTACCCATCACAGACCATGTGTCCATGCTCTCCTTTAAGCTGCTCTTCCGCATATGCTCTCATAATGCATGGGGAACTCTGCCTGATTTCGTCCGTTGCCTTTATCGTCTCTAGCATGCTACACTCTGTTTGCCCGAATACTCTCTCTAGGTATACATGCCTACATCAGATCGTGGGTTCTGAACTCGAAGGATATGGGATAAGTGGTTTTTGTAAGCAACAGCTCTATTCTCCATGACAGCACATTGGCTAAAACGAGTCTCAGTGCGGCTGACGGGGTCCATCAAGACAAGGACTGTTTCAACGGGTTTGACCTATAAGTTACTTTACAGATTTCGGACTCCAAGAGGTCATTCCTGAACTCAGCCAGTTGAGTCGTTCAGTAGAACTGGTCTGAGAGCAGCTATTTAGTCAGCAGTCCACCCACTGCCTTGTTTCTATGGGACTAACATGGCAACCCCCTCAACGTGAAACGGCTATAGATAGTTCTAGACCTTAAACAATCCGCACGAGGTTGGATTCTTCGCGTGAAGTTTCCATTGGGACGGGCAGGGTCGTGAGGGTGTCCCTGATCCATGACGCACGATGACGATCGCCGAATACCCGGCAGGGATTATCGCGACACAACAGGTTTGCTGCCAGCCCTGCGTGCCTGCATCCTGCCACACCATACACACCCGAGGCTGCGGTCACAGCGTATGTACAAGAGCTGCCCACGGACTCCGCATCGGCGGCCCATTCGACATTTGAAAACGTCGCTGAACCTTAAACACCGACCAGCTGTGATAAGAGTCGCCGGCGCCCGAGAGCTTCCCTTAACTAGAAGATCATCTCCATTCCTCCCACAACTCGCCTCATCAACCCTGTGGCGGTGCGACTAAGTTACCGTACGACAGAAGAAGAAATGCCTCCGAAAGCTGAAGCCGCGCCGGAGGTGAAAGTGAGCCTTGCAACGCCGGACGACATCTCGCAGCTCATCGAGCTCTTCTGGGCTACCTACAAGGGTCCGGGCGAGAGCATATTCCCGCACACGGACAACGGGCGCAAGTGGCTGGAGCGGAGCTTCCAGAACTTCATGAGCAATTCCTTCTACCGGCCGCAAACCAAGATTCCCGTCGTCAGGAATCCCAATGGTATGAAATCCCATCCTATACAGACCGGTACAGGGTTTTAGATGACGCCGCGACTCTAACAAGCAGGCAGGGAGACCCGTGTCCATGGCTATCGTCCACACCGTCAAGCCCGGCCAGAGCGTCGTCGGCAAGTCGTGGAAGACGCGCTGGTCGCGCTGCGACGACCTGCCGGACATGAGCGAGGAGAAGCTGGCGGGTTTCTTCGAGCCGTCGGCCAAGGCTCACCATCTCGTCGTCGGCGGCAAGGAGGGCCACGTCTGTATGCGTCGCATTGAGCCCCAACGTTACTGAGCACACTACAGACACTGACAACAGGACAGTCATCGAGCTTCTCACAACCAAGTACGCGTATCGCCGCAAGGGCTACGCCACGGCGCTACTGCAGTGGGCGACGGAGCACGCCGACGAATTGGGCTACCCGTGTTATCTGGATGGCGGCGGACGCGGCATGCATATCTGCGAGATGTGCGGGTTCAAGGCGCAGGATGTTGAGCGCCGGTATGGGGGCACGCCGCCTTGCGTGCCGATGCTGCGTCCGAAGAAGGATTCCTGAGGATGGGGGTTTTGAAGGGTTTTGGCTAGCGGAGTTTGGGCAATCTGGATAAAGGGGACAATGCGGCGAGGAGGCGTGGGAACGGGTCAAGCATGGACTATGCTTGGGCTTTGATGGCGTTGGAGGGCACTTCTCTGGTGGGTGGAGTGTGGACGAGACGATTCTTCGGCAGCGCGCGTGTGGTATAACGGCGGGGGCCCCCAAGTGGGACACTTTTCACACCCAACATCACAATGTTCACTTATACACATCTTTATCGGCAATAAAGCCCTAGATACCGCAAGTACGGCAATAGAATCGTCTTTTCTTAGTGTTTCTTTCAAGTAGATTTTATTAGGTCTGTGGCTGCGGGATGGCCCGTGGTGGGGGTCGGAAGTTAGCACTTCCGGGCCTAATCTGAGGGGTAATAAGACCCGTGCCCCCTATTACCTTCTATCCAATAGAAGTCTTGCTATTTCTTTTTCTTTTTCTGTAAGTAATAACGGCTTTGGTACGACAAAATGCCTCCTTTGTACATTAAAAAAGACCTCATAGAGGCAATAGCCGCTGCAAATGATGGCCTATCTCTCTGCAAGGCCTATCATTGTTGGGGAGTACCCAAATCGACTCTCTCACAAGGTAGACAGCATCATAATGCACCCAACTGGCACAGTGCAAGAAGGGCATTCTCATGCTCAGAAGTTAAGCCCTCCTCAAGAAAAGAAGGTGATTGTCATGGATTCCGCATCAAAAAAATGCCGGCCATGTGCCAACCCACGGCAACGTCAAGTTTATCATCCGCCAGATCCTAAAATTTGAGAGAAAATCAGATCATTTAGGGAGCCATTACATGCGAAACTTCATCTGCCAGCACCAGGAGATTAAGACCAAGATGGGCCGAAAGCTTGACTACAAGCGTATCAACGCTGCCACGCCTGAAAATGTGAATACGTTCCATAATCTCTATGAGGAGTTCGCTTTCATCAAACCCAAGAACCAGGCAAATATCGATAAATACGGCATTATACAAGGCCAGCAGTATATGAATTATTCATTTAAAGTGGTTTTTAGACGGCTAACCGGGAAATTATAGGTCTGATGGCCTTATAATAGACAGTTCTGGCTCAAAAGGGGCTAATGTCAAGTCTAACAACGACCATACATAGACTATAGTAGTGAAATCGATCACTGCCACTGGGAAAAAGCTCTGGCCACTCATTATCTTTAAGGCAAAGTCAATACAAATGCAGTGGTTTAAAGAACAGCTTGTTAAGAAGTATCATACGATGACAAAATGGTTTATAACATACTCTGTTAACAACTGGTCCTTAAACGAGATTGTATTGTAATAGCTCAAGAAGGTATTTGTTTTCTTATTTAATAGCATTAACTATATGTTAATTAAGCCTAGATTTATCTACCTAATACAGCTCCTAAAGACCCCAATAATTTTTTTCTCTTAATACTAGATAGCCATGGCAGCCACTATTTGGACAAGTTTATGTATCTTTGTTATATAAATAAATGTATGTGTACTTTTTTCCTGCCCATTTGGTAGGTTGTTTGGTCAACTAATAGTTATTCCACTAATAAAGGTAGTCTCACATCTTTCAGCCGCTAGATTGACCGTTTTCTCTGTAGTGAAGGCCGCCTATCGCCGCCTCATCAACCAGCTTGGTCAGCTCAACAATTTGGCCCCTATTAGCAAGATTAAGTTCCTTAATTGCTTAGCAAAAGCTCGCAATGTAATCACACCAGCTATCGTGCGTTCAGGATAGAATACTGCTGGTCTTTGGCCTGTGAATTGGCAGAAAACGCTGGCAAACAAGCATGTAATAAAGGCAGGGGATATACAAGCAGCAGCAACAGCTATAATGGACCCAGAAACCACTCCCAAAGCACTAGATGCCCCTAAATCAGGGCAGGACATAGCGCTGATGCTATCAACAGTGGCTGAGACCCCTGAACAGCAGGCAGGAGTCCGCTCAGTTGCGAAAGCGTACGATGAGATTGTGGATCCCAGCCACTGGATCCAGCCACCAGTACCTTATCGGATCTCCTGTCATCCAGGGCGTTCTACGATAAGGTTACCTGGGATGGCTGCCCCAGGTGACAGGTACTAACCCATTGCAATTTAGGTATTTAGATACTTCTCGGATGCGATCCCTTCCCATCCGAACTTAACCTAGCACCAACCAGAATACAGACCATCCCAACCAAGACTTGTGATAGATCTCCGGTCTGGTTCCGCTACCACAAAAGCACAAGATAGTGGTTGAGATAGCCCTTCTGAAGCAGCAAATGGAGGCAAAAGACGACAAAATTGAGCATCTACAGCCAAAGAAGCGCCGTAAGGCTCCTCAGGAAGAGCCTAATAAATGGCTATGGAAGATTAGCGATATTATTGCTGAGCAAATCGAGCATACAGAGGCTGCACGAGCTGTTATTGAGCAACAGGCAGAGAGACGACGAATTTTATATGAATTATAGAACTTGCACACTGACAAATCAGAGAGATCACTATCTGAAGACTCTCTCTCCTCTGAATATAACGATTCAGAAGAATTAGGCGAAGGGGTGGTTGTTGACGATAGGGACAAGGAGGGGTATGATAAGCCGGATAATGAAGATATTGAATGGAAGCCAGAGATAGACACCGGAAGATCTCTAGTGGGGCAGAGACGCACAGGGCATCTGACCCACCAAGAAGACAGATGATCAATCTCTGCACGCAGAAGAAGAACACAATCAATAGAATCAATCAATATCCGTGTATTCAACAGAAGACGACGAACCCATTATGGTGCGATCTTCGCGCCGCACAACCTGCCAGCCTGCACAATACCAGATAAATAATTAATATTGCTAAAAACTCTAAGAAAAGGCGGTTCTAATGAATTTATTATATAATTTATAGCTTCAATTCAGATGGAGTTGTCCGTGGGTACAAGTGTGGCCTTTTGGTGTGAAAACTGTCCCACTTGGGGGCCCCCGCCGTTATAGGGGAAGAAAAAGACCGTTCTTCAGCTTCGCAAATCATATTTGCTCAGTGGAAACACCCGACTCTGCTGCTGGAAGGGAATGTTCAATTCAGAGGCGCCGCTGGAAGTCTCGGATATCTCGAGTATCTTGAAATGTCAGGGTCCACGGCGAGTATGGCCCACTTGACTTGGTGGTACCATATGGTCCTCTTCTGAATCCCAATAAGCCATTGGCCTGCTCATCCATCTTACGATAGCCGCAATCTGCCATCGTGCTTGTTGCTGTCAACTGGGTGAGGAAGCAACCTGGCGCGTAAGCCTCACTCCTTCAGTCCTTCTGGAGTCGCCCCACCACTAGTTTCGACGTGGGCAAGGTGGCAAGGCCCTGAGATAGAATCCTCTCACTGAGCTATGATCCTAGTACCCACGAGAGGCCTAGAAGGATCAGGAATGGTGCCAAGTCCAGAATAGAGCCTCTGCCTGTCCTGGACACGGGTCCATATGCTGCTGACATCGGTCACATACATAGATCTGCCAAGAGCTGCTCCCTGATTTCTTGGCTCAGCCGACATCCATGTCCAACCGCACTATCATTCCCTTGTTCGACAACCCGAACAACGAACAACCGCTGATTCCAAGATCGATACCATCTCTCAATCTGCTGGGGTGTGAACACGAAGCCCACCATCGCTCTGGGCAGGATGGTGTCCTTTCAAAGGCTCATCTTCTCTTTCCTGGCCTTGACGACCGCTTTAGTATCGTCAGCTCCTCAGCTGGAAACTAGAGACACCGTCGACCTCACGCCCCAATTTAACGAGACCACTGACGAATCGGGTACGACATGGAAGATAGACGGTGACAGGATAAGCAACATCCAATCAATTCGCAACGACGATAGTGGTGTGCTGTATAGCGGCAGTCTTATCGACAGCGAATATGGTCCCTCCGTCACCTATCCCGTGGTAGTCAAGGTCTGTACCGGTCGCGCCAAAGTAGCCTCGTGCCTTAAGGAGTACCAGGCCATGTATGCACTACAAGTCACCCTCGAAGGTCATATGCCCCCCCTGGTGCTCCAAGAGAAAGAAGGGACTACTACTTTTCGTTGGGTGGCGGACAAGGCTGCGGGCGGTGATCTCACTGCCTATATTGAGAGCGGCTATGCTGTCATGCTGTGGAAACAGTTCCGCCAGAAAGTCGTATGGGAGGTCTTCCAACTCTGTTGGATGATGCACGAGGCGGGCTGGTCCCATGGAAACATAACTACCGACAACATTATGTTTGGCAACAAGAGCGTCACCCAACCGCCGGGACCAGTCTGGTTTGTGGATTTCGCCGCTGCCACCAACACCACCGACAAGGCGAAAACAATGTTTAGTGGTGCAACGATTTCCGCAGACTATGTTCCTCCAGGTGAGCTGGTCCCGTTTACGGCGAGTTCTCCGCTGAATCTGACACTTTCTAGAACGGGCCAAGTCGCGGAAACTCTGGGGTGCGGCAGCGGTCATCAACGGGACCCAGGACCCCAAAGCAGGCGACATATGGACAGCCGGGGTTTCCATGTTCAAGTTCCTGTATGGCATGGATACCCCGCTGTTCACCGACACGAACTTCCTGAAAGGAGTCGAGACCAAGCGCAGGTCTATGCTGCAGAACGCCATTCGCCAGTCTTCCGAGAACGTAAATGCAGACTGGGTGAACTTGTGGATGGGGATCTTCAACCCAGACCCGGCACAACGATTTGATGCCAAGCAAGTCGTTGGAACCCTTCAGGGTCTGAACGCGCAGATGCTTTGACAGCACATACATGAGGAGGTCATGAGGAATTTACCTCAATACATAGTACAGCACGAGTAATGAGGTGTGAAGGAGTCTGGAGTAGAACCAGGTTAATTTCTTACACAGATGTTGCTGGACAGCACGGGGCCTCTGCTTTTTGTTGTATTTTGGGGCATTTGCTTTTGGCTCCTCCCTTGCGGTCGAAGAGCTTAATAGTAATAATAATCATCTGCAAACAGCATGGTCCAAACAAAGCCGCTATGGGCACACGCAGCAGCATAACACTTCATCGTTGCTACACACCCAGCAGTATCCTAAAGCTCAGGTCTCATACTTCCCCTCGCCTCGCTCGCCATACCGTCGTCAACATATCCCCAATCCTCCTTAGTCAACGCTTTGACCATCTTCAACAGTATGAGGCGGCGGCCAGTAAGCTGCACCCAGATGGCAGCAGACTGGTACCACCACCTCCGAGGCGGTAGCTTGTTGTGCCAGATGTACTTGATGGTAACCAGAGCGAGATGACTGTCTCGAGGATTCACGAGGACCTGGATCAACTCGAGCCCGCCTGGCAATCCGCTGGTGTCAGCGACGGTCGTGATAGTGCACGCCATGTGAGTCGGCCCCGTCTCGACGACCTCGGCTCGAATGACATCGGAAGCACTGGTGGCCCCGACTCCTGGAGGCTCTGAGAACGGTTCTCCCTTAAACTGTACGCGCACTGCGGATGAAGAAGACGGATGTAAGCACCAAGACAGGAGACAGCTGGTGAGTTGCGAGGGTGAGTCTTAACTTACTCCGCTCATTCCACAATACCCTCATGGCCTCCGCAGCGAGGGCCTCCTCATCCTCTGTCAGGTTGTCGTGAACATTGTCCAGGGAGATTGCGACTGCGACGGTGAATGACTCGATTTTGGCCCATGTGGTGTCCGAAGTATTTGGTGTAGATCGCCGAGGAGAAAACGGGGTCGAAGGGCGGTACCTCGTTTAGGCTGACAGTGAGAGACGTGATTCGATGCTGGAAACGCGCGATGCGGTATAAGAAGTACACCACCGGTATCGCCAGGCAGATGCCGAGTTTGCGGATGAGGACCATGACGAGTTGTCGCGCGCCGTCTCAGCGGCGGTCCGTCAATCTGTGCAGGTGGGTGAAACACTGAAACTCAAACCCAGCTGATCGAAAGTCGTGATTGGAATAGCAGCGTCCCTCTACAAGAGATGCATCACTCAGAAGCTCGAGTGGATGGGGAGGATGAAAGGCTTGCTGATACCGTATGAAACAATCCTGGCCTGGTCGTGAAGGTCCGCAAGGTGGCGTAGGCTTCACGAATCACATCACACGCCATGTCGTCGCACGCTCTGTCGTCGCCTGAAAGCACAAACGCAGCGGTCCGTAGACAACAGCAACGTGACAGGCGATGGTTCAAAGAGAGATGGACGTCACACTGCTAGCTTGCTCTGTCACCACCACCAGCACCAACACCTCGACTCTATCGGCGCCGAGGGAAGCATCCCGACACGGTCCCGCGTCGCATCGGGATGACTCGAACGAAAACCACCACTGTAGATCTACATCCCGGTGGCTGGCCTCGAGTTGACGGTAAAGCAAGGTGTCATGAGTGTTTAGGCGGCTAGTTGCCGGTGTGTTGGGGCACTTGCAACCACTTAGGTGATACCCGGCGGATACCATCGTCGTGATACCGCCACGTATCGACGATATGCCGCTTCACATCCGGAGCATGAGCAGCTTTATTCCTTTGCATCTGGCGTAAAAGGGCCGACCATCACAGTCACCGGTGTTGCGGTAACCGGGCTCAAAGCGGTAGCTCGTCATTTGTGGTATGGTCCATACACTGCATCGAGATGTGACCAGGATTACACGCCCATCTGTGAAGGCGACCGCATCAAGCTCACCCTGTCAGCCCTGGAATCGGAGGAAGTCCCATACTGGCCATGAAGAGTTCCCAAGCGCCCTCCTGCAAGATCTCCCCACCCAGCTCCCCAGCCCTCCTCATCCTCTCGCTCCCAACCAGACACGAGATAAGGACCTCCTCCAGCTGATTCCTGCCCAGCCCATCCCGCGAGATCTCAAACTGTCCCGTGCCCTTCTTCCGCTTGCCCTTGCCCACGGCCTCGAAACGGGCAATGACCTCCTTGCCGGCCTTGAGCCGCATGGCCCGGCAGCCCTCGCGCTCCCACCGCGCCTTCCCGAGCCCCGTACTGCTCTCGAATTCCTTCTTGATCTTGACCTTCTGTATCCATTGTCGGTAGTTATACAGCATGCCGGCTTAGCTGGTAATCCTTGTGGAAGATTCTAAGCGTATTTGCTAGTCCTCTCGAACTTTCTCCTCTCCCGAGCGCAGTCAAAGTCCTCCGGATGGTAATTCCAGTACAGGTGACAGTATCGGTAAAGACTCTTGTCGTCATCAAATCTGGGTCGACCTTTCCTGTTCCTTAGCTTGAATAAGTACTCCGGGTCCGGGACTAGGCGATGCCAAATCCTGCAATCGTCTGGGTTAGTCGATGTCACTCAAAGGTTGAACGAGGGAAAGATGAAGAGTAGGTAACCTGTCTCACGACTGGGTAGTATCCTTCTTGAGCCCTTCCTGCCCTCTAGGTGTTTGAATGGGGTAATGGACAATCGAAAAGGGGTCTCTCACTCTAAATTTGGAAACCTCGTTTTTCTATCCCAGCTATCCTCTCTGCTACGCCTGTGACCATGAACAAGTTGCTCTAAATCCCATTCATCACTGCTGGGGTGATAGTTAAGGCCAGGAAAGTAGGGAGCATTCTCAATGCACTGCTTGGTCAACGCTGGGTGTGGTGCAGTCCACGCCTGACTGAAATCGAGGTAGCGATCACCAAAGACATTGCCCCAGTGCTCAAGGTCGCGGACATATATCCCCAGATGATGTAGCGTTTTCAAGTTCTTGTAGAGTTTGGGGATGTGTGCTGGTACCATGTACTGCCCGGGGTCCACCTCCTGGGATATGTCGACGAGCTCTTTTACAATGGCGGGGATGCACTTTCCGTGTATGCCCTTGGGTCTATGTCCGGTTTCGAAGATAATGTCGAATCGTGAAGGAGGCCCATCTTTGTTGTAGTGGTGTTCCAGAAAGTTTTCTTGCGACTTGTGGAGTAGGATGTAGCCATATGACCGGACAGCGAGGTGCTCCTGGCCGAACTCCTTTAGCCTGCCATACACCCGACACTCATTCGGAATTGCCTGAAAATATGAGTATTCTTCCGCATCGCTGAGTAGAGTCTCTTCAATGACATGATTCGGGGGATTCTGGCGATAGAAATTAAACTGAAGGACTGTCAGCAATGGTGCTCTAGAGGAGGATATATGCATAAGGCATTCTCTACACACGATGTTCAATGCATAAAGCTTCCCGTCAATGCGCACTTTCCAGACTAGGGAATGCAGGCCATTGCCGATACATTCAATGAAGTCTATGTGCGGTTGTTTTCCTTTGGCATTGAAAGGCGCGAGTTTTGGGCCGGGGACGTCCGGGAGACACTTCATCTTGAAGTGACGGTACTTTCCTGTGAGATCGGAATGAGCAAAAAACTTGCGAATCGCGGCCGGTGGCAGAGACTTAAAGATCGTGCAGAAATGATGAGACAGGTGTCAAAGAGAAAGACCCCACATCCAGTTTGAAAACATCTACCATCGAACGTGAACAAAGAGACCCATTACACTTCTTCCACTCATCGCTGTTTCTTTGTCTCAACCAACAGGAAGGCTACCTATCACATGCGCGAAGTGACGATCCGACCGCATCGATAGCTTGGGCGGCTGCCGGAATGACGACAAGCCCGCCAGCGTCGCATACATCACTACGACTCTCTCCAGATGCTTGATGCATCGACGGCATGCGACGCTTTTGACGTCAAGGCCGACGTCAACGACCGCGGTGAGAGTGAGAATACTTGAATTGGCACCGGGATCAAGGATGGTGCGGACGGCAAAATCAACATCAACATCAGCGGCAACGAATATGTCGACAGCAAAATCCATAGCAGAAACGGCGATATCAACAGCAACTTCAATGGCGGCGACGGAAATATCAACAGCAACATAAATCGCGGAGACGGCGATATCAACATCAACAGCAACATCGACGGTGGCGACGGCAGCAACCTCAGCAGCCGGAACGAGCCAGATTCAGACCTGGAGACAGCCAGCTCTGGGTTCATCTCAACCTCGATGCCTACCTCAACGCCGGCCCTCCTGTCATCCTCCACACCCACATTTACGGGCGTCCCAAGCCCAACACCTTCCCCCAGAGGCGGCTTGTCGACATCCAACGCCGTCACTCTTAGATTTTGGCTGCCCGCCACACTCGCCGGCGTCATCGCTACTTGGATCACGCCGAAGGCGTGGTGGCGGTGCAGGCAGCGCGCTGGTGCTGGCACGGTCTTGATATTCGGTGATGACGGCCACGGGGATGACAAGGAGACTGGGAGTCTGAGGCCGTGGGGAAGCGCCAAATCCCTGTCGGGAAGGAAAAAGACAGTGGCCTAGTTAAGGATAATGAAATGAAGAAGGTAGGCAGGCAAAGGAACCGACAAGGAATATATCTAGGTTGACGTTGGCTGAACGGGGTAAAGGTGCACGTACATGCAAGTTATTTGGTAGGTCTCATTGGTTTCAGCTGTCTTGCATTAATCTCTACATGAGATCAGAACAGTGACTGGTCCCAGACCTGTATCCTCTCACTACCTGCCCTTGTCTTTTAAGACCACCAGTTCCGTCAAGGATTTTTCTTTCTATCACCGTTTTCCTAGTCCAGCAAATCTCGAAGTCAACCAGTGACGAGCATAGCTGTTCTGTCTCGTCCCAGTTGTTCTCGAGAGGGGTTCTCCCCGTCCCTCACTGGCATCCTTCGCGTCGCACCGGTTCGTACGTAAAGGCGTTTCTGTGCCAATGGCCCGGTGTTAAGGATGCTGGGCGGCTAGGGGTAGTTGTTCTCGATCTGTCGCGACAGTTCCTCCAACTCGCGGCGCATGTCAGGAGGCGTTACACATCGGTTCCATTGGAGGATATACTGGCCCGACCTGAACCTGACAGCTTCCTTTCGGTCTAAGGAATCTGTATGTGATGGCCTATTAAGAAAGAACTCCTCGAGTCGCTCGCTGAACGGGCCTATCTCCTCAAGGAAACCTGTCCAAAGGTTCTCTCCATCGTCCATGTCCGGGCCGCGTAATAGCGTCACATTGATGAGATGCAAACTCCTCAATGTAGGAGACAGGTTCTTTATCAGATCCATCAGATGCCGTGTGAAGACCTTGCCTTTGAGCACGAGACTGTGAAGCTGTGGAAATCTAGCACTTAATGGCTGCTCGCATGAAATGCCTTCCTTGCAGTGCGCATTGACTGCGGCCTCTGACAGCCACTTGTGAAATTCGGATCTACTCTGAGGGTCAAGAGTAATCATGATGTGCAGAACCACGATTTGTGGGCAATGTGACAGGAAACGACGAAGCCAGCGGGTTGCGATGATTTGTCCTGAAGAAACACCACCATGCTTTGCAGTGTGAGGAAAATTCAGGGCCAGCACCTCTAGGTTTGCCAGAACTGGAACGATGAGCGGCTCCATAAAGGTTGGAATATTGAAGGCAGCGTCGCCTAGATTTTCGTGCTTAATCTTGATGATAAGTTCCTCTGGTCTTGCTTGGGCTTCACCCAATCTGTATAGGACCATTTGCAGGCATTGATCCGGCACATGAGGTGTATTTTCGCCGCGGCTGATGACTGAACCAGTATCCCCTGCAGGAGCCAGTCTCCTCAGGCCATAGCTCTCGCGAATGTTTCTCAATTTCCTGCTCACATGGTAGTCCTTTATATAAAGGGCTTGGGGTACACAAGGGATCGTAAGGCTTCGCAGAGCATTTTGCCGTCCAGTCCTGTGGCCAGGAAACTGGCTTGATCTGCACAATGTCTTTGGTACTCCAGCAGGGCCAATGCAGCAGATCGTCGACTTCCATGGTGAAATTCCGGTCTTGCTGTGGGGTCGAGTGTTTCAGTGCCAAGGATAATGGCCTTTATGTGAGGACCAATACGTGACTTTGACATGTCAATCAGTGCCTGGAGACTGTCGTGGGTCCGCATGAACCATCGCACTCGGAAATGCTCCATTGCGAAGCAGGAGAACACGCTATGTTAAATGTGTCGGCTTGTGCTCCGAAAAATCAGGACATCGGGACTTGTGAGGTGAGTTGCGATGAGCTCCAGCAGCTCTCCTGGGAGGGACCCGAGTGACGATGTTGCCATCTTCGAGGACGAGTGAGTGTATGACCGTTCGGACCAGACCGACCTGGTTTCCTGCAGGGGCAGACGACGTGGTGTCGGGTGTTGAAATGGCTCTCGCCCTCCCCCTGGCAGGGCTTATGGTGATGGATCGAGTATGTGGTTGGGGCAGCAGGAAGGTAATCGTCGTCGGACCTACTCTGCAGTCCGACACGAGCCGTGCAGTCGAGAAAGAGACACGAGTGATGATGACGAACTCGAGTATGCTGCACCTGCACTCAGCAGCGGACTTCTAAGGGCCAAGGCTTGGTGCGCGTATCGAATCAAGGGTCACATATCTGTGTGGCTTCGCGGGTTCTTGGTCGTCGTTGAGCTCGGTGGCATTGGTTGCTTCAGACAGGAAGAGATTTTTGCATCCTCGGCAGGCGAAGAGACGCATCAGGTGCATGATCAGACCCCCACATCGATGCTCAATCCCGTCTAGTGCAAATTCTTGCACGTGTCGGTAGCTCCTTCCTCTTGGTGGCTACATAGGCCGGCACGGGCGTACTTGCCCAACTAGGTTTCTATCATGATATCCTGCTCGTGCCCCTTCATGGGGGTTGAAAGAGCTTAGATAGGGGTTTGTTTTCATATTTATTGTGTCTTTAGTTGCCAAGTAGGTAGACGCAGGTTTGCCGGTACGGTACCCAGCCAGTTTCACGACAGCGGCGGCTTCCCGCCTTGAAGTCTTGCGACAACCTGCTTTAATTCACACCTCAACACCACCTGACATAAGGTACCGACCAGCGAATGCCCAGAAATGCGCTGCAGAACAGATATCTCGTGGATATCATGTGTACGACATCTAGGTATAAGCTGACCTATTTATCTGGAGGGCAAGACGGTCTATCCAGCGACGCCTTGAACGATATGTACTCGATTAGTTCCAAGATGACCTTCGCCGTCTTCTGAATGCACCAGAAGGCAACCGCCGCGGTATCTCCCATTGCGCACGTTCCGCCAGCATGAAATGGCGGAAGCAAGCCTGCAGCTTCAGCGACTCACTAATCGACTCATCGGTGCGGTTTAGGCTTGTCCCCGCTCGTCGAAGGGCGTGATATGCACCAGAGCATTTCAGTATACGACTCTGCACTTTCTCCTGGGACGAAACCTTGCGGCCTCGAGCATCGCCTGTGAATCCTTGTCAGCGAAGAAGCGGAAGTTGATCTCGCTCGCGTCGGTCATGGGGGTCGTCAAAGTGCCCTTGTCTCTAGAGTTGGCGCGCAAATCTTCTTTACATGTACCTTTGCTGTTGTACCTTTGCTGCCTCCTCGTATCTCCCGTCGTCGGCATAAAAAGTGCATACCAAGTGAAAAGCAGAACAGAGCTCGCTACCTTATAGTGCGTACCAGCCAAGAAGTCATTCGCATACTTCACTTCCAATTCCAGAGTTGATCCACGTGAGGGATTGCTCGGAGTCGTACCTATCTCGAGTGCCTCCTTTCAATGAGAGTCGTCTCCAGCCGAAGCAACATCATAGTACCCCAGTATTTCGGTGGCCACCTACCATGGCGTACATACATGCGTCTCTCGCTGTGCTCGAACACCGAGCTGTAAGTGATCCAGGCCTCACACATCCACGATGCACGACATTAGAAGTCCCACCGACATACCACCGAACCTACCTACATACTCAATCCAGTATCTCCTCTTCTCCTCCGTCAAACACTGCAGCCTAGCATTGTCCCAATCGGGTATTTCATACATGGAATTATGCCAGCAGACAGCCATGTCATCATAATCACATTACGAATGATTCTGGCAATGACGTCGTCGTGAATGCGAACTTGAGATTGGACGTCCTGTCGTGTAGGTAATGACGTGGAGTGACGGCCATCTGCTATAAGGGGAAATTGAGGTGAGATTTGACACCTTACCAACATGTTTGCTTTTTCTAGGTAGTGGCAGAGATCGTAAACAACCGGCTCACACATGTATCGGCGATTATAAGACACACGGGTTTGGTTACATATATTCAGACACTACATTGGGTATAATGCTATAAAAACAGGTGGATCTCAAATCAGAGGATCCAATGTGGAAAGACAGGACTGTCTTTCGTGGAGGCAAAGCAACATCTTTCGCGTGACAACAAGACCAGGAATCACCATCGGTCCTGAACGGTGAAAACCCGCTACGCCAAAGCGTAACTCAATCGTCGTGTTCAAAAACGTCCGAGAAGCGCACGAGTGACGCAAAGCTCTCAGGCCTCTCATCTACGCCGACGATCTCCCTCTTTGACTTGTCCGCCAGCCATGACACTGGCACCAAAGCCATGTGTCCCTCCATGTTCTTGACTAGCTTCGTCTTGCCCTTCCGCTCATCTGCCTGGGGCATCTTCATCGTGGACTCGGAAGTGGTGATGCCGTCTACACGCTTGTGACGGTGCTCGAGGATGTCCACGTCGATGGTACGCTGCGCGATCATGTGGTAGATGTAGACGGTTTTCTCGGTTTTCTCCTGCCCGTATCGGCGAACTCGTGCGATAGCTTGAGTCATGGCAGAGTCGTACTCGTATTGTGTCTTCGAGAGCAGAGGTGCGACAAAGATGATGTGGTTTGCGTTGACTAGGTTGCTGCCAGGTATTAGTGCATTGATCAAGAAAGAAACAGATGAGACTTACGCGCCAGCTGCCGACTCACTTCCCATGTTGAGGAGAAGCACTTTGCGCCGATCTTCGCGAACACTGTTGCCTTTGAACGCCTCGATAGTCTTTGCGGTATCAGCGCTCTTGGAGCCAAGAAGTGAATGGCAAGGTACCCCGTTGCGGTCCAGCACGGTTTTCAGGACCCCCACTGTCTCGTCGTTGGGCGCAAAGATGACTCCTTGTTCACCTTCTGAAAATCCGGCTATGATGTCCATAACATCTGCCATCTTCCTCCCAGAGTAACCTGGAGTGGCAGGCTCCGTTCTCGAACCAAGGTCCGTGGCCTTGACGAGACTCTCGCCCTGCAAAAAAATATTGCACATCGGGGCGACGCATCTCTCGGCGTCGATCCGCGTCGACAGGCACTCCTCGCAAGCTTTATGACCGCAATGAGTGATGAGGCGTAACTGAGCAAGGCTGGCGTCCCCGTCACACCCGGGGTTGCTGCATTTGAACAGTTGTCCTTCCACCCTCTCAGTCAATGGCCCCAGAAGGGCTTGAATTTCGCTGATGAACCTAGTCGACCTGGTATGTTGGGCAAGGTCACGGGCTGTCTCACGAAGACTGGACAAGCGCTTTTTTGCAAGCGTTGCTTTCTTCTCCCCTTTTACGCCCTTCAGCTCCGAGAATGCTGAACGATTGGGTTTCTCCTTGGCCTCTTCAAGCATGTCGCAAGCAATGTTGGTGGCTTCAACATCGCCGAGCCACTCGGGATTCATGATATCCTTCTTGAAGCGGTCGTACAGTATGCAGATTTTGTCAGCCTTGCCCAAACCTTCGAAACCAGCCATGAGATCTTTCAATTCCTTTTGTACCTTGCGTTGTTGGGATGATCTTAGCTCGGCTAAGGTTTGGAGTGCTGATTTCCCGTCCGAGGTGAGCGCAGACTTCAACAACGCATCCTCAGCTGTTGCAGAGTTGGACAGACTGTCATTGAGCCGGGTATTCTTGTCGAAGAGTCTGGTTTCCTTGTCTAAGCTCACTTTGTTCTTGAGCTTCTTGATAGCCATGTGATGCGAGGCGACATATTCAGACAGTTCCAAATAGGTGGCGTGGTGTCCAATGTCGAGTTCGCTCGGCACAATTCTTTCGACGCAGGGAATGTTTCCCAGGGAGGGTTCATTCTGTCTGACGAAGAGATCTAAAAATTCCTGGGCGCGGCGGTGTCGATCCTCATGCCACTGCCTTGACATGGTCTCGGTCTGCGAGAGGAAATCTTCAACACGGGTCTGATCGCGACGACGCATGTTATCAGACTGTGTTGTCTCGACGCCGTCGCCGAAGTGATACCTGCCAAGCTTGATCCCAAGGTACGATGCGATCTGGTCCACGTCGGAGAAGTTGTTCAAAGCTGGAGTACCTGACAGGACCCACCGCTTCAAAGCAGAGATGCGTTTGATGCTCACTGAGGCGACGACGTTGTCGAGATGTTTATCATTGTTGAGATAATGATACTCGTCAACGACAAGTCGATTAAAACGGAACAAATGTATCAATGGCACTTGATCACTTGTAGGAGCTTCCGACGCCTTCGATTTGCTTTGAGTGTTGCCCCTTGCCTTGACCTTTGCGTTGGAGGCATTGTGCGGCTGGTAAGCACGCCCATGCTGAATCTTGATCGGCAGAGTGACTTTGAAGTCCTCGCGCTGCAAACGATCCGCCAGGCCTTCCTCTGTAGTGGCTCTGAAGTCATCGATCGTTGAGGTCCGGAATGCCTTCACTTGATCTGGGATATCCCGAGAAGCCTGATCAAACCAGGTATCGAATGCACGACGCCCCGTAATGCTAGGCTGTGGCATAGCACTGAAGTGTGCCAGATCAGAAATATAGTTCTCTTCAGCGAACACAGTCCATGCAAGCACCAAGACTTTGCTGGATTGGATATCGCGGATTGTCAACCCTTGTAGCTCGGCGTATGTCTGCACCAAATGCACATTGTAATCGACGTACTTGCGGCCCAGGAACTTCTCGAGCTCAGTCTTCCACTGCAATGCGATGTGGGCTGGACAGACTATCAACGTCGCAGCTGTGTCGAAAAGTGCACCTGTGTGCTCACCCACGTGGACTTTTCGGTTGTTCTGAACCAGGACCTTTGGCGAAAAGTCTTCGAACTCACTCTGAATTAGAGCAATGGTCGTGACTGTTTTTCCAAAAGATGGTAGATCTGCAAGCACGCCCCCACGAACCAAGACCTTGGTTTGCGCTCTTGCTTCTGCTCTCCAACCTAGATCACCCTGGATGGCCTCTTCGATTTCGGTAATCATGAGCGAGATGCCTGACTCTTGGGTTTTCATCCAAGACAATGCTCGAGGTTGAGCGTGAAGCAAGTATTTGATGGACGGAGTCGGTTCGAACGGAGGATCAAGTGAGTTGCTCTTCAGAACGAATTTCGAGAATCGCTCGGCTGGCAGCTCTGCATGATCAACATGAAGACGCCAGGCGGAATCGTTCCGGTTAACATGTGCTAGACGCCCTTCTGCACGGTGCACAAGAGCTGCAACATTCACTGCGACCGCGATGTGGGTAGTCTCTCCTTGAATCGTGGAATCGACATGGAAGATCGGCGCTCGTGTTTTGATGGCACGTTCAAATCCGGCTGCTGCTTGGCGCGCTTCGTGAGGAACGGCGACTCCTTTCTCGTTTACGTGCCACAGGATGTGTGGATACACAGGTGCGCAAGCACAGGTTACAGTGCTGCTCCCATTGAGTGACTGCCAGGTGGAGAGTGACGGCCGGCGCTTCGCACGATTCAAAACCCAGGATTCCTCAGTAATGACCTGTAGACGTTCTGGTATCTGCACTTCCAAGATAGTCGAGGGGTGGGAACAGTCGGCATTTGGTCCCAGGGAGGCAGCGTTCCTGGGGACGCTGACCGCGAGTTGCGTCTCGACTAGTTCCAGACTCATGCTCACAGCTTTCCAGCTCTGAGTAACGGTAGTGTCGACACTGTGCACTGCTCCGTCACGGATATGCCACGGTCGCCATGAAGATCCAAGGCTCGCCAAAGACAATCGGCCATCACCGTAGGTTTTGCGAGTACAGTCGTGGCTAAAGACAAAGCTGTCTTCGTCGGAATTGCCAAGGAAATCAGGGTCTAGGAAGACGTAAAGCGGGGGGTCGGTTGGACGTTTGTATAGACTGCTTGAAGCAGTTCCGCATTCCGATAACAGTGCAAACTTTCCTGTCAAAGCTTTGCATTTGCTGTGGCTCTCAATCCGTAGAGTGGTCGGAACAGTCTCCTCTTGATATTTCAATAGACCGAGACGGCATCTCCAGGAGCTGGTTGGAGAACCGACACCGCTTATCCGGAGTTTGTGCAGTTCTTCCGAAGGGAAAGAGAATTCCCACTTCAGATCGAGCAAAGAGGAGCCGACTTTGGCACGAGCGACAGGGCTCCGGAGCAACTTGCGCAAAGGGTCGTTGCCAGGGCGCTTTTTAGGACAGTTGATGAACAAGAGCCATTCTGCTGCGTGACCGATGCGGAGTTCCAGGGTTGCATGAGTCGAGCCGTATGTTACTGTCCAACCGCCGTCCTGCCTCTGCATATCGCGGAAACCATAAAAGTGCGTGTCAGCTCCAGCTTCTACAACACGGTCGATGAAGTCTCTCATAAGGTCGGTCCTTGGTTGGAAAGATGAGGCAACTTGACGAACGTCGGGGAAACTGCCGAACTTGAAGCGTGTTGACAACATATGTCGCCACTTCTGCACGAACTCGATTGGAGTCAGCGTGCGGTTGCTTCGAAGTATTGAGGCAGAAGCATCGTATCGATGCTTCGGATTCCCAGCGCAGCGCTCGCATGCGGTGTGCCCACAGCCAGAGCACACACGAATGGAATACTTGCAGATGATCTTCTCCCCCTCGCAATTGCACAGACGCGAGCTCATCCTGGCCCCGCGCATGAGCTCCTCAAGGTCGATTTCCTTCGTGTCGATAGGAGGGAGAAGAGTTGGCTCCTTGAGGCCGGCTCGCAGGTGCTTTTTAGTGGTAGGCAATACTAGCTGACTCTTCGCAGCAAGAGATGGCCGAAAAGCTTTCGAGCCGGAGATGATGGCGGATATTATCGAAGCACCGATGACAGTCGTAGTCATGGCATTACCAGCCAGATCCTGGCATTCTTTCTGAGTTTCTGTGCCGAAGAGGAGCTTGTTGAGGGGCATCCCCTGTAGAACCAAGAGCTGTTTCCCGCTCAGTGCTTCTTGACGGTTGGTCGCGAAGTCGCACCCGTTGGGTGTGATACAAGGGAGAACACCCAGGCTGTTTTTGAATCGATCCACATTTTGACTCACGTCCAGGACAGCCATCTTGTACATCTGATCAAGGCCTTTGTTTGCTGCTTGTAGATATGCAACATCGATAGCATCATAGACTCTGGAAGATTGAGACTTGTACCATGCGCGATTGGCGAAATCAGGTGGCCTGACAGACAATGTTAGCTTTGGAGTTTTGATCGGCGCGTTCTTGTTGCTGCCACCTACCTTACTGTACCGTTCTCGCTCCATTTGGTCACAGGGCGGAGAATGCCTAATCCCTCCTCCGCTCGGATGTGATCGTACCTGAGTTTGCACAACGCCCAGTCCACCTCGGAATTTAGCGCACTGTGGTCGCTCGACTCGTGCAGCATGTTCTTGAGCCACGATTCGTAAGGTGTGCTACACTGGCGCTGTAATTCATTCATCTTTGTCTTCCAATCTCTCACAGCCTCCTGGACCCCTTCGCCAAAGTGACTCCGCTCTATGGCAACCATATACATCCGTTCTCGAGTCTGTGGAATGTGGTAGCGTTTCGTGTCCCGGAATAGCCATCCTGCTTCATAACCGATGTCGTCCCACAAGGAAACAAGTTCCTCCCAGGTTTTCTTGACGCTTTTGACGTTCTCCAGGAGTACAATGGTTGGCCGGAAACGCTTGGCATATGAGTATATGGCCAGCCAAGTATCGCCTGATTCGCCGTTGTCCTGAAGACCTTTTGGGTTCGTATTTAGCCGAGACAGATCTTTGCACACAAAGCCAGCTATCAGAACATCAAGACCGGAAGGGATAAGCTCCTCTGCCCCGTATGCTGTGGTCGCAGTCGTCGCCTCTTCTGGGATGAACTCTCGTACATCCCTGAATATGATTTCAGGCGATTGATTCCGCTCGATGAAGGCTTGCTTGAAAACTTCTATCTCGGCAGCAAACTTCTGGTGTACCCGGAGGGGACGCTGGCCGTTTTCTACAAGGGCCTTAGACAGCAAATCAAACGCCAGGAGAGGCGACTCAGTGCCAGAACACATGGTTCCCACCTCTATCTGGCGGTCTGCCAGCTCTTCTAATACCTCGTCGAGTCCAAGATTGAGGGCCGTAGTGGCCATGTCGGCGAAGGCACCTTCTATGCTGTCAATGGGTGGCAGATTGAAATCAATACCCTTACCATTGGCCGCGCTTGAGGACTTCGTCGATCGAGGCTCCGTCGATCGAGGCTTGGTCGATCGAGGCTTGATCGATCGAGGCTTGGTCGATCGAGGCTTGATCGATCGAGGCTTGGTCGATTTGCTGATCTCCTCCACAATCTCAGCTTCTTCTTCGCACTCTTCGTCGTTGTCCTCTTCGGCGGCAGATGACTGGTAGTCGACCGATCCTTTCGACTCGACCTCCTTATCTATGATACTGTCAGGACTGGATGCACCCGGGATGTAAAGATCATAGTCGCCGTCGGCCTCGTGCTCTTGTCCATGGTACGATACGCTTGGCTGACTACGGAGGGAGCGACCAACGAACTCTAGTGAAGAGGCTGGATTGAACCCTTGGGTCTGTCTCCTCCGTGTAGCTTCATCGTCGTCTTCACTGATGGGGGTTGGGGACTTAGATGCAGCCTTCCCTGGCGCGGAGCCTGCTTGAGACGATTCTGAGACACCGACTCCGGCTGAGGCGTCGGTATCATCTTCTGGATCATCCAGATCCATTTCATGAGAGAGTGGGTCGGAAAAAGATTGCTGTTGGGGCGCTGATGTTCCCACATCTGTGGTTGCTGGTGTGGCTGCATTTGAGATGCTAGATGGTTCTTGTCGACGCGTCCAACACAGGTGTTGTGTCTTATGCTTGGCGCATACATCACAATGCGGCCTCTGTCCATTGCAGGTCTTGAACCCTCGTTTCTTGCAGTGGTCACAACGAGCTGCAAGAGCTCGTATCTGTTCGGATGTTGCTTGTCGACATTTTCTCTTCTCATCTCGGCATCTCGTACAACGGGGATCAGTTCCATCAATACCCCCATCGAACACACATGCTTGAGCGGCTTTGCCACCACGCCCGCGACAGAAGAGACAACAGTCTGCCGGAACATTATCGATCTGCTCGGGTTGTGCTGGCACCGTAGGGGAGACTGCAGGCAACGGTGGGGTCATGGCTTGGTGAAATAGTTAGCAAGTCTGCGTGTGAGAGCAATGAGGCAGTGTTGTACATACCCTGGTCTGCTGCCGCCTGGCTGGCAAGGACTTCCGCCTGGCTGGAGAGGACAACGACAAGGTACTGTGAGCTCGCTGACTCCTGGTCGCGTTTCCGTTTCCGGGTACTCCTCAGGTCACGCGCCATGGCTACGTCGTCAATTTGCCGAGGGGGGGGAGCATTGATAGCGAAGTCGTTGCTACAACGGGGTATTCAGTGCAATGGGGTATTCGCTGCAATGGGGTATACGCTGCAATGGGGTATTCGCTGTAATGGTGAACTCACTGCGACGGTGAATTTGGCTGCGATGGTGAACTCGTTGCAATGGTGAATTCGTTGCAATGGTGAATTCGCGCTGCAATGAGGAATTCACGCTGCAATGAGGATTCGCGCTGCAATGAGGATTCGCGCTGCAATGTGGATTCGCGCTGCAATGATGGATTCGCGCTGCAATGAGGGATTCGCGCTGCAATGAGGGATTCGCGCTGCAATGAGGGATTCGCGCTGCAATGAGGGATTCGCGCTGCAATGAGGGATTCGCGCTGCAATGAGGGATTCGCGCAACGAGGTGGTGTTTGTATGCCGAGGTAAGCAGGTTGATGCTTCTGCCCTGTGGTGCAGACCCTGCAATTCAGAAGGGCATTTTTTCTGCATCCAACGATACCTTTCTTTTTGTGAAAATTTCCCCCATTTGAAAGTACCCACAGAGCGGCCCGTTATTCATCCGTGAGGCGGTAGCGGAGTTGTGTTGAACGCACGGGCCAGCGAGCCATGGAAGCAGACTTGCAAACCACAGCGACAGTGTTAGGTACTGTGGTTCGGTGCTTTAGCGCTTGCAAGTCACCTCAGCCAACAACCTTGGAAGGAATGAAGCGTAGCAGCGAGGTAGTGTAGTGGGGACCACGACGAGCGAGGTCCACCATAGTGACCATAGCGACAGCGATGATGGCGACGATTCCCATGATGATATTTGGTGTTGACTGCGCTTGGCATCAGCAGCATCATCGAACGCCACGTCGAGGCTGGCTGTCGGGGAACCTTATCCCTTCGGTGGGCCTGGCCCCAGAATCGTTTCTCGGTTTCCCTCATTTCGGGCCACCATGCAGAGTCTCGGGTTCCCGGCGATACTCGATACGATCGATCGAGTGAGGCCTTGTGGTCAGCGCCATGCTCTATCCAACAGACTCTTCGTGGTGGTCGGCTGGGCCGCTGCGTCGAAAGTTGCTGCAAATTGGGATGAAAGAATTGAGAAGCGCGTTGGAGGAAGTGCCAGCCTGAGATTCGATTATTACTACGTGTGGCGTGCGCGATGGCGCTAGCGTGCTGGCACGTGCGGTCCCGTCATCTCGGCCGAAGTTTAGCCGAGATGACGTGGCGCTCTCTTTCATAAACCTTTAGCTGCCGAGGTATAGCCTCCTGCAACTGCACGATTCATATCAGTGTACGTGATAAAGTCCCTTTCAGATCCCGAGATATACTGTTATGATATTGACATTATAAGGTAATAGATACTAGTGATTACGGACATCAGCAACGGAGCTCATACATAGGATGCTCGGCTGCTTCTCGCCAAAGGGATTCCCATCACCCTGCGATGCCGAGGTCTTCAACTATGTCGGGTACTGCCCAAGCAGATCCCACAGTGGCCTCGGAGCGTGGGATACGACGCCAGTCCCATAGCTGTCCCCAACAATAGTGCCCGAGCCCGGGGACATCGTCAAAGACGCTGATATTGGGCCTCTTCAACTCTTCCGCCGGCCTAAATATGTTGGTCTTCGAATATCTGCGGCGGATGGAAGAAGCCACCAGCAGGGATAGTCTCCTTGGTGACGTACGCGAACCCGCTGGTGGTGTTGCGACTGGGATCGTGTCGAGGGTCGGCTCGGTATGCGCTAGGCCCGGCCCCGTATTCGACTGCCATGCCTGCGGCAGGTTCAAGCTCTACAAGCTGATCCCAGACGAGCCTCGTCATGAACGCAGTGGCTCGGACAGTCGGGGGGAGGTCTTTCGTCTCGTTGAGCGCCCAGCGTATATAGTTCGCGGGACTGACCCGGCGGCCATGAGCATCGGTATGTGTTGCCATCATGAACACTCCCGTAAACTGATCACGGTTGGGATCTGCTCCGTTGACGTCCCGGTCGACCTGAGCCTTAAGCTCTGCACCCTTCATGTTGCGTGTTGCGCCAGACATTTGGGCTATGGCTTTCAGGATAGCCACCTCGTCAGTCGCATTACTCGGCCATGAGCCCTTGGATTGGCCAGCCACCCCGAAAAGCCGTGGCCTGCCGTACCATTCCCAGCGTGGTGGCAGTTCTTGATCTTCGCGTAGAGCTTCCTCATCCCGGACGCGCGATAGAGTCATCACTGGTGATGTTGGCAATGTTATCTCAGTTCGCATCGCTTGGAAGACCGACTACAGCTGCATTGTACATCGCGCATCCCCCGAAAGCAGCCGCACGCGAATACCAAATGCCGAGCTCTGCCCCGGCAGGAGGTCCAGTCCCACGTAGAACGAGGCGTTAGTCGCTCGCCAGGTCAGCTGTTCGTGTTTAGGCTCTCGTTCGCGGTCATCAGAGGAAGAACTCCCACCGGCTTCTCGCGTCGTTCGTTGCCTCGACGGTGCGGAAGAGGTCTTGGTATGTTGGTTTATTGTCAAGTCGTCGCCGGCTTGCAGTCAATGCACCGAGTGCCCTGCCTTTGGGAGTTCTACAGCCAACGGCCGCCACCTGGTCCCGAGCCGACCACGACATCGAACGCCTGCGCCGCTGCACGATGGAACCCCAATTTCTACGCGCAGATGAGGAACTCGGACAGCAGTGTTCTCGGCATCGCTACCGTCGAAGACACATGTGAGTCGCTTCGGAAAGTCATGGGCCAAATTTCGTCAGCTGGAGATGTTCAATTACTACTATATCCTTCCTCGCCTAAGTTACCTCTCTGGTGACATCGATGATCGCCACTGTGTCTGGCTCGGCCAACTTGATGCTAAGACAGTGTTGCAGGCCAATCGTCAATCGTACTACGTCCGTGGTGAAATTAACTGCGAGGGAAACGGACGGCAGTCGGTTTTCGGCGTGGTGTGCCAAGTGTGCGCGCTTGGATGCTCGACGTTTAGCCTCAAATTAATCAACTGAGCTCAGAGCATGATCCAGCATTCCGCCTGGAACAAGTGTTTCTATGCAATTCCCTGGTATTCCCCATGAGATGTCAAGCTCGATGCGGTGCGCGCTGGTTGTCATGCTCCATGACTCCGTCGAGTGCAGGAAGTGATCTAGCCATGTTTATAATGAGGGGGAACATTGAGCCGCATGGACGAGGTGGAACTCGTCGTAGGAGTGCCCACGAGCTTACCAATAATAGTGTAACGGCGATGTGCTGTCATGTCGCCCAGTGCGGACGGACACGCACATGGTCTCCGCTCTGGGCACCTCCGCCTGGGACGGGCATGCGCATTGCGGACCAAGCCGTACACCATTTGAGGCACCGTCCGCGGCAGTTGCGTAATTGTGAGATTTCAAAGTGTTCTATTAAGGAGAGGAATTCCAGCTACTCTGGAGCGGCCAGAGTGGCCCTATATATCCAAGATACTAAAGGAAAAGGATACGTGGCCTTATGTGGCCACGTATGTGACAGAGTCACAGATGGGGATGGTGATCCTGAAGGATGACTATGGATGGGCTAACGTAGCCCAGAATCCAACAGTAATGACTAAACAGAAGAACAGGGGTCGTCCCCGTTCACGCCATTGCATCATATCCATGACGTGGGGGACTGGAGAATTGCGACGCAACCATGACCGAAGGAGTTCAGGAGTGTCAAGAGTTTATTGCAACCGCTTGTGATTGTTAAGGCATCCGATTCCCAGGGACATAGAACCGCCGTGTGTACTCATCAACAGGTTACAACCTGAGATATCTAAAACCGGAGACAAGCAAACGAGAGAGTATTAAAGGGTAATGGCCCCTCGAAGTCTCACATAGCAGTCTAGAGTTCTGACAGCATCACCAGACCTTTCTCGGTAACCCGTTCCACCATCTCCCTAATCACCCATCAACAATTCACCATGTCTGCCCCTTCAAGCCAGAAGCAATGGTCCGTCACGGGCACGGACAAGGACTTCGACGGCCTGCAATACGTCGACGTCCCGGTGCCCAAGGTGGGCGAGCACGACGTGTTGGTCAAGCTGCACGCCGCCTCGCTCAACTACCGCGACCTCATCATCCCCAAGGGCCTGTACCCGTTCCCGGCCAACTTCCCCGTAGTGCCGGGTTCGGACGGCGCCGGCGAGATCGCCGAGGTCGGCTCCAAGGTCACCAAGTGGAAGAGGGGCGACAAGGTCGTCACCCTCTTCAACCAGGGCCATCAGTTCGGCCCTGTCGACCAGGCCGCCGCCGGCACGGGGCTCGGCGGTGTGCTGGACGGCACACTGCGCCAGTACGGCGTCTTCAGTGAGACGGGCGTCGTGCGCGCGCCCAAGAACCTCAACCACGTCGAGTCGAGCACCCTGACCTGCGCGGCGCTCACAAGCTGGAATGCGCTCTACGGCCTGCGACCTCTCAAGCCCGGCGAGACGGTCCTCGTGCAGGGCACCGGCGGTGTCAGCATCTTCGCCCTACAGGTACGTATCAGTGCCACACCTTCCTCGTAACTCAACACTCACAGCATCCCCGGCTATAGTTCGCCAAGGCCGCCGGTGCCACGGTCATCGCCACGACATCCAGCAAGGCCAAGGCCGAGACGCTCAAGAAGCTCGGCGCCGACCACGTGCTCAATTACAACGAAGACAAGGACTGGGGCCAGACGGCCAAGGGCCTGACGCCCGATGGCGCGGGCGTCGACCACGTCATCGAGGTCGGCGGCTCTGGCACCGTCGAGCAGAGCCTTCAAGCCATCAAGTTTGAGGGCATCATCAGCTTCATCGGCTTCCTCGGCGGCGCCAAGATCGAGGCCTCTGTGATTGAGACGCTGTACCATATATGCACCGTCCGCGGTGTGTATGTTGGCTCTAGGGCCCTCATGGAGGACATGGTGAGGGCGATTGAGGCGAATGATATCCACCCCGTGGTGGATGAGAAGGTGTTCACATTCGATAAGACGCGGGAGGCTTATGAGTACATGGTGGGTGCGTTTCTGATATCCGTGATGGGTGAGATACTGATCGTGGTGTCTAGTGGGCAAAATCGCACTTCGGCAAGGTCGCTATCAAGATTGAGTAAATGTAGTGTCTGTTGTACTTTGAGATTATCCAGCAAAAGCGACTCATTTCACCTTGAATGAATTCATTCTCGAACTCTGCTTAGCCAATGCTCCTCTTCGTGACCGACTTCCCTGTCTTGACATATAGTCAGCAATCACGTATTTTCACTTATCCGTGTAGAGATAACCGTGCACAACGACCCAAGAGCGCTGTCGCGAGGCTGTTAAACAGCAACCTGGACCCAACGCCGTAGTACCTAATGCAGGTGCCTAACTCCAGTTCCGTAGCACCAATAAAGTCGCCCTGACAGGACAAGGGGATGCATTGGCGGCCTGCAATACCTAACTTCGCCGAAGATCTTGAACCGCTGGTACACGCTTCCCGTTCAACTATATTAACCATGCCTGTAAGGGTAATAGGTCTCCATGTCTTCTACAAGCTTCCAAGCCGGGCACAGCGTTGGATCGCTGTAGAATATCCCACCCAAACTCTCCACCACCTCACACCGTTCGTCCATAGTGGACGCGTTCCAGACGCGACCCAGCCCCTTCTCCGCCGCCTCGTCCCTATCCCGGGCCGTGAGCACCCACACGCCCTCCCCACTCTGGGGCCACGCGGCGACAACCAGTGGTTTGCCGTCCAGAAGCTCCGGCTTCATCCATCCGATCATGTGGTAGGAATCTACACTCGAGAACGACCACGCCCCGAGCTGCCTCATGCGATCACAGTGTCGGTCTTCTTCGGTGCTGTCCTCGGAGCGCTCGGCAGGCTCGAAGCGCGAAAGCTGCAGGAACACGAGGTCGACGCCGCATCCTTTCGATGAGAAGAGTTGGATGACGAGGGCAGCCATGCGGCTAGGTATAACAGACCAAGTCAACAAGACCATAAAAGGGATACCAAGACGCGTCCCAAGGAAAGTCCCCGTTCACTTCGCCTATCGCTTCTCCCCCTCCCGAAATCTCCTGAATATTTCTGTTGCTGCAATCGGCAGAGCCTGAATTGATTCCACATCATCGATACCATCTCAATCTGCTGGGTTGGGAACACGAAGACGAATCCTGTTGCTGCAATCCCATTCAGGATGGCTCATACCAGGCTTCCCCTTCACCTCGTATTACATTTATCCTTCTGGGCCTATCTTGCCCTCGGTATGGCCGTTCCTCACAACCAGAATGGAGATGAATCCCTTCCATACCCCCTCCTTACTCGGCAAGATGCGAATACCACGGTAACGACAAACATCACTGCCAACCAACAGTCTGTCCGGTCGAGATCAACGCTACACAAGCTGTCTCATACTTCCAGGCCGCCCTAGATTCGGAGGGGATGACCTATGATGGGCACTGCCAAGCTGCGGCCACCAGACTGGTCAAATATACTGGCCGCGAAAACCACGACTCTAATGAAATATACAAGGGCTGGCTCCAATCATGGAAAATCATGAACCAGATGCTCGACGTGGCGGACGACCTTAATTGGAATGAAGCCTCTGCCGCCGATTACCTGGGACCGCCTGGTTTGAACAAGGATGTTCAGACCAGGATCAAGAGTACGTCCATCCACGCACCTACGCGCGCAAACTGATGCTCAAACTGATGCTCAAACTGATATCTATCAGATCTCTATAAGAAATGGGGCACTATCCAGCCAGGATACATTACTACCCCCTCTGACTGGCGCCTTCACGTCCGCTGCGACGATCCGAAGAAAAAGGGTGCCAAAGACGCTTGTGGTTCTACTCCCCCAAACCGCGGCCCGTACGCATACACGACCAACAAGGATGACGACTCCGGCCTCGCTCGCATTAACTTCTGCCCGCGTTACTTCGGTGCTTGGGAGCTTGGCGAGGCCATTGACTTTGGCAAAGACCCAGCCCCGGGTCCTACCTGGCAGCTCGATGTTGGGAACTACACGATGAATAAGGGCCATATCTGGGCACATGAGCTGATGCGCGTGGACTGGGCTGTCAATGCCGGCAAATATGGGGAAAACGACCACGTGGGTGACCTACGCATGCGAGTGAATGACCGATCCGGCGTGTCCATCGTGGCAAAAGCCTATGGCCCGGCGCCAGTGAAGGCCTTAGCACGGTATGCCCAAGATACGGGGAAGTGGGTTATACGCAACGCCGACTCCCTCGCGCTCTACGCCTCAGTCCGCTACATCCAGAGCAAGCTCAGCAACGTCTACCCCCATTTGCCCCTCGCCCCTGCCGCTCCGAGTAGCGTGTGGGATCCGAACAACCGAGAGGGCGACAGTGTCGGTACACTCTCGTCCGGAAACGAAACTTTGGCAGCATGGGACCTCTACAGCAATGGCTCCGTCGTGCTGCCGTTCGTGAATTCCACTGGCGATCCTGGCAATAAATACTGCCCTACCATGTATATGGCGGGCACGACACTTGCCAATTCCGATTGGTATGACGAGGATGCCGGCGATAATCCAGATTATGAGCTCGACTTCAACACTTTCGCCTCTGCGGATTATCTAGACAAGACCTACTCGAATCAGTTGAACGACCGGTGGGCCAGCGTCTATTCAGGGGCTGGATCTACTACTACTAGTACTACTTCCTCTTCGCCTACGAATACTGCCGCATCGCCCACTGGTACGTGTAGCAGCACATGCAACTGCAACAAGAGCGAATGCACAGCAGATTCCTGTTGTACCAACGGAAATTGCGACGCCAACTGCTAGTCTTCGGGGGAGTAAAGTTCGCGCTGATAGTTATATACTGTCATGAGGATCTGTTGGATTCTGGGCTACGTTAGCCCATCCATAGTCATCCTTCAGGATCACCATCCCCATCTGTGACTCTGTCACATACGTGGCCACATAAGGCCACGTATCCTTTTCCTTTAGTATCTTGGATATATAGGGCCACTCTGGCCGCTCCAGAGTAGCTGGAATTCCTCTCCTTAATAGAACACTTTGAAATCTCACAGGATCTCGTGGAATATGGTTCCACACCAACGACTGGTTCAGATTCAACGGGTTGCGAAGATCGGTAACGAGTGCTGCTATGATGCCGTAGGGTATATTATATGGCGCTGAGGAGGGCGCCTGGAGAAGGATCCCAGGAATGGATCTGTCTTTACTGAGTGACGGCGTTGGCGAAGTGAAGCGCCCTGGCAGGTACGGGATAGTGGTTTTTTTGGGGTTTTTTTTGGTTTTTTTTGAGAATTTACTCAACACTCTGCGCAGTATGAATCAGCTGTTAGAGAATGGAGCTTCTTTCTCGAAGACACCAACGTTAACGACGGTGCCTATCCTGGCCAAATAGATCTATGTCTATGGGGCATGCTGGGACAAGCAAATTTCCTTCATACGGTTCCTAGTAGGAGCCGGAGCTTCGTCGTTGAGGTTGGGGCTGACGCAAATGCCGCCACCGGCTCCATCATGCATACCAATTTGGTGTTACCCACGATGGAGGTCATCGTGTTTCGCTTGATCCAATCGTAAGACGATGCATCCGCGCTCCCAGTGTTTTGAGGCTAACATGTACCTAGATCCTTAGACGATGGAGATATCCATATCACTTGCGAACAATGGAACTTGCGTGACAACCAACAGCCTAGCCTCAGAAGCACAGAAGGGATCGTGGTACCGTCTTGCGAAGCCATACACCTCAGAGCAAGAGATGCAAAGGTACCTCCTCTCGGAAACGTTCTCATATCTCTCTCGGAGAATGGGTTGTCTCTACGAGTTGGATCTCGGTTCTACACTCGAGAAAAGCGCTATACATTCAAAGGGGTGGGCGGTCTGGACAACATGGATCTCGATATTTTCGACGACATTGGAATTTTCGGATGCGTCATTGCCATGGCATCGCGACGCAGAGTGATCCGATCGATCGCGACTCAAGTCGATCAGAATGCGGAAGTTAGGGGTGCTGAGGAATCACAGTCCTTTGACGACGTCGAAGACCAGGATCATAACGAAGCGACAAGCAGCGTTTCGACGGACGAGGATGATTCCGAGGACTCCGACTCCGACAACGACGAAACCGCTCGTCACCGTATCGACAGAGCCACTGCACAGCCTACGAGTAATGTGGCACACGAGTCCGACTCCGAGTTTTCGGACGTGGACGAGGTCGAGCAGGCGATGAGCGACGATTCGCAGAGCGATTGAGACATTTTCGAGTCCTGCTCTGCGCGTGAACTCTTGAGTGAAACATCGTCAGCCGTGCTTTCAGACGAGCTAGATTTCGGCGTCATGTGGTAAGACGACGGGAGTCAAGAAAGCGACACCAAGTCTTGGGAGTTCCGAAGGTAGCGAAATGCCAGAAGAGGATGACGACCTGACAAGCCTGCCACCGGGTAGTATCGAAAGTGTTTCGGTCAAGTCATGGAGTTCTTCTAGTTCAATACCGCGTCACTCCCACCAATACTTGGATCATCGAAGGATTCATCTCCAGCGGTTTCTTGAGCTTAGGGTACCGTCGGGACTCAAAGACGCAATCACCGAGATTCGAGTATATCAGCGAAACGCAGAGGGAACAACTTGTCCTGAAGTATTCTGTTTTCGCCAGAGAGCAGGGGGGCCACTCATTGACTCCCCTCCGGTATTGCATCCCGATCATGACCTCGCTGTCTGGCCAAACGGAAAGGGTGAAGTTGTCTTTGCGGACTACGGTAACAAGACATACTTCCACTTGAAACTCGCCACAGCCAGAGAAGATCAATGCGCCGTCTCTGTACAAGCCAAGTTTTCCACATGTGGACTGTATCTCCACATGGCCTCATTCTACGTGAACCTCTGTCCAAGTCTAGCTTGCGAGGTTTTAGATAATCGTCCTGAGCGACGGCCGCATTTCCTCCATCATGAACTGCATGTCACAACGCATCGGCTATCGAGGCGCAAGCCAACTAGGTGTCCCCCACGGCTAATCTACCACGTCGCATTAGATTCCCTCGACAAGATCGATTTTGGACGGCATCCCACTCCAGAATTCCTAGGCTTCACTTTGAGGTGGGGCCAGAAGTATCTGTTCGTATCGATTACTGGGTCAGTGCTACAAGTGGTCCGCATCCCACTCTTCCAAAATGTGATGAAAAGGGACCCTGGATGGGAGGCTTCGAACGGTATCTGCGAAACCAAGGGCACAGTCTTCCTTCCCGAGTCTTCCAAGAGCAGGGAAGTAAAGTTCTTGCCCATATCAGCAAAGAGCAAACGAGAAACCGACCGCAGGAAGAAGCAGATAGTGGCAATGCTATTCCTGTCAAGTGCCTCGGGAGCCGGGCCTCTTCCGCCTCATGTGGTGTATCTCACGGCATCCCAGCTGGGTGATTGGGCTGCAGTGAGCGACCTGCCACATTGCGACCCTGTTCACAGGCAAATCGCGACGGAAGGTAGATTGAAAAACTCCCATATGCTGGAGAAGTTTAAGAAACTTAATGCTTGTATGACGTGTGGAAGGGGGCTTTCTGAAGGCATAACTGCGTCATGATCTAAGGCATGATGGTCCTATTGTATCAAGTGAGGGTTTCCTGAGAATGGTCACAATGGTCACGTCAAATCAAAGGGAAGCAGGTGGATGGAGGAGCTTTGTCAGGATGCTTTAAGAATAAGCCTGACTTTGTGGTTTGAGTGTGTATTTAGGACCATTTCCTAGTCGCAGACCCGTAAACAAAACAAGCAAGAAGGTAATCTACCCCTATTTCGCACGACCAAGGCCTAGCCTACTGTAACTCCTTCGAAAAAAGCAAAATCCCTTTCGAGCACATGAGGATTCGTCTCCTGTGGAGAGCTCGAAATCGACGAGAACTGGTGTTCCGTCCGCGCAAATCAAACAATTCTCCCTATGCGCATCTCGATGCACAATGCCCCTCTCATGCAGCCGTGCAAAAGCACCCTTACATGCGTCTCTTACCTCGTCTGACCAGACAGCCGCCGCAGTTCGTGCATCTGCAATATACTCAATCAGAAACCCGATGACCCGTCCATCCTCGGTGACGTGGCCCAGAAACCGCGGCGCAATGTCCGTGTTCTCCAAGAGCTGATAAATACCAATCTCTCTCTCCATTGCCTGGATGGCTAGGTCTGAAGGAAAGCTGGCGATCTTCATAACCACGGGTGTCTCGAAAAAGGGGTGCGAGACGACCTGCACGACATCGGCTCGTGTGCGTTGAACGGTAGACACGTTCTTCAGCGACCTGACCTTCACGAAGTCGACATATTCAATGCTCATGGGGTGCCAGGGGTTACTTACCTCGAGCAGCTCTGTCCGTGAGACACTGTTCACCCTGAGCTCGCCCTTTCCGGTGTGGGGGTCAATTCACCGTGTCCGGCTTTAGCCCGATCTCGGCTGTGTTCCAGTTGCCGAGCGGGAGGCGTGGCAGATCGACTACTACCTTTTTCCAGTCGCGGTAAGACTGGCTTGAGACGTTGTTGCTGATCGTGATGTACTTATTTGCGTCCTTTACGCCATCGTGGACACGCACCCGGACCTCCAGGGATCGACCGGGTATGCGCGTTGGAAGCCCAGAACTTCGGCGTTCTCGAAGCGGTATTCGTCTATGGGTGTATTGTCCTTGATGTGCTCGATCCGTATACTGGTGATGATTAGTTCCGTGAGGGCGCTTGGGAAGGCCAGAAGAAGAAGGGTTACGAATAGGAGGAAACTCCAAAGAGCCCTGCGGATCGTTTGCCAGGCCATGATGATGCAATATGGGTGAGAAGACTAGCGCTTCTACTGTCTTGGGTGAGTCCCTGGTATGATTCGACTGTAGCTTCAATATTACTAGATCTGTTGGAGATGTACTTACTATTGAATCGATATGTACCACGCTCTTGAGCGGGGAGGGGAGACTGAAGTACTCTTCCATTTCTAGCTATTGATTCTCCTTGTTCACGTCCCTCAGTGTCAAAGGGTCTTGAGGAACAAATTGTTTGTTGATTTCGTAAAGAAGCTCAATATTATGCCTAGTAGGGATTGAAAAGAAACAAAGAAGGCTACAACGACCACGTGAGGTCGAAAGAACGGCTGAGTGAAAGAACATAACACATCGGCCGAGTGGTGTCAAACAGAGCGTGGGGGCTTTTAGATGGGTGAAAACGTATATTCTGGTGTAATCCGTGTTCTTGTTGTATCTCTGAAAATACTTCTGTGGGCTAAGTGGCCCAAAAATGCCCTATTGGCCTTGTTGGTGCACTGCCACCTCCCTGAACGCCACGGTGGCTTGCGCGCCATTCAACAAGTGGGCGTTCAGGGTGGGTTTGACTGAGTCATCCACCCCTACTGCTAAACGTACAGACCCTAAACATCATCATCGTGGAGCTGGATGTCCATCTTCCAAGCCTCCACCTGCCTCGGCCTGGCCCATTCACGGATGGCGTCAAAATCACGGCACGTATGCGTGGCTGCCAGCTCGGGGAAGACGTGGAGGTCGGTCTCGTTGACGGTGTGGAACGGTATCGGTGTGATGTCCGCGCTGCACATCATGGCTTCTCGAATCGAGTTGACGCAGTGGTCTGCAAGATTCGGACACACAAGTCAGCGGCCGGTAGGTTTTATCACAACATGTGCTGCTGGCACGGGGGGTTGTTCTGGCTGGGAATTTACCGATATGAAGGGCCTTTGGCGCGGTCCGGTTCACTGTTCCGAACTCGGTCATCTCTAGAGCGTCGGGGTAGTCCTCCCTCCAGAGCGCCTTGCGGATCAAGTTTAGGCAGTGGATGTTGTGGAATACTGTGATCATGACCGGATAGGTGTCCGGGTCGTTGGGAGTGGGCTTGGTTTGGTCTACCAGCTGCGCAGCTTCTGAAGTGCTCAAGCCCACCGTGCCGACTGTGAGTATAGTTAGTAAGTTGGTATTCGAAGGCGAGCGGTATACAAGAGCTTACAGTCGTAGAGATCCATCCACATCTGATCCAAAACATCGGTGCTCTTCTGATGAACGTAGGGGTTCTGGTCGTCAGCGTCGAGCTTGACAGTGTTGTATCGAACAGCTGCATTGGCCGGGGCTATGGTGCGAGTGGTAAGCTGTTTTGAAGATATATCAATTGTATTCGGTCTTGGACATACAGTACAAGTTCAGGGCCGGGTTAGGAGCTTCACGCGTCCCGAGCAGCACGAGCCAAATGGTCTCCAAGGCGACAACAAGACTGAGGAGGCCTATGATGCAAGACGTCCATGGCTTTCTGCGGGGATATGTTCGAGACTCCACGTCGAGGTTAACGTCGTCTTCTCTCAGAAGGTCAGTTTCCTCAAAGGACTTTTCGGAATCCATGATGCTCGAAGTATTGAATGTGGAACTAGTATTTCCGTATCGTGCAGAAGAGACTCGGTGAGGGAAAGGGAGAAGACTGTACGGGAACTGAATTGATGGAGAATGTGAAAAGGAAGTGGGGGGGCCGTCTGGCACTCGAGGTCATGGAATCATAACCGAGGGTTGTATCACATCGACAGCTACAAGCAGCGCTTATTCATACCCCATATCTTGGACGGCAAATCATACGTCAAGCATAGTGATAAGACTAACACGAAGAAGGGAGGTCAATTGCCTTGCCGATGAGTAATCTGGTGCAGATCAGGTCAGCCCTACTGCAGCTCCAACGTTACTGCACACAATCCCGAGTCAGACCAGCATGAACGAAAACGAGATATCACAGACGACGGCGAAGGTTTACAGGCCAGCTCGCATCGTGATGCGGAACTTATCACATGTCTACATCATTTCCCTTGCAGATGAGTAATCTCGTGCAGATCAAGTCAGCCCTACTGCATCTATACTGTAAGTTTATAGGCCCGCTTGCATCGTGATACGGAACTTACCAGGCTTCTACATCATTACCCAGCGGCACAGCAACGCTTTGGCGCGGGGAATGATAACGATGATTGTCAACCAGATAGCCTATATGCGCAAGTTCACGACCCTGAACCGGTTTCCGGACCCTGTCCTTCTGCGATACGATGTCACCACCTGCCGCATTCTGCACAACAAGCTTATAAATGCCTCAGGTTGTCATCCACGATTGGTGGTTGACAAGCCGACGTCAGAGACAAAGGCAATGTAAGCCGCAGAGACACGACTGCCCGCACTTGACTGCACTCCCCTTTCTCTCCCAGTTCCCGCGCTTCCCCGCTGGAACTTGAGCAGACCGGCAGGAGGGTGCTGAGGTCTATAAAGCCACCTTGTTCCTGCCCAGCCTATCGACCCGGAGAGGACTTTCTCGCACCACGGCAGACATAGCAGACCACCTCCTCATACAGCCCTCATACCATCTCCATCTCGAGTCCAATCGGTTCCCGCCATCTACACAAGAACCGGTTCGAAGCACGCTCCACCATCATGCAGATCAAGCTCCTCGTTACCGCGGCCCTTGCGTCCGCCTCCTTGGCCTTCCCGCTCTTCGGCAAGTCCGCCAACCAGAAAAGGGACGAGGCCGCCTCTTTGGAGGACATCGAAACGGCCGCCTGGTACGGTTGGGACAAGAGAGACGACAAGGCTTCCACCAAAAAGCGTGACGAGGCCGCATCTCTCGAAGACATCGAGACCGCGGCCTGGTACGGCTGGGATAAGAGGGACAACAAGGCTCCCACCAAGAAGCGTGACGAAGCTGCTTCTCTGGAAGACATCGAGACTGCTGCATGGTACGGTTGGGACAAGAGGGATGAGGCTGCGAAGAAGTAGGGTTGGCGACATTGCCTCCATAGGGTGTCCCTGGACTGCTGCACCCGTACGGTGTGATCTGGGGTTGGTAAAGCAAGGAAGTTCGGGCAGAGATTAAACAGTGTTCCTGATTTTCGGAGATATTTGCACTAGTTGATTTCCCAAGAGAAACGAAGCCCTTTCCCATCTAATGTGGCTCCTTCTTGAACAACCTTTCTATGGTGCCAGCATCCAAATGCCTCCATTAAACCCCTAAGGCTCTGTAAATCGTGTAATATTACAACGCCAGCTTACACGCCAGTGTATAGATGTCATCAAGATGGCCAAGTTCAGCAGTAGGGGTGGATGACTCAGTTGAATCCACCCTGAACCGCCCACTCGGCCGATGTGTTAGTTCCCTTCACTCACTCCCAGCTGGACATGACCATTACTATGACCATTGTCCAGACCAGTACATCAGGATATGGACCGTTCCTCAAACCATGGTTGCTGACCGCGGTGGCTCCTGAGTGGTTGTATATCATTGCAAAACAAACAACGTCGAACGGAGGCATGTCTCATGCAAACATGCAACATTGTGATCAGCTCATAGTACCTAGCAAGGCACATGATGTGAAAGACGCTGGGTTTGTCCATTTGACTACAGTTAATCGAGATGATTCAGCGGGACTATCTGCCGGCGACTCCAAAAAGCTTCCACAATACAGTTCTCGGGTTTTACTCCATGTTGGGGATGAATACCGGTAGTCATGGTCGCATTCTACCCCAACGCTGTTGTAACGTCGATTATGGCATACATGTGCTTGATGCTATAACCTATAAAAGCATGCCACCACCCCAAATCTATACAACGTCACGCGAGCCTAGAGCAGCGAAACACACACATTTATCTCCCTGACTCTCCCCTTTCCTTGCTGCGACATGAAGCTTCCCAAGACCATCATGTTTAGCGCGGACGAGATCACCAAGCACGGCACGCCGTCCTCGTGCTGGCTGGTGATAAACGGCAAGGTGTACGACGTGACCGCATACCTAGACCTGCACCCCGGCGGCGCGGCCATCCTCCTCAAGCAGGGCGGGCAAGTATGCCTCCCGTCCGTAACAAGTTTCCTCCCCTATCTATCTCAACATCGACTCAGACGAATACTCATCGTGACTCCAGGATGCCACATTCGAGTTCCGCAAGATTCACTCGCCGGACATACTGCAGTTCCTGCCCAAGGACATCTGCCTAGGCGAAGTCGACCCCGCAACCGTGGCCTCACTCCCCCTCGCCTCCGCATCAAATGCAGACACGAACCCCAACGGCAACCCCAACTCCAGAACCTCCACCACCAACGCCGGCAGTGGCCCCCCGCACATCTCCCACTGCATAGCCCTCCCGGACTTCGAGCCCGCCGCCAAGGCCGTCCTCTCGCCCAACGCCTACTCGTACGTCTCATCCTCCGCAAACTCGGGGCTCGCGCACGCCGCCAACCTATCCTCATGGCGCCGCGTCAGCTTCCGGCCGCGCATCTGGCCGCAGGGGGGCGTGGCGCGGGCCAGCGCCCGCACGTCGATCCTCGGTGCCGGTGCCGCGTTCCCTTTTTACTGCTCGGCTATGGGCCAGCTGGGGCGCGCGCACGACGGCGGCGAGGTCGCGCTGGTGAGGGCGCTGGCGAGGCGCGGGGTGCATGGGTTGTTGAGCACGGTTTCGACACAGAGTATGGAGGAGGTAATGGAGGCTTTTGAGGGGGAGAAGAGGGCGCTGGAGGGGGGTGGGGATGAGGGTAAGGGTGCCAGTGTGAATGAAGGAAAGCCATCGACAGGCGCCGGCGTCGCGGCCGCGGAGGAGCTCCCACCCGCGCAATTGCACTTCCAGCTATACATCCCGAACGACCGCAGCGTCGCCGTCGATACTATTCGGCGCGCCAAAGCGGCCGGCTTCCGCAGCCTGTGGGTGACGGTCGACACGCCGACGATCGGCAAGCGCACCATCGACCGGCGCATCCAGGCGCAAGAGGCGCTGGCCATGGGCCTGCCCGTCGAGGCCGAGAAGGCGGGCTTCGGGATGCGGTCGCACGTCGATGGAGGGCAGCTCAACGCCGCGCTAACCTGGGCGGACCTCGTCTGGATCCGGGAGGCGTGGGGCGACGGTCCAGTGGTTGTCAAGGGCGTGCAGAGCGCTGAGGACGCGCGGCTGGCGCTGGCGCACGGGTGTCAGGGCATCGTGCTGAGCAACCACGGCGGCCGGCAGGCGCACTCGGCGCCCGACGCGCTGACGACGCTGCTGGAGATCCGGACGTATTGCCCGGAAGTGCTGGGGCGGCTGGAGGTGCTTGTGGACGGCGGGTGCCGCGACGGCGCCGACGTGCTGAAGGCGCTGTGTCTGGGCGCCACGGCGGTGGGGATCGCGCGGCCGTTCTTCTACGCGCTGGGGGCGTATGGGGAGAAGGGGGTTGAGCGGTGTTGTGATAGTGAGTACTTCCGGTTTCGTATCGTTACTCTTGCCTTTCTGTTGTTCTGGCTTTTCATGCCGATGCTGATATTGCGGGGGATAGTTCTTGCGGAGGAGCTTGTGCTCAATATGAAGCTGATTGGGATGAACTCGCTGGACCAGGCGAGCCCGGATCGCGTCAATGCGATGCGCCTGTACAACGAGATGTGGCGCCCTGAGAAGGGTCGATTGTGAAGGTAGATGGGATCTTGGGGCCTACTGATGGCGTTGTTCGTTGGCATGCATGCATAGTCGGTATCGACGACATGGCCTTGGTGTATGTATTCCGCTTCGTCGCATCTAGCTTCGGGGTTTTGAGTGTTCTCGGTGTGGAGGGAGGAGACCAACGGATGTGTCTGTTTGGGCTCGTCGCAAGAATTGGATACATCTTTGACACGGCGAGACGGACTGGGCCTACGGTCATCGTCTGGGGTGCAATCAGCGCGAGGTGAGGTTCTAGAGTTCATTGCAACGTAGCTTGCACCGTATTCGTCCAATGCCGTGGTGACAGGAACATCAGCAAGTAGTGGGTGCATTGCGTTTGTAACTCACTCTACCAAGCAGGCATATCGAGCCGCGGGAGATGGAAAGTTCCGGTCTCTTCAACGGTAGTCATTTCCCGGGCTGACCTGAAGAACATGCTGGCATACTGAGAGAATTCGGCGTCAAGATGTCGAGACGCTGGATAATAGCTATCAACCTGGCGGATCGTCAAATTAGCACGTCTTTGAAAAGAAATGAGTGGCGATTCAGCAACGCCCGGGGAGTCTGCAACGTTCAGCGGATCAGAAGCGGCCGATGTATGTCACATTGCTCGCAGCGTGCGACTATTCAACAACGATGGTACTCTGGGGGTATCCAGTGAATAGAGTGATAAGTTCTGGGGAATCGTATCTGTATATCAAGGAAGACGAGCGCGTCTAATAAGTATCGAACCAGGCACCTCAGCAGCCCTCCCTCTTCGTATCCTGGTATCGATGATGGACAAGTCGAAAATCATTCCCGGCTCTTCGTAATTTCGTACGCCATCCAGCCACTGCCCATGGCCAGTACCATGCGGCATGCGGCGGCGTGTCCTCTGATCGAGGTCGAAAGCCAAGATGTTCAGTGGGCCATAACCTCCTTACCAGCTTGCGCATCGGCAGCCGTGTGGTCGTCGACCTCCATAGCATCGTCACCAGCCTCGGCAGCCTCTTCCTCTCCCTCAACCTCTTCTTCGAGGTCATCCTCACTCTCGTCCTCGAGATCGACACTGCCCTCATCGGAAACCTCGTCTTCCTCGGCAAGCGCTCCGGGCCCTTCGACGCCTCCCATCTCGGCGTCACCGTCGGCAGCTACAGCGGCGGCTGTGGCGCTGCCCTCGCCATTCTTCCCGGGTGCAGCATCGGCAGCCTCCTCTTCCTCAGCCTCCTCGTCGATTTCCTCGGCTCCGTATTCATCTCCATCAGCTACAATATCGGCTTCGGGCTGCTCGGGTGGGAACTCGGCTGGGGCAGAGGCTTCAGAATCCCTGTGTTGCAAGTCAGTAAGGTGACTTGAAACCCTCCCCGGGAATTTTCAGGGACTGGGCTACTCATACCACTTGATGGCAAAGCGCGTGACTCTGGGCTTATCAGCAAGAACATTTCGTCGAATCTTCTCAACAATGGGCCTGGCAGGCGGCTCGGCATTCAGCTCATCCGACTCGTACTCATTGTTCACATAGTATCCGACTCGTACGAACTCGCGACCGTCGTATGAGCAGGTAAGTAGGACGACAGTAACGCCTAAAATATCAGCATCGGGAATGCGGGTTGTCTTTGGAGGCGCAGCCTCAAAGTTGAACTTGTTGACACCAACGGGGATGGGGCCAACGAGGAGACTGTCGAGTTCTTGGTCATACTGGTCACTGTTGGCGCAGGTTAGCAACAGTCTGCCATAGCAGTCAGAGTCACTGGGCGGCCACTTACGAGGTAGCCGAGCCGACATAGGTCAGCTTCCACTCCAAGTCTGCAAGTAAGTGTCAGTCTGGTGTTTAGTACCCAGGACGGTCCGAATCGGCGCACACACCTTTCTCAAGATGTTCCAGGCACTCGAAGGTGATCTCGAACTCGTAGCTGTCGGTGAACTTGGCAGGGTTGTTCATGACATTGACCCCAAGGAGAGATACAACCGACATCTTGGGCTGGGTAAGGTAGGTATGTACCGGTCGGTGGTGGGTAGACGATTGTGTCTGCAGCAAGAGGAGATGCCACCGACTGGTCGGATGGGCTATCGTGGTAGAATAGTTAGCCGTCAGCGCTGTCGCCTGATGCTTGATCTGAAGTCAACAGTGGAACGACTCGGAGACAGAGGCGGCGTCAGATTCGAAAATCGTGAAGGACCTGGTGAGCCTGGTTCACATTGATGTTATTGTTGTCGTGACGGCGGGTGATGGGTGATGGGCGGGTGATGGTGTGGGTTGTGGAGTTGATGCGACCAGGGCAACGACTCAATTAAAGAGGAACGCGCCTGCGCGCCTCCAGTCCTGAAAGCGCGTCCTCGGATGCGACGCTGTTCATTGGGTGCCTTGCCATGTAAAACACGGTCTGGAGATCACACTCCAGTGGACCCCTTGTGCAACCCGCCTGTCCAACCTCCTGCACGTCGGCTTTGGTCCCAGCCTCCACTTCGTCTGCATGTGGCTGTGCGCCAGGAAGTGTGGCTGGGAAGATGGTCTGGATTGCCTGATTGTCTGATTGTCTGGGCAGCCACAGAGGTACTCACTCATGTGGAGTTGCTACCTAAGGCAGAGCGGAGCCGCGCTAGGCTGTTCATGGCTAGAGCTGACATTATTCTGAGAGCTTGGATCCTTTCGGCCATTTCTCCATTCAAGAATCCTGACCTGCTTTTTATTGTTCCTGCGATTGCCGGTACCTGATTCAACCTCTTCCCATCACCTCAAGTCGACAGACTGCGACACTGCATGTTCTCCTCCTGTGCTGCTGTACCACCCAGAGCAGAAGTTGTCAGCGACATCATAGAGGCGAATATTCCATCCACAGGCACTGCCGGTGTGCTCGTCCGGACTCATTTGGCAGCTACCTCGTGCTGGATTGACGCATTGAGCTGACACCATCGTCGCGATAGAACCTGCTTGCGCATCGCGCGCCCTTGCGCCCACTGCGCCCATTGACCTTTTCGCTTACCAAGATATTCTACGGACTTCATCGCAGATCCTCTCTGCCATCGCTGGCTCCAACATTACCACCATGGCTTCCGAGGGCTCACAAGATACCGGCGCCCAGCAGGGCAGCAATCCCACTGGGAGTGTAGATGGATGGACTGGTGCTGCTGAGAATCATGGTCCAAATACTGAGCATAGCGCCGAACAAGTCCAAGAACCTTCCATGCAACTTGACCCAGTCCACAATATTGCTTCTGGTGATTCCGCGGGCATAGACGAGGACGATGACGAGGATGCTGGAGAGTACGACCCCGAGTCCGTCACCATTACCACTTCTGCCCCTCCCCATGTTGAGCGAAGCGCTTCTGCTGCCTCGTCTCGTCCCCTCAAGAAGCCCAAGACAGCTGGAGGCTTCATTGTTGGTTCATCTGATGATGAAGACGACGACACACCTGCTCCGGCGCCGACCCCCAGCACTCTAAAGCCCACTCCGACTGAGGCGCAAGCTCGGCCTTTTGGTCAATCCCCTTTCCATCAATCTACCACTCCTCAAGATACCTCGAGCTATGGCTCTGCTCAAGCGAGCAGTAACTCGATTCCTGCTGCCACAACCGCTGCAGCTACCACACCTACAGTCACAGTCAACCCGAACGTGGCCGTGACAGGCGCTGGTAAATCAAGATTGCCCACTGATAGTATCGGCATCCTGGAAAACCGTGTCAAGGAAGATCCCCGAGGCGACGTTGAGGCATGGCTAGCCTTGATTGACGAGCAGAAGCGCCGTCACAAGGTCGACGATGCCAGGTCCACCTACGAACGATTCCTTGAGATATTCCCACAAGCGGTCAGTTCTTCAGCCTTCATCGCAATTCTGGATCATTGACGCTGACCTTCCACAGGCCGAGATTTGGGTTGCATACATCGACATGGAGCTGAGCTTGGACAACTTCACCCCCGCGGAGACGATCTTCAGCCGCACACTGATGCGGGTGCATAACGTACAGCTGTGGACAACCTACCTCAACTATGTCCGTCGCAGAAACGACCTCAACAATGATCCAAGTGGCGCCGCACGCCAGGTCCTCAGTCAATCCTACGAGTTTGTGCTCAATAACATCGGGCAGGACAAGGATGCAGGGTCTATTTGGCAGGACTACATCCAATTCCTGAAGACAGGCCCAGGACAACTTGGAGGCACAAACTGGCAGGATCAACAAAAGATGGACCAGCTACGTAAAGCGTACCAACGTGCCATCGGAATCCCAATGGCCAACTTGAACGCGCTATGGAAAGAGTATGACCAGTTCGAGATGGGCTTAAACAGGCAGACGGTGAGCAATGTTGACATGTTACGATGTGTGAAGGACGGGCTAATAAAGAACATTCAGGGCCGAAAAAAGCTTCAAGAGCGGTCACCGGCTTATATGACAGCTCGCAGTGCCAATACCCATCTGGAGAACATCACAAGGGGTTTGCAAAGAACCACTGTTCCTCGTTTGCCGCCTGCTCCCGGCTTCGGCGATCAAGATTACATGGAACAGGTCCGACTATGGAAAGCCTGGATCGCCTGGGAAAAGGAGGATCCGCTTGTTCTGAAGTCCGAGGATGCAGAATCCTTGCAACAGAGGATACTCCACGTCTACAGTCAAGCCCTTATGGCGTTACGCTTCTGGCCAGAGCTGTGGATTGAAGCCGCGGAATGGTGTTTCGACAACAAGATTTTCGGAAAGGATGGTCAGGACCTGGGTCTGCAATTCCTCGTCGATGGCATTGCCGCCAACCCCGAGAGCTCCGTTTTGGCGCTGAAGCACGCGGATCATATTGAATTGACGCAGCGCGATGGCGAAGACGACGGGGCGAAAGCCGCTCTAGCTCAGGCTGTGCGAGCTCCATTCGACAAGGTCCTCGACGCCCTATATGAGATGGTCAAGAAATTGAAGGAACGAGAAGCCGCAGCGATAGCAAAGATCGAGGAAGACGCAAGCACTGATCTTCCTGATAATGGGAGAGCTGACGGCGAGGACGACGACGAAGGGGAAATCCTGGAAAGACCCTCTCTTGGGTCTTTCAAGCAAGAGAGAATCAAAGCCGTACAGGATGGCTTCGCCGTTCAAGTCCAGATGCTGTCTCAGCACATCTCCTATCTATGGATCGCTCTGGCTCGTGCTTTCCGACGACTGCAGGGGCAGGGCAAGAGCCAGCCCCCGACTGGCGTGCGAGGCATCTTCACCGAAGCGCGTGGTAGGGGCCGTCTTACCAGCGATGTCTACATAGCCATCGCTCATATTGAGTGGGACGTCTATCAAGACCCTGTGGCCACCAAGATATTCGAGCGTGGCGCCAAGCTCTTCCCGGAGTCTGAGCAGTTCTTTGTCGAGCAACTGAAGCATCTCCACGCAAGACGTGACTTCACCAGTAAGTTTCTCTCTTGCTTCATTCCTACTTGATATCGCTAACACCTCCTCAGATGCTCGAGTCGCTTTCTCTCAGACCGTACAGCGGTTCAAGCAGAAGCCAGAGCTTATTTCCAAGCTCAAGCCACTCTTCGCCTATTTTCACGCTTATGAGGCTAAATACGGTGAACTTGTGCAAGTGAGGGAACTGGAAAAGCAGATGGCCGAACTGTTCCCGGAAGAATCCAATGTGGCTCATTTCGCAGCTCGATTTGCTTCGGACACTTTCAACCCCATAACGGCTCGAGTCATCATTTCACCCGCTCAGCAGATGAGCGCCGAGGCTCTTATGCAGTCGGTCGAGCGTCGGTCCCCGTCTGTCAGAAGCAGTCCGCCCCCGGTGCCTCAGATGGAGCGAAGCCCACGACCTCAGTTTCTGCCAGTCAACACCAACTCCCCCAAGCGTCCTTTCCAAGTCGAAGAGCAGGATGATTACAACCCGCCCCGGAAGTTGGCGCGCGGTGCCTCGCCTCTCAAAGGCGCTGCTGGCCGACGACTTGATCAGCAACGTCGAGCCAAGCATGGTCAGGGGATGTCAACAAGTTCCAACGCACCCGCCCCCATTCCCAGAGACATCACCTTCCTTATTGGTCTCATCCCCCCGGCCGAAACTCTCAGTGCGCTTCAGTTCAAAACCGAAGGTCTGGTCCGTCTTGTGCGAGAGACTCACGTTCCAGACTACCAGGAGTGGAAAGCTCTGTATGAGAACGGCCAAGCGCGCACGCAAACCAAGCAGGCGTCGTTGGAATACCCACCTTACCCGTATCCAGGCCGGGATTCGGCTGGTGTCGCGGGCAGGCCCCAGAGTCCGTACAATGGTACCGCCCGTGCACTTCCCCCGACTACCACTGCGTACCGCAATTCATCCCTTCGTCCCGGTTCCAGCGGATCCTACGAGCCACCCCCTGCCGTTTACCAGAATCCAGGACCAAGCCAGTTTAACCCGCTCGCACATTCGTCTGGCGCAGACAATCATGCGTATGCGGCATGGCAGAACAATTACTCGTCGGCGCCCAACCCATATGGGATGCCACCCCCACAGCAGCCGTACGGAGGATACTACTGATCACTTCCGTTCGCAGTCGGTTGATCGACCTGACTCGTGGGTATATCAGGCAAGATGGGGGATGAGGAAGAGAACTACCCAGTTCGTATAACTTGCTAGACTGATGGCAGCTAGTATGGAGGTTCTTGATCATGCATAGCCAGGCGTTCTGGAAAATCTGGTGCTCGTTTGCAATATCCTGTATTTATAAGTGGGAACCATACCCAACAACCTCTCTTCGGCATTTTTCAGTCTACCTAGTCAGGTAGTAGAGCATAGCTAGCAGCTGAACTGATACCAGTTTTGCCGAATGTTGTTTTTCTTTGATGGTGTTTTATGTCGTCTGACCGTTTCATGTGCCCCGATGACTTGATGGGCTTGACGTGCAGATCTTATAACGGTAATCCAGAGTTCAGTCAACACTATCTGTTTTACGTTCTGACGACGGACTTCAATGTGAGGCGTGCTTCATCACATGTGGGCGCTCCCTGTGAAGTGACACTTAGATTGCACCAGGTCCGTAGATTTGTTGCTGCGGTCTACTTCGTCGACATCCTCCCACACGACGGACCGACGCCTTATGGCTGAGATCTCTATGACGTGGTTGCGATGTGCATTGAGTGTTTGCCCGTATTTCGATTCTCGTCTTCTTTCGTTGCTGCATGTCCCTGTATCCCGCAGTGGCTGATACGTAGTCGCTCATGTTCCCATCAGCATAATGCTTGACTTTCACTTGGGGTCCTCTCCACCTCGTTACTGTATGCAATTGTAGGTATTGCTGGAGATATCGTACCCTACAGTCGTCTGGCGGCAGAACGCTGGCTGCCATTGTGTATGGGGAGCTGCTCTGGAGATGGTGCTCATGGAATAGGTCACTGTTGCCGTAGAACGACTATCTTGCTATCTACTTACTACTTCGCACCTCGTTTTCGACTCAGGGACGTTGCTGCGGCTGGGGTGTTCAGCGGATGTGGACGTAGGTAGATTGTTTCTAGCTAACTACGGTGGGATGTTCCGTCTGGGCTTGATCATTGGGGCCGCTGCGTACGCTACTGCTTCGTCGTTGGGCTGCGCTCTGGTACATGGTATGCGCGGATGTGGTCGTGGTGTTGCTCATGCTCGTTGCCTGTTTGGTTTCTTTGGACACGAACCCTTACTCGTGGCTGGTTCATGTCTTTTGCGTGAGCTCATGTACCGGGTCATGTATTTGCATCATGGTTGCCGTGCTGCGGATCATGGGGGTACAACAGTACTGGGTCTTCATCTCCAGGGAGGCTGGGCGGGGACCTGATCCTTGTTGTCTACGGATGGGTTCACTCCAGGATGGTATGGGAGTAATGGTTTAAATAACAGACTCGAATTTGTGGCTTGTCGTTGCTATGGGATGCTTCATTCTGTGTAAGGAGGGGTGAGTCGCCTCGTACTTGTGGACATGTCGACGCTTGGGGTATCATGTAAGTTGTCGACGGGTCACATGGAATGGGGCAACTGGGATACTCGTGGTAAGTAGGACTTTGTATGTAGCCATCACGACTGCTAGGAGTCTCAAAATCTTGATGTCATGCCAGTAGTTGCAGAGGATTTCGTCAACAGTGTCTGCATACTACATAGTCCAGGGCAGTCAACAGGAGGAGGCTCTTCGCGGACCACCTACTCCTTGACCCCCACTCACACGTCCCCGTGCCCCCCTCAAGCTAGCTTCGGCCATAAGGGAGCCAAGGTGCCAGCCCAGCTATAACTGTATGGCAATCCAACTACTTAGCAAGGTTTAGGGTTGAGCCCTCGGAAGTAAGCGAGATTCTGCCGCGCGGTTCTCCTCGACGTTTTCTCCTCGACTTTTTCTCCTCCAACATTTTCAATTCCACAATCATAACCAGAACACCCTTGAACGTGTCACCGCACCGCATCACATACCGCAGTACAGGTATCGACGAGGCCTCATTGGAACATTGGTTATGGAGGGCATGCATTACGATCCGACCGCTTTTGAGACGCTCCTCCTCGTCTCCGCCATCCTGATCACGATACCCTTCGTGGCTGGAGGCGTTGCTCAATTGCCCAAGTGGATACGATGTAGCAGGCTCGACGTGAGGCAAAGGCGTGCGCTGGGACCACTCCAGGCGTCCTGTTGCAACACAACTCTACGCTCTACTGCTTTGCCCAGTCCTTCTGCAGAACTATCCGCGGAAGCGGGGTGAGAATTCGCACACATTGCTCCGCGAAAATGAAACCATCGGCCAATCAGGCGATCCTATAGGGAATACGGAGTCTGTTTCGACTGCCTACTCAGATTCCGCTAGCTTCCGTGTCACACCCCCAACCTAGCCTTCCTCAATGCTAATGCATACTATGCAAGCCAGCGATGGACGAGACCAACTAGGACTTCGGCTGCACGACAGATTGGGCTCGGCTTTGACGGCCTAGGTTGCTGTCAAGGCGAAGTGGCCCAACATGCCCCCTTTCATCCCCGGACTGGATGGCACTCTCCTTCAGATGGGCAGACCCGGGAAGACAGCTGGCCGCCGGTATTCCGAGGCTCTCTGGGCACTGGTGTGCTCAGCATGGTACCCTTTGTGTATCGGGGCAGGTGCAGGGAATGCGGGACGACCTCCAGTGATGTCGTTCTGCCAGGGGCCAGCCTTGCTAGCGTGCATCCAGTATCGTGGAACTCATTACCCCACCCATCAAGGTCATTCAAACTCCCGGCACACAGGTGACCTTGTCACGGCTGTCTTTGATCGTCATCAGTGATGTACTGTATCTCGGATTCAAAATAGTCTGCGTGCATCCGCTCACTGGAGAGCCTCAAACAGTTAGATATCTCCAACTATGGTTGACAAGTCTCAGACCGTTTGCTCGGGTGGATCATGGCCTCCAAGACATGCCGAAGTGAGACAGCCAACATCACTGGTGATGCAGTTGGAAATTGTGTCCTTTGTCGGCGACTTTGTTGTGCCCTATGTCGTCGACTTTCTTTGCTACACGTATGCTGGCGCTCAGGTTGTTGTTGCGATGACCCAAGAGCTGTGTCCATCAACCAGCTGGACGGATGGGGCATGACTGCTATCCTGATCGCGGCGACCATGTCGATGCCCATGTCGATTCGGTGACCACTTCGATGCACATGTCAGAGGAGATATCGACAACTTCGACTTCCCCTGACTTTAAGTCTTTGGCCATATGCATGGAGACCTCCCAAACATATTGTCTTGGATTTCCCTAAAATTCACACGGAATCCCAATTGGGCAAAGAGCTGTCTGGCATAACAATGAGCAGTGCACTCATTATCCTGCAGTATAAATAGGTGTGCCTTCTTGAAAGAAGGATCACAGTTCGTTGTGCTGCCTTCCATCCTCTCGTCAGACCTGCACTTGAAGAGTTGACTCTGGCACATGGAGATTAGCCTTGTTTTCAAGATGTGCAAACACAGAGATGGGCAATCAGCTTCAGGGCACTCAGCTTCAGGGCTTGAAGACACCGAGTATCGGCCTTTCTAGGCACTTCCAGAGTCCTGCCTTGCATGCCCCATCTACTTGAAGTGCCAGCTGCACTTGTCCCAAAATCAATGCCAGCGCGAACCAGCAGCTGCCCATACATAGGTATATTTGAACAAGGGACGACAATGCGCATCAACGTTGGAGCTTCAGAGCTTACCACGCATGATCGCATGCAGACTGCACGATATACCACTACCTTACCTTAGTCTGTGAACCAAACGGAGGTGAGGTTCAGCTGGGGCCATTCTTGCTGGGGCCTTGGGCTGCGGCTCAGACGACTGGAAGGCAGTTGCATGAAGTAATCGCATGTACGCTTTGCCTATTTGATACATATACCAATAGTGCTTTCCCTTTGCAGAAAAGAATAGCTATAGGTAACCAATAAAACGTTCAATGGAAAACTGTTGATGATACGATTCCTCGTTCACTCCAACGTTTTACGACTCCGCCAATCTGGTACTTCAAGGGGTCTCTGCTTCTATTCAGACGTCAGTCATCCTCTTTTAGGAAGTCGGGATTGTTACTCTGCCCACGCCAATCAATTGCCAGAAGTCCATAGGTAGCTTCCGTTGTCGGAGCCTAGATTACATACGCACCTGCCATTGATCGAACAACCTGCAGTCGCGTCCGTTGGTCTGAGATCGAATTGGTCACCTAATCAGCACAACGTCGGCTGCCCCATCTACAGCTCGAGTTACCTGCCTCCGTCTCCAAGGGTACTCTTTACTCGGCGATAGAGTCAACTAAAGATTACCCAACCTACCAGTCAACTGCCAACCGGGTCTACAGCTGGCTGCTCTGGACCTCTCGTCGACCAGCTAACATCAAAGAAAATATCTCCTCCCTCATAAATTTTCTTCTCCCTCTCTCCTCCCACACACTTTTCGGTACCAGCACCGCATTGCCTCCAGCAATTGCATCTTCCATCTCTGGTATCACACCATCATCAACCTCAGGTAAGCCAACTATTCCTCATACACACATCCATCCCAAGGCCTCGTGTTTCTGGATCTCGCTTTCCAGTGCACATTCCCTCCCTCAACAACATCCATCTGTACTCATTACAGCAGCGAAGTCTGCTGCCAACACATCTGCACCCTCGCAGCCATCTCAAACCAACACATCACATCCATCTTCTCCCAACTCCCTCCTCACACCTTCCACAAGCTACACTGCGATTCTCGGATTCTCTCCCAAAGGTACGTTGTCGCCAGGCCAGCACGCAGCAACCGTGCTTGACTTGTCGCCATCCCGGCACCTGCCTCCTTGATCGTCTACGCTATCGGTACCACATCCACTGCTGCTGCATCCATCACTCATCATCCGCCGCAACGTTGGTGCCTGACTACTTCCTCCTCCTCCACCAAGTCACATTTCACTCCAATTTGCGTTTCCACAACTCCAAAACCCTTCCAACCCAAACACATCATCCTCTGCGAATGTATGACCTATTCGTCATCAGCAAACCACCTCAACGTTGGAATTGGCTACTAACATTGCCTCGGGTACGTTCCTCCTGCCACTGTCGCATGTCCTCTGTCCCTCCACCTCCACACATCTTCTCCCATATCGCAATATCCACAAGCAAACCCTACCTTCTCCCACCACTTGATATCTTGCGAGATATTCAAACTCACAATACTTTCAGGTACGTATTTCATTTCGGTGCTTCCCCATTGATTTGCCAAACACGAACACACTGAGTCATCTCTGCCATCACTGCAGCATTGCACCATCTCTCCACCCCCTCTCCTTTCGGTTTCTGGGCCAATCTGCCAACCTCTCCCGTCGCCATCCCTCTTCACCTTCACCTCCATCCCAACTTCGACTTCCCCCCCTGCACATCAACGCGCACCCACGCCCTACCAAACCCTCTGCCCAAGGTAAGCCTCTTTGCCCTGACTGCCGGACCTTTGCATACAAGACCCAGCAGGATCACCTGTGGTTTACCCGAGCAACAACCAAGGGTCACAGTTTTTGACTCATTCACTGCTTGTCCCCCTTCACAAACTGATTTCTTTCTTCACCATTCATCCACACACATGGTCCTCAGCGCTCCGAACCCTCTCCCACAAATCTATAAAGTCTGCTTCCTCTCCCAACTTTTCCTTTCTTCCATCCACTTCCACATCCATCATCCTTGATCAACACCTTTCATCAGCAACCTCTGCCTGGGTAGCATCAACATACTGACGAGCATCTCGGTCCATAGGTAACTTCCTCCACTCTACCAGCCATACCTCCTTCTACTACTACCGCCTCCGTCCTGCTCCTCTTCAATCACAGTCTCTCGCACAACGGCCTTCTCGCCTGAGGCATCATCCACTCAGTTACTGATACAGCGCAGACAACTTGGTACTTCGTACTTTCGTTGACCCAACAAGTAAGTGTTCCATTTTCTTCCCATCATCCCATTTGAATTTACTTGCATTATGTGCGCACTTTTTCCCCCCTCCCATACCCTATCCTCTTTTCCTTCCCCACTTGCAATCCTGCCTCAGCAACCACCCTCCGCAGGAACACTCTCCCACTCCGCACCCTACTACTACTACTACTACTACTGCTACTACTACTATTACTACTACTACTCCTTCTTCAACACACAACACCACTTTACATCTTCTTCCTCCACACAATCCAATCCCTCTCATCCCTCATCCATCTTCGACCTTGATCGTTCGCATCACCTAACAAAGGTAACTGTACTTCTTCAATCCCATCCCGCTCTCATCACATACCTTCACCAATCTGCATCTCCCTTTCGCATACATGTCAGCCAATCCTCTCTGACCAACATTTCACCTCCAACGCTTCCTCGTTCAATACTTCCTCACCCAACACTCCCTCATCCAACACTTGGCCTTCCAACACTTCTGTTGGCCAACTACCCTAACACCTTCTCGGTATTCAACTGCTTCCCTTTCCATCTCAACTACTAACAAGTATCGTCTTAGACTCGCACCCTTCAGGAATTGCCTATCGTCATCTACAAGCGCAAGCTTCATACACCCTCGAGCTGCTAGAACGCCAACCAATTGGTGGTAAGTATCCCTCTCCATTCCCACATGCATGATGACTCTCGCGAGGGTTACACTCCTGCCTTCGCCTTCCACGATACGCACTTGCTGTAGTCACTCACATGACATTCCATGCAACAACACTGCATTCCCGTTTTCACCCACTCCCACAATATCATCACCCTTCAGCTCCATTCCCGTTCATCTCAAAAATCTTCTTGTTACGAAACGCCAGTTCTCGGCGCCCTACCTGAAGACTCTTTGCTTTACATACGCCGCAACCCCAATACATCTCATCCACCAATCCATCAACACAATATTCCCTCGTCCTCCAAAGGTTGCGCAACAACCCTCCCCCCGCCTACACCTTCCATTGCCCTTGGCCTATCCCAAACCTTTCTCTGACATAACAACAGTATCAGCCCTGCACTTCGACGTCCGGTTCTCTCAGGTTCCGAGTTTATCCGATTGTCCCTCAGGCATCACTTCATTCCTCGGGGCATCAGTTCAGGTAAGTCTCTCCCACTACGCATTTGCATGACCGTGAGCATCATCAGCACCCGCCTCAAGTTCTCAACCACTTATGAGCATTGCCCACTTGTGTTCCATTCTGCGCACTCTCCACAACCTTTCCACCAACTCCTTCGCGCGACCTCCCACTCAGTGGCATCACATCCGAGGTTTTTCTTCCTGCCTCTCTGCCATATATCTCATGCCCCACTTTCATCATCCACCTTTATCCATCATTCATCACAACACTCAACCTCATCCATCACTCAACCAACACCACTTCAACACGAGACATCACATCACCCCACATCACATCACAACCCTTCCCTTCTCTCATCACGAAACTCCCTCATCCGCACGTCTGTTTTCCACAACGTCAATTCACATTCTCTTTTCATACTTCACTCCTCACACCCAACCTACCCTTGACCTCAAGGACGACAGAACCAACACTGACTTGCCACCTCAGCAACTTGATCCAGACCAGCAACAATGCCTGGTTCTACCGTCACCCAGGCCGGTGGCCGCGACGCCGCCCCGCGCCACAGCGCCATTGATCGTGTATCCAACATGAACGTGGATGGCGCTTCGGACCGCCCCTCTGGATCTCGCCGTGGATCTGAGGCCGGTTCCCAGCGTGGCTCTCAGGGTGGTAGCCAGCGTGGCTCCCAGGCCGGCTCGCCTCCCAAGGGCTCTGCCCCGAAGGCTTCGACCACCGCTGGTGATCAGCGCGCCTATCCCAAGCCTCTCGGATACGACCCCGGTCGTGATCGCCCCCCTATGACCGAGGCTGAGCTCATCGGCAAGCGCGTCGATCTCCCTGCTGATGCCTACAACACTGTGAGTACTCCCAGTCCCTACTCATTCTCCGGAGTCAATTATGGACACATTGGCCATGATAAACCACAGATTCACCATTACCATCGCGGCTGAAACTAACAACCTGTCAACAGGGCAAGGACGATTCCCGCTTCACCGCTCGCCCGGGCTTCAACACTTCGGGCAAGGAGGTCAAGGTGCAGCTCAACACCTTCCCTGTTGTTGGCTGGAAGGATCAGGACATCATTCAGTATGATGTAAGTTCATCCTATCTTTCTGTCTGCGGTGCTCTGCTAATGCCATGAAGCTTTCCGTCAGCCCGAACCCCAAGGACTCGCGAGCCTTGATCAAGAAGGTTTGGAACTCTCGAGCGGTCACACAGTTCCTCGAGAAGAACGGCGGCACTTGGCTCTTTGACGGCAACAAGCTGGCTTGGTAAGTCATTGTTTGGCTGACACCAAGTTCACCGGCTGACACTGCTCCAGGTCCTCCGCCAAAATCCCACGTGGCGAGATGCGCATCACTGTTGATCTCGACAATGAGGCCGGCAAGACCAACAAGCTCGTTGGCAACAAGGGCGTCTACTACCTCCATGGAAAGCAGACCAACGTCGTTCGCCTGGCCTATCTGAAGACCTACCTTGAAGGCAAGATCCCCTGGGACAGTCACGTCCTGGAATGCATGAGTAAGTAACTCCAATGGCCCAATCCTTTGCCTGTGTACTCATTTCTCCACAGACTTCTTCGACCACTGCATGCGACATTACCCTGCCTCGACCATGCAGAGCATCCGCCGCAACTTCTACGCTCCTGAAGTTAGCGAGTTTGCTCTGTCCAACCACTGTGTCGCACAGAAGGGATACTATTCTGCCATCCGTCTGGGTGAGGTAAGTGGATCAATCGACCACTCAGTCATCGTTCAGGCTAACCATGGCTTCGCAGTCGATCAAGACCGGCGGAACTGGTCTCAGCATCAATGTGGATGTCGCCAACACCGCCTTCTGGGCCATCAACGATCTGGCCAACACCTCCCTGCGTATCCTCAACGCATACAATCCTCAGTGGAAGAACTGTAAGTGTCCATTGGCCAAGATAGCCGAGTGGCCCCCAAGCTAACTTCAGAAAGCCAACTTCATCGATCTGGTCAAGATTCTTCGACCGGTGAAGGCGAAGGACAAGGCCGGCAACCCTGTCTGGATCCAGTCAGACGGGTTCAGACATCTGCGACGAATCTACAAGCTGAGATTCGTGGTCAACCACCGTGGCAAGCTTGGCGACCCCAAGGTCTACACTGTCGGCAAACTCCTCTTCGATCAGAAGTATGGCGAGGAGGGTGCCCATTCCAAGGCTGTTTTCTTCAACAAGAGACAGAAAGATGGCACCACCAAGAACGTCAGCGTCTGGCAGTACTTCTGGGAGACCTACCACCTTCGCCTTCAGTACCCCAGCCTCCCTATCATGGAGAGCACTCGTGGCGCATTGTTCCCGCTTGAGGTCTGCAACGTGTCTAAGTACCAGCGGTACTCCTTCAAGCTATCTCCAGACGAGGTGAGTCGGCCATTCTTCACATCCTACCTTCGAGCACCGCACCGCTAACAACCTCACTCTAGACTGCGCAGATGATCAAGTTTGCGGTCACTCGTCCGGACCAACGCAAGAAGGATATCCTGTCTGGCATAGCGCACCTCGGTTTCAGCAAGGACCCGAACCTTGCTGCGTTCGGCATCAAGATCCAGGAACAGATGACGGTCACCAGCGCCCGCGTCCTTCCCAACCCCGAGATCACGTACGCCAACCAGAAGGTCAACCCTGGAGTGTCTGGTCGCTGGGATCTTCGTGGCAAAAGATTCCTCGAGCCCAACGCGAAGAAGCTCGTCTCTTGGGCATTCGTCGGCTGCGGCGACGCTTGTACCAAGCAGGGCTTGGAGGCTTTCGCCAGCAAGTTCCAGCAGGCGTACCGCACCCACGGTGGAGTGATTGAGAAGCCCGCTGTCACAATGATGCTTCCTTTCAGCATGGGTGATTACGGTACCATGGTCGAGGCCGCGTGGTCTCGAACTGGCTCGCAGAACAAGGCATTTCCTCAGATCCTCTTCTTCGTCGTCCCCAACAAGAACCAGCTTGTATACGACCGTATCAAGAAGAGCATGGACTGCCGATGGAACGTTGTTTCTCAGGTTCTCCAGGGAGCCCACGTCGAGAAGTGTCAAGCTCAGTACATGAGCAACGTGGCGATGAAGGTCAACGCCAAACTGGGTGGTGTCACTTGCAAGGTTGCTGGACCCAACGCCACAACCCCTCCATTCTTCCGAGTTCCGACAATGATGATCGGCCTGGATGTCTCTCACGCTTCGCCCGGTAGTAGTGCTCCATCGATAGCAGCGATGACAGTCTCTACCGACAAGCACGCGACGAGATATGCTGCCGCCTGCGAGACCAACGGCTGGAGGGTCGAGATTGCTACCGGCACCACAATGCACACCCTCTTCCCTCGCCTTCTGAAGTACTGGATCGACACCAACAAGTGCTTTCCCCAGCACGTCTACTTCCTTCGCGATGGCTGTGCTGAAGGTCAGTTCCAGCAGGTCATCGAGCGAGAACTCAAGGAGATCAAGAGAATGTTCCGCGAGGCGAACGCTCCGGCTCCGCCCAAGTTCACTGTGATTGTTGCCACCAAGCGACATCACATTCGCTTCTTTCCCAAGCCTGGTGACAAGGCCAGCGGCGACCGAAACAACAACCCCCTTCCCGGCACTCTTGTTGAGCACGACGCCACTCACCCTCATCACTGGGACTTCTACCTTTGTTCTCATGTGGCCATTCAGGGTACCGCTCGCCCTGTTCACTACCAGGTCATCTATGATGACGCTCAGTGCAAGCCGGATCACCTTCAGGCCATGCTCTACCACCAGTGCTACCAGTACTGCCGTTCTACAACTCCGGTGTCTCTTCACCCGGCAGTCTACTACTCGCACTTGGCCTCTCAGCGTGCTCGTTGCCACGAGAACATCGCCTCCAGCCAGCGCGAGCTGCCCATTCTGAAGGAGGGTTTCCCATTTGGAAAGCAGGACTCGGAGGTCTACTCTGGTGCCAAGCCCCTCGAGGCTCCTCCCCTGGTTCCCATGATGAACCCCAAGCAGCCTGGTGACATCGTCGCCTTCATGAACACTACCATGTGGTACGTCTAAAGCTCCGGCTTTGCGCGAGTCACGGGAGACATCTACTCTGTTGTCACTGTCCTGTTCATCGGCTTCTGCACTCGTCATTCTCTCGGTTTCGGCTATACGGTTTACGGTTTTCACTCCCCCCTTCATCATCCATCACATTCCTGGCAAAGGCGCTCTGACGATGCCTCGAGGTCGCTTCCGCTGATGCAGCTGTACCAACTTGGTGCCGTTGGATCATGGGAAGCCCGACTCATCTGGCTGGGTCCTTTCACCATGCACGCCCTTCTGGTCAATTTGATGAGTGGTTGATCTCCTTACGAGATACCGATTATGTAAGACGCCGAAGAGCTGCTTCAGCGAAGAATTCGGCAAGGCGTGGATCAGCAGGCCATCGTGCCTTCTGGCCATGGGCAACCTTCTGTCGTGCCAGACATCACCACCTGGGCAACTTGGCAACCAGAGGACCGCCGTCGAGCTGCACAACACGACCTGCACTCTTTCGTCCGCATTGATTCCATTCCCTGCGTTGAGCTGGCGATGCCGGCTTCACCTCTTGCGCCTCGATGCGTCAAGCTCAGATAGGATTTTGCTTGCTCTTGCAGCGTCTGTCGCTCGGAAATCTCTGATGCGAGAAGAGTCACAGCATCCGGGCTGCGACTGAACATACCAACATCACAGTTCCATGGTCCGGCACATGCAAACGAACCATGGATACACCGGTTGCGATCTCGTCGCCACACTGGAAATAGTTGCGAGGTGCAATGGAGGATACTAGTTCTACTGGAGACGCGCGTCTCTTCGGAACATCTTGCTTGTTGAGTTCCTTAGGCGTCACTAATGCGTTGAATTCAGGTTGGTACCTATAGGTAGATAGGTAGTCATGAATAAGCATGGCCTTGAGGCTTGCTTTCAGAATTTCCTTGCCGTTTCAGACGGAGCCAGTGTCTGGTTCTCATCAGTGATCGTGTTTGCCACCCACCCACCCACCCACCCACTCCCCATTTTCCTTTGATGACTTGTTCACGCACAGCAGATTCATGAGAGTATTTGGATGTGAGTTGCTAAATTGTTCTCTAGATGTAGGTAATCGTATCCGACAGCGCGTGGCCTTGGTCGGGGTGTAGCATCACGGCGATACGTGCTATTGTAGGTACATGCGCAAACTCCCGCCCACTGCCTCTGTCGTCTCAAGAGAAAGACCCAAGACCAATCGCGGCCAGAGATGACGAGCTTTTTCTTCCAGACACCTACAGACCGTCAAGTGGGTTGGGCAAGGTCCACTGTGTGGTGGACCACGATACTCAGCACGAAGGAAGTTACGTTGGGAATGGCGGTCCACCAAGGACTGGACTGTACTGGACTGGACCGCAGTGTCGCGACATTGGATACATACGGATGATAGAGGCTACATACGGTACAGTATCGGTCGGTGATGGCGCGGCGAGCTGATGGATGAAGACATGTGGATTGGATTGGATGTACTGGCCATGACATTGGAGTGAACGCATGGTTTTTCAGAGCTGACTGGTATGGATAGTAAGGTATGGCTGGATGGAATGGATGGATCGTGGCTGTCATGTTTGAAACAGGTGGTGTGTAGGTATAGAAGCGCCATTCGAGAGTGGTTGGTTTGGTGAATTTACCCCTGAGATACATACCGGTGCACGGGACTTACATGGTCTTGTAGATTATCTTGGGTTACGGCCCTCAACCACTTGGTAGTTTTGGATGTATGTATGTGGCAGATCAGGGACTGCGCAACGGGCGACGAGCACTCTCTCTATCTCTGTCATCCCCCGAGGTGCAGGACAATCGGAGGTTTATTACAAATCCGTGGATCAAACGTGCTGGGAAAAGCATCAAGGATGGGCTTATTGTCGTATGAATGCTTATTCCAGGGTGCTTATTCCACTGTAGTAGGGCTGATGTTTGAACAGAAGATTCGAAGTTCGTGGTACGGAGACTTATTATGAGTGAGTGTAGTTGAATCACGCTTTCATTTCGCGTCAAATGCATAGACTGACTGTTCAACTCATAATGTCGTTCCAGCCCATCACCATCAAAAGCTCTACCCAAAGACGCATCCTTGCGTTGGCCTGGAGTAAACATGAGGTAGGTATATATATAAAAAGGGGTATCAAGAATCGCGCCTCCGCTTCAACCTCCCCTCCAGCTCAATGTCCTCGAGCCCTTCAAGCCGGCCTAACCGCCCACCACCACCTCCCGCATTCCGCGAGCTCGCAGGCGACGACGCCCTGCTGCTGTTCCTCCGCACCAGCAGCGCCTCTCGCACCTCGTTTTCCGGCATCGGCACCGACCGTCGCCCGTACCTACTCCCCGCGGCCCCAAGATCCCCGCCGTCTTCATCGTGACCATCGTCCTCCTCCTCCTCGTGCGTCTCCGGCACACTACGCAGACTATGCCCCGGCTGCACCATGACAGTACTAGCCGCGGTCGCCGCCCCACTCGCCGTGTCGTCCGGCGTCGCAACGATGATACTCGGGGTCGGACTCCTGCTCCCCATGCCCGTCAGGCTCAGGCTCGCCTCCCAGCTCGCCTGCCGCAGGAGCGAGTCGCCGCGCGCCCTTGTCTGCGCCTTGGAGACGGGGACGGATTTCGTGGTTATGATGCTGTCTCTTTGCCTCTGTTGCGGCTTCTGTGGCGGGAAGTAGTCGTTGCTGGTGTCCCACCCAAACTCGGTGCCGAGCGCCTTTTGCACGTCGGCTTGCAGGTTGGTGGAGCTGTTGGCGCTGGCACGGCGGGCGCGGAACTCGTCGAATTGCGTGTCGCGCTTGTGGTCGTAGCTGGCGCGGCGCTCACTGGTCGTCGAGGTTTGGTTGGGGTTCGGAGGCTGCGGTGTGGTGGTCGGTGTTGGCGAGGGGAGCGGGGATGTGCTGGTGGTGTTGCTGCGGCTGAAGTTGAGGGAGATGCGGCGGCCGGCGGAGAGGGAGCGCGGGCGCGTGACCGCGTTTGTATTGGTGGAGAAGTCCGTGGGGTCGTAGGGCGTGGGCGGTTGCAGGTAGGACGACGAGTACCTGGTCGTGTCTTCGTCGACGGCATTTGCGTTCGCGAAGCCGTAGGGTTTTGCGTTGCCCGGGAGGTGGTAGTCGTCGTAGGTGAGGAGGCGGCGGTAGATGAGTATGGAGTAGATGGTAGGGATGATTGTAAATAGCCTCCGGAGAATGTCAGTTTTGTGGTTGGCATGACTCGTAGCTCGCTGTGAACTCCGAAGAGACGACTTACATGAGAGCGCAGTCCATGCCCAGTCCTATGAGCGAGTATTCCCTGTCTGCGTACTGCACGTAGACCACGATATCCAGAGCGAGGACGGCGCTCGATAGTGTCAAGCTGATGATGCTCATGAAGAGCAGGGGCAGCGGCGTCAGCACCTCGGCGATGAACCTCGCTATCGAGACGAGGGTTATGATGAGCGAGCTGAGCGAGAAGCCGATGTTGACGCTTTCCCACCTGTTGGTCTGTCAGCGACGTTCTCTCGTTGTCGTATGCTTGAAGCTTCAGCCTGGGACTCACACAAACTCGACAGTCGGCACGTTGCCCTTTTCCTTCTCTTTCTCCCACGTCCTGACCGTCCGTGAAAGTCGGAATATGAACAGGCCCATGATGCTCATAAGCAGACCCAGTTGCACAATCCAACACGGCAATAGGATCGTTTTGCGCCAACGTGCGCGGGCGAATTGTGCGTTATCGCGGTGTGTGCCGAGCATAGTTGCGAATGTCCCCTCCTTCTCCTATCCAGCAGTCTTCCGGCGAACTCAATGTCAACGCCAGACTTTGTGGCGCGTGGTTGAGCCCAGTATAGCAAAACGGGGCGAGTCCGACGTCCTGGCTCCTGGGTCTTGCTGATCATGTATACACGGGTGTTATAACAGAACCAAGACCATCGTCGTCGCCGATATGCACGTCAAGAAAGTCAAAAGTAATGACGCAATGAAATAGGGGAATGTGATATGTGATGTCGACCCGATGTTGGCTGGCTTTGCAGATTGAACCAACAGAGACGGGCCAGCGCATGGTATGGTGAGGCGGGGCCGGGCTATATAAAGTATGACGACCAAACAAATACCTACCGACGGACGAACCATCGACGGCAAGCAGGCAGGCCATGCGAGCCATGGCGTCGCTAACCGTGGGCTGTAGAAGATGGAAGACCCGCGCGGGCGGTCGCATAGCCTCAGCAGCGGTGTCACTTGTCACCCACTCCGCACAGGCAAACAGACCCACCTTCACGCGCCTTGAAAAGCTCGTCCGCTCAGCTGCCACTCTGGTAGTCCTTGGGGCAGCTGGGCTAGGACTGGCTGTTGTTGTGTTGGTAGGTAGCTGCATTTCCAGCGAGTCTAGCGAGTCGATAGCCCCCCTATCGCGCCGGGCTCCGTGGTGAGATGACGGCGTTATTGGTCTTCGGATGATGAGAGGTCATGAGGGCTTGGAGCCTTCCAAGGGGGGGCTGGCAATGCGGCTGAGTTCCAAGGCTTTGGGGCAGAGGACCCCTGGCATATGCAATACCGAACGCCTGGGACCCTGGTTCAGTGGTTCTTGTTTTGGAGCTCACCAAAATCAATTATGACAAATGTTTCCAATGTTGCCCAACAATCCAGCCAAGCGATTGAAATAATAATTTGCACAAGCAGCTGGCAAATCGAGGCTACGCCGCGGCCCTACGCAAGCTACGGGGCGACGCACCCAGGAAGGAGATGGAAGTGAAGTTCCCCACGCAAAACGGGTGACGGGAGACGCGAAACCCCGCTGACTGGCCTTGGGGGCTCCTGCGGGGTTGGTCCGTGCGCTGCCAGCCAGCCAGGAGGGAAGGATTCAGCCAGCCAGCCAGCCAGCCTATTTAGCTATACAGGGCCTAGCGCCGGAGCGTGATAAAGAGCCTCCGCACCAATCAGATCGCAGGGCTTAACGCAGGAAGAGAAATGGGTGCCGTTTCGTTCCTCTACTTCGTTTTGGAACTTCACTTCCATAGGTCAGGTAGTTTATCCCAGGCGCAATTGATTGGAATAAGCAGCAAACCGCTGCTTATTCCACTGCATATTACTTGTGTATCTTCCGGGGCCGCCAGGTGGCACTGGAGAGCGTACACTTTCCAAAAATGGAGACTTCCAAGCCCGAGGTTGTTCCTCTTGGGATGGACCCGTGCACGGTGCTTGACGTGACGCGGGGGTTTCGAAGCATGCCGACTGGTCCTGACCCGACTGGTCCAGACCCGACTGGTCCATACCTTACCTTGGGTATCAATTCAAAGTCTCAGATCAAGAGTGAACAGGCACAGCGCGGATTGACCTTGTTGTTAGCCAGGTATGTTTGAGTGCTACCTTCTCGCCCTTCGACCCCAAAGTATCAAGATTGCCTGAAATGGATATCTTGGCGTCACGCACCTGGGACCCCAGCATCAGCTGATGGATGAGATGGAGCTTCAAATTTCAATGTTGTGATGGGACACCATGCCATGCAGCGACGCACACCGGCCTCAGGTCATCATTCTAATGAGCGCGGCCCGCGGCTGAGGGCTGTGCTGTGCCGTGACGGGCGGATGGATGCTATGAAGTTCTTTTCAGGCCGGTTGGTGGAATGTGCTGCGGGCCATCAGCCCTGCCAGCCCATTTCCTGCCCAATGCTGAGATTCTTCCCCACGTGCGCGATCTCCAGACGCGAGTCCGAAGACGCGACCCAGGCGTTGTTGTTGGTTGTTGTTGCGGCCGACAGGATGTGGCTGCAGCTGTCACTTGACCTTCACCGAGACCCTGCGCCTTGCTGGGGAGTTGGCTCTCAATGACTCGTTCCTTCGAGATCATTCAACCACCAATGGACACTCTTTCGGGTAGATGTCCCAACCCCTCGTGATGGGTTGAAGAACCAATGGTTGGTGGAGAGTCGCTGCCCGTAGCGTCAGGTCCGCTTTCGGTAGTGTTTCTAAAAACAGCACGACGGGGGGTGGGAAGAAGCGGTGGCTGTGGAAGCAGTAACTTTAGATCGCCACCCTGAAAACCATAGACCGCCACCCGCTAAGCCTAATTAGAACAGCAGCCCAGATTACAGCGCCCAACCCACTGTAATTACAACGCTCATTCCACTGTAACCACAACGCGCCTTCGCGCGACACAACACCACAAAACATCACCACTATCACCACCACACGTACACAAGGACACATTCACAGATGGGGGGCTCGCACCGCCCCCCAAACCCCCGGCAAACCTCACCACTGACCCTAACCACTAACCCTAGTCCTAACCCTACGTTGTTACCCGGCAGGATTATGATTAGTATCTTTGGTTTGGTAAGAAATGCACCCAAGTAGATGTATTCACGTTGTTGAGGGTGGAAGAACGAGAATGCAGCCAATTGGAGGTGGGGATGCTATCCGAATTCGGCTTAGCGGGTGGCGGTCTATGGTTTTCAGGGTGGCGATCTGAACCTGAAGTTACTGCTGTGGAAGTGGAGGTCTGCGGGGACGACATGGATTGAACGGCGAACGGGTCTGGAAAACTGGATCTTCATTCTTCAACACTGAACAGTGCCTTCCCCGCTGGATCCGGAATTGCAGATTTCCACCCCGGTCTTCACCTGAATCGGTGCCGAGCGTGGTTGATTGCGCGATCCGGACAGCCGGAGCCACGTTGACGATGGCTTCAGTCGGATGGTGGCTGTGTCGTCAAGGTGAGTAGACCGAAATAGTAACAATCAGTACGATTCGCCGCATCGACTATCCAGGGGACCGTCGGGGACCACTTGGTACCTCGACGCTCCAGTGCCCGAATGGACCCGATCCGCGCAGCCATTCTTCAAATATCCAAAGCACACTCATCCTCCGGACCAAGGTGACAGACGCCCGTGGTAGTTGGGGTGAATTTATCATATTAGCATATATATGGTCTAGTATATGGTGGCCAGATGTCTGTCTCTGCTCGACCTTTCAACCCAGTGAACGCCAGCCCTGTCCCTTCCTGTGTCGCAATCTTCACATATGTTCTGTCCCTGGCGCGGTTGCTGTAAAACCTTTGGGGCTCCCACAATTGGGATATCTCATCCCCCGGTCGGGTCGGATTTGTGGTCGGCTTTCTGGGGTCCCAACTCGCACATATATCCTTCGACATCTCCACTAAGTTGTGCTGCAGACAGGAACAAGCTTACTGGCCCGCCTCGGTGGCAGCCTTGTAGACACCGGCGGTGTCGAAGTTGACGACGGCGCCGTCGGCAGTGCTCATGGCACCGTCCTGGGTCTTGACGCCGGCGGCCTGACGGCGTCCGAAGGCGGGAGGCGCGGGAGCGATGACATTGTTGCTTCGGGGAACCTTGGCTGCAGTTTGGATTAGTTCACGATGTTGGGCAGGTCTGGCGAGATGATGGCCAACTTACTAAGTTCGCCCATGGCAACAGCGCAGAGAGCGAGGATGACAGCGGAGTACTTCATTTTGTCTGGTGGGTTTGTGGTTGTTCAGGAGGCTGAATGAGTAGTAAAGGTCGGCCGGCGACGAGCTGATGCAATTATATGATAGCGAAGAGAAAGGTATGATCAACTATTGGGATGGTAGACTGATAGAGGATGAAGAGAAGGGTATGAAGACTTGGCATGCCGGATGGGAAAGCCTTTTGTACGGTTGTGCTTCTGGCTGAAGGATCCCCTTCTCGGCGACACGACCCTCGGATCGGCCACGGAACGACAATTAGCAAACACAGGAGGCATTGAACCAGAAATGAGGCGCCTGTTCACAGCGGTCCTCGACATAGGCGAGCAAACTTGAGACGAGGTTGATAGGCAGGACCGGTCGTCAGCGCAGCACAGGCTTGTCGTCTAACGTCAACAACGCCGAATGAGGCAATGAAGTTCTAGAACATGGGTCGAGACGCTGCCATCATCATGACCCCCTAGCACCGCGAGTCCCCTGCGGACGAAACAGCGGCATTCGCAGGCAACGAGGACAACTCATTGGTCTCCCCAGTTGTCCACCCCAGAGTCGGCCAGCTCTAAAAAGATGGTTAACGGGCGGATCATGGACACCGAGAAAACGTTCAGACGTTGGAGTCGGGGGTGGACCGGAAGAGGACGGCAGGCCGGGGTCTGAGACGAGACTGTAACCGCGTAAAATGCTTAATTCGAGCCGCGCCCAAGTCCCAGGCATCCGCGGAGGCGCCAATGCGACGCTGCGGTGCAACTTGCAAGCGACGACGGCACCGATCAAACATTCTTGGCATCATGGCCGACCACAATTCAGCCTCAACTTCGGCACCCGCCCTTTCCGTGTTCCAGGATGCATGGGCAGTCGCTTGAGCCACGATATTCTTGGACCTAGGGGAAACGTCGTCATCATATTGATGCGGTCAGATCAGGTTCCCACATTGGTACCTTCCGAGATAGCTCCTTGCAAATTAAAATCCAGGCCAACGCGCCGTGGGCGCTGTGCGAGGTTGTCAAAATAGAACAAAGTTGGGACCGGATCGTCTCAATTGAGACCGTCAACTTGCAAAAGGTTAAACACCGCTGCGGCAGGTGTCCCCGGCTCTGACCAGCTGGCCTGGCCGACAATCAGATGACAAGCCACTGACACTCAGCCACACGTATCAGCCACACCGCACATCTCAAACATTGAACTGCATCACAAATGTTCACGTCTCAACTGTGACGCTTCCATCATTGAAATCTCTGAAACAACCCGGTGTCTCTCTGCGCTCCTCAGCTCGCCCCGCGTCGCGACCGTTGGGGATCTATCATGAATGCCAAGTTTCGAAACATCTCTCCGTTTCTGACCAAGAACTTGTTTTCATCCTTCGGACCGAGTCTAGTAGTCAGAGAACCAGCGTGTTGGTTCTTACCACGCTGCAGTATGTCGACCATCGCCATAGGAAAGACTGCAAATCTCACGCATTCCCGGTACTCGCTCTTACTGTCAAATGGCAAGCGCCTGGTTCTTTTCCGTCTCCCAAAAATCCATGGGTCCGGTGTGCCCGCGCTACAAAAGCCCGATGGTTGGACTTTTTACGCCATGGAGGCTGAGTGTCCCCATGCAGGCGGTCCAATGACAGATGCTCACATCGACATCGAGGACTCTTCCTACATCGCGTCGTGTCCGTGGCATGCGTATGACTTCAATGTCGAGACTGGTGAGTCGAGTTACGGCAGCAAGGCCTGCACATTTCCCGTTACCGTCGACGATGGCCGGGTGAGCTTGCAATTTGCCGAGGCAGACAACGTGCAGCTTGCGAAGATGGAGCCAGTTAGCGAGACCGTAAAATACAAACACGGCCGAAGAGAGCAGCCCACCGGATCTCCTACATTCCTTGGCGAGGGCGCGTCCTTATGCGACTGGTGTGTCCATATCCTCAACACATGCAACCCCGAACACAAGATTGAGCTTACTAGCCACCTGTTCTCCCTATTCGCTACGCGGGAGCAGTCACCTTCCCCCATGCGGCTTGGGGCTGGAACGGTAACTGCGCCTGATGAGCCCCCACGTGGTGACCTGAAAGAGGTGAGACCGGGGCAGATGCCCAAGGGTGGGAAGGGAGGAAGTCTCAAGAGCAGGATCACCATTCTCCATGCCCTGGCCAACATAGAACAATGGGCGATCGACCTTGCGATCGATATATGCGTTAGGTTCGCCACGTTTCAGACGACGGTGCCGACCACAGACTTGTCCCAACAGCTGCCGAGGACCTTCTATTATGACTGGCTCAAAGTCGCCAACGACGAGGCGAAGCACTTTTCTCTCCTGCGTGCAAGACTCGAAGAACTGGGCAGCCATTTCGGTGATTTGCCAGTCCACCATGGCTTATGGGAGTCTGCCACGAGGACGGCACACGACCTTCGCGCCAGGATAAGCGTGATCGCTCTCGTCCACGAGGCTCGTGGTCTTGACATCAACCCGCTTACGATCGAGAAGTTCCGCAACGCCAAGGACGCGGAGAGCGTCGACGTCTTAACCATCATCCACAATGACGAGATCACACATGTTACGACGGGCCACAGATGGCTGTCGTGGATATGCCAGCAAGAAGGCACTGATCCGGTACAAGTCTTTCGGAGCAACGTTCAGAAGCACTTTAGGGGTGCGGTGAAAGGCCCCTTCAATGCAGAGGCTCGGGAACAAGCTGGGATGGACAAGAGCTATTACGAAGACCTATACGGGCAACCATGTAAGGGAGACGTTATTGCTGGGGGTTGAGTATGAGAAACATTCGAAGGCGATACCATCGCGTCTCGATACATATCCCGATAGGGCGCTACAACACTAGTAAAGAATGGCCTTTCCAATCTGAGATCTTGTTGGATTCTGGGCTACGTTAGCCCATCCATAGTCATCCTTCAGGATCACCATCCCCATCTGTGACTCTGTCACATACGTGGCCACATAAGGCCACGTATCCTTTCCTTTAGTATCTTGGATATATAGGGCCACTCTGGCCGCTCCAGAGTAGCTGGAATTCCTCTCCTTAATAGAACACTTTGAAATCTCACAGATCTTGGAGCCCCTCGCTGGCCTCGAGATGCATTTCTGCCCCGTCGAGAGTGTAGGTGTGTCAGAATATGTTGCTCAGTGGCGTACTTAGCCTGAGCACGTATATTGGTCATCCTGTGGGATCACTTGGTTAGATAGCTGCCGGAGGTCACTTTCCTGCTTATTCAATCAGGAAAGGTGCTCCCTTCAGCTATCCTTCTTCCTCTCCTAATACGTAACACTCTGAATGCCCTATCCTGACTTTTCTCTCGCGGAACCACCCCACCTCAGTCTTCGTGTTCCCAACCCAGCAGATTAAAAGATGGTACACTGAACCCTCATAAGTCTCCGCACCCCACCCATCGAGCAAACGAAGGAAAATCTATCGTATTCAGAATAAGCATATAGAGATAAGCATTAAATAAAGCGATTAAAACCAGAATTGCTTATTCTAGTAAGCTTATTTCATTATTTTGACATTTTTTACGGGTGATTAAAATCTTATTAACGTGCGCGTACGCAGACTTATAAGGACTGAGTGTAACAATGCTGTAGGATCAATTCAGGCTTTGCCGTGACCTTGGGGAAATTCCCGGGTTTGTTTCTTGGTTTTGTTTTTTAAGGTAATTTTTTTAGTGGCTCATGGCTGGACTCTGTTCGTCTCCTTCCTCGGCCTCACATGCAACGCCAATATAGCTCTAGCGAAACCTTCGTATACATTTTTCCGATGAGTCACGAGAGCCCTATATAAAGACGAAACCTTCACACGTGAATCTCGCGAAGATCTTCTCCACAAACCACATACAATCACATCTTCCCATCGTCACCCAGAACATACCACACCCCCACCTCAGTCAACCTCGACATTCATCTACACTTGTATCCTAGCAGAATCGCAACATAACGCATTCTACAACCTGGTGTATATCACTGTAGCCCAACCAGACTAGATCCATCGTTATCCTTCTCAAAGCTCTTGTCGGGGTACTTGTCGAAGTTCTTGTCGGAGTCCTTGTTGTCGTTGGAACTATGTCTGTCCGCAATCCCGAGATTCCAAGGGTAATCGCACCATTCATAGAGAAGTCCCAATCGGCGAACCTGAACTTTTCCAAGCTATCCGCAGCAAGCACACACGAAATCCAGAATGCTAGGAAATCGAAAACCCATGGTCCCGATGGGTCGGAGTCGTACAATAATTTTGTTCACGCGACATTCCGCCGCCTTATTGATTCGTACATCGTGGCAGAAGAGGCCCAATTCGACTTCGCTTCCCGGGTCTTGAAGCACATGGTGAAAGATCACCATGCCGGAAAAGTCCTCGTCAAATTCAACATCAAAGAGTCAGAGTATAGGGGTGAACTCAGACGTCTTGAGACTGAAGTTGGTCGCTCGGCAGCTATTATCGCATCCGCGAAGGTTTCTAAGTATGCGGCAATAGGCTCGTTGACTGATGCAGCGCTCCAAATGCAGAAGCTGCCAATCCACGACTACGCCTACATCGATCTTCACATGAGCCGATACAGAAGCCCGCCGAACGCCAGATTCACACTCTTCGAGAGCAGGGACAAAGGCGAGCAAGGAAGATTCACGAATGACCTCTTCAAGGCGCACGATGCGCGCAAATGCCAAATCGCAGAGTCGGCGATTTGGTGTGTTGTATCTGGACGATATGTCGAATTAGGCCAAATGAAGGCTGCTCACAGCGTTGCCTGCAACGCCGGCGAGGCTTCGGCCGTGCATGTGTTCGGCGGAACTAAGGAAGAAGACGGACACATCATGGGTCTTAGGAACGGATTGCCCATGCGCAAGAGATACGAGGAACTGTTCGACCAGTCAAGGATCGCGTTCGTGCCGGTTGGCGATTCCACCAAAATGCGACTAAAGGTTGTCGTGTTGGACGAGACTCTACTGAAAGAGAAGGGAGACGACATAGACGTTCGTCCATGGGGCGCAGAGGTGCAAGACCTAGAGCTCTGCTTTCGAAACGAATTCAGACCGTCGTTCCGGTACCTATATTTCGCCTATATCATCAACGTCCTCCGAAGACAGCGACACCAGGCCGCAGGATGGTGGAAAGACTACTTCGTCCACAAAGATCAAAAGACATGGGCCTCCCCGGGGGAATACATGAGACTGTCGGCGCTCACAAAACTTGCCCGTGAGATAGGCCACATCGCCGATCACAAGTCCACGACAATCCGTGATGAGTTTGAAGAGCTCGAGGATGATCACGAGATGCTGCCTGACGCAAAGGACGATGTACTCGCAAAGACGGTAGTGGTATCGAACAAGCCTGCCGAGGAAGATCATGAGGAGGACGAAGAGGATGATTCAGCCGCGGAAGATGCACGGGTATTCGAGCCACAGTACAACTGCTGGTAACTCCAGAAATAACTTTATTGGGATAAGCACACTAAGATAAGCGTCGAAAGCAGCGTATAACACCAGAGCTGCTTATTCCTGCATGCTTATCCCAGTATTTCGAAATTTCCTATGGATATTTCGATGGGAAAACTGGGAATGGCCGAGGCGCGAAGTGATTCCAGGGAAGACCACATCTGAATCACTATCAAAGTCATCGCTGGAGTCATCGCTAGACTCGTTGTTGTCCTTGTCGGAGTCCTTGTCATTGGATTCCTTGCAGCCGGTAACTCGGGGCTGCATTTCACTAACTACAAGGTGTTCTGCCTGTGCTTGGGCGAGGACTGTAGCCGCAGCACCATGTTAAAAGAAGATGATCCTGGCATTGGAAGTGGTGGAGTGCTCGGGTACACAGGTCGGCGGTGACGTGGGGAAGGTGGAAGATTTCGCCCCATGTACACGAGGGAGGATGTAGTTATGGTAGGGCTGGGCTACGGCCGTGCTCGTCAGCGACAAGCCCGTTGCCGATCTCGAATGGGTAGGCGCTGGGGAGCGGTGCCGAGGTGGCTGATAGTGATGCGCCTAAACATGGGCCGCAGATGCGGGTGAATGCTAAGGAAGAAGAACCAGCGGGCGTCGTAGATAGAACTGAAGCGGAAGTGGATGGTGCCGTAGAACAGCCAGTCATCGTGTATCGCCACGTGGTGTTAGATGGACAGGGACTGGGATATGATCGACCTAATGGAGGAGTGACTGGCTTGGTCGATGAAACCGAAGTCCGCCTCATGGGGTCCAAATGGGCAGCGGTGAGGTCTGACGAGATGTGTTCGAAGCGAATTGTTAGGATCACTGTCGTCACGGAAGGTTCAAGGAGGTGGTCATTTGGCATGGTATCTTGAACTGTCTCAGATTATCTTGTCTACAACGGACGGTGCAGCTCGATAAACTATGTACATAACGACATCCTCTGTCGCCCAATGAGGTGAAATGATCAAGTTCAACTTGTGCTTCTCACCCTTCCGCGCCTATCTTGCACATCTTCGGCCCTGCTGTGGCCGATATGGAAGCAGGTGTATGCTGTCCACATAGTCAGTACGTGATAATGCATATGGACTGGGCTGTTGGCTACTCACTAGAATGTTGAAGCAGTGAAACGCCGATCTGATATGCCCAAACTTCTCTATCCACGAAAGAAGTGTCTTTGGATACGTGCGGCGCTTTCTGGATCTGGAACTCATTGCAGTGCCAGATAGGTCGGGAAGATAGGGCGGAAATGGGGTGCGAGGCTTGCATTGACGGTGGCGTCCCGCTTTGCTGCCGCCAACTTGTCGAATTCTGTACCAAAGAGTTCGAATGACTTGTAGTCGGCGGTACTGAAGACGGCAAAATCAGTGGGACCGTCGGGGAACTCCATCGTATGGATCCTGCATCGGATGAGGTACAACGCCAGGGAATTGTTCCACTCGTTGACCCATGCGATCTGGCTATCGTCGTACCTGGCCATGCCGCTGATCTGCTGCTCTGTGGTGAAGTGGCCTCGGTCGTTGGGATCAGTTTCATCCGCGTTACTCCACTTGATGTATTTGAGAGGTGCACTCTTTCCAAGCGAGTCGCTTGCCAGCCAGGTGAGGGATCCAAGGTATTTGGCTCGTGCTGGTAGGATCAGAGCCGCCGAACCCTTACGTCGCTGGGTTGGTGCATTCCGTCCACTTCCAACCTGCGGAAATCCCGACATCTCATCTGCCTTTCTCTTCATTCCAGTTGGTTTACTTGATGATGAGCCTGCTTCCACATTCCCGGCCGGTGTCTGGGGGCTATCATCGATATCCTCGCCCCAGGTGCCGATGACAGTGGCGAACTTGGCCAGTATGCGTTCTGGGGGCCGGGGAGGGAATGGGAACATGCCTGCGAACCATCCATTAAAGATGGCCGCCCAAAATGTTTCTTTCTGAGGTGCGGTAGGCTTGAGGTCCGCCCGGATGACCTGGAACGGGCCCTCCATCATCACTTCGATCTCTGCCTGTTCCGCATCGGTGAGGTCGGTTTTCTTGGTGTAGTTAGACACGTCCGCAATGGTGATGACGGTTTTCTTGCCGTAGTTAGACATAGTATGGGTTCTCTTGTCGGTTTACAGTGATACACATATGATTGAAGAATGCGTGGGTAGAAGTGGAAGAAGATGTGAAGGTGTGGATGGATGCTGAAGTTGTCTGGGGCTGGGTGATTCCGGAAGAGTAAAGTGAGAAGATGAGAGAGAGAGAGACTGGAGAGAGCAGGCTTGACGAAAGATGTTGTGGACAGCCCTGCTATGGAACAACATGAAGTGAAGGGAGTTATGTAGGTACTGATGCGAGGTTGCCACTGCCCAGTGCCCAGTGCCCAGTGCCCATGTGAGAGAGCTACAGTCACGCCTTCCCTCACCCGCCATGATTCTCCGTCCGGGAACCTTGAACCTTGGAAGCTGCATTTAGTTGTCGTGCCGTGGACTACAGGTGAGCACACTGGAATAAGCAGTTTGACTTTGACCCTTATTCCAGCGTGCATGTGCTGGGTCCATACCGTATAGTAGACCCACCTTGCACTTGGTGGATAAGGGGTGTTACGCGTACCGAGACTTACATGTATGCTTGCATTCGTCCAAGAACACTTTCCACACTACAATTGAAGTACACGAGAGTCGCAGCCTGCCACGGAACCCCTTTTCAGTTTCAGGGGGCAACACGCCGCTGCACCGGCCGCCACCCCCGGTACTCTGCTCGCAGCCCAGTGGAGGTCGCAACTCAATGCATGAGGGCTTGGTCACCAAGGCAAGAGCTGCCACCTTTGCAGGAGGCAACGGCCTGTCTTCGAGTATAGTCCTGTGATGATAGGAGTCACAGCCCGGTGATTGTGTGGTTGATAGGAGGAAGCTGCTCCGGGGCGGAATTCTGTGGACACCGGTGAGCGTCTACAGCCTTGAAAGTAGATGGCTTAGGACATCTGATCAGCTAGTCATATCTACCACATTCACCGCGCTGATAGGTAAGTGAGGGCAATATCCGTGAACCGATGAGTGCAGTATGAACGTGACAGCGTTGTTGTATTTCGGGAAAGGTCTATGGACTATCTGTTGGTGGTAGAATACACCTCGGCCAGTAGTGGGACCTTGTACCACCCGACACGTGGGCTGCCTCGCACATACTGCTTACACACCTTACCCACTCAGATGGATACTGTTCACAATTAGCAAGTTTCTCACTGGCCCTTAGGGTATTTCAGCATGCGAACAGAATGAGCTGAGGCAACGAATGGGTCTTGGAGTCACTGGGATCGAGCACGTAACACGCCAGAGCTTCTGATTATAACCCATCGATTGTCCCCGTGACTCACTCGAGAGCCGATACCCACGTTGTTTGGTGTTTTGCGGGAAGCAACCCAGAACAAAAGAATGGCATCTCGAAGGCTGTGAGTCCTCGCCAACTCGAACCAAGGACAAAGGGCAGAGAACAAAGACTTTGTACGATCGACCCGAAGTCTTATCAGTTGGTCCAGTGAGTCAGTGACCAGAAACTGGTATTGCTCACTGACGGTGCAGACGTCACACCAAATGTCTCAACTAGTGCAGCTGATATGCCGAGATATTTGTTACAAATAGAGGCTCTCACCACTACCCACGGCAGAGAGTCCCAACGCAGCAACACACAAGACTCCCTCACACAGTCCACCTCACCACCTCGCCACCACCTACCAAAGACAAACTGCACCGCCCGAGAATCCAGCCGAAACAAGATCATACCCATCCATCAATATGCCTCGCCCATCAAAATTATAACGATTCAAGAACGATCTAAGAAAAGAGGTCGAACAAAAGACCAAAGAAAAAGCCGAAACACGCGCCAAAAAACTTGATTACGAGGACGAGGACATCTTCGGCGCCATGGATGGCACAGACGCGAATGAAGTAGTCCTCATTCGGGAAAGGTAGGTCCAACCCTTTCCCCTTTTGCTTGAGAAACCTCCCAGCCGGCCCCCGACTACCTAGAGCAACTTGCAGTGCACTGGCTGACTGTGATTCGTAGCGGATTTGGTCTCCTCTTGACGGCCACGTACATCGGGTTCAAGCCGAAGAAGGACAGCCGTGGCAGGAAGATCAAAGGACCTACGCGCGCGGAAACGAGTGTGGCGAAGTCGATCGATTCAATCCTGGAATGTGATGAAGATGGAAGCCCCCAAGAGGATGGCTATGGATTCGCGTGGCGCATCGTGCCAGATCTCGAGCTGGGCGAGATTCAGGATGGCTTCAAGTCCGCCGAGACCGATGAGACCGACGATTGCGATACGTCCGACAAGTCCGCCTTGTCAGACGGGTGCTCCGAGTCCGACGAGCCCGCTGAGCCCGCTAAGCGTGTTAAGCCCGCTGAGTCTGACGATTCCTTCGATTACGACGATTCCGACGGGTCCGACGAGTAGCTGGCGGTGGGCGGGGATATGCTCTTGAGTACTGCGTGTTGGTACTGTATGAGGAAGGTGGCACGGCACGTCGACAACATACGTTTACAGGAACAGGTCAATTGCTGTTGTCAGCGCTTGCTTTTGCACTCGAGCACCGTTCGCCATCCGCCATCCGCCTTCTCTGAGGACAAGGCATAATATAAGCTTTTTGGGATTTTGACTTCGCGTGGCTTGCCCTGCTGACACTTTGAGGACATGATGAGTTTTTAAAACCTGAAGTATTTTGAGAGACGGCCTCTTTCGAAAGGGCACAAACCCCTTTATCTTGTAATACATTAAGAACCACAGAACCACAGCCTGAAATCTAATCACTTCCATGTTGGTGTTACGAGTTTGTGCAGGTGTTATTACCATCACCACAGCCAAGCCGTACGCCATATGTAGATACACTCCGATACCGAGCCTCGAAACGCCTTACCAACCAAGCATCACACGCCCTGACAGATGAACAGACTATGCAATGAAAGACAAAGCCTCTCTAACACTGTGTAAACACCAACCATACAGCTCTCTTCTGGACCTCTGGTCCCATCATATCTGAATAATCTGTGGTCACAAAACAAAATAACTCGATACAGCTCTCTTCAGTATCAAGACGCACGCATACTCCCTACAACCCCCGAAAAACCTCCTCAACAACACCCCCGAGCATCCTCAGCCCAAACCAGTCCGCAACACCCCTATAAACCCCCAGCCTCCTCACCACCTCCTCCCTTTTCACGCTCTCGCCCCAGGGGCCCGAGCACGTACAATGCTCCATCATCTCGTTCAGCTTCGTGCTGCCGCACCGGGTGCACCTTACGTCCTGCGTGGCCCACTCGACGAGCCAGGCCTGCACATCCGAGATAAGCCGCTCCTCGATCCGGAGGCGGTCGAACTCGGCGCCGCAGAAGCTGCAGTTCCACGTCTTGTTCGCCGCCGCCTTGCGCAGCTCGCCCAGTCCGTGTTCCGCGTCCGCAGCCCCGCCGGCGAAGGCGGCCAGGTCCGGCAGCAGCGCCTCGTCTCGACACAGGTCCCAGTCGCGCGCGAGGGTGCACTCGGGGCAGTCCCACTGGTGCAGCTTGAGGCTCTCGCTCGGGTTGGCGAACGTGCCGTCCTTGCTGAATTCGCGGACGTCGAAGAGGGCTAACAGCTCCTTGCGCAGGAGGCGCGCCTCCAGCGTGATGTTCTTGTCGAGCGAGAGCACCTGCATAAGACTCTTGACCAGTTCGAGGACCGCGTTGCGGTTGCGCGCTTTCTTGGCGCTCAGGTTGTGGCTGCCGGGCAGCAGGGGGAAAGACCAGTCGGAGGCTAACTCGGGGTGGAGGAGCTCGCGCGCTTGAGTCGATACGAGGGATTGGATTTCCTTCTTGAGCGGGCGCTCAAAGGTTTTCGTGAGGATGATCTCGGTCTGCGGCGTGTTGTCCTCTGTCTGAGTGAGACTACGGAAGGGGAGCTGTGTAAGTCGTGGAGTTGAATCGGGATCACCATTGTGAGGATGCTTGATACTGTGCATCAGCTGGATGAACTCGACAACCCAGTGCTGGAATGTGTCTTGCAGCCGAAGCGGCAAGAACGTCTTTATCTGCCAACACATGACAGTCTCGAGACTCTGATGCTCTGCCTCGACGACCTCCTGGCATGCTTTGCCACCATAGTTGAACTCGTCATACCATACAAGGTAGTCCCAATATTCTTTGATCTCCAGATCAATGAAGTGGAAGAGCGGCTTGCCCTTGATGCTCTTCAGGATGTACTGACTGTATGCGTATGCATTGCCCACTTCTGACTTCGTCGTCTGCAGAAGTAGCCGATTCGAGTTGGCAAAGACCACCTGTGATCCGACCCGCCGAAAGTCGGCCATGAGTTGAAGCAAAGCCTTGCGACTCATCATCTGGACGTAGTAGTGCAGAGCACGGTCGTACATGAACGAGTCGGGAGACTCCACCCACCGGACCAAGTGCTGGACCAGTATATCCGCCATTGGGCTTCCCTTGCAGGCTTCCGCCCACCAAGACTTGACCATTTCTCGCAGCACAAACACGCCAGCATTGGCGAACGCCGATTCGGAGTGTAGCATCTCGGAACCATCAGACGGCCCCGCATCAGAAGCTGGGTTGAACGAGATGGAGTCGGAGCCCTCCAGCTCGTTGATCAAAGACGATGTGAGAATAGTATTAATCGCCAGGTTTCGCACCTCGAGATCAATGCACACAGAAGCATAGGTACCAGGGTTATTAACCGATGGCATCGAGACAGTGTCCAGCGGGCCGGTGATGTCGTCTTGCTCGTATCCAGCGTGGTCCGGCCTTGGACCAGGTGACCACCACAACACCACGTTGTTCATCTGCAGCCGTCGAGCATATGCAATGTCAATGAGGAACCTGGGGTCGTCTCGCTCCAAGTTGCACAGAGGAATATCTCCGTATCGGGCAAGAGCGGTAAGATGCAGTACCCAAGACCCAAGGCTGAGGTAATGAGACACAAGCCGTTTGGCCACGACCGATTGCCAACCAAGGGGTGGTAGTGAGCTGTCTGCCTGGTCGTACCTCAAAGGCAGGATGGGGAACTCTCCCAGTATAGGTATGTCGTGAACGAGAAGGTTGTGCTGGGAGGACTGAACAACGAGCATCAGTGGTTTCGCTTCATCTTTCTTCATTTTCTTGACCAGGTCGCTAATCTCGAGATGTGCCTTCCTTCGTGTTGTGACTTGCGTGACTTTGAAGCTGAGCTTTTCCTGGTATTCGAAGCATTCCTGCCAATTAGTTGCCTCGTCCTCTTGCAGTCTTCGAGCCCGCAGCTCGCTGTACAACATGGTAACGTTAGGCAAATCGGAGTTGGCATCCTTGCTCTTCTGGAGGATGACAATGTGCGCCTGATCGCTTGTCGTAGAGAACAGGCCGAATATTTGACGTTCGCCCGCTGTGATGTGTGAGATGTAGATATATGCAAGTGGGTTCGAGTGGAGGTACGGCTTTGGCTTCAACGGTCGCATTAAGCTAGGGAGGTCAAACCCTTGCTCGAGGCCTCTGCCCAATACTCCGGGCTGGCTCTCATCGATCGTGCAGAGATTGCCCAATTGCAACACAGCCCGCATGTTCAGAGGAACCTGCTTCTCGTATACCCCTTCAACACTGGGGTGATTGAATAGCAACGAGAACTTATCGGCTTCGGCGAAATATATGTCTTCTGGAACCGTGATCTTGAAGAGATGGGTTGAAGAGTGACCATTGGGGAGAGTGTGGTTGACTTGTTCCACATCACAACCCTCAACGTCGATGTTGGGCAGGTCCTTTCCTTTCAAATTCAAGAATACCTGTCGTGGTACCTTGACTTTGAGGGCGTGGACCTTCGCGTCGATTAGCACGTACGCGGTCACTATTCCAGGATTGTCTGTTATGCGCAGCTGTAGCAGTTGCCACGTATCCCTAAAGGTGACCTCTGCTTGGTTGCGAAACGATTGCTGGATGTTGCTTCCCACGTTTCCACGTCGATCTCCAAAGAGATGGCGACGGCGTACTCGAGCTTGCTTCTGGATCTTCCACTTCTTCTTCTGGTACTCCAGGAACGCCGGGTAGTTCTCAGATGGATTTGGCATCATCTTTGGTAGTGCAGCGAAAGGGTCCAAGTTCTCCTGTTCGGGCTCAGGAGACTTGCGCTTCGCCGCAGGTGGCGCAGCCTGGGAGGCATTAATCACAGCAGTCGTGCTCTTCGGTTTCAGGAGCTTGGCTCCGTAGTCTTCAAGATCTTCTAGTCGGGGGCCTGTCAAGTTTGTTATATCTTCTAGAGGTCCCTTTGGTGCAAACAGATCGGTGAGCTTCTTCTGCTTCATCTTGTCGTCCTTGATATTGATCCTTCGCTGGAGCCAATCTGGGTGAGGTACCCGCGGTACGGGGTTGCGAACCTTTTGCAACGCGGCCGGAATGGTGATCAGCTTCTGGATGACGGAACCGAGACGCTCAAGATAGTAGTCCCAGTCCAGCAAGGCACGAGGGTCGGTGTCGGTCGGTTCCTCCTTCATCCACTTGGTCAGGAACCTTCGCTTGATCTCTGGTTCGGCAGAGAAGATAGCGACCGGTATAGCCCGCTCCGTGACAGGGGCATTGCGAGGTCGGGCGCAGATGATGTACTTGCAGTTGAGTCCCTTGTCCTTGACCATCTGTTCTCCCAAGAACTCGGCCAGACGTTTGGCAGTGGTGATGGATGTTGACTTTTGAGTCCCGTACTCCTCGAGCGTCTTCGACATACTTCGGTTTTCGCAGATGAGATCGATGAACTCCTCGTCAGCAAGCGTGGAACCCTTGCTGTACAGCACGTCAAGCCATTTGTTCGCAACCTTGGACACAGCGGCGTAGCATTCAGCCAACGTCTCACCTTCCAAGAAGAACTTGAAAATCTGTGACTGGAAGATCTTGATGAGCTTGAGCTCACCTCTTCGTTTGACTTCGAAACCCTTCAGCTCGGCCAGACTGCCATCATCGTTGAAGACAGCATATCGCTTCTTCAAGTTCCTGTCCTCTTCCTTCGACGTGGGCAGCACCATGGCCTTGTAAGGACCATCAACTTCGAAGAAAATGGAGTTGTCGCTGTGGGTCTCGTATTTGAACGTCTTCTGATCAACAAGCGTTTGATACTGGTCGTTCGTGAACTTGGCATGGACAAGATGGTTCAACATGACACAGGGATATGAGATTGTGAGTTTCTTCCCGTTCTCGAGTTTGAAGGCGAAATTCTCGGGGAATGTGGCAGGAAGCATACACCAAATACCATCGGTGTCCAACTCCAGAGGTCGTCCTAGTCTTTCAACCAGCGAGCGTGCCAACTGAATGATGGTGGCACCCGTCAAACAGGTCACGCCAGCCATTTCCATGGAGTACCATCTGGATCCTTTTCGCATGACATAGCCGTAGAACGAGTTCAGAATGACCTTGTGGGCAAGCTGCAGCGAGTCGTATAGCACAATCATCTTCTTGGCGCTTTCAACTTCTTGATTTGAAGCGCCAGAGGACTTCAGGGCGTCCGTCTTGCCTTTCCATACTTTGGTCTGGCCCTTGTAATCATACCGACGATCTCGGAAATTTCTGACAGTGTCGATATAGAAGGGGTTTTCTCGTTGGCAGATGATTGCTTCGCGGACGATGGTTGTCTGATCCTTGGTCTTGTGGTACACTTTCTGACTGTAGAGCTGTAGTCGTTTCCTGATCAGGCTCGCTCGTTCATCCTCGCTCAGCTCCTGGAAGGTCCGCATCGGGGAGTTGGGCCATTTGCCCGGAAACTTCTCCCCTTCCAGCGCATGTCGGATCATGTTGTACTCGTCTCGTTTAGCAGGCAGGTATTCTCCTCTCCAAGCCCATGGCATTCTTCGATCGCATGTCTTCCCGGGTCTGTTGAAATCGCACGCCGCACAGTCGGATTCCTGGATCATGGAATCCGGTTGTAGTCGATTGGTCGTCATGATGTTTGGGTACATAGAGGCAACATCCAAGTGGTAGATCAGAGGTCGTTCATTTCGGTGTGGCGTCTCCTTCAACTGTGTCAGTCGCGCGGCGATCTGATCCCTCACTTCTTCATAGTTGGTGACATCGTCGAGGGACTTCTTTTCTTCGACTTCAACGACGAACTTGAGAGCCGCATCCAGGTCATGAAGAAGCTCGTCGACAGCTCCTGGATCCACGGCAAAGTTTACAGGTATATCCGCACGGAATACACCTGCTTCGATACTTTCGACGTGCCCGCCGACATAGGTCTCTGCATCCAGCAAATGGCCATCCCAAAATGACTCTTTCGGCGACATATGCTTATTCGGTAAGACGATCTCTCCCTTGTATGCCTGCACCATCAATAACATCTCGCACAGTGTACCCGTTCCCTTTCGCAATACATCATCGCCTCCCAGCGGCAAGATCATACACAACGAGAAGATGAACGGGTGAATGTACTTCATGTACAAGTAGTAGGTCGCGACAGCATCTGACACGGAGTACTCTGCTAATGTCTGTGGTCGTTCGGCGGCGTACGGTGTCATCAGTTCCGGGTCGAGCTCGTCGGGATCATAGCCGAGCTTGGCTACCGTCACAGCTTTGAGACCTCGACTTCCTTGCGGTAGGTAGGAGTCTCGGCTGACCCAGGCGAAACAGTCCATATGCACACCGTAGCTGCACTTGTAAATATCGTCGCTGTCCTTCTTCCATCCGATTTCTCGATACATGTCGATGCCGTTCACGCTCGCTCGGGCTTCAACAAAAGGCCAATCGAAAAAGTCTCCGTTGTAGGTGGCAATAACCGTCGGCCTCGCCTCCTTGATATGCAAGAAGAATCTCTCGATGACGCCTTTCTCGTCGGGTTCGTTGAAGATCATGAATGATCCGGGGTATTCTGGTCTCGGTGTGTATTCGAAGTCTGAAATGTCTTCCGAGACAATCTCTCGATTCGTGATTAGGAAACCTTGCCCGTCAATCATGTACGATATCATCATTATCTGGTCTATGGCGGCGTCGGGAAATTTGAGTGGAAGTTTGGTTGTTTCGATATCGTACGCCATTACTACTGGGTCAGCTTGGACAAGACGGTCCTCTTGAAGTGACAAGGTGGTTACTCCGTGCTTCGCCTCTACGAAGTACCATCTTGCAACTCGAACATCTGGTGCATGTTAGCCCGGAGTAGCGAGCTCGCGGAATTTGGGGTACTTACCCATATCAATCATTACTCTTACATGGTACGGTACGTCGTACTCTCTGCAGTCGACTATGTAGTCGCTGGCGTCTGAAAAGGAAGCATTATGTCGTCTATCGTCATCTCGTGAATCATCAAAAAGGTCGAATCCCGCTTGTTCGCTGCCGAAGCGTCAGTGCCCGTACATGCCGCACCTGTATAGGCGTCGCCCCTGAAAGGAAGACTTACGAAGCCACCTCAGCATAAACATCCACCGTACCCATGGCCTTGCGGTTCTTCTCCGCAATGGGCATGATATCTCTCCTCGCCGACATCAAATCTTGCACATTGCCGAACCTCAGCTCTAGAAACGTCCTCCGGTACCCGAGCAGGTGGTTCGGCATGGACAGGTCCTCCTTCTCGACCTTCTTGACCGTCCTCACAACGCCTCCTCCGGGGACGCGCTTCACCCACTCCTCGACCTCGCTCTCGTGGCCCCTGCGTACGGCGATCAGGAAGTACGGCTCGTACTCGACCGTGGCCTTGAATGTCTGCCCGTCCTCCTCGATGAAGTAGCAGTCGAGCGCAGCGCGGCCGCCGGGCACGCGTTCGTCGTCGAGCCCGATGGTCGTGGGCTGCACGTTGACCAGCCAGCCCTCTTTCCGGCGTCCAGACTCGTACCGCGCGAAGCCCATGGACTCGTCGATCTGCTGTGCTAGCTGTGCCCGCTCGAGCTTCTCGTCGGCGGAGGTCGCCTCGGTGCGTGTTGTGGAGGCGGCAAAGGTGCGCGCCCTGCTGGGGCCGTGGTAGGCTTGCTTGCCGCCGCGTCGGGCGTAGCCCTTTTGCGGACGGCGGAGGGATGTATGAGGCATTTTCGAGGTGTTGGAGGCGCTTCGAGTGGTTCGGCAGAGAGAGTGTCGAGGAAGATGCGTGTCTCACCTCGATTTGAGGGAAAGGGGTGGGATTCTGGCGTGGATAGTTGGATATCAGAACATGCAATCGGCATTGGTGATGACAGAACGAAAGGAATGAATTGCAAAAAGACTGATTCAACGTGTCTAGGAGTGAACTGACTCCCTGAGAAGTCCCAAGGCCTGGCGTCCGTAGATGTGGTGTAAGTACAGGAATCGCGGGTCCCTGCCTCAACCGGGGCAAAATCCACTACAACGCGCGACGCGACGTTCCGCTGCACCTCCCACGCGTACCCCTGTCCCAAGCAGGCGTTTCGCCGTTTCAGCGGGTCAACTTAAAGAGCTTCGTTTAGTGCCTCACACCCGCCAATGCGCATCTGTTGCTGGGCTGATGCATAATGCACTTAACCCATTGACCCCTGTGCTGGTTAGCAGCGTCATAGCTCCAAATCGCCAGTTTATTCCTACAGCAGATGACCACCTGATCGAAGCTCCAATCCCGCCCAGCACCGAACAGTCAGACCAGAGCTGGGCCAACAAGCAATGGCACAAGACGAAAACGAGCCGCCCAGGCTGCGCGGTCCGCCGCCGGGAGCCACCGCGCCGCCCGACCACGTCAAGAACCCGCAGATCTACGAGATATTCCACGGATCGAAGGCCGAGGGCGACAGCGCGCAGCAGGATGGAAGCACGCCCACGGGCGCGGAAGGGCAGAAGAAAACCCCGAACCCGACGTTCACGGACGGCCTACAGTCGATACAGTCGACCGACTTCCTCAATATTCACAAGGTCCCGTGCGCGAGGGAGGGCTTCATCACAGGCATTGGGGCGGGCGCGGCCGTTGGCGTGGGTAGTTATCTTGTAGGGGGTATGTGCCGTCTGGTGGCTGTTATATGGAAGCAGTTTGAACTGACTCGTTCTAACAGGTAGGATACCGAGGGCTGCCAACTGGGCAGCCGGGACGTTTCTTCTCGGGAGCATAATACAATGGGAATACTGCCAGGCGCAAAGAAGGAAGGAGCGCGCTGCTATGGCGAGGGTCGTAGAGGTGGTTGATCGGAAGAAGGCCGAGAAGGAGGCAAAGGCGGCAGAAGCTCTGCGATCGAAACAGGAGGCCGATGAGAAGGCCCAGCAAGCCAAAAAGAGTTGGTATAAGATTTGGTGATGGTATCTTGAGTGTATCATATTGTTGCAGCAGAACGCTGCTACTGTAAAAAGACGTTGGGGTATGCCATTTCCCATCCACGCGCCAATGCTTTGTATGCATAAGTATCTGCCAGAATCAGTTCCAACCACCAGACTATGGACCGCCTGAGGTTAACAAGAGAAAATAGTCCTGTGGTCTGGCGAATCGTGATAGAAAAACCATGTCCCGACTGGGACAGACCTTTAATCATGAAGATTAATATGCAACCATGATCTCTGCCCGTTTCGCCAAACGCCCCTGTAATATCATGTCGATTCACACGTAATAAGTTTCTCTCCCCCCTCTTCACCCATGACACCATCTACCAGCTCTGGGCAAGACCCTACGTAATGAGGTTCTCTCCTCCGCATATGGTCAGGGCATCTCCGCATTGGTGGTATGCGACACGAGTAGCAGAGAACGAGCTATAGCGACAGCCTGGTCAAGTCGTGATAACTCGAGTCGGTTCTGCCTCGGAGAAATGCACTCGCATCATGGAGTGCTTTCTCTCCAGCTCGGCACCACCGCCTAGCTGTTCCCTTCGACGCTGGTTCCTCCTAGTCCTGGCTTCGCCTTCTTCGCGCTTCTTATACTCGGCGAGCTGTTGCCTTCGCTTCTGGGCGCGCTGAAATGCTATCGCGGTTGTCGGTTTGAAACCAATGCCATTGAGCCCCGTACCGTCGTCATCTTTATCGTCTGGGTCGTACACCGTAATCTCATCCTCGTGCCAGGTCAGGGCAGCTCGAATGGGGTCGACAACGTCAGGCTCTTCTTCGACTGGCGGCCCGGGGGCTGCTCTGCGTTTCGAGGACGCCGGGGGAGGTGTGCCTGCTCGCTTCCGACTGCGCGACTTCGAATCCGACAGACGATTAATCGAGGGATACGATTTCTGCAAGCGGCCGACTCCACCATTCTTGGATTTGCTCACAATGGTAGGGTCTACCGCTCCATGCAGGGTGAGGTGTCCGGAGTCGTCGATCTGAACAGGACCAGCAGCATCTGCACTTGTCTCTCCATTCAAGGCAAAGCTAGCGGTCGTATGGAGGCTTTCGTGGGTGGATTCGTTCTCGGGAAGCTTGGGGCGCTTACGTGTGACACTGTCCTCATCGTCGTCCAGCTGCATCTCTCGCCCAGTGCTGGAGCTGGCGCCTCCATCAAAGTCAAAGACAGCCAACTGCGGTGAGAATTTGGAGGCATCAAGTCGGCGATGGTGTCCCAGCTCAGAAGGAGCTACCCCGCCCCCACTTTCACTTCCACCGCCGCGGCTCTGCAATGCCATATCACCGAACTTCTGGGCGACCTTGCTCCGCGGACTGCTGTCCCCATCCTCCACAAGCTTGTTGGATTGTTTGACGGGTTGAAGGACCGGTGCTTGAAAGGAGAAGACATTCTTATGACTTGGAAAGTTGGAGGACGGAGTCGGTGAGCTTGAAAGACGTCCTGCCGTGATTATGTCATGGCGCTTCCGCTTGGGTGTTGCTTTGGGTGACTGAGACTCGGCCATGGATGCTACCGTGGATTTGTTGTGAATGAACGGGCTTTGGTCTTTGGTCAGACAGACGGATGAGCGCGATGGCGTACGACGGCATGGGATATGAGGTGCGGGCTGCTTATGAGCAGGTTGCGTCAGACCTGAAAGTCCATCAAGTGCATCGGGTGGTGCGTAGCTGATGGCCTTAGTGTGTTGGGTGTCTGGCGTCGAACTTGCTTGCCCTGTGCACAGATGTCGCGCCTTGTCGGCGGTGGCGTTGGCAGCTTGACGTTAAAGACAAGTAGATAACCAAGGGACAGGTTGAAACGATGCATCCAGATATGGATCCTGTGGGTGTTATCACAGGCCAGACGCTGTGTACCTTCAGGTTGGCTTGGTGGAAGGATGCAGCAGGGTGTTTGAGCAGGTGCATCTTGCTTGCGGGGAGAAAGCGTTATCCAGGGAGCTCTATCTATTGTCCCGCTTCTGCCTAATGGCGGCCATTGTGCCACTCAATAAGGAAGGGTGCAGGTGTGCCCTCCTTCCTTCCCAAGAGCCTCACCAAGGCAACAGGGGGTGGTGGGATCTGTTCATCCCGTTCCATTGCTTTACCTCCTTTATGTTAGAGTTGTTGTGTGTCCACGTCTTGCGCTATTCAGCCTGCATTCACCGATCTCTCTCCCACCTACATCATTCTCAAAGGTAACCCTCCACTACCTACCTGATATACACAACTGCAGCTCTCATCGTTTTGCCCATGCACATGGAATCACGCTTAATAAACCGTATCCTCCGAGTTCCAGGTCTCCTCTTCTGCGGAAACACTGTCTGTAAGCTAGGTCTCACCTGGGTAGTTTCCCTATCCCACTTGACCCAAGTCTCCAAACGCTCCACTCACAGCCGTGGTGGGCAAACCGAAATACCATGACCTCGGTGGAATGCTGTCACATTCCCATGCGCTTGAAGCTCCCCCTCCTCCAATTACCCCGCCGATCTACTGTACCCCACCACCATCATCATCCCAGAACCTGAATGTTATGCACTTCAGCAGCATTCATCATACCTTATATAGCCTGAATCCCATTGCCTGTGATCTGCTCCTGTCCAGCTCTATCTAAATCCCGTCGAAGTGTGAAATCCATCGAGCTGTACAAGTTCATTCTAGCCATACCAAACCAACTGACCTTCCTATACCCAAGTAGCCACCAATACTCTAACACCCCCAAAGGCCACTCAACCCCAACACAGCCACCATGACGGACGAGATATCCTTCCTGCCCCTCGGCGCCATAATCCAGAGCCTCACCATCGGCGGCGTCAACATCGTGCAGGGTTTCCCGAAGCAAGACCAATACGTATCGCACAACGCGCCCTTCTTCGGCGAGACCATCGGCCGCGTCGCGAATCGCATCTCCTACGCCAAGATCACCTCCCTCAACGGCGGCAAGTCGTACCCGCTGGCCGCCAACAACGGGCCCAACACCCTGCACGGCGGCCCCAAGGGCTGGGGCAAGCGCCTGTGGAACGGCCCGAAGCCCGTCGGGGTGCGCCAGATCCCCGGGCTGGAGGGGGGCGAGCTCAAGGGCGGCGAGAGCGTCGAGTTCGTGCTCACGAGCGAAGATGGCGATGAGGGCTTTCCCGGGGAGGTTGTTGCCAAGGTCGTCTATACGACGGGCAAGATAGTCGAGGGCGGGAAGGAGGTCACGATCCTGGGGATGGAGTACGATGCCGAGCTCGTCAGTGGTGCGGAGGAGACCGTCATCAACATGACGAACCACTCGTACGCACCACCTTTAGTCCTTCAGGGGGAGCCTCCAGCTGCAAAAGAAGAAAGACTGACACTCCAGCAGGTACTTCAACCTCACAGGCGGCCCAACAATCGAAGGCACAGTAGTCAAGCTCTGCACCGGCGCCTACCTCCCCGTCGATGACGGCGGCATCCCCACCAGCGGCCCGAAACGCTACCCCGGCGTCGCTACGGACAAGACCTTCACCCTCGGCCCCCGCGAGCCCGACATCGACGACTGCTTCGTAGTCGACGCCTCCGCATCCCCCAGCTCTGTGGCCCTCGACACGCGCACCCAGCCGCTGAAGAAGCTGGTTGAGGCGCACCACCCGGCCTCCGGGATCCACCTCGAGGTCCTCAGCACCGAGCCCGCCTTCCAGTACTACACGGGCAAGTACATCGACGTGCCTGAAGTCGAGGGCGTGGCGGCGCGGGGCCCGCGGAGCGCTTTCTGCGTCGAGCCGAGCCGGTACGTGAATGCGTGCAATTTCAACGAGTGGAAGAGCCAGATGCTGCTGGAGAAGGGCAAGAAGTACGGCTGCCGGAACGTGTACAAGGCGTGGAAGGAATAGCGACGGATATCGGAAAACTGTCTTGCTGGGTACCTACATATTTCATTGTTCGATAAATACATGTTTTTATTTAGACGCATATCGAATAGAAGCAAATGAATTCCCTGACATCTTTGATCCCTTGGCTGGCTCAGACGCGACTTGATCAAAGAACCAACCGCGTCCACTACCTGCACATCATCAACGAATAGCAGTGTTATATTTGAAAGCATAATCTCGTGTAGGACACCAAACATGCCGAGGGTGGCATTTGTAGACCATACGAAACCACAATGTCAAGCCCTGCGAAGAAGAGGAAGCTGAACAGCGACTCCAAGTCAACAGGCCCATCTTCGAGGGGCCTAGAGTACTTCTTCTCTAAGCAAAAACCCAAGGCTCCTGATAGCCCTGCGCCGGTCGCAGATCAATCTGGGCAGGATGTCCACTCCGGCGATCATGAGATGACCGATGAGGCGCTGGCGAGAAAGCTCCAGGCCGAGTGGGACCAGGAAGATGCAGGCGCCAGACCCGTCGCCGCAGCTCAGGGTAGCTCAGCAGCTTCACCGGTGATACCGCCTGAAGAAGAGGATACCGCCATAATTGTGCCCGATCATGTCGTGGACCAGGCAGGGACACCGAAAAAGCCCCTGCCAAAGGTGGAGATCAAAGCGAAGAACACATTGTCCCTGCAGTCTGTTGCCGCATCCGTGGACACAGTCTCGGAATCCATACCCTTTGATGAGAGCCCGCTTACATTCGACCCTACCAAGTACGCACGACAGCTCCAGGAGCTTTGGGCTGGCGAGGGAGGTGATGCTTCATATGCGCTCTTGACACGATGCTTTGTGCTGGTGAATGGCACATCAAGCCGGATTAAGATCGTGGATACTTTGGTCAACTGCTTGCGTGTGCTCATCGAAGGAGATCCGGAAAGCCTACTGCCTGCGGTAAACCTTACTCTATCTGTTTGAGTCGCCCAGAATACTAGGAACTGACAACCAGTCTAGGTCTGGCTAGCCACGAACTCCATCTCGCCACCATATATCTCACTAGAACTGGGACTAGGCGGCTCGGCCATCTCGAAGGCCTTGAAGCAAGTTTGCGGTCTGGACAATCGATCCCTCAAGGCAATTTACGACAAGTATGGCGACGCGGGTGATGTGGCCTTCGAGGCCAAGAAGAAGCAGAGCTTCACCCTGCGGAAACCCAAACCGTTGACCATCAAGGGCGTCTTCCAGTCTCTGGTCAAGGTGGCCAATAGCCAAGGCCAGGGAAGCGGGGAAGTGAAGCAGCGGATCGTCGACAGATTACTCCAGGACGCACGAGGAGGCGAAGAAAGTCGATACGTAGTGCGTACGCTATGCCAACATCTTCGAATAGGCGCCGTGAAGACCACGATGCTTATTGCGCTTTCTCGCGCATTCCTGCTCGCACGCCCACCTGGAGCAGAGTTCCCACTGCGATGCGTGGAGGAATTGCGCAAGTTGAAGAAAGAAGAACTAGCCGAGATCTGGAGCAAGAACGAGGAGATCGTCAAGGCGTGTTTTGCGAGGCGGCCGAACTACAATGACCTCATACCCGTGATGTTGGAGATAGGCGTCTGTGACGAGCTGCTGATACGCTGTGGGCTGACACTGCATATACCGCTGCGGCCGATGTTGGGGAGCATTACGCGGGACCTGGCCGAGATGCTCACGAAACTACAGGGGAGGGATTTCGCGTGCGAGTTCAAGTACGACGGGCAGCGTGCACAGGTGCATTGCGACGACAAGGGCAAGGCCTCCATCTTCTCCCGACATCTCGAAGTCATGACCGACAAGTACCCCGACCTCGTCGAGCTCGTGCCCAAGATCCGCGGCGAGGGCGTCAGCAGCTTCATAATGGAGGGCGAAGTCGTGGCAGTGGACAGGCAGACGGGGGAGCTGAAGAATTTTCAGACGCTCACGAACCGGGCGAGGAAGGACGTTGCGATCGGCAGCATTACCATCGACGTCTGCCTGTTCGCCTTCGACCTCATGTACTTGAACGGCCAGCCGCTGCTCGACCGCCCGTTCCGCGAGCGGCGGGAACTCCTGCGGTCGCTGTTCATTGAGGTCCCGCACCACTTCACCTGGGTCAGGACTTTGGACGCCACGTCGCATGACTCGGAGGCGGTGCTCGACTTTTTCAAGCAGGCGACTGACATCAAGTGCGAGGGCATCATGGTGAAGATCCTCGATAACCTACCCAGCCTAGCAGCCCCAACGGAGACGGATCAGGAGGCGCCAGATGCCAAGGCCAAGACTGTCACAAAAGCCGCTATGAAAGACAAGAAACCCTCAACCCGCCGTAAGGCCCTCCTCGCGACATACGAACCCGACAAGCGGCTCGACTCGTGGCTCAAGGTCAAGAAGGACTACAGCTCGTCGTTCGACACGCTGGACTTGGTACCCGTGGCGGGCTGGCATGGACAGGGCCGCAAGGCCCGTTGGTGGTCGCCGATCTTGCTGGCCGTGCGCAACGACGAGACGGGCACGCTCGAGGCCGTCTGCAAGTGCATGTCCGGGTTCACAGATTCATTCTACAAGGCGAACCGGAAGATGTATGACGACGGCTCAGGGGAGCCCGAGCCCGGTATTACTGGGGCCGGGGATGGTGCCACGGAGGAGCACACCAGAGACGGGAGCGCAGATAAGCACGACGAGAAAGAAAACGACGACGACGACGAGGAAGAAGAAGAAGGCGAAGGCGAAAACCGCCGCTACAAGAACGTGCGCAAGACCAAACCCAGCTTCGTCGAGTACGCGGGGCACCCCGACGTCTGGTTCGAGCCGCAGGAGGTGTGGGAGATGGCCTTTGCGGACATCACGCTGTCGCCGACCTACACGGCGGCCATCGGACTCGTGAGTCAAGAACGCGGGCTCAGTCTACGGTTCCCGCGCTTCCTGAAGAAGAGGGACGACAAGGGCATCGAGGAGGCGAGCAGCAGCGAGTTCCTCGCCGGGCTGTGGCGCAAGCAGGAGGCGAAGGCGGCTCCCGCTGCGGCGGTCAAGGAGGTTGATGCAGACGAGGAGGAGCAGGAGGAGGTTTAAATGGTGTGGCTCGGCATTACGTGCTAGTGATGTTGGATATGGCGAAGATGTACAGCAGAAACAATGGATGTACAACCCAACACGACGATTTGCGCACGTGCGAATACTCCCCCAGTTAGCAGAAGGGAGTTCGGCAAAATCCGCTCGCAGGTGATTATGCTACCTGCTTATACCATTCTTGAAAATCCTCTTGCAGGTGATTATTCTACCTGCTTATACCATTATTGTGAAAAGCAAGAAACATCAACAAAAGCAGTGCCCCGCCCTGCCCTGCCATAGCCGTCCTTCAGGGGCCGTTGCTGGCAGCGAGTGTAGTCCCACGATACCCACCAGTACTAACGTATCTGGCTCGTGGTGTTGTGGGAGGAAGGATTTGAGGTGCAGCGGCATTGTCGAAGACGCCGCGCTCGAGAATTGTTGGTCGGCTTGGGCACAGGCGTATCGGGCCGCCAGGGACGCCTCGAGACCATTTTCTCCCAATCTCCCCAATCTCCCCAATCTCCCCAATCTCCCCAATCCTCCCCTCTCACCGCTCAGCCAGCCACCAAGGCCACAATGATGAGCATGCTGTCCAGACAGTCTTCGATCTGAGCGCCGGGCACCGGGTCGGGTCGTACGGGTTGGCGTCCGGACACTCCTCGGTGCGGATGACGCCCGAGTTGAAGTCGGAGGCCGCCAGTGGCCTCGTTGTCGCCTGGTGCCACATCAGCCCGCAGTCCGCGGGCGTACCGGGCCCAATCGGCAGCCACGGCTCGTTGACGTACTTGGGCTCGATGCTGTCGCCGGTGCTGAGGTCCAGCCAGCCGTCGAGCACGTCGAGCGTGAGCTCGACGCCGAAGTCGACGTACGGCGAGGCGTGAATCGTCGTGGTCTCGTCCGACGTGTCGATCAACACATTGTGCGCCGCGGTCGTCCAGCCCGACGCCGTCGAGCACGTCGTGTCCACGACGTCGATGTGCACGCGGCCGTCCGGGACCGCGGTCTTTAGACTTTCGGGGTACCCCGGCGTGTAGTTGTGCCATCGGACACAACGCTCGGCGAACGCCTTCCCCTTGAAGGTCTTGGTTCCTTTGGGCCAGGAACACGCGTACTTGGTGACGAGAACGGCCTGCTGTTGCTGCTGCTGTCCCTGCTGCTGTCCATTCTGATGTCCCTGCTGCTGCCAGGTTCATCGGGTCGTTGTGGGCCAGTGGGCTTGAAGGTCGACTTGCGCGCAGACGTATCGGGCCGCCAGGGGCTGCAGGGCTGCTGACTCCGGCTAGTCCTTGCGTTACCATTTTCTCGCATCCTTTTATGTGCGCTGCCCAGGTTACCGTCCCCACCCTCGCCAATCTCCCCTATCCTCCCCCAATGAAGTCCGTCGCAACTCCTCGAGAGGTGTTTGGCCGGGGAATTTGCGAAGCTTGAATTGCTCGTACAGGCCACCTAAAACATAATTCTTTAATCCATTGCCCTTAGCCCAGTCAGGTTCATGACTTACCTTTCGTGTCCTTGCTCAAATGCTTTGGACTACGCGATACAGACCATCGTATCAGATTCCGGGTGCCCAGGCTCGCATCACTTCACCAGCAAGTAATACAACCCTCGCGGGCTGCAGGCCACCGCACGCGCAGGGCCACTGACAGCGAGCGCAACCGCGGCATATTCCCCAACCCAACGGCCCTTGTCGTCAGCGGCGAAGGCGGCGTCGAGGCGGACCACGGGGTTGTTGATGCGAGCTACGGATTGCATTATGAAGGTAAACAACCTCATTGTCATGGTCATCAGGCTGGATGCTGTTGTTGCCTATCAGCAGCCGAATTTCAGTTTGTTTGACCATCCATGGTTCGTATCAGCTCGCGAATCTCTTGATCTCCCGGCTGCCGTTCAAGCCACCGTTTTATCCGACTACACACATGTTGTCAGTCCCAGTCAGCACCACGAGTCAGGCCAGCAGGAGACTTACACCTCGTCCCGCGTGAGTCCCTGCAAGTCCCGGGCCAAATCGCTGACCCGTTACAGCTCGGTAACCTCGTCCCAATGGTCCGCCTCGGCCACGTGGCTGCTTGGAAGGAACTTGTTCTTAGCTTCAGGGCCGCTGGTCGAACTCCCTGAGCGCAATATTTGGACGGGAAGCTGGGATGCTAGATAAGCCTTGAGAGCCTTTGCAGATGGCTATTCTCTCTTCGAGATCATCAAGGTAGCCAACTTCAGCATTTCGGATGGGCCTAGAGGTGATGAAAGACCTGAGTACATCGATGTCTTCAGGCCATGTTGTCCGATTAGCCAGCAGTGCTTCAACCTGCTGCTTGAACTCCTCATTGAGGACCTCTGGTCAGATTTGTCAGTATGTTGGTCATTTTGTATGGTGATTTCGTTAATGTGCTTACAGTTGTCATCTACCCAGCTCCAGTCAGCCTCTCTGGCATGCTTGACGTGGTAGTCGCGGACGGCAGCAGGGTCCTGGTCCTCGTCTATCATCGTACCGAGTATGGCAATGAACGAGTCGTTAAGGATTCTCTTGATAAGCTCCTTGTCGTTACCGAGGCTCGCAAACGCCTTGATGCATAGCTCGCCAGTGGCCAGCACCGGGACGAGGGCCTCGTTTCAGCCCGGCTAGTAGCAGATTTCGCCCAAATGCTCCTCTGGCCAGACGCACACGTAACGTTGGTCCTGGGCAATGTGTCAAATCACTGGTCGAGCCGGTCCCGTGTGCGCCGTGACGCGAAGGTCTGGCCGCAGCCGCCCCAGAAGCACTCGTTGCCTCCTGGTCGCACGTTGGCCACCGCGACAGTGTTTGGGATCATGTCGTAATGGACATTTTGTTGCGGCTGGTAGCTCGGTGTCTTTTCACTTTCTTGGCTCCCCACCACCCATGGCGTCGATAGGGAAATTGGCAACGTGCTCCCCTGGGAGAGACCATTGTATGCCTCACACACTCTTTAGCAGCCATTGCCGGCCATTCCCCTTTACTTCAACTCCATATGTCGTACCCCTTTACTCCCACGATCGCAAGCCATGAAATCATGTGAACCTCCTCTCTTATTCTCCACCCCCTGAGCTATAGGCATTGAGGGCGACCGCGGCGGCGATAACATTGGCGTCGCAGCCGGACGACTTTCGACTCTTGGGGGTAGTCTGCTTCTTGGCTTTGCTAGCAGAAGCCTTGCCGGCATTCTTGGCGGAAGCCTGACTCTTCTTGGGAGTTGTTCGTACCGGCATGGTACCCCTTACATACAAGGAGCGACTAAGACGCGCCTGGTGAATTTGGCCGCAAGAGGTCATATCTTGCATGTATCGTGGACGAGTGTTTGTGCTTCTTGAGAGAGCGGGAGGATCTTGTAGCGGTGGTGCGTCTGTTTGAGGACTGGTATGCTTGTATCGGCTTCTAGCGAGGCTTGGAAGGCTGGCCTGAGAGTTGTAGATCGTGATCTGATAGCTTGTAGATGGTTGTGTACGGTTCCAGCTTTCTGAGGAGTCATGTCGCTCGACAAGGCGCGCCTCGTCCCTGTCGCCCGGTTTCATCGGGTCGTCGCCGCCAGTGGGCTTGGCGCAGCCCGGCCAGCAGCACTGCAGCAGATCTCTCCCAGGTACTTCTCCATCTCATGGTCCTTCATGGACTGGGTGTTGGTCCGGACTTGGCGCAAGCAGCGCACCAGCACTCAAGATCCCAGGGGCCGAGAAGCTCCTGACCAAGCAGGTCAACGCGTTGTTGTCTTTGGCCTTGGAGTTGACCTTTGCCTCCAGCGCGTCTCACAGCGAAGAGATGACATTGTCCTCGTCTAGCTGCGTATTGCAGCGTGTTAACAGTTGATGTCGCCACTTCTGCGTGAACTCGTTTGGTGTTGTGCGGTTGCTTCGAAGTATGGAGGCACAAGTATCGTATTGACGCTTGGGATTCCCAGCGTAGCGCTCGCATGCCGTCTGTCCACAGCCAGAGCACACGCGGATGGAAGACTTGCAGATGATCTTCTCCCCCTCACAATTGCACAGACGCGCGCTGTTAGTGTCCCCAGGAAGATGAATAATTCTCATGCATGGTGGGTGGCCATCTCGCCGATCTCTTTGGCTCGTCGTCCGGCGGCCTTGATGGCGAGCTGGACGTCGGCGGTGGTTGGGAGTCTTGCAGATCTTAGGGCAGTAGCGACAAGGTACGCCTCCCGGAACAGGTCGCATGCTTTGTCGATACACAGCCTATCCAGCAGCAAATCACTCCCAGGTGCTCGTCATGTAAATAGCGTGATAGATGGTTCTTGTGGTTGATAACGTGTATTCTGGTGATTTTTGGTACGTGTGTGTATTTGGAAGAATCTTTTGAAGTGTGTTATAGTATTTCTAGTTGCCTTAGGAGCCTTGTTCAATGTTGCTGCATTTCATTGTTACACCACTGACCCGCCATAAGTCTCCGAGCACACCCGAGATATTATAAGAAACTAATATTGGAAAATGCTGAAGTTTTCGTAACTAATTTCTAAATATTTATTTTCTTAGTGACTAAAATAGTATGAAATAGATATATAAAAATAAAGTTTAAAATCTTAAATCATAAATGTTAATAAAGCTATAAAAAATGTTTAAAAAATCGTATAAGTTGTAATAGAGTTATATAATATTAAACAGCATGTAATATACATATAAAATGAGAAACCTTATTTGATAGATTTTCTTTTAATTAGATATCTTGAAAAGTTCTTTTTATCGAAATTTTAACCTTTAATGAAGTAATATTTACGACCTTTATCTTTAAGATGTTAAAGTTTTTAAATAAGCCATTTTAATATTCCAGTAAATTTAACTATAAGTACTATAAGAACTTAAGTTTCATCTATTTTACTCGATTTATTACGATAGCGTAAAGTTGGGGTGTTTTGGTGTAAAACAAGGATGCTCGGAGACTTATGGCCGGGGACTGTACCTCCCTGAACGCCACTGTGGCTTGCGTGCCCTTCAACACGTCACAAGCTCAGCCGCATCACCAACCAGAACCTCTCGTGCACCTTATATTAGCAATCTGCCCTTCTTTCTTGTAATCAGTTATTTCGTCCCCCTGAGTACCCCCATTGTAAGGTCTTAATTTGCTTTGTTGATATGCAAATTTGTATGCTAGCTATAGCAATATAAAGGAACTCTGCTCCCCTCTAGGCAGCCGTGGTTCCGTTCCTGAAGTACACCAGTCTTAAATTCAACACAAAGCCAGGTGAGCTAAGAGGAAAGCCATCCGGGGTGTGATCTGGGATATAGCACTGCTACTTCCTTGAACTCCAGACTGATTCCTTGACTTAAGGAATAAGTTAGTGGAGAAAATCTGAGGATGGTTGGTATAGAGCTCATTTGACACGTCCTCTTGTCCAAGGGGCGAGGCATCCATACTATACAAATCATCTACAATACAGGCGTGTATGCTTTACAAATGATATTGTAGCATATACGTGTCTACAAAGAGCCCTCAGCAAGAACCGATATCAGCAACATGTATATCAGGCTTTACATCGATATTTGGCACCCCTCGGCCGTTGGCTTTCCCCTTATCGGCCCTTGTGACCGCCAGATTCCACCGCAAATTGGCTACCGATGCCGCGCAGATCATGGTCGAGGTTTCGGTGGTCGGGGCTTGATGGGATTTTGTAGTTTTCGGCGTGCTCTGTCGGCTGATGGCCTTGAGATGCTTTGTCGGTTGTCCCATCGTAGGAAGATCGTCTGCGTTCCACAATAGCCCTAGAAAAGGATCGGGACTTCGATGCTCTATATGCAAATCAGTACTTATCACATGACAAAGGAGTAACGATATGTAGGGAAGCTATTGACTTACACATGATGCCCATGGCCCGCATATGTCCGAGAAGTCAGGGAGTCCGATGATCCCATAGTGGCTGTTCGATGTTTGGGGAGTTGACTGGGTCATGTGATATGCTCTTTGCTCCAAGATGGTTGAGACTGAAGAGGACTGCTGCAAGAGTTTTGTTTGATGGAGGAGGGAGTCCACCTTTTTATATTCCTCTGCTGTAGAATAGGACATATCTGGTGCAGCTTTTGGGCCTGTTCTCATGATCGCCAACCATGGGTTACCAGGGCAGATGGGACGATACATCCACGTTGTTGCTTAGGCCACAGGAAGAGAATATGTGCTATGGACCCGTCATGATGGATTGCAACACCCAATGGTAGCATAGTCCAGATACCCGTGTGAAGAGTGTGACCTGCATCATTCACCGAATGATCATCAGATATTGGTGCTCGGCGCTATGCGGGAGAGCAAGCTATACGGTTGGCACACGGGGTCAGTTTTCGATGGACCTCATTGGCAGATGTACCTTTGTCAGGTCTCCTGGACACACTGCTGGCATTCAAGCACTGCAGATTTTGGACACACTACTGCAGGGATAAGGCATGCAAGATTGCCTCGATGCCGAAAGGTCGTATCGGGACCAAATTCGGAGTACTATCATTCGTCAGTGTCTTTTTGTCAGACTACTGGCAGTCTGGGGTAAGTAAGCCCTGCCGCGCCACACTCCTTGTGAGGCTCTGAATCAATATCTGGGCGGATCTGACAAGCCATGATTGGCTATGGTCCTTTTGTCATGCAGCCTATGCATGAAACAAAACCTGGTTCGTGCCTGAATGACGCATAGGCGGTATATCACTCTGCAGACAGGAATGGGTAGGTACACGGTCACCGTACACCTAGCAACTTGCTCTTGGGGACTTAGAATCCTATTGGCTTTTGTCTTTTTGTTCCAAGCAACTTGGAGGCTTGTGAAGTCCACCCCGGATGTCATTGGATGTGCGTTAAACACGAATCAGCCCTCTGCGGCGGTGTTCCTGGGCCCCTGTGCGGCTGTGTTGATGAGCCCCTGTGCGGCATGCAACGGCAGAGACTAACCTCAGAGCCTGACATTGAAAGCCTGTCTACCTGTCCATTTAAAGCTTCGAAGCCTTCCCCATCTCGTTGCTCCCGTTCTGCCTTCTTCACATTTCGCGCTCATTCACAGAAATGATGATGATGATGATTGTATTTAACGTGGGGGATCGCTCCTCAGTAGTGCAAACCACGCCTCCCAGAGCCTCTGCATCGCAGGGTTGTGGAGGTATCAAGATAACATGTACAGTCAGATCCGCTCACGAGCCCATCCCCGCTGTTGCGGTGGCATGACTTTAAGTTCATCCATCTGGCCCTTCAAAAACAGCTATCTATCGGGGGCAGATTCTCATTCACAGAAAGCAGGCTTCTGCTCTGCGTATCCTAATCACCACTATGAGCGCACAAGAGGCGAACAGCACTGATCCCAACTTCCTGAAGATCCCTTTCAGCCAAAGATGGGAACCCCACAAGGCTACGATCAGCAGTCTATACGCTGATAATGAAATCGACGTAGTAGCCAAGACAATGAAAGAGGAGCACCAGTTCGACGCTTCGTAAGTTACCGAGCCTCTTTGCTATAGAGTGACACAGCTTTTATGTTGAGCTTGCCTAATCCATGAGACTAGTGTCTGACAATACAAGTACCATTTCAAGAAATGGAACATCTCCAAGAGCATCCCTTCATCGATCAAAGACCAGGCAATCAAGACCATTCGCAAGCGAACGCGCGATGGCAAAGCCACCGGGGGTGTCAAGTTCAATGGAGAGGATATCGACAAGAAGAGGCTTCGGCGTCATCTAAATGACACATCCAGGAGGAACATTGAGTGGCAGCTTTCCGGCACAGTGTGAGTTGATTCCAAGATGCCCGCAATGTGAGCCTAACGTGACTACAGCTTTGCGCACTGGAATCTGCCTTACAAGGCTTTACAAGCCACCTCCACCACCGAAGTCGGTGCCCCTTCACCTTTCGGTAGAGACTGGGCATCACCGATGGGTATTGTCGCCTTCAGCCCACAGGGCCCCCTGAACGGTCCTTCACCAACCAATGCTCCCTCGCCCTTGAATGCTCCAACGCCAACGACTCTGGCCATAAGGGTCAAGATATTTGATGATAGAGCTAGATATCTCATCCAAGGTATGAACGAAAAGTTCCTGAAGGACATGCCGACTTCAGAGAGAAGGCAAGTCACCAGCTCCCCAGTCAGTCTTAAATGGTACGGCTAACAAGATGTGGATCAGACTTGCAACCACATGGTTGTTCGCCTTCAGAACATCCAAATACTGGGGTAAGGGTCCGATGCAGTGGACGCCGTACCTTCTCGGTTTTTTGGACTTTATGGACGCCAATACGTCGGCCAATACCCCTGCTGCAATCGACGACGCGAGCCCAAGCAACACGGAGCCAAACCGGATTGGAGGAACGCTCGCTCAAGGATCTCTACGCCCGTCCCCATTGTGCTCCTGGAGCATACACTGTGATACACCGCGCTATGTCCGCATTCCGTCACCTCCATCATCAGAAGACGGTGAGAGCGACCTCGACCTCGACCCCGACAATGCGGAAAGTTGGCACCGGTGGAGTCCTGCTGAGGCAGATGCTTCCAACTTGACCAGCCGGCTCCAACAAGCTCTTCAGTTTAACATGTTCAGCAACATCGACACCAAGGACTTACCGCTTTCAACTACACAAGTCATCAAAGCGGTCTCATGCTCACCCGATGCTCTTAGTACGGAAGCTATTGGGTTTGCCATGATGGCCCGTAACGTGGAGCTCCTAGAAAACTTGCTCGGTGGGACTGACTCGAGTCGATTGGACATGACGAGGCTTTTCCCCTTCCACCTGGCTGCAACTCATCTTGACGGAGCCACGACCTGCTGCAACTTGATCAGCTTTTCTATGGGGGCCATGGCAGGCCGAAACCTTATCAAGAACCTCTACGTCAACGACCTTGGACACACCGTTCTGGATAGCTTGATGATTACCGTCCTCAAGGGACACACATCGTGTGCTCCGTACATGGTTGACGAAGGTATGAAGAAATCACAACGCTTTCCCGGAGAAGATGTGGATGTCTGTGGCCGTTGGGATGCCGACTCGCCTTGCATTCGGGCTCTCAACGCGAAAGGCACTGCCAGGATTATCTTCTCGTGGAAGCACATGTTTTACCACACTTCGGCACAGGCTGTGTGTCACTCCATTGCTGCTATCTTCAACGTGGACTATTCGCCTGACATCAACACTCCCAGTGGTTTGTTCATCAGGTATTGTTCAACATGCAACGAGAGGCTGCAGCCCTCCCCACTCCACACACTTGTCCTGACCACCTTCTACCTCGCCCAGTACGGCTGCCAAGGAGAGAACCTTCTCGGAGCTCTAGCTTGCCTGGTCTGTCTCCTTGCATACGGCGCAGACCCATTGGCGAAGGCCGAAATTTCTGTCGAAGAACTGCTGGGCAACGATGCTACGGACCGATGTAACCACACCCAGCTCGACCCCCTCGAGCTTGGCGAGCAGGTTCCAATGGTCATCAAGGCGGCCTGGCCAGCCGAGGTGCGACTTGGCTGGGACGTGTTTCTCGGAGTTCTGCGCTTTCGCAACGCGAGCGTGACCCTGCTCTACGACATTCATGGCGCAATCAATCGGACGTCAACTTCGACTTCGGTGGATTCGATGCCGGTCACGGTTACGGAGGCTTCCCCTTCGGGTATGAACGCGAGCTTTGGGAAGAAGCCAACACAGCCGACGACGGCGACAGCGAAGACAATGACGATGGTCCTTCCAATGTCTGCGACCACGCAGGGGACAGTCCGAACTTCTATGGCGGGAGTAGCGGGCTCGGTACCCTCTGGGCCGCCATACAAACGGAGCTCCTGACCTATCGCCGACTGGAGTAAGGCGATCCTTGGCTCTCGCTGAACTTTGACATGTGCGTGGTACACCATGGTCTGGAGACCGGTCACGGATTTCAAGATCTGCCCCTCGTGAAGCGGGAAATGATGAAACTGTATTGCAGATGCGGGAGGTTTGACAAAGCCATCCTCATGCATTGTCCCACTACGGAAGAAGCCTGTTCCTACTACTTTTCTAACCTGGAGGACTGGCATCGCTCAACATATCTGAGTGTGCCTTTCTGGGATTAGTTCGCGGGCATCAGGGAGCTCGTCTCGTCCGTGAACCGGTGGTGGATTTTCGGATCGGCGCTGATCGTGCAAGCGTTTTGGTCTTGAAGGTCCCGGGAGGTTCGTTTCCTTACTAGGTAGTTGTCTGTGCCATTGATTACTTACCCAACCTTGCTGTGGATTACAATACATTGAATTTCATGCGTTTTGCAGCTGCTCTTCACTTCGGATACATCGCTTGTATGCTCACTCATTACCGCGTCGCCACTCAGCTTTTGACACCGTCGTGACCGTACCGTTACATACTAAGCTATAAACCAATGCGTAGATCCCTCAAATCGCCTTGCCTCGCCGGACCCTGTAATTGTGAGCTCGCTGCAATGGCGAACTGGCTGCAATGACGAACTGGCTGCCCGGGGGCCGTTACCACTGAAGGTATTATCACCAACATCGAGAATCACATTCTGCGCAGGTGTAGCGAGCGGAGAACTCTGTTCTTGGGTGAAGCCGGCAACAATTTTCAGAGCTCTCTTGACTATAGCAACAATCTCCACTGGCGTGAAAGGCTTGAGGCCTTCCAGCTGGTGGAAGTCGAGGTCCTTCAGCAACGCCTCGTCGAAGTAAAGAATATCATCGGAGCTCATGATCTGGCCATTGGCGAGGCTTGAGAACGTAGGGTCCAGGGTCGTCTGTCGAGGTCAGTTGGCGAGTGATATGCGTGTAGGTACTGTTTTGTATTAGCAATCCTGTTTGTCGTTCTGTGAATGCAAAGAATGTACTGGCGTTGACGATCAGGGACCAGGTTGACGTATCTTCACAGGCCCTTGTTGATCGATCAAGGTAATTTGGGTTGGAAACACAGTTGGACAGAGGATGCCCTGTTCTTTGAAGCAATTGTTGGCTTCATGTAAGAGTTTCGTTCACCGATCTCATGCCCGCTGGCCAAGGAGCCTTTGTGGTGACGAGGGGGCCCTGGTGCCGGAAGACTGGGCGGACTGGGTGCCAGTTCTGGATCCTGAGCCAGTGGGCTTGACGCTGCTGGTGACAGTAGCAGCCGAGACGGTAGAGACGGTGCCAGTGCCGGTGTTAGCGCTGCTGCCAGGGACCTCAGTGCCAGTGGTACGGCGTATTCCCCGACCCAACGGCCCTTATCGTCAGGGGCGAAGGCGGCGTCGAGATTGCATTCGTTGTATGTAATGGGACATGCTTAAGGCTTCAGTCCCATTGGCCAGGTGATTGCGGAGGAGGATGAGACGCATGACTGGTTTTGATTGGGTCTGATCAGTATCATAAAGGGGTAAAAGGAAGAAAGGTCACGCGCAGCAAAGCAACTGCCCTACTATACGATCTACACACACCCTTGCCCCTTGCTACTGCGAAGTCGACATGCGGGTTTTCACTTACTGGTATTCTGGATTTCAGGGGCTCCCAGATGCTCGCCCAGCTGCCAGAGGTCGAGCAGCGGTCCGGAGTCCCAACTCTGGTCGCGGATGGCGGCGCTCACGGCGTTGGTGGCGTCGTTCATCATATGGTCCGCCAGCTCCCACTCGTCCCGGACTGTTGTGCGGCGATCTCTGCTTTGGCGGTTTATCCTTACTGCACATCTTGTGCATTGCAGGTCACCTTTTGCTCTGGCAGATTGCTATCGTAACGAGCATCTAGTGCTGGTTGCGAGCTGATCCTTATTATTCTCAGCAAATAGGGTTGTGCTCCCATCGCAACTGGAAGTCGATTGGTAGTGTTCGCTGACAGTACCGGCAGATGAAGAGGATCATGGGACATCAGCCCAGTTGAACTCTTCAATTTCTTGGGCATTCTTCTCGTGGGTATCGAATGCCCAGGTGAGCATGTTGTGTATATGTACCTTCATCTGTTGCGTCTTCGGGAATTTCTTCGAGATTGCTACGGGCTGCCCACAAACTCATGTCAACACCACATCTCAAGCATATGGGGGCCGATGACCTGAGCTATGCATAGAAGTCAAGTAAGGTTGACGTACCTGACGTGGCAGCAACCGCCTCCATGGAACATGATGCATACGCTTCATATCCTGCCGCCATGGCAGCTTCTACGACAGCTGCCCTGTGTCCCGTCCGAGAGTCCGAGTGTCCGAGTGTCCGAGTGTCCGAGACTAAACCCAACGCCAAACAAAGGACAAAACTTTGAGGAGTGATGGTCGGCCAGCCCGCCGCTCTATCCGCGATCGACAGAACCTTTCCTCTAATCTAAGGGAGCAAGTGCTCCCGCAAGTACTCCCGTAGGTGCGCGGTGAAGGTGGTTTTGCGGTAGCGGGCGGTGACAGCCGGGGTAGGGGCACAGGTAAGGCTGGGCACCAGACCCGGAAGATGTGCTTGCCCAGGGCAGCCAAGTCGACAAATGTCCGGTTTCAGGGGCGACGACCGCTGCACAAAGTAAGGTCCAGCGCTGGACCATGTGGCGGCGCAGCTTGTCGCCAGCGCCCCAGACGCCGCAGTGCGGGTTGTTGCGGTAGTGCTAATACAAGTCAGTATGTGCTCGGGATGAGACAGGAAGATTAACGTACCGTAACGACATCGTGACCTGGGTCGAACTTCTCCAACTCGACCATGACCAGCGTCATGGAGATTCATAGCAAGAGCATACTCGTTTTCGAGTCGCTGGCACTTGACAATAGTACCGAACTGCACAAGCTCGGGATTGCGCCTGTTCAACGTCAACGTCCAGACCTGCGACACTGAAGGCCACAAAGGCACCTCTTGTTAGGTTAGCTTTTTCGACACGCTCGAGAGGACAGAGACGGTAAAGAAGACGAGACACTCACTCGTCCGGTTGCATGGCAAGCGCCAGCATGCCGCTGTTGAAGTCGCAATCCCAGACCTCGGTCATGTCGACAACCTCAATGGGTGCGACAGGGTCGATGGCATCCTTGAAAGTGTTGGGGACTTCATTCTTCTTGGCCTTCTTCCTGGCGTACTTAGGCACACATGAGTGCAGACCCTGTGAAGGTGTAGCCCATCTCTTGGGGAGAGGCCACGATAGCAGCCAACTGCGCAGGGTTGGGCTTCAAGGTCTTCTGGTAGGAAATGAGGATGTCGTCATGGACATCCGCGTTCCAGTCTATAAGGGTGCGGTTGGACGACATGATGGGCGCTCTTGGTCTGTCTTTGCCGTTGCTCTCGACTAGAGGAGGGTATGGGCCAGTACCAGCGTTGGGACTGGGTCTCTCGGGAGGCATGGTTGGAGGTGGCTCCTTTCGTATGCTGTTGTAGTTGATTTGGGGTCAGCAGCAGGCCCTTGGCAGCGGGCGCGTATTTCGTCATCTGCTCCAGGCCGGAACTGGGGGAAGCTACCTGGGCTTGAACGGTGAAAAGTTGTGTCAGCATGAACAAAAGGGCACTAAATGCAGCTGTGGAGGAGAGAGACCATATATGACTCTTTCATCCTCCACGTCGTGGATAATAGCACCAGATGGTGTCTTGCCGTCTTCGTTACCAGGTGCACCAATCAGGTCTGGTCGTCAATGCTTTCACATTCTGTGTTGGACACGGTGTCGGCACCAGTGCCAGCTGTAAGAGGTGAGCTTCTTACCTGGACAGTTGCCATCGTTGTGACTTACACTCTGCTTGCGTCACAGTTCGACTGCTGGTGACTCCAGAAATGACTTTGTTGATGTACGTGAAGAAGAAAGGATATAGCGATAGCTGGAATTTGTCGTTGATAAATAGACGACAGTCAATATATGGTGCATGACACTGGAGTGAGAAGAAGAGAGGGTTGTGACATTGGTATTTGGGTGTGGGGGGAATTTATGCCTTGCTATCGCCGACGCCTCAGGAACTCAAGAAACCACGCTAACGAAAAAGGGGAGCGCAACTGGGAATATGTCAGTAGTCCATATGACGAATTACGCAAATTTTCATCTCACGCGCTACTAGCGTTTCTCTGAACATGATGCAGCAGCACTGATCGCTAATAGTTACCAACCGAGTGACCAGGAAACCACCAAAGACAGCGCCCACAGTGTCTACAGCCATATAATGTAGTGTCAAAATTAATCTAACACAACCCACCTTCGTGCGTGAAATAAGCATACAAGTTGACTGTTCACATGCTGATACCAATGCAGGGGGGAAATATCCCGATTCCTGAAAGCGTTCTTCTACCTCTTCTTCCATCTTGAAACGTGGTATGTTGAATGGCGCGCAAGCCACCGTGGCTTTCAGAGAGGTGGCAGTGCACCAACAAGGCCAATAGGGCATTCTTGGGCCACTTAGCCCACAGAAGGATTTTCACAGATATATAACAACAACACGGATTACACCAGAATATACGTTTTCACCCATCTAAAAGCCCTCACGCTCTGTTTGACATGGTGGAGGTGTAGGATGTCAGTAGCTTGCGATGTAACTCACTGGCCCTTTGATAGAGCCTGTACACCATATGGACCAGTATCAAGGACAATGAACCGAACGTGCGCTGGGTTTCCATGAGCTAGTATACTTCATGCGCCTTTATTGAGGAACGTGGTGCCTTGTTGCTCGAAGTGTTGTAAGCACAGTAACTTCATAGCAACCATAGCCATGTCAACCAAGAGGCTGAAGCGCCTTGTGGGCAATTGGTGCCCATTCTAGGCGACCATTCAATGTGTATAAGGTCCAGGCTGCTGTCTTTCTCCTTTGTTCTTTGAAAACCGTGCCTAGGTCGCGTAGCCCGCGTTTGCGGCTACAAATAAACGTAAAAGCCCAATAGAAGCCTATTCTAGAGCCATCTCCGAGAAAGAGGTACCATCCATGGTTGTATACTCCAGTAGTATCAAGGATAGCAACTGTTGGGTATGAAAATCCGACCGGCAACATGGCTTGCCCAAGCGTTTGGGACTGCGGATGCACTTAGCCTTCACACAGTGTCAGGGGAAGTCTTGTCCGCCAAGCTCGACCATACTAATCCAGATGCCGATAGGACATCGCGTCAGACGCGGGCCTCAACCACGACGGAAGCGGGGATAGCATAGGCCTCGTCAACATGATCAACTACGCGATCGAGACGTACGCTAATCCAACCGAAGTCTTCGCCACGGGGTCATCCTCAGGATGCATGATGACCAACGTGCTATTGGGCGCATATCATAACGTCTTCACTGCCGGCTCATGCTACTCGAGTATCCCCAACACCATGTCTCGCCGGTCCCCAGCCTCCAGGTTCAAGCCCGACCAGTGCGGACCAAGCATGTGCGCAGGGAGTGGCACTTATCGCACACTGGTACTGAGTGACCATATCGTGTATGGTATAGAGGTGTCGCAGTGATACCCAAGCCGAAACGAGTGTTAATAGTGCACCATTTGACAGCGAGGAGCCATGCCAGTCTCTTGTACAAGGACTGTCGACCAAGATATGTCACCACTCCAGGGCACCATGTGAACCACGGCTGTGGACATCCAGTGCCGGGGACGAGGCAGAAACACTTGAACTATAATTCGCCGTCGGTTTGACACATTAATCACGAGGCTTGACGAGCCTCTACTATGTAGGCTGGCGTTGAGGTTCCCGTGCGGGACCGACTCCTGCATCGTAACGCATCAATCGTCCTTCTTAACAGTCAGGTGTCAGACCCATGGGTGAACCGATCAAACTAATTGTCTGTTGAATGAGTAAGAGTATATACATTTCTCCATGATGCCGATTCTCAAGATGCAAGCCCCAGACTCCCCAATGTCAGTGTGCTACCTATGGCCATCCCGAGTGCCTGTAGGCAACCCGAGGAGAGGCTCACAACCGTCATACACCGTTATCAGCCAAGCGCACTACCCAGCTCCGAACAATCCCCCTGTCAATCCTCCCGCAGTTCTCCTGCCCGTCAGTCTTCTTTTCAACGAGATGCCCCACTGAGTATGACAGTGTTGTCTTTCTCACACAACAATTCGACCTTGTTTTTGACCATACCTAGCAGCTTCTTTGGTTTATAGGTGCTATAGACCACCTTCGATGTGATCTCGGTTATCCAATTGCTAATGGCATGGCCGAGCTCGTTGACCTTGATCTCCTCGTCTGTGAATTTTTGCGCGTGGCTCCTGTCAACATAGGGGCCGAGGATGTAAGCCTTGAGGTTGGTCAAGGGGTTCTTCTCCAGCGCGTTCTTGATCTGCGACTCAAATTCGCCCAGAAATTTTTCCAAGAAACCCACATTGGCTTCACCGTCCTCGCCGACAAGGTTTGCGACGAACTTGTTGTCGGCATCTCTATGGGCATCTTTAGGAAGATCTCCCACGATTACGACGCCGAAATTTTCGCGCATATCCTCGATGCCGAGGCTATTTTTGCTGGTTTCCAACGCATATTTATTTGGGATGACGATTCCGCTACCGGAGGTTTTGTAATTGGTCCCCAGCGTCTTCTTGACCAAAATGCCAACTGAACGGCTGTTCAAATTCGGTTAGTACACACTGATTCCTTTGGACACATTGTTCTTGACGTACTCTGTAGATGTCGACGTTTCGATGGTCGGAGCAGCGAAAGCTGACGTGGCTACGCTGCCGACGAGCACGCCGATGAGACGTGCAGAGAGATGCATTGTGGAAATTTGCGATGAGTGGTTGAACTTGTATCCGAGGCAATAAGTTGGCAATTGTGATAGGTAGTGAGAATATGATGTCGCACAGTGTGAAGACCAGAAGCTCACCACAGGATATCCCCGTGATATTGTATTCGTATTCTGTTGTTCCCAAGGATTGAGGCGCATGTGGAAAAGTTCGCGGATGATAATATGTGGCCACGTGTTAGATTTCAAAGTGTTCTATTAAGGAGAGGAATTCCAGCTACTCTGGAGCGGCCAGAATGGCCCTATATATATCCAAGATACTAAAGGAAAGGATACGTGGCCTTATATTGGCCACGTATGTGACAGAGTCACAAATGGGGATGGTGATCCTGAAGGATGACTATGGATGGGCTAACGTAGCCCAGAATCCAACACCACGTCACTCCCGCGCTGTTAGGATCTAGTCTCATCGACCTCACCGGGATAAGCTCCTAGGTGGCGAACATACCTAGGAATTAAGGATAGTGATCAGCGTGGCAGATGACTGAAACAAGCACCAGGCCGCTGCTTATTTTACAGCAAGTAACCATTTTGACCGCTTGACACTTGAAAGCATTGTTTCGTGGCCGTCGACGCGAGCTTCCAAGAACCTTGCTCCGGGCTGCGCAGCGCGCAGCCCAGCGGGTAGGGGCCAACGCATACGGGGTCTAATCCATCTCATAACGACCACCTGTATAATATTAAGATAGGTGGCATTACCACTTGGAAACAGGTATCATTCATAGAACGCTTCTTCGTAGCGAGCCAAACGACGCTGCTTCCTCCGGGAGCGCCTTTGCCGGCCATGGAAAAGGGGGCCACGGAGGAAGCGGACGGGTACGTCCAAAGTTCTTCACGTAAAATTCATTACGTGGCTAGTTAGTTTAAATTGTGGGAGTATATTAAAATAGAGATGACGGGAGATCTAGTCCGAAGGATCACCGTGTTCCACAACACCAGCCCTACTGCCGTTCTTAAGCACAGTGTTAGTAGCCCACTTCAAATCGCTAGCACCTCCTAACTTTTTGACGAAAGCAATAAAAGTACGTTTTTTACGGTTGCGCTTCTATTTGCACGTCGCATTTGTTATTATATACGATCTTTAAATAGCTTTAGTTCGTAATTATTTAAAGATAAGGATAAATAATACGTACAACGTTGTAATAGTAACTATAACATCAAATACCGTAACTTTATATTCTTATTAACTAGATTAACTTTGGTTGCCAAAGTATAAAAGGGTAATAAAGGGGTAATATAATAGGTTCTAAAATCAAAAAGAAAATAATTTATAACTTAACAAGTATAAATCGTAAAAGTAAAATATAACATAGGTTTAAAGCTTATCTTAAAATTGACTGTTATAGAAATTAAAATTAAAATTAAACTATATTACGATTAACGTAGGTCACAAGCAAGCAGAATACACAAGCGAGCGGGACACTTTTACCAACCTTTCAACCAATATGTTACATAACTTAATCATAGGATTCCTTTTCTTCAGACGTTTTTATCTCTATTGTACAAGTTCGCGCATTATGGCCAGTGTTACCGCAAACGTCACAATGTCGCTCACGCGCTGCTGCCCTCCTCGAACGATGACTACCTTCACCTATATCCTGTCTTGCCAGCTCAGTACTATCTTTTGCAGCCTAAAGATTTATTATATTTTTAATAGAAAATATTCCTCTTTTTATTAGATATTTATTTTTGGTTCTCTAATATTTACTTTATAGGTGATTGGCCTCCTTTAGCTCGCGAACCCGGGAATCAACCAAAGCGAACTTATGTATAAGACCGTACGTAGCCTTTAAAAATAAGCTCAATACATTAATTATTGATATAGGTAAGCTTCTCTAGTAGTTTCTAACCCAAATATGGATATAAATTAATTGATTTACCGCTTCGTTAATAGTGATAGGTGTCTTGGAAGTCTAAGTAATGGGTGGTAGATTGCCGTCTGGCGACGGTGTTTGTACAACAGCGACAGCATCCAGCTTTAAAATGACACTTTCTAGGTCAAAAGGAACAAACCTAGTGGTACTAAAACCTGTTCAAATGTTTCCTGGCGTTATAGCAGCGTTATATGCTTTATAAAACGCTATAAGGAAGTCTTCTTTCAAAACGTGGGTTATATAATGCCGGATGAGATTCTTAATTATACGACCGTAAGCTTGTTTGAGCGGGCTAAAACAGCCGATATTTAGAGGCTAGAGCCTGTATAACAAGTGGGCAGGCATACAAAAAGTAATAATGCCATTATTCTGGCAATAATTTTTAAAGACCTGGGAATGGTGACTTTTATAACCATCTAGAATGAGGAGGTGTTTACTGGCAGTCATACGCGGCTTGGTATACTTGTAAAAATACTGAATTTATTTTAAACTAAGCTCATTCATAGTCCACCTATTGTCTGACACAGCCACCTTCTATTGCGCATTAATGTTGTGTCGCAATACCATGACGCAAGGTAGGTTTTGCCCTATAAAATGATGAACGGCAGGACCACCCAACTATTAGCATTAATAGTAGAAATTGCTGTAGACCATTCTATATTGCCTTGTTGAGCTTGTCTAGGCCTGCCATGTCTTTTGGCACTTATAATGACTATGTCGGACCTAATAATGCCCATTATAAACCCAGTCTTGTTAAAGTCATAAATATCCGTATCTTAGATATCATGTTTTGTAATTACTGCCATAACTTGGCAAAACTATATGCAATATATGTCTAGATCTTTGTTTAAGACCCTCAAATAGTCCATCTTGCGATGAAAACGCGTCCAGAGGCCTAGTGTACGTTTGATAAAGTTTGCTATTCAGTTCTTTCTAATGCGTCTAACCCTACGTACCGCTAATAATTGATTTGTTATATCTTCAATATAGGTATACCGGGGCAGAAATGCTCGCGTATCTAGGTTAAGTATAAAGAAACAAATAGCATTCTCTTCAAAAACCATAAGTTTTAAAGAATTGGGCAATCTGCCGCGTCATGACAGTTAGCCTGCGATTCTTTGAGCCAGTGTAAAGATTGGTAGGTAGAAAGCTTTAGCAAGCTTTTTGATTAAAAATATGAGGGTCTTGTTTTTTAATTTGGACAGCTAGCTGCATGTCTGATTCGTTATAACACGGTGCCATTTTCATTGGTGGAGGAATACTGGTTAGAGGTTGAAAGTTTAAGAGGTTTGCGAAAGTGTCCCACTCGCTTGTGTGTCCCACTCGCTTGTGACCTACGTTATTAAAACTTAAAAAATAACCTTATAATGACGTATAAATATGTAATTGTCAGATGTTGGATCCCAGATATAGCGCCTTTAGTTGCAGTACACGCTAGGGGGCTGTAAGGGGACCAGCGGATCCACCCTGGCATGGTGCAGTATGGTATTTAGCTGTAGATTAGCCCTGCCAAGCATACTTGAGAATGACAACAACGTTTACAGCGACCGCTCACACCCCCAAGGCTTGTGATCCTTCTAGAATCTCACAGTAATAAATTATATAAAATACTTAATATAATTTTATAGTTATTTTTATAAAAATCTATATATAAAAGCATTTATATATATATATATATATATTAACCCTTTAAATATCCCTTAAATTGGTTATAATGCGGCTTATTTTATTAAAAAGCCTAGTAAAAAAAAAGTTAGGAAGTGCCAGCGATTTGAAGTGGGCCACTGACACTCTGCTTGAGAACGGCAATACCGGATCGGCGAGGACTTGGCGGAACGACTCCAAAGTTCCAAACATCCCCGAAGGCGAGGCCAATCGGCGCCATCGCCACGCCAGCTACCGAGCTCTAGCTGACCCAGGTTAGTCTCTCATCACCCATCCATCTGCTAAAGTCGAAAGAAGAGCGAAAAGATGCAACATGCGTCCGATGAGCTATTTTCACTATTCTTTCCCGCACTTGGCCGAGTAAGTTCGAGGACCTGTAGTTGAGGTGTCGAACTCGGCTTGGATCTGAACATGGTGCAAGGGACCAACTTGAGTGGCGGCGAGCCGAATACACATGCGGCGCCTCCGCCGCACGACACGGAAGTCGTCGGTGATAAAGATGTCGCCATCGCCATGGTCGGTGAACAAGGCCACGAGGTAGACCCAGTCATCGCAGCGCGCGCCGTGCGCAAGATCGACTGGTTTCTGATCCCGGCCATGACTTTGGGATTTAAGTCATCCATCTTCTTTACTGCCCCTATCGACACATTGTACTGATTGGTATTAAGGCACAGATGGGCTTGTGTACTACGACAAGGTGACTACCTACCTAAAGCCCTCGCCCCTGAAGCCATCTTCTGGATACCCACTGATCACATCCCACAGGCCATCCTCGGCTCCACCGTGCTCTTCGGCATGACCGCGGACCTAGCCCTCAGCGTGTCAGCCCCGGGCACTCCGTCCGCAGTAGACACATCGCGCCTCAGCTGGGCGACCTCGATCTTCTACTTCGGGATGCTGGGCGGGCTTTACCCGATGTCGTACCTGCTGCAGCGGTTCGCGACGGGCCGCGTGCTCGGGTGCGTCGTCTGCCTCTGGGCGCTCGTGTGCATGCTCACGGCGGCCGTGACGTCGCACTCTGGGCTCTACGCGCAGCGTTTTGTCTTGGGCTTCGTCGAGAGCGCCATCCCGACGGGCTTCTTGTGCATCGTCAGCGGCTTCTACACGCAGCGCGAGCAGGCCCTGCGCCAGAGCTGGTGGTTCTCCGCCACAGGCCTGTGCACCATCATCGGCGGCGCGCTCAACTACGGCTTTGCGCGGATTGACGGTGGTGGGCTGCGCCGTTGGCAGTACATCTACCTCCTGGCTGGCGCGCTGACGTTCCTGTTCGGGCTGTTCTGCTTCGCGATGCCGAGCTCGCCTGTCTCGCCGCGGTTCCTGACGAAGGAGGAGAGGTTTGCGGCGGTGGAGCGCCTGCGGTATGGGCAGACGGGCGTCCGGTGCACCACGTTCAAGTGGGCGCAGTTGAGGGAGGCCCTGCTCGATGTCAAGATCTGGCTGGTTGCCATCATGATGGCTTCGGCGTACACCGTGAACGGTGCCGTCTCGGGCTTCGGTCCCCTCATCGTTTCGACTTTCGGATGGAGCTGTCTGGACTCCATCCTCTTCCAATTCCCTTTGGGCGGGTTGTGTTTCGTCGCCATTCTGCTCACGGGCTGGCTTGGGTCCCGGTATCCTAACATGCGCATCGCCATGCTGATCGTCTGCTGTCTGCCAGTCATCGCAGGTTGTGCTATAATATGGAAATCGGAATGGGGTTTCCATGCTGCCGCGCCGGTTGTTGGATACACCCTCACGGGCACTTTCGGTGCCGTGGTGAGTCTGATCATTACGCTTGGCATGTCTAATGTTGCTGGGCATACGAAAAAGAGCTTCACATCGGCCACGATATTCGCAGCCTACTGTGTTGGTATGTATGACTTAGTCTCATAAGTATCAACAATTACCTACTGACACCACGTTGCAGGCAACATCATCGGCCCTCAGTTGATTAAATCTCAGACCAAGAAGTATCACTACCCCGAGTTATGGCTAGGACTCATCATCTGGTTCGTTCCCACTCGCCCTTCCCTCGTCCAAAATCGACATCAGGAAGCTAACCGTTCCTTAGCTATTTCATAACAATCTGCACCTCGACTGCATTGCTTGTTCTACGCCACAAGAACAAGAAGAAAGACTCAGCCGTGGTCGAAGACGAAACGGAAAGAGCCAAGCTCGCATTCCAAGATCTCACGGACAAGGAGAACCCGTATTTTAGATACTTCATGTAACAATAACGGCGTAAGGTATCGTAGCGCTGTAATCAGACTCCATAACCCAAACCGGTACTCCTTTTTTCAATTTTACATCCCAGCATGTTGGCGACCACGTGGCGATGGTAACCCAGGTGGATCGCACTACTCAGAGGCGGTCACTCAGTTGTCTCAGAGTCTGACTTGGTGCCCGGACTCCTGAAGATGTTCTTGATCGTCTCGGAGACCTTGGACGACCTGCGCTCCCCGTCGTGATGACTTGAACTCGAAGTCAGGCTAATCCGGCGACGCTCCTTGTTGTCGGTAGGGGGCCAATCATGTAGCTCCGCTTCTGCGCGTGTCCCTGGACGATACCCGTCAGCTTATTCTCAAGGAGATGACAGTAACCATGTCGGAAACAGCGTACGAATGTTGCCAGCGCCTCCGACTCCAAATGATCTGCGCCGTTCAATTTCGCCCATGGTTGACGCGTATGAATTGGAGACGGGTTTCAAGCTGTAGACGAGGGGTCTGTTGGTTCTGACCGTGAATGCATTCGAGTCGAAGGGATATAAGGGTTGAGCCCGTTCGAAAGACGTATTCGAAGCGTTATAGCAATCGATACGATGTGATGATTGAACCAAACCAGCCCGTATGAGGGAGACACGGGAGGTATTAGTATTCATGGATTCTGATAACCGACCGGTCTTCCATTGGTCCTAAACATCCCTCCTCGATGTCAGATGCATGTTGGAACCTTATCCCAATGGTAGCTTGTGTCGTCATCCCCGCAGAGCATGACTCCCTAGCGTGTCAAGGGCTTGACAAGGGACTGACAGGTGTAGATAGCGGGACAGAGCCTCACTGGTCGCCAAGCTATGTTGCTCGTTCCTGGATGTATGGCAGATGCGGAGGACTGAGGAAGTTTGGGGTTGGTGCTAAGCATGATGTCACCCGAGAGTGTCCGGTGTCAGCGTCGACTATTCACGGCCCTATATCTCACATACTGTCCGTGGATGATTATTGGTATTGCTGCTTGCCAACAAGTGCCCATTCTCCAGCTGCAGACCCGAACGAGGACCACCACATCATGAGTCAGGGACTTTTGTTCCCTTTGCATAGTAGACAATGGGCATACACTGAACCTCACATCGTCTCCGTAACCACTCGTCAGCAAGCGTGGGGTGTATTCATTACAATGGAATAAGCACTCTGGAAAGATTCAGGTTTGTAGAGCATGAATGGGATGAGGACAGAAGTAGAGTTCGGCATGGCATCCCAGATGGGCAGATGGCGGATGGGCTGATGAGTCGGGATGTCGTCTCAAAGGTTATGAGACGTTGACCCACGCTGGCGGTACGACTGTGAAAGTACTAGCTTAACTGCATCGATGCTTAAGTGCATAAATAGCATATTGCGAACTGGGCCTTGTTCCAACCAGCTGCGCTTGACATCGTCATGCCACGATCCGACCAACCGAGCATCAACCTAGCATCAACCATGGCAACCGGTACCCTGACACGCTCCTGGTCGATGGAGCCTGATATACGCCTGGAGGATTATCTCGACGACAAGCTGCAATCGACTACGGATTTCGAGAACCTCGACAGCCTCCTAGCAAACGTCGAAGTCCAGCGCAGCCAGCTCCAATCCCAGCTCTACGATGCCACGCGAGAGCTTGAAGATGCCCGCCAAGCGGCACAGGACCACCAGGGTGGTCTCGCACGGTCTATATCAGAGTTTGAGAGGCTGCAGCAGAGCATCGACGCACGCCAGAGGATCGTAATGGGATCCACAGCGCCCGACGAGGCCATCCGACGGCTCGACCGACCGATGAAGCAGCTGCACAAGCTCGAGCTAGCATACCAATACGTGTCACTGCTGCAAGACGTCGAGAACATGAGGCTGGAGGCACGCTCTCACCTGCCCCAGAGCCCAAAGGCCGCGTTGGAATCCTATACCAGGCTGAAGCAGCTGACCATGCGGCTGAGGGAGCTGCAGTGCGCCGCCGATGAAGCTGCGACGCATTTGGTGAATTACGTTGAGAGGGTCACGGAGAACCTGTGGGACGAGATGAAGAGTACAATGTCCAGAGAGATGGAGAGTATCCTCAAGAAGCGGAATTGGCCACAGGGAGTCGACACAAACGCCGAGATGGATGCAGAGTGGCTGCAGTGTTTTGAGAAGCTCGTCGATCTGCAGGTGCCCGAGATTCTCTACTCTGAATCCGTGGTGCCGCTGCTTCCCTTCGAAGTCATGGCCCGCACCTTTGCTCAATGGTTTCGCTTCCAGTTCATGGGCACCAACGCGACAAGCACCCCCCAGGCATTCGCCACTTTCTGCATCCCGCAGTTTGTATCGCTGATTGACAAGTGGGAAGGCTTCTTCAGAGAGAACGTTGGCTACATTTTGGTATCCAGGTTCCGCGACACGAAGGTCGGTGATATGTCTGTCTACATGGATCCGGCATGTGCTTTGGTCGCAGCGTTGCTACCCGTGATGAGAGAGAAGACCAACGCCATGGTACAGCATGGGCTCAGGAACCCACAATTCTTGGGCAGTCTCATGGTACAACTCATGAACCTAGACGATGAGCTCCGGTCGAAGTTCAACTACGACGGGGGCGATCCCGAGCGCGGCTGGGCAGGCTTGACATCCGAGGTCCTTGACAAACACTTCGACGACTGGCTCAAGGCCGAGACAGACTTTGCCCTTGAGCGCTTCCATATCATCATGAATTCGCCTGACGCGAGGAACATCGACTACGACTACAGTGGAAGTGGTAAGATGAAGCCTACCTTCGGCGCTGTCAGGGTAACGGACCTGTTGAAGTCCGTCACGTCTCAATATGAACGGATTCGGAGGTTCTCGCATAAGCTTCGAATTCTCATCGATATCCAGCTCGAGATATTGGACAACTATCATGATCGCTTCAAGGACTCTTTGGACACATATTACACCATCAATTCGACTTTGGGACGGACCTTGCATGGCGTCACTCGCGAGCAGGCCGCCGCGTTGGAAGGAACCGGAGCTTTCGAGACACTATGCAAGGTTCTAGGTAGCTGCGATCACATCGTGGCCACCCTCAGAGACTGGAGCAACGAAGAGGTGGGCATGATATCCCTTTGTCGTGTGAGCAAGCTCGCTAACGATGTCTTGTAGTTCTTCGTGACCCTGTGGGAGGAGCTCCAAGCACGAGCTAGAAAGAACAGTGATCAGGATGACCTCGCTGGTGGGAAGAGCCACGACGATGTTAGAGATCAAGTCTCCTCAGCTGTCGGCTCCGACGGGGATAGCGGCACCATGTTCGACGAAATAATTGCATCCTACAACAACCGGCGGAAGACTGCTGAAGAATATATCGTTTCAGCCTTGATTGATTCCCATCAGAAGGCGTTCCGTCCTTACCTTTCGAAACCTCAATGGACCACTATCACTGCTGATACCAAGGGTGAGCTTATCATCTGATTCTGAGACTGATTGTTGTGCTGATCCGAATAGTTGAACCCTCACAACTTACCGTGACGGCAGAATTAGATGAACCTCTGAGAGTAAGTCATTAGCTCTGATACTATGAGTCTGCTAATAAATTTCCAGATTCTCAAGCGAAACCTGACCTTCCTGGCTTCGGCCCTGAGCACGGCAGTATATCGCCGAATATGGCGAGAAGCTCTGGAGAAGCTGCAGGATACGCTATGGGGAGACGTCCTTCTGAGACAGAACTTCACGACTCTTGGTGCCGCACAGTTCGTGAGGGATCTGCAGGCCATCTTCTCACTGGTGGATAGCTATATCCCAGACGGATCCTTGACAATGAGCACCCTGCAGGACGGGGCGGAGCTGTTGAGTTTGCCATTGGAAGCCGAAAATGGAGGCATACCATTGCAGCAAGCCAGTGACCTGATTTTCATGGACAATACCGAGGCTAAGAAGATACTCGCCGAGCTAGGGTTGGAGTCGATAACGCCAGCGAATGCGAGGAAGATTTTGCAGAGGAGGGTCGAGAATAGCGAATAGAGAATAGTTGTAGATAGAATGCCGATATAGGCCCATCGCACATATCTAAGCCGACAAATGAACTATCTTGAGATACTGAACATGTGTATTTCAATGCATCTCTCTAGTCGCCTCTCCCCATGCAGAATTCTGAAAGCGAGACTGGTGTTTCTCCACGTACTCGCACCTCTAATCCCAAGCCTACAGACCAAACCCCTCAGCTAATCGCCCGCATAGTAGCCTCGACCACGGCAAAGGTACCAGCACTGACGGGCATAGCCCTCAACAGCGTAGGCGCGATGCCCTTCCAGAACCCGCGCATGCCCTCGCCGCGCCACGTCTGCGCGAAGCAGTCGCGCATGCTTTTGTAGCGCATGGCACCACCAAAGCCGTCGGTCTGCATCTTGGATTTGATAACATCAAACGGATAACTCCCAAGCCACAAGACCTCGCCCGCGAGCCCGCCGTACAGCGCGACCTTCCAGGCGGGAACGGCGCGGCGCTCGATCTTGTTGCGCGCCGCGTCGGCGTTCATCATGTACTCGAACGACAGGAACCACATGCCGTACGCCTGAGCCTCGCGCAGGATGGTGACGGCCTCGCCGCGGTACAGCCCGCGCAGGACGCCGCCGTTTTGGGGCGAGGTGAGCTGGCGCACGCAGTCGATGGGGCCGGCGTAGAGACGGGCGGCGCCGTGGGGTTGCGTTTGCAGCCGGATGCGCACGTGCTCGATGGGGCCCGAGATGATGGAGTTGGCGACGCCGGCGAAGGCGCCGGCGGCGTAGTATTGGCCATAACTCAATTCCTTGGGACTGGACTGTAAGATGGAGGAGAGCGGGTGCGCGCGCGCGTTGGCGGACTCGAAGTACCGCTTCGCGAAGCCGAAGGCGCCGAACTGGATCGAGACGCAGGCGCCGATGCCGATGAGCGGTGTCAGCGTGCCCTTGTAGAAGGCGAGCGCGCCCTCCTTGGCGTAGATTGTGGTGGCGGCGTTGAGGGCTGAGCTGTACTGCGTGGTTGTTTGTAGGCGCACTTTTACTATGTCGAAGGGTTGGCCTAGGACGGTGGTTAGCCTGGTGCCGCTTCTTTGTGAGGTTGTGGAATTTGGTTGAAAATTTGGGTGTTCGGGGGGTTGAGCGATGAGGTTGAGTGAGACGTGGCCGGTCATGAAGTTCGGTTCACAGGCTCATTGCCAGTCATTCTCTCTAATGAGCACTCCCGTCCGAGGCATCGCAACCTGAGCCCGGTATCCCACTTCGTACGGGCGAGAATGAGAAGGGGTGACCAACCGATCAAGACCTGCGCAATGCCTCCCGCGGCTCCAGCGAACAGGTCCTTCGCGGTGTCGAGGCCGCCGCCCTTGGCCTCGATCTCCTCCACGGCGTCCGCCATCCTGCTGCCCCGCGCGTTCTTCGTGAAAGGTACGGCTTGCTCCTCTTCGCCTGGCTCTCAAGCTTTCTCCGACCGGATAGGTATGAATAGCTTTGCCTGAATGTGCTTGGAGAGTTGCTCAGTTGCCCGTCTCCAAGTTGTCTTGTCGCGTGTCTTCAATCGGATCTCCTCCGATGTAGGAGCTGGGGTGAGGTGAGCTGAACAGTGAAGACCGGTGAAGGAAGAGGCTTTGCTCACCTTATCCGGGACCCACCTTTATCAATCCGCTACCAGCTCCCTGGGATTCGGGATTTGTGGTGGGGCCCTGACCCCTGAACACCCTAAAATTAGGGGCCGCACGGAGCCGGTACGACTCACGGCAGACGACGTGGTCGGTGAACTAGTAATAATAAATCAACGACCCCTTTCTTCCATTGAGGTTGTTACCAGATCCCGTTCTTGGTACCTTACCTTACTTGTTGGAATACTTCATCTACCTACGCAACGAAAAGCGCCTGCCGAGCATAATGATGGGGCTGCGTGTAGCGAGTGTAATACTCGAGTCCGCGGCATACGTTAGGTTGGCACTACACAATGAGAGCTTATCAGGCGAGACGGGCAAATACTGTCCACGCTGCTCCGGAATGTCTCATTGATGTTCAGTGACAACCCTTTGGCCGAGCCTCAACAGATCGATCGGGCACACCGGCTGACGGTAGTGGATGAAACCACAGAGTTATTGCTCAGCTCCGTTCGCAGCAATGCGGTCCGAAAAGGTCCAGTCATTGTGGTGACCTACCCCAAAGAGTGCTGCTGGCGTCTTCGGTCTGACTGGACAGTTACCGCCGCGCCGGGTTGCGACATCCATCATAACGGTCCGCAAGCCCTGGGCCTACCGCGGGAAAGAGCTCGGCAGCTGTGTCAAGAGAGATTGCATGCAAGGCTGTTTCTCTTGCCTTTTGGACACTCATGTGGTTATTAATCAGGGCACCCATGAGGTCTTGTTGGAAGGTGCAACGCACAGTAGGAATCCACTGTATCATGGAATCTCCGCTGGCCTGGAGATTTTTCCATTCTCTCCCATCATCAACACCACTACCATACTATTCAATCCCTTCGCCAGCATCAATCCTACTACCGAACTAATCAATCTCTTCGCCAGGAAACGGGTGGTCGCTCTTTTCACTTTCTACAAGCCTATTGTATACCTTTTGTGTTATGGACCATTTGCATTGGCTGCTTTAGCATCACAGTACCGATCACCACCATGCTACCAAGTATGGCTGGGACCTGGGAGCTGATTCTTGATGCATATAATCCTACAAGCAATCGACGAGTTTCGCGCTTAGATGGCTCGCAGCCCAAGCTCACCCGGGGAACGCATTAAGTGCAAACCCTAGCTTTGCAACCACCAAGGACATCGTTTTGGCGGCCAAGACGCTCTCACCCCACCAAGTCCCTGCGCCTCGCCATGTGATTACAGCTCTTCAACATGCCATAAGGACCCGGCGTAACATGCTGCATTGGTACAAGGGATCTTGTAGCTCTACAAATGACGAGAAAACAAAAGCCAGCAACGCACGGCACAAGGCTTTCAATGCCAGGCACGTTGTGTAACGTCTACTTGCGCGCAAGGACTCTATGCTGACGCTTTCAGGCTGGAGTAAACTCTCGATATCATTCGTGCTCCGGGTCCCAGCGGTGTTGGACGAAACTCAATCGGCGAGTCGCCAAACACCTCCCATGGTGTGGACCCATCGGGCGTGAACAGGTTTAATTGCCTGGATGCACAAGATGATGAGCAGTATGTCCTCGGACCTGTCGAACTGTCTCCAACGACATCGGCGGCAGAAGTAGAAGAGTTCCATGCTCCACCCACGTCACCATCTGAAGAGATTCTTCTCGGGGATGACGAGCTCAGTGAGTGGATTGAGCTTGGCAATCTTGCCCACGTGAGTACCCTCGAGTTTGGAAGCACATCTGTATGGCAAGCTGATGAGGCTCACAGGAATTTGACTCGATATGCACTGTTGTCGAGGAAACTTGGACTCAAGCTGCCAAAGAGGAAATTTCCCCCGTAATTGCTGCGTGGCTTACGACTACAGCGTACCATCATGTTCAGGGATTTTGTGAGACTAGCCAAGGAGCCACATTGGCGCCTACATTTGATGTTTGGGCCTCAAAGATGATGAAAAGAGGCGTCAAGTTCCGGTTCCCCGCAATCCCTGAGTTTCGTTCAATCAGAAGCCACTTCGATGACTTCCATGACTTGAGTGTTGTCTTGTACTTCGGCCGAGCCTTGCAATACTGCAAAACAAGAGAGGATTACCTGGAGAACGTCCACGATCCGAAAGGGCGAGAAGATCCAGCAAAATGGATCCTCCCCCTGAAAGATGCAGAGACTATTTACACAAGGCTCAAGGACGCCTTGGCAGCAGTCAAGATGCTTGAAAGCATGCGGTATCTCTCGAAGACAAAATTCGCAACATCTGCTTTGGAACCCAGCGACATCCAGCGAGTGATGTTTATTAAGTTTCACTGTGAGCCACTCCTGCAGGCTGTCGATGAAGTGGTCAACAAGCCGGACAACCCAGTCTCTCTCGGGCTGGTTTTTGGCTTCGAAGTTCTTCTCACCTCCTACAAAGCCTATTTGTGGCCTAATGGGCAGGCAAACAAGCAGAACAGCCGCATACGGACTTTAAAATATGCCGCTGAAGTGCAGAAATCCATTGACTCGGTTCTGGTGGCATTAGAGAGAGCCCACCGTTGCAAACGCTGCCACACGCCTCTATTGGGAAACCTCTCCCGGTCAGGGGTTCAAGCTCTGGAAGCTTACCGCCGAGAGAGGCGTTTTGATCTCTATTATCAGGCACCATGGTCAGCCGGCTGCCATAGTGTCCAAATCCTCTCCATCGTCACCGACTTGGGCATCAAACTTTGCCACGATAGCGGGTGTATTCGAGCCCTGCTCCACGCTTACAATGCGGTGGAGAAGATATCCCCTGGGTTCAAGGCTATACCCATATTCGACACCTTCTGTCGACCATTCTCAAACTCATTGTTTCTTGGGCAACTTACAAAGACGAAATTCAGCTCCCATTATCGAAGTGTTAGATTGAACAAAACCCGGAACCGTCCGGGCGACACGTCTCTGTTCTACACCCTTCATAGCCAAGTTTACGCCTCAACAGTTGAGTTTTGGAATCGCGTACAAGGCGGCAAACAGAAGCAGAAGCTTACAAAAGCCCAGCAAGACGATACCATCAACCAGTTCGGTGCAGTGCCATTCAACGTTTCACTGGAGAAGGTCAAAGAGGCGGTGATGTCTGAGTTCCACGGCCCGCTCCCAGTAGCACGCATCAACTACTTTGCGATTGTCCTGTTCTGCTCCGAGCTGCTTCAGCAACTAGCAAGAAAGATTAGCCAGGAGTCACCGCAAGCGGACCATGTCCTTAGTGCCGACGTAGTCGACAACCTGCTGGAATACATCGACAAGCAGTTGCAACGAGGGAACAGGCATTTAATGCCTCACTTGAGGAAGATCAGGCGGGCTAAAGAGTTCTTCGAAGCTGTAGACTCGACGATACCGCTGGAACGCTTCCTGTGGGATATTTGACAGCAAGGTGGGAGACACCTAGGACGGCAGATACAGGGTATGTAGGTTGGAAGCGTATGCGATTGTGGGACAGGCCTATGCAATTCTATCGTGGGAGGAATGTCAGAGTCACGGGGGAACAGCGGCTGATCTTTTGCAGCTCAAAGCGGACATTGTATATCACCAAATGAGTAGCTCATGCTTCGGTACATATCAATTTGGCGTTGCTTTTCTCTCCAGCTCCAGTCTCTTCAGGGCGAGAACTGGTCTCGGGGGAATTCTTATTGTAATGCACTAGTCCCCCATCACTGACACGTTGAGAGCAAGATGACCGAAGCGGCGAGGCCATTCAAGTAGCAACTACGTTAGCAGGCGTGGGAGGGCTCGCTGCAGCATTCCTCTTTGTTTCGCGGTCCATGCGGTGAGCCTCGAGCCGCGCGGGCTGGAGATGAGGTTCATTAAGAACTCATACCGTACCTGAGATGGACCTTCCAAGAATACCAGGTGTGCGAGCGTCTCATATATTCGCGAACCAGAGGATTGACTGGGATTACAGTTGTGCTGTGTGGCGTGAGCATCAGATATCTTTCGTTGACAAGACAGCCCCAAAAATCCCCCAAAAAGAGAGAATCCTACTGGCTAAGTTATGTCGCGATTATCGAGTGTGTAGGAACATTATCGCTTCCTGCGAGCCTATCTGTCGTGTAGCTGTCGTTGCGAGGAGGACAGTCTGCCTGCTATATCTGGGTCACTGGCTTTCATAGCTGGGATATCTCCACATGGCTTCCTGTGCGGAATGCCAGAGCTCTTCTTTGACCAGTGTATCATATGGCTCCCGTCTCTGCTGGAGTTCTTCTTCCCAGGTACCTACCTAATCGAGCAAGATTGGGGGGGCAGACCAGTCCTCCGTCAGAGCAACGGACCCCAGCTGCAGAGGGGTCTGTCGTGATTGCCTAGGGCTTTTGGCAAAACACAAAACACAAAACGCGGAGAGCATTGAGCTTGTGCTAGGGTGACATCATAACGGGTGACAAACCCGACAACGAAGGAGACGATGAACAGGTCAAGACGTATCACGGCCTAACTCCAGGGAGCGATCTTCAACTGGCTCGGACGGTCTGGACTGGGCTTGCCCGTTCGTGTAGTAAGTTCGCGCTGATGAACTAGGTACGGGATACGTTAGCAATGGGTGGTCAAAGATTGCCGATCACGTTGAACAGAACATTGAGACTGTGACATAAGCTGCCTCGGGGGATTGCTGCACAGTTTGTTTCGAAGATTCCTGAATGAAGCCAGTAAAGATGACCAGACAGTCAGTCGTTCAGGTCAAGCGCGAGAATCCCAGTTGGAAGGTTTGGAGTCGGAGAGACAAGAATGGCTTTGTTGGAAAAGCCAATTCAAGTAAAAAGCAACGAAGAATATTGATATCTTGATTTGTTGTTGACTGAACATGGTGTTTCACGATCCATGAATTGATGGTGACTCGATATAATAATACAACCTTCTATCCCACATAACCAGCTTGAGAACTGTTCAATACTTGCATCCTTTGTCGGTAAGCTTGCAGTCGTCGCCCTAGGTTGTGCTTCTGTCAGAACGGTTGTCCAGAGCAGCGCAATGGTAGGTACCTTATGTAGAGGGGTGGCTTACAGCTTTGGGGTCGGAATTCCATCCATGTTCGCAATAACATTGATGACCCGCGCAGTTGTTTGCCACACACTTGATATATGTAGCGAAAAATCCCTTATAGCCTTCTTCCTCGACCTCCCTGACGGTCTGTTTCGAGCAAAATGTAAGCCAGGATTCAAGGTAGGCAGCGCAGCCAGTCGGACACTTACGCCTTTCACCTCCCAGGGATCTCGCTTCTGTACCTTGCCGGAAGGCCCCTCGGCCTCCGATCGGGAGTCCAATGACCTGGCGCACGCCTCCTCAACGTCCGATTCCGAGTCGGAGCGGTAGTGCAGGTCGCTGCCCTGGCCGCTGTCTGGTGCGACTGCGGCGGCTTGGGCGGCGGCGAGCGCCGTCGCTACGGCCAAGAGAAGGGAGAATCGCATTTTTGGCGATGTGCGTTATTCGAGAGGAGACAGGACGTCGATTGAGTAGCAGTAGTACGGAGACCGTGATCAACCTGAATGTTTGTATCAAGGAGTTTGGTGTTGTCGACAGTAAGTTAAGTTGGCGAGAGAGAGCGGCTACCTTGCTCTAGGTATACGTCCGAGGAATTCATCGCGAGGTCCATCACGACGAGTTCAATGACTTGCCACGATATTCGAGGTCATCGTTGCCGGCGGCTTGACCGTTGACGTTGTGGGTTTCGATTCGAACCCGATAGGTGGTTCTCGCTTCCCCCTGCACTCACCAAGACGTCGGTGTCATGGTGTCGCACAGCCAAATTTAACCTTAAGCATCCACAGTCCGAGGTTTCTATACCGATATAACATTAGTCGAATACTAACAGAATCCATGTGTAGCAACAACTTCCTCCAGGGAGCCTGTCGCGTTCGCCAAGCCGTTCCTCAGGATTCAGGAAGGTTATTTATATTGCGCGCTCCACCTGGAAAGCTCAACTCAGTTAATATAGGCGAAAAGCGACCGATCGCCAGGAGCTAAGTATACTTTTTCATCATCTCCAAAAGAGCCTTCTCGACCTCCTTCGATGGGACGCAAACAAGAAACGAGCGCCGCCCTCCAGGAACTCCAGCTTGGCCTCCTTGGCAGAGGTGAACCGCTGTGTATGCTCTTTCGGTACAACCGAGCCATAGACCGAGTCCGCCGACCCATGATACATTCATTGTCAATATCAATTCATTCTCCCACCAACGAACATGTGCACTTCGAAACCAAGAAACGTATAGGTAGTCGGAAGCGGGCAAGGCAAGGACTCACTCACATGAAGCCAATGAACGGGACAAGTGACATCCCCGAGCCTGAGCAACAGCCCGTCTCTCCCAGCCAGGCAGATGACAGTTCATCCTGAGTTTGCGGCGTCCCTCGTCGCCAGAATAGACCTCCTTTACCGTCCTACTCCATCTCTCCCGCTCTCTCTCACTCCATCCGTCGCCGCGTCTCCGAAGCCCAAGTCGAGGAGGGAGCCAATCCAGTCATCGTCGACGACGAAGTCGGGGGTTGGAGTCGAGGACGTCCACTTTTGAGGAACGGTATGGCGAACGGCGCGGGATCCCTGCGAAGAAAGTTGATACGTTGTTAACTTACCACGGCAGTCGAGCGAGCTCTGTGCAATGCAATCACAAAGGAAGAGGAATGGCTTACCAGCACCCCTTGGATCGGGATTCGGCAGACTCGGAATCCATCGATGTGCCTACGGGCATCAGACCCAGTATCTAGATACCCAGAAGTCAGTCAGCTCCAACGAGTCGAACACCAACCGGTAGCAGTACTACTCCTTAAAAACACAGTGACACACCCTCTCAGGAGCCAGCAGCGCCATACGAACAACGATCCACCCCCCCAGCTTGTGCCCAACGCAAACGCCCTCTCAACACCCAGCTTCGTCATAGCCTGCAGCGCAACGCGCGCCGAGTCCCAGTACGTGAAGTGCTCAACATCACACCTCGTGGCGCCATGGCCCAGGGGCTCGATGGCGAGCACATACAAGGCGCCCGTGAGTTTTGTGTTGTTATCGTCCAGCTGCGCGCGGTACAGCGACGCGGTCGTGTTCATCGAGTTGATCATGATGCAGGTCGGCTTGGTGGGGTCTAGTTTGTTGTTGTTCGATATCTCGTAGCCTACTTTGGCACCTAGGTGGGCGACTTGGACGGTTTGTGTCGCGGCCATGATGGATGTTTACCTAGGTAGTCCGACTTACTGGTTATATCCTCTCTTGCAAGAGCTGGGATTTTACGGCTTGATTCGAAAGCAGTGTGTTTGTCTTATGTACTATCGACCAAGAATGATTAGTCGTTCACCCCTCTGTGCAACAGTGTTGGGACTTACAGCGGATAGTTACCATATTTGCTGCCAGATCTCATGATGTTGTCATGGAGTCTGGTCGGTTTGGCCAAGCTGCAGGGACGAAGCTTGCCACCTGCATGTTCTTCATGAACTACTCCTCAACGGCTTGATGGTAGTAGGAGAATAGATTTTGACTTCCTCTTACATGCCTTCATCGTTTCACCGTCATAGCAACAGTCCCGGAGTCGTAGATTCGACACGCAGAAGACCACATGATCAGAGACATCAAGTTCATTGAAACTACCTAGAGCCCCTTTCCGCTTTGACCTCGCTCTGAGCTTGAGCATTAATCTGTATGGCCTCCTTCAATTTAGCGACAACCTCAGGCTGGCCACCAAACGCAGTCATCAGCTTCTCGTCCAGCTCCTTCTCCGTGGTAGCCAGACTCTGAGCACCCCGCTTACCACCCATTGCCGCATGAATCAGGGTACCCCATCGTTGTGTGAAGGCGTAGATGCTCTGCCGTAGGAGCTCGTCCAGCTTCTCGCTCGCATCCTGATCTGGTTGAGGTTGATTGCGTCCCGGCGCAGTTTTTCCATTGATAGCGGGTGCAGCGTTTGCGGTCGACGACCACAGTCCGAGCGAGAGAGAACCACCAAGGATACCGCGGAATAGACCCATCCAGTTCTGAGGGCTCAGGGTATCCCAAATTTGGCCAAAGTGCTGCATTGCGGTGGGCTGCGATCTAACGTCACCAATCTCGAGCGACACCAAACCGTTCTTGAGGATGAGAAGGTTCTTGATCATGAACAAGTCGGGATCAGGCTCAGGGTTGGCTGCCCTATTAGTCTTCAGGCGAGACTCCGCTCGCTGCAAGGCGAGGATGGTCTCGTTCACGATGCGAAATATCACAGGACTGGACTTTTGCTGTATGAAAATGTCAGCGGCTTACCTATGATGTGAAGGCAGTCGGTTGAATGTTACTTACACTCCGCTCCTTCGGCATTGCTTGATCGTACATGGCCAAGAGTCCAAGTGCCCGCGCCGCAATTGGATGAGCATTGGACGATGCGAGGCCATCGGTAATAGGGGTAATCTTCAAAGATCCAGGAGTGATGGGAGCCCTAGATATAGATTTTGTGACCTCAGCTTCGAAGAGACTGTCAATGAATGGCCAAATATGTTCCATGAGTAGTCTCGCGGTGACTTCATGACAGTGCACTGCATAGCGCGTTTCGTCCTCGTCATATTCCAAAAGGAGATACTCGTTGGTGATCCACCCGAGCAGATTACAAGATGTCTGGAGTTCGCTGGTCTGCAATACCGACTGCAGAGTCGTGGCGATTGGGGCGATATTTGCAGCGTTGACGAGAGCCTTCTGCTGCGTCTTCAGAGCTGCATAGGCAGATTGGTTGTCCATACTGTACTGCGGTTCGATTGAGAATATCTTTGCAAACAGGTCTGCTTCATTGTATGATCTCTCGTAACACTGCTTGATGAAATTGCGGCAGGCAGCTTCGGCATTGACCTCTTTCGCCTCCTTCCGGAAAACCTCTAGGTCATGCTGGGTCATAGGGCGCAGGTCTCGGTCCCTCACATCGGAGTAAGAAGAGAAGATGTTAACTGCCGTATTGGAATAGTAGTCGGAACTCTGTCCGGTTATTGGATTTCCCAGCTGATCATAGCAGCTGCGGATGACGCGCTGGACGTTACCGACCAAACCATCAGCTTCTAATATCATCTCCTCGCTACGCCCATATGCGAGTGCATGTCTTGCAGCTTCGGATTGAGTGGATGATATCTGCTTCGATATCTCGGAAGAAATGCGATTCAGGTGATTCATGAAGCCGACCTCAAGTAAATGAAGCGCCTTGGTAAGCAGCGATTGGTATCTTGCCAAGTACGACTCGGCATCCCGGTAGTCCGGCTAATTAGGGTTAAAAGGGGCTCATACACTCGACGATAAGGGGGACTTACGTGTTTTTCCATGAAGGCTATGCAAGCCTCCAAGTTGGTCAGTATATCCCCGAAACTCTCGTGATTCACGAGTCGGCCTGCCCCGGGCGCATTGAGTCTCCTGGTCACCCCATCTAAATATGCGTAGTAGTGTAGATCCGTGCCAACATCGTCAGCCAGCTTCTGCAATCGCCTTTCCTCGGATACGAGATCGTCGCACTGGGCTTGAAATGAAGAGGTCTGTGACTCGACAGCCCGAAAAGAGTCTGCTAGGGAGGTAAAAAGATGCAGCGCGCCATTCGCATCGGTGATCAACGTGTCTAGGTGACGCTCTGTCATCTCCAGCTGATGTCGGTATAGCCTGCAACAGTCAGCGACTGTATGTATCGCGCACGCCAGTGGGGATCGTACGAATACTCTTGGTGGCTGGCATTCACCAGCTCGCTGTCTAGAGACTCAGAAGGTGATACCGCCCGACGTCTAACATCATCCTCGGGTTTGCCAACCATCAATGCCTCTAGACTCCTTTCCTTGTTCTTCCTCCTCCGCTTTTTCGCGACATCTTTAGACAGCTGGGCATGAACGACATGGTAGAAGTCGGAGTAGGACTTGGCCCTTCGTGTCAAGGTGGGCTCGGGCAGCTCAATGGTGGGCTCGGGTTCTTCGAACAGTTGATCGAGAGGTTCGACTATGTCGGATCGCTTGTTGCCCTGGTCTGGGTATCAGTGACAGTTCTGTGCGCTTGCAGGACGTGATGGAACAACATTTGGTTGTTGCAGCAAGGACTCCCTCCTCCTATGGCTGGAAGCCTGGGTTGTGGAGGTGTTTCTATTCTGGACATGGTCGGGCACGAAGCTGTACCAGGAGTCTTCGTACATGGTTCGTCGCTCGAGTTGAGGGAGGGGCAAGGGTTCGTGAATGTGTGCTTTCGATGTCAAGATCCCACGACCGTACCTAACGCAGCACTGAGCAATGAGCCTAGCAGCCACATTGAACCCAAGCCAAGAGCCATCATTAGCCACACCCCTTGCTGACTATCATTGACCCCGCGAACGTGGATATTAGTGGAGGAAGGCCCCGCACAGAGCCTCTTGTGACTCCACTACTAATGGAGATAGTCAGAGCACAGACCACCTTGACTTCGCAATGAGAAACCCCGGAGAGTCAATTGGCTGCTTCCAGTTCAACGCTTGAACGCTGAAGCTCGAAGCTCTGCTCTAGCCCGGAGGTAATTCATGACCTCACCACTCGCATTCGATCAGATACCCTCTTTGCGCGCCACCCACCTCGAGCTTCATGAAGGTTGTCCGAAGCAATCCGACAATGGTGGACGTGTAACCACCATCTGACCTGCCGCCTACTACATCGTCCTCGACTTGCTCTGCTCGCCCGTCTTCTGCCATTCCCACCTCTCGAGCTCCTTCGATGACCATGTCGCCTTACCGAGTCGCCTTGCGCCAAACTCCTCTGATCTGCCGGTCTTTCCAACCGAAATCGACGACCACCACACGGCAATGGCCAAGATATGCTAGCTCATCAAGAGGAGGTGATGCGAAGAGTGGAGGTGCTGGCAGATTCATAGCTGGTGTGCTGGTGGCCTTGGTGGCCGGCGGAGCAGTGGTGGCCTACCCAACTTTGACCAAGGAGTCGCCGAAACTACCACAAGCCGTCGTTGAATACGAGAAACCGCGACAATTACCCGAGTCAAAGGAACACAACCGAGATTTGATCAGTAGTCAACATCTACAAGTCAAGCAGAGCTGGGAGAACCCGGGGCTCTATGCTTGGGGGTCCAACTCAGGTCGGGTGGCTGCTCCAGACTCAACAGAGAGGGTCGTCAAAACGCCCCGCAGGATACCATATTTTGATGATCAGTTACTGCGAGACGTAAAGCTCGATCGGGAATTCGGAGCTGCTGTTACCGAGAAGGGTGATCTGGTACAATGGGGCACAGCCTTTTCCAAGACGAACCCAACACCAGTAACGACACTGAAGGGCAAGGATCTGATCAGGATCGAGGTGTCGCGCGACCGTATCATTGCTCTTGGCAAGAATGGATCGGTATACTCTCTGCCAGTGGCTGGGTCAGATCAATCATCTGGAAACAAGACCGAACAGTCGTCGTGGTTTTCCTTCTGGTCGAATCCCAATGCCGTTAGCTACCGACAGTTGAAGCCGAACAATCTTGGATGGGGCGAGACTGTAACTGATATTTCCAGTGGCTTGGAGCATGTTCTTCTGCTTACGTCCCAAGGACGGGTCTTCTCTGCGGCTTCCAGCACGTCTGACTTCCCATCCAAGGGTCAATTGGGCGTGCCCGGTTTGACCTGGGCCACTCGGCCTCAAGGTCCATTCGACCAGCCTCATGAGATCCTGCCTCTCAAGGGGTTCAAGATCTCCAAGATTGCTGCCGGCGATTTCCATTCGTTGGCTTTGGAACAAGATGGCCGCGTTTTTGTGTTTGGCGACAACACCTCAGGTCAGCTGGGGTTTGAGGCCGAGAAAGAAATCCCGTTTGTTGACGGGCCCATTCCGCTCCCGTTCAGCAAGCTCTACCGTGGCTCAAAACAGCATCCTCGCGTAACGGCGATTGCCGCTGGTGGTGCGAATTCGTACTTTGCTATCGACGCCACCCGAGTCGCCGGCCCAGAGGAGGACTCTGCTCGCGACGTTGGACGGGTCACGGCTGACGTATGGTCCTGCGGCTCCGGCATATGGGGCAGTCTCGGTAATGGCAGGTGGACCCACGTGTCCTTGGGTCCCTCCAAGATCAAGCCGCTTTCTGGTCTTTATGAGTTTGACGAAACATCAAACTTTGTGGTGCCGATCCGCCTGGCCCGTCTCAGCGCCGGTAGCACCCATGCTGCTGCTGTGATGAGCAATGTGACGTACGTCGATGCGTCGGACAACAGTTCCCACAACGATACCAATTGGGGTGCTGATGTCGTATGGTGGGGAGGAAACGAGTACTACCAGCTCGGCACAGGGAGGCGAAACAACGTGCCTACGCCGACCTACATCGGGCCTTTGGACGGTGGACAGGGCGATGCTGAGAAAGGGCGAAAGGGTGAGCAGCACCGATTCCAGATCACGCCCAGGACAACAGTCCGGTTAGGTGAGGGTGGCAAGGGCAGAAAGGTCAGCGTAGAGCAACGGGTAGAGTGCGGACGCTTTGTTACGGCAGTATACTCGGGGACTTGAGACCCTGAGAGGCACGTCATCAAAACATCGTCCATTGTATGTATGTACTATGAATCTTGTACAAAAAGGGGTAGGAAGCGCCTGGATGGTGCACTGCAATCGCATTGGTAGGGCACCCAGGCCTTGGATCATTATGGATCTATTTAGATACCCCCCTCATATAGGCGCTGAACCCAGCTTCATCAGTCACATGTTCAGCAGTAAGTTGCTTTGTCGATTTTCCACACATGTAACATACCAACCTCAAACGTCCGGCTTGTCCACAACCATGTTCTCCCCATCCCACAACAGACCGCCCGGATACACATAATCCTCATCCACCGTCAGCAGCTGGTACATATCCGTAGACGTTGTCATTCCTAAACAGGCGCAAATACGCACACATTAGTACTTATACAGCACAGTTTCACAGCAGCAGCAGCAGCAGCAGTTGGCAGGTTCGACTCAATAGACCCCCAAAAGACACCCCAAGACACCTAACGAAACGGAACGAAACGAAAACTTAATGGGATGGGATGATACGAGAAGGCAAAGAAACAAAGAACGCACCAGGCGAATCAGGCGACATCGCCTCCGGAATCCCAATGCCCGCCGGCAGCGCCCCGCTGGCCGCGCTTTCGACTTGGATCTGCGCACAAGTCGCATACAACTGCGCGGGGTCCGTCCACGTCTCGTTGTTGGCGTACACGCCGTGCGTGCCCGTGTTGACTAGGTCGAAGCGGAGCAGGTATTGGCCTGCGGGGATCTGTGGTGGGATCTGGAAGATGTACTTTTGGGGGGTTTTGTTAGTGTGGTTCGTGGGGTGTGAGATGAATTGGGGTGGGGATGTGGGATGTGGGATGTGGAAGGAAGATGGTGCTGCCCCTGCTTTGGGATGAAAGGGGAAGGCTGGTAGGTAGGAAGCGGGAAGGGGGTAAAAGGGAAAAGGGGGATAGGGGATAGGGGGATAGGGGCACAGGGTGGAGTGAAACACGCACCCTGGCCGGCAGCTGGTCGTCGTTATACGGCAGCCAGTGGATCGGCGCGGCCGCGACGCCGCTCAGGTCGAAGCCTATGCGGTGGATCTTGACCCAGTCGCCCGCGCCGTCGTAGGTGCGCACGTCTTCGCCGTCGGGCACCTGGCTGAGGTGCGTGATGATGGGGCCCCGGTGGTTGAAGTCCATCACGCGCTGCCACTCGTTAGCTATTGGTCCTTGATATGGGAGCAGTCGTTGTCTCGGCTGTTCGCGTGGAAAAGGGGGCAGGAGGTGCGGGTGCGGTCTGGTGGACCTTGTCTGCTGGGACTGCGTGTGTGCTGGATGAATGGATGGATGGGTGGATGGACGTGTTACTTACGTCGGCTCGTGCGGGATCGCAGCTCCCGCGGTCGTCGGGGCAGTTGGTCCATTGATCGTCCGTATAGGCGGTTGGATCGTATCTCTGTCTCGCGTGTCAGTGAGACGGAGGCTTGAGCACAGATGATCGTGACTGGAAAGCCCGGCTCGGAGCAGGGTACTAGGGCGACCCTTTCCTTTGAAGGGAAAGGGGCATGGGTACTAACAGTATGCGCGACCGTGATGGTATCCCCAGCGCTGAGAGTCAGGACTTCGGTATCGGCCGCGTGGGCCATGTGGTCACGGCCACAGCGAACCGACTCATCGTAGTCGTCCCAGTAGGTAGGATAGACGTTGTAGCGTGTAGAGCTGATGCGGCCAACGTGGTTCACGTCCTCGAACGGGGAAGTTTTGTTCCTTGAAGCGATGTGATGTTAGAGGGTAGTCTGAGGAGTGTTTCGATAGGAGTGGGAGTCGAACCGTATGTATCGAGTTGGGGCTTGCCATTCGTCGTTGAGAGCGAGACGTATGAAGGTGACTTGCAGCGGAATATTAGACTCCTTCGTACCTGCGGTGTCAACAGGGGCAGTACGTACAGTGGGAATGGACTAGAGGCACCGTGGCTGCAAGAGCAGCAATGGACAACTTTGAAGCCATATTTCGCAATTGGGATTTCAGTCCGGACAGTTCATTGTTGCCCCAGTTTGAAGGGCCGTGGCCCTTTTAACATTGCCAAAACTCGGGCACCCAGAACCTCTTCGGAGCAAATACGAAGACCTCGAGTTCCGTGTCACCACAAGGCGTCCATGTTACATCTAGATGTCTGTCATGTGTAGTAGAAGAACACGAAGGATCACTGTCAATAGGTCAGTTTCGCCCGTCTTTCTCGTCTTTCCACGGAACCCTTGGTCAACAGTTACATCGCCGAATGCAAGGTAGGGTATGGATTTAGCCGGGAAAGACGACGGGACTGACAGGAGGAACTAGCGGAGAATTCCCCATGGGGTGCAATATAAAGATGATTAAAACAGGCAGGTGTCCTTCTCGAGTGCCTGGTTACTGCAACTCCAAAGCTCGCACTTTGGGTTGATCATTTATAACAACAACAGTCCTAGACATTCACATGTTTTAGAAGCTATCGTGACTTGGAGAACATCGTTATATATCACCCTGATTTCACCTGGAACACTTGGCACCCCGCCACGCCAATCACAAGCGAAATGGTAGGATTGGTAGATCTGACCGTCTTCTGCGCAAACGATGGTAGTCTGGAATAGGGGCTGTGCATCAATCTGGGAAGATGCGGGGTCTCTCGATCCGTCTGCACGGATGACTGCATGTGAGGGCCAGTAATGTCTCAAGGCACAAAATGTTGGTTGGCGGCGCAGTCGTTGTCAGCGGAAGGAAGGGTAGCGGGCCGTTGGAGCGCTGATGAAATGCTCACCTGTGGTCCTGGAACCCTCATCAGACGTTGCTTCATCCCACTGTGTCGTTGAATCTCGGCGTAGTTACGAGAAGTTTTGACAATAAGTTCGTGTACGTACTCGTGTGAGTAGAATTGGATTCACCGGTGGGCTGTGTTTTGCTTCCACATGGCTGGCCAGACACTCAGTGAAAAGATGAGTTGGCAGCAAGCAGTCAGTCACTCCGTTCCGATAAGTCCTAGGATGCAAATCCGTTGTCAGTATTACGTAAGTACGCAGGTAACAAATTTCGAGTCATTCAGATACGTCATGGTCATCTTACCATTCAGGGGATGCAATACAATATGCGGCTTTTGGGGGATCTAAGTCGGAACAACCGCCAGATTATGTGATTGCTAGGTACTAAAGGTGAGGGGACAGCCATGCTTACAGACCTCCCAGCTGAACACGACCATGCCCTCCGGCTCCCAACCACTTGCCCACTTTCTGTAGATACTTGCTTTCTCACTCAACTCAAGGCGTAAATAAAATTCCCATGATGAGCGCAAAGAGAGACTCTGAATGTTCGGTAACGGAATGGGAAACTCTACTTACGTAGCCAGTCCACCAACATTGCAGCATATTTCTTCGGCCAAGAATATCTCGGTACAGTCAGCACCCGTAAGTCTCCGTCCGGCACGCCGCATTTAGTTTTCGGGCACCGATAAAAACATCAATATTTATAGAATAAACACATTGGAATAAACAGCTCATAGCTATGTAGTCATTTTCGATGCTTATTCCAGCGTGCTTATGCTATTTTAACAAACGCACCTTTCGCTCGGTGAATGAGGGGTGTAGGAGACTTATGAGGGTTAAATGTATCTTTAACTTAGGACCATACCAGAAGACATCATCGTAGAATATCATTCAGCACAGCCGACGCATGGTCGCATTTTCACCACCTCCTCACTAACCACATATTCCTCTTTCACGGGCCAACTAAGATGAAGTCAGAGACTCGGATTTCGAAGCATATAGTGTCCATCTATCTCTATCTAGAATGTACATTTCTATGATGAAACTTGATATGTGAATTGCTACGGCTTTAAGGGGTGGTGGGCTCTCAATATCATGCCAGTGGAGTGGAAAGGGGGTTTCGCGGAGCGCGCGGTAATCGGGCAAACATGCTGGGGACGAAGCTTGTCAAAGCATGAAGACGGTCATGCTAGTCTAACTCTCAAGCAGATGTTATCTCGAAAAATAAATCGCTGACTTGTTTGCTCTGCTACTTGGCACAAGGCAAGTCCACTCGCCCGCCCCGTTCGGAGGAGTATCTGTAACTCAGCGGTAGTCTGCCAGCCTCCGATCGATCAGTTCGCTCTCTGGCTCTCACTCAGATCTCCACATACCCTCCTATCAATACGGGGGTATACTTGCCCGGATATGGAGCAATGGCATGTCACGGTGAATTGCCTCTGATAAAGAGCTGCATCGGCGAATGCTACGGGAGCTGCCCGGGCGTCCCACCAATCTCCGCACCACTAGCGGGGCATCTCGGGGTAGAGTATGCGACATCATCGGCGGGCTGCTTGCAGTGAGGAGAATATAAACGAGTAACGGCTCGTATAATTCACGAGGCAAAGACTTATCAGGACCGTATTACAGACGCGATCTTTCCTTTTTAGGTATCTCGTCTCCAACAGACTCGATCATGTCGCCCTCAAGAGTCCACCCGGCGTCCCAGCCCGACTGGAACAACCTCGCCGTCCTCCACCGGAACACGCTTCCCCCGCGCGCCAACTTCTACATCTACAACTCGGCGCAAGACGCGCTGACGTACGACGACACAAAATCCCGAATCCACTCTCTCTCCGGCACGTGGAAGTTCAACCCAGCCCAGAACCCCTTCGAAGCCCCAGAAGGCTTCCAAGATCCCGCCTTCAGCACAGCAGAATGGGCCGACATCACCGTGCCCAGCATGTGGCAGCTGAACGGCCACGGAAGGGGCCCGCACTACACCAACGTCAACTTCCCGATCCCGGTGGACTCGCCCAACGTGCCGTTTGACGAGAACGAGACGGGGTTCTATGTTAGCAAGTTCACCGTTCCCGAGGGTCTCAGGGATTCGCAGCTCCGCCTCAGGTTTGAGGGTGTGGACGCCGCGTTCCATGTCTGGGTGAATGGCAGGGAGGTCGGGTATCATCAGGGGTCGCGGAATCCGTCTGAGTTTGATGTCACGGGTGTGGTTGATACGACGGGTGAGAATACCGTCGCTGTGAGGGTCTATCAGTACTGCGATGCGACGTACATCGAGGATCAGGTACGTGTCGATAACAAGAGCAATGGTCCTAACAAGTTGGTCTTGAGACGAGTTATGCTACGAGGAGGTTGACTATCAGAATGCTCTCATCGCTAACAAAGGCCTCCATCCTCATAGGATCAATGGAGGATGAGCGGCATCTACCGCGACGTGCGCCTCCTCTTCATTCAGACCGCACTGGACAGCGAATACGTAAACGCAGACCTCAAAGTCCGAGTCGACGTAGCAGGCACGGGGAATCTGAAGGTCGAGCTTTACAACACGGCCAAGAGCACCATCGTGGCCACCGCCACCAAGTCGGTCTCCGACGGCGCGACCGAGTTCTCACTCCCGATCGAGAACCCGTCGAAATGGAAGGCCGAAACGCCGACTCTGTACAACCTTGTAGTCTCTCTCGACGACTCTAGCTTCATGTCTCAGCGAGTGGGCTTCCGCCACGTCGAGATGAAGGACGGCCTCACCAAAGTGAACGGCCAGCGGATCGTTCTCAAGGGCGCCAATCGCCACGAGCACCACCCAAAATTCGGACGGTCTGTCCCTTACGAAATCATGAAGCAGGATCTGATGATCATGAAAACGCATAACATCAACGCGATCCGTACTTGTCATCAGCCGAGCGATGTGCGATTATACGATCTTGCCGACGAGTTGGGTGTAAGTTATTTCCGGCCCAACATCGGTTCTTTGCCATTCATTGACCAATGACAGTTCTGGGTCATGGACGAAGCTGACCTCGAATGCCACGGTTTCGAGTCCATCTGTGCGTATCCCATCGCTCATCATAATACCCTCATAAGCGACAATCTAACTCCCAAGCAGGCGACGCCGCCCTCTCACCCGAGGAGAGAGCCCTCCCCCTTCCGCGAGCGCCAGCTGCTCACGCGCGCCGAGGCCGCCAAGTGGACGTCCGACAACCCGGACTGGACAGACACCTACGTCGACCGCGCCATCGCCATGGTGCGCCGCGACCAGCCGCACCCGTGCGTCATCATCTGGTCCCTGGGCAACGAGGCCTTCTTCGGCCGGAACCACGTGGCCATGTACGAGTGGATAAAGACGCACGACGACAGTAGGCCCGTGCATTAGAGGCCGATATCCACGCATCGACGATGGACAAGTTCTCCATGATGTACCCACCAATCGAAGAAATCGTCCAGTTCGCGCAGGACGAGACCAAACAGAAGCCGCTGGTTCTGTGCGAGTACATCCACGCCATGGGCAACGGGCCGGGTAATATCAAGGAGTACGTCGACGCCTTCTACGAGCATCCGCGTCTGCAGGGTGGGTTTGTCTGGGAGTAGGCGAACCACGGACTCCTGACTACGGACAAGGAAACGGGCGATGAGTACTATGCCTACGGCGGCGACTTTGGCGATGTGCCGAACGACGGCAATTTCGTAATGGACGGAGTGCTGTTCTCTGATCACACGCCCACCCCGGGCCTCACGGAGTACAAAAAGGGGCTCGAGCCGGTCAAGGTGTTGTCCCACACGGCGGAGAAAGCAACCATCGTGAACCGGTACGACTTCATTACGCTCGACCATGTGGAGTATAGTTACACCATCCTCAGCGAAGGCAAGCCGACGTCTCAACCGGGCAGCATCGAGATCCCCACCGGCATCAAGCCCGACCAGACCGCCGAACTGGCCCTGCCATCTCCTCCCACCGACGCATCGGGCGAGCTGATCCTGCAGCTCTCCTTCCGCCAGCGCTGCGCAACCGCATCTCTACCGGCCGGTTTCGAACTAGCCTTCTCAGAGCTGGCCCTCAACCCAACAGCATCCATCCCCCTGACCATCCAGTCCGAACCCTAACCCCAGGCTCAATCTCAGCCCGCAGACGCCAAACTCACCATAACCGAGACCCCACACCTCCTCACCATCGCCTCCGCGACCACGACCTGGACCTTCGCGCCCGTCCACGGCGAACTGCGCACGCTGACCAAAAACGGCGCGGCCTTCCTCGCGGCCGGCCCGGCCGTGACGTTTCATCGCGCGCCGACTGACAAAGACGTGCCGCAGGACGGCCGGGACTGGGGAAACGGCATGCTGCCGCTAGCCAAGGCGCGGACGAGGTCGTGCAGCTGGGGCGCGGAGGGCGAGACCGAAGGTGGTGTTGAGGGTGGTAGTGACAGTGATGATAGTTGTTGAATACACGGATGTTGATTGATGGATGCTATTGATTGTTCTGCTCTGTGTGCAGAGATTGATCATCTGTCTTCTTGGTGGGTCAGATGCCCTGTGCGTCTTTGCCCCACTGGAGATCTTCCGGTGTCGATCTCCGGCTCCCATTCAACACACCCCCCAGGAACAACTCCTTCCATTGGGGTTGTTCCTGAGCATTCAGTCTGTTGCTCTTCCTGTTCGAGGTCATCTTTAAGTTCTTGTAGCTTGCGGGTTGCAAGTCTCTCATGGATATCTGTCAGCCTCACTTGCTCCCTGAATGTCTTGAACTTTGGTGCCAGCAGCGCCTTGGTCAGGCCGTCTACAAGCATCATTTCGTTCCGGACGTACTTGACGTCTATCTTCCCGTTGTGTTGAGCTTCCCTTAGCCAGTGATTGTGGATATCGACGTGCTTGAGCTTTGTTTGAAGTGTTTGGAGGTCCTTCCGCACCAACTTGATGGTCTGTTGGTTGTTACACCAGATCCGGAGAGTTGGACAGTCCAAGGATATGCCAATTTCTCTAAGGAGCCGTGAGACAAACATCACTTCCTTGGCTGCTTGAGCAAGGGATAACAGTTCTGCCTTTGTTGTTGAGGTTGTCACTGTGTCCTGTTTGTTTGCTCTCTAGTTAATAATGCCTCTAAATAACTTCATGATATATACTTATGAGCTCTTTTGGTCAAGGCAGTTGTCAGCAAATAATGCATCGTTCTATATTTCCAACAGATTTTTACCCCCCAATTGAAGAGTAAAAGACCTGTACCCTTCAGGTACTCTAATAGGTGCTCTGTGGCAGCAGCATATAAATTGTTTGGGTTGGTATTAAAGCATGAAAGCCAAGAGGCAGCGAAAGAGATATCGAGTCGTGTGATCACTGCTACGTACAGGATTGATCCGATCTTCTTTTAGTATTTGTTGATTGAGGCTGGCGAGGCAAGCTCATCGCTTAGGAGAATTTCTTGAGGCTTCATGGGGATCTCTGGGCACTTCTTGTGGCGGTCGATATGGCTTGTAATCTTGTCGATATATAAGGCTTGAGACAGCCAGATGAGCCGCTATTTTTGGTCCCTAATGATCTTTATCCCCAAGAACCACTGTAGTGGCTCTCTTCCTGTCAGATTATAGGTAGCTTTGAGCTTCTTTGTGACCGCCTTTATAGCGTTTTGATGGTGTTTTTTAAAGGCTATCATGATATTATTCACATAGAAGAAGATAATCATGCCATTCTTTGTGAAGCAACAGGGTTCGTGAGCGACTGTTTTGAAACTAAGATCTATGAGAATTTTAATAAAATGTTTTTGCCATAACAAAAGAGATTACCGTAATCCATATAGAGCCTTCTTTAGCAAGAGGACCTTTCCTTGTTCATGATGCCCTTGTGACATATTCATGAAGACTTCTTTTTTTAGGTCCGCATTGACAAAGGCGTTGACGGCATCATATTGAATGAGTTCAAGATTGAAGCGGGCTGCAATTGCCATGAGGGCTATGAAAGATCTGTCTGCAAGAGTTGATGTGTAGATATCCTCATAGATTGTCACAGCGAGCGTACTGGTAAGCTGGGACATGGCTTGCAGCAAGCAGCTATTACTCTATTGACAAGAATATCAAGACTAAAGAGGAAAGGAAGAGAGAGAAAGATAGGTACAGTGGGAGGTTGTCCCTTTAAGGGGATCCCCTTTATTGGGAGGTATCGGCTTGTCATGTGGGAAGGTCTGTGCAGGCCGTCACAGTGCAGGCCGTCACAGCCATATGCTCGTAGGTGTGTATGCATTGGTCTGCCATCAGGGGTAACTAGGCCGTCTCGAAATGACAGATATTGGAAGAACATCTCATATGGTGTCTTCCAGTTATGGTGCAAGGATGGTGTTCGGTTATGGAGATACACTGCTGCAGTGTAGATGTGACGCCAGAGATATATTGGAAGCTTGGCTCCGCTACGCATGGCAAGAGCTTTTGCTTTGATTTTACCTCCCAAGCGTTCAGCGTCTCCATTTGGGTCTTGAGTGTGGGGTGAAGAGGGCTCGATTCGGATGTTGTTGTCTTTGATGAAGTCCTTAATGTCCTTTGACTTGGTGAACTCATTGTCTGTTTTTATGGCCTCAATGTCGATCTGGAACTGTATCTTCAGTATACTGACGATGCTTTGGAGGGCGCCAATTATGTGTTCCGTAGTTCTCCTTTTCAGGAAGTATGTCCACACGTATCCAGAGTATCTGTAAGTGACAAACATAATACTCCAGTAGCCATCTAAGTCTTTCTCAAGGTCAAGAAAATCGATAGACAGGATGCTACCTGGCTTAGTTGACGGTCACCTAGGTGTTCTACGTGTCTATTTCTTAATTTGGCCTTGCCACACCCGTCACACTGAGCAGTAGAGGGACCCTTTGTGACGGCCTGCACGGACCTTCCCACATGACAAGCCGATACCTCCCAATAAAGGGGATCCCCTTAAAGGGACAACCTCCCACTGTACCTATCTTTCTCTCTCTTTCTTTCCTCTTTAGTCTTGATATTCTCGTCAATAGAGTAATAGCTGCTTGCTGCCAGCTATGTTCCAGCTCCTCAGTACGCTCGCCGTGACACCCTTGATTCTCACTCCTTTAGCATGCTTTGTGATCTGGGCAATTACTTCAGGGCCAGGATGCCCTAGTCGCCAGTGCTAGAGGTTCTCGTCACCCTTGTTTGGAGCTCTTTCTGTTCTGGAAATGATCATTCTCCTCTGCAGGGCAAAGGACGCTTTGGTTTTGCCTAGGGGTATGTCCTCCACGACCCATTGCCCAAACTTATCTGTGAGTTTGAACACTACTAAATCATTCTTTTGTCTGACACAGTTGTTAAGAGGTTTATTGTCCCAATAGTATCCAAGCTTTTTGAGTTATTGTAAAGATACAAGGTTTGTCGCAAATCCTTCACAGAAGGCAACATTTCGTAGTGTCAAGATGAATGGTCCCAATGAGTCGTGAGCAGTGATGTCTACTTCTCTGTATCCTAAGATTGGTATGAAGGTGTCTCTTGCATACACTCCATCACCTATTGGGGCTCTGTGAAAGTTGTTGAAGCGAGTGATAACGTTGAAGATATGTAAGGTTGTACCAGAGTCAAGGATTAACAAGTTGAGTAAGGGGTAAGGGGCGGTTGCGTAGGAGGGCTTTGTATTTTTTGTTAAATAAAATACTGTTGCCTTCTTTGTGTGTATTGGTACATAATGTATTCTCTCGCCCCTTTCTGTGAGTCAATTGCGCGGTGTCTGTCTCTTGGAAATTTGTGCTACTTCCTCAGATAGATTATTGTCCTTTTCAAGCAGTATTTTGACCATTCATTCCATATCGTGATGGACTTTCTATCTATTTGGTCGCTTATTTGGGAAGAGGTAAAAGCACTCTGTGAAGTGGTGCCCTTTATAATAGCATCCCTTGCATGTTTAAGTGGTTGAGAGAGCTTCTTCATTGTTTCGACCCCTTTTGCCAGAAGCTCCCTGACTTCCTCCTCTGAAACCTCCTCATGATCCACCTCTTGAGCCCCCTTGCTGTCTCTAGTTGTTGTTTTCTTCACCGCGGCCTCTGCCTCTTGCGTCTGATTATTCTTGAGGATGTTCTTTTTCTTTCTTGTCTCTAATTGAGTCTCTTGTATTGTCAGGCTGTTCTCTATGAAGGGCTGGGAAACCCGCTTCCTATCCTTTCAAAGGATTGGTAATGGCGCGCATTGTTATCCAGTCGTTGTAGAGGTCAGAGGCTATCTGGGAGTACAAAATACTGCCTTCAAGCACTCCTTCCTTCTTGCTTGCCCTGGCTTGAGAAGACCAATTAGAGTTCATCAAGGCGATAGCGACTATGAAGTCATTAAATCAGATTACTGGAAATAGAGCCTCAGGGACCCTGGCTTTCATAGCTCTAGCCATAACCAATTCCCATTCTTTAATCTAGCTAATAAAATCCTTCTCTTTCTTTTTCTGTACCCCCTTATTGATCATTGATATAATGGCACGGTAGTCGACTTAGGCCTGGTGCATGATGTTCTCACTGTAGATAGCTCCTTCAGTTGCGAGCTCTTGGTACCACTGGTAGAGGTTTCGTTCACGGAGTAGTTTGGTTTTCTGTATAGTAGGATCAACGGTTTCGAGAGTCCACTTAATAAGTTTGGATATAGAGGTCTTGGTTCGCTAATAGATCTTGTCTTTGTGCTCAAATAGGGCGACGTTCATCTTGAAATCAGCTGCTCTTTCTGTTGTAAGGTGTGAAGCAAGGACTCGTCCCTCCTCCACTGCTGTTTGAGCAGTTCTGATAGACTTCTTTGAATACTCTTCTGATAGGATATCTGGAGGCGTTGGTGCTGTTGGCCATGGAGTAGTTACACCTGGCTCGATATATTGCCAGATGCCGAGTGCTTCAGCCCTTTTCTAGAATTGGAGTCCCCAGCTGATAAAGTCCTTTCGAGATCGATAGTACGCAGTTGAGTTCTGGGTTGGAATTGTGATATTTATCTTGAAATGGTTGTATGATACGTGTATTCGAAATATGGATGCCAGTTGCATAGATTCAATGAGACTTTTAATTGTTGAATACACAGATGTTGATTGATGGATGCTATTGATTGTTCTGCTCTGTGTGCAAAGATTGATCATCTGTCTTCTTGGTGGGTCAGATACCCTGTGCGTCTCTGCCCAACTGGAGATCTTCTGATGTCCATCTCCGGCTCCCATTTAACACATTCGTTCTAGTATCTAACACAAGGTACTGGTGGCTGGATCAAGTGGCTGGATCAAGTGGCGGGGATCTACATTATTAAAACCGAAAATAATGATTACTTTTATTTTCTTACCTTATTTAAATTTTCGACTTTTTTAGGTAGAGTATCATTTTTAAATACCTTTTTAAAACTATTAATTTCTAGTATTTTTATACGAATTTGTGTGACGCTCTAATACGGTACAGGTATGTCCGAATGAGACAGAGCCCTGGAGCCCGTGGAACGTCAGGTATATCTACCACCATAGAATATTCAGTTGCCATCCTGAATATTCCACATCCTTTTGTGAGGAGCTTAGCCAATTGGTGTGGTGGTCAATTGCTATTCTGTGACAATTTGAACTTTTTTACTTCGGGTTAAAAACTATCAAATTTTTACATTTTTATATTAATTTTGCCTTTTTTTAATTCTAAATTAAAAAACTATTAATTCTTAATATTTCTGCGCTAACCTTACCCCTTTCTATTTTAAGTTAAAACTATTAAGTTGTAGTATTTTTGCGCCGATTTTGCCTTTTTTTATTCCGGGTTAACAACTATTAATTTTTAACATTTTCGCGCCGATTCCGCCCTTTTTTATTCCGGGTCAAAAATCGGGGGCATTTCATGCAAGCGGTTCTGCCCGCCCGTACTCTCGTGGTCCATCGTCCTGGACGTCGCGTACACGTTCCGCGCGTCCGGGGCGCTGTCGATCCGCGTCCGGGGCAAGCCGAGGGGGCAAAACCTGCCGCGGACCCTGCCGCACATCGGGCTGAGCATGGAGTTGCCGCGCGAGTGGGCTGGTAGTAGCAGTAGTGGTAGTGGTAGTAGTAGTAGTGGTGGTGGTGGTGGTGGTGGTGAGAGAAGTGGTAGTGGGAAGGATAGGGATTTGCGCTGTCGGCGATGACGTGGTACGGTCGCGGCCCGGGGGAATGCTACAGCGACAAGAAGCTGTCGCAGCGCGCGGGTGTGTACTCCGTCGTTGAGGTGGCCCAGCTATGGACGGACTACGAGTTCCCGCAAGAGAGCGGCAACCGCACCGACACGCGATGGGTGCGGCTTGCGCACGCCGGGGGCGAGACGATCACGGCGCAGTTCGTGGACCTCGTGGCCTCACCCTCCTCCTCATCGTCTGCCGACGGCGAGAAGAGGAAGCTATTCGACTTCAACGCGTCGCATTACCGCGTCGCGGACGTCGAGGCTGCGAGCACCCCTACGAGCTGCATAGGAAGAGGACGGAGAACGTGGTGCTGCGCCTGGATGCGGGGCACCATGGTCTCGGGAGCGGGTCCTGCGGGCCGAGGACCAGAGACGAGTATGCGTTGCTTACTGGGCCCTTTGAGTTCGAGGTCGTGCTTGCATAGGTTCATCACGTATATAGTTGGTCTCATAGAGACGAGGCCTGGTAGCTGGCTGTATCGAGCTTTGGGTGGGAGAACAGGATCATGGACTCCGTATCCATGGAAGTTGCGATAGATGTCGCAGTAAAGAGACTACGTCCTGCAAGCTAGGGGCTGTCTCATGGGGCGTTGGAACTTGCCTATTCTTCACTCACCTCGGGATTTGAAGAGATTGGCTTACTCAGTCTTATTTTGGACGAGCCTGTATCGACACTGCAACGCAGGCCTGAGATTCAGTCGAGCACATACATACCGCAAGTTGTGAACCGAGGCAAGGTGAATATGAGAGGTCGGATATAGCAGCTCTCGCGAGTCGTGGGTGACTGCTTCCAAGACCTTAGCGCTCATCGATGAGCTGGTCCAGCTCATCCCGTTGACTGTCGCGAAGAAACAGGCTGCCGACATAAGGAAAAGAGGTACCCATGCCTGGTAGTGCATTCACGACTGGTCTCACTGCAAGGTCGGACGATTCCTCGTACACGCACACAAACTGCTTGCCTGGAGCCCATTGCCAGGGGCCGCCATGTTCTTGCAAATTCCTACCCGCGAGTCCCTGTTGCTGTATGTTCTGGGCTTCGAATATTGGCCACGAACATTGGCCACGAAGGCCCACGACTTGCTTGGAGCCCGCAGCACGCTCCGCGCTTGCTCCCTCGAGATTTCTCGCGAGGCCACGCTGGCAGAACTCGTTTGAAATTGCCACCACGAGACCTCCTGATGAAGCCGCAGCAAAAGGTCCGCTAGCAGCTCATCCGTCTTGGCTTGGTATAGCGCCCAGGAGAACCGGACGGTTTCGCGTCCCGTATCTTCTCCACGTCTTCACCATGGGATTTGAAATACCATCCAAGTTCTCGGGTCGGCAACAAGGGTGATTCGAAATTCGCAAGCCGCCAGACCGTGTGAGCAGCGGTTATGGGTCCCAAGGCGATGTGGGAACCCACTTGGTTTTCTGTGGCGAGGAGCGGTGCGGTGGGTCGGTACCGCGGTCCTCATCTCAGCCTCGATCTCCGGACCTCACGAGAGTTCTAAGGATCGGGACCAGGTGGGAAAGGGGGTTTATATACCCTCTGCCCATATCTTAAACATGCTATTCCGCTAGGGCCACACGCTACGAAGCTCCGGTCAAGATCCACAGAATAAGCTGCAGGTTTCCCGGGAGCCGGCGCTCGCCTTGGCGATCCGTGGTCGTGGGGTTGAGGGACCAAACCGTTGAACGAGGTGGCGGCCAGGTGGTCTGGGAATTCTTGCGATTTCCCATGTGTGAAGACCGACATCCGCAGCTGTCATGGGAGACATCCCATACTGATGGGTTTTATTGTATCATTAGTTGATCCGCATGCCAAGAGTCAGATGGTCTTGGTGCCTCTGGCAGGGTTACAGAGCCTCATCAACCTACTGCCTACTGGACTGTATCGGATGACACAGACAGCAAGCCACACCACGCGTTGCAACATAAAAAGCGCCACCGTTGGATGAAAGAAAGCTCGACCGGGAAACCCTTGGTCTGGCTGCAATGCCAGCTGCCCGACTCACATGGTCCTGGGCAGCGTTCCACTTAATCCGAGTATTTGTAGTTAGTTAAGGGGTAGTTAGGGTTCGATCCAAGCAATCAGGAGGTCCCCTCGCTAACTGCAATTCAATCAAGGGGTACTCAACTTGAATTGTTTAATTGTTATCCGTGCCCCATATATGACAAGGGGTAGCACGTCCCACCTGGTGATGTGTGGATGTGGTGGATGTGGGATATCTGGTGATGTGGCTGGTGATGTGGCTGGTGGTATGGATCTGGGGGGAGACGGAAGCTTCTCATTGGTTCGGAGACTCGGCCTGTTTTCCGACAGTCAAACGAGCCAATCACGTCAGAGATAGCCCAACTGAATTGGATTGCTTAGTCATCACGGTTTAGTTCAGTTTGGAGGGGGTCAGATTGGATTGCTTGGATTAAGTGGAACGCTGGTCCTAGGTGGACGCGATGTTGGTTCTTGCATAAACTCCAAAAGTGCTCAAGGGTAAGGAGGTCTGGGCGAGAGTCGAGACCATCCGCCGTGCTCTGCGAGGCAGACCATTACCTAGATAGGGCTTACTACACACGGCGTCGGACAACTTTAGGTTCACAGCCTGACCGGTGAAAGAAGATTGATGAAAGGCCAACGTCAACCAAACCCCCAACATCGACTTTATCTTTATTTGAAGTAGGAAGTCAGCAATCTGTCCAGAGCATCATCGAGATAGAGGATGGGTAATAAAGCGGTTGCCTCGTGCGGCGTCAGTCGGTGTTATTGCTCGTTCCCTACACCATTCTCTATTGGCACCAACGTTAAAGGGAGGGTAATAATAAGATTGCGCGCACATGCCCCCTTATCACAAATTCGCAATGGTATGGCGATGTATGGCGATGTAGGGCGAGTATGGCGATGGACGGGTACATACTGTCGCTGATCTGAGTGAGGGAGAGAGCTTTTGACCTTGACGGACCGTTACGGACGACGTCCGGCCAGCCAATCAGCTCTCTGGAAAACCACATCGACGATGGACTCAGCCCTCCAGTCCTGTATTCGACCGATGACGTAAGGCAGTCCTGAGCTTGTCAGACCACTTTCGAGCACGAAGTAGAGATACCTCAGACTGGGCTCAGAAGACCGTTCGATCCCTCATTTGAGAGTACCGGTGACCTGTCATCTGTGGGTACTGCACACACCCGTGGCGTCAGCTGCCCGCCTCTGTCCGTCTGTCTCATTGGCCGCTTGGAGCACGGCAGCAATACACCCACACCAGGGCGCGCAACAGCCGATGGACTGCTCTGGGCCCTCTGGCGTTCATTCCCAAGCGAGTCTAGCGCACGCCCAGAGGACCCTGAATCGGCACGATGGCAAGTGTGTCCCTCGATCCCCAGGCCCTCCCCACCGGCACCGCGATCGAACCCTCATCGGGGGTCAGGCAGAGCTGCGAGACACGCAGTCCGCAGATGCAGACCCTGACAATCATGGATATGGACATGGCCCGGCACCGATGGCGAGCGCTCACCAGCCTGCCGTCCACGAGGGGTCTTGATTTTCTTAGACTTTCCGCATCTCGATCCGTCATTTACCTAGATCCCATCAGTCTCGACGTTGCTCGAGAGCTGCACATCTACCATCATCCTTAACGCCAATTCCCAACACCACACCAACATCACAAACAACTTGGCTGCTGGCCGCGCTCTACTCACGTCAGCCCACCCGCATCACCATCCACACCGATCGAACATCAATACATTCCAGTTCCGCGAACAGCAAACTGCCTTGGCATCGACGGTCACCACCACGGCACCAATACCATCAAGACGACAGCCAGCTGAACACCATCACCCTTTGTATCGGGTGAACAGTCAATTCTTGGAAGTCGTCCATTGGGAAGGTCATCTCCAACCACCTGTCAAATCCTAACCGCCGATCCTTCGCCGTTGGAATCCCACAGAATCGCCAGCTGAGCGCCGCATTATTCTTGTACGTGTGACCCAGTTTCGCAACCCTCGCCATTTGCTTTCAAGTCGTGATTACACACAAACCTACAACATCAGCAACATCAATTTTTCCACATGATTTAACTCCACGAATACAATCATCCACTATCCCGTAATTGCTATTATCACAACCACCATCCCCAACACGAAAGACCTGTTGGCCCCGGGCGCATGAACGTCCGGAGTACACGGCCCCAATCCAGCAAACCAGTTGGAACACGTTCCTCGATATCATAATAGCGTTCAGCTGTCTGCCCTACGTGTTCCGAACCGTGTCACTGATTACCTGTGTCATGACAGACGTCGCATTTCGCCTGAATCTCTCCTATCGGACAGGATGAGCTCTTGAGACCGTGACGTACTGCTAGCAAACAAGGCGAAGCGAAAACCTGTGACGAATATGCTGAGCTCAAAGAACACGCCGACGGGCTCTGCGCCTACCCCTCCCGTCACTTACAAGAATCCAAGGAGAACCTCGCCCGAAAACTCCATCACCTTGCGACACCACCGACTAGCCCAAGAAGCAGCAAGGCGGTTCACCCCGCCGGGTGTCCCCAATGCGCATTCCTCGTTACGGCACTCGCGACGGATGTCCTCCGGTGAAAGCAACGAGACTGGTCTGAGCGACCCAAAGAATTGGTTCGAGTCCGCCAATGGGAATACCAATGGCACTTATGATACGTCTCAAATGGACGTCGACCCGCCATTCTTTCAGAAAGAGACGGATTCGTCAAATGAGGACATCAAATACGGCATGCCTTCCCAGACTCCCGCATACAATTTTGTTCAGAACCGGGTTCCTGCCTTGCGCCCTGGGGCTACGCAAAGCAGCAGCGCCGGTGATTACCGCAGCGTCATCGACGATCTGACCGTCGAAAATAAGCGCTTGAAGGATGAATTGAAAAAGTACAGGCAGAAGGGACCCGATTCTTTGCGGAGGGATAAACTCTTCGAACTGAAGGTGCACGGCTTACCTCGCAACAAGAGACGGGAACTCGAAGCAGCACTCAGAGACTTCACAACTAGCCTGCCAGCAGAGTCAAGTGCTGGAGCGTCTCCCAGTGGGAAGAAGGGCTCAGGGAAATTACAGAACAGGTCGGCATCCAAACATGCTTCTTCGTCTTCGGGATCGAACTCGAGGCCAGTGGACTCGGCTTATGCGTCCATGTCAAACGACCAGGGTTCCTCCTCGGCCCAGCTACCGCACGGACAGGCCAAGGCTGAACGACAACAATCTAAGCAGAACATCGAAAACTATCTACGCGACATTCCCGAACGTCTGTGGCCTCGACCCACCATCATGACCGAGAATGAGAAGAAGAAGCTTGTGGTGAGACGATTGGAACATTTGTTCACCGGGAAGATGGGCAACATCGCCCAGAAGCTGCCTCCGCCGCTAGCCACCACGCAGCATCCGATCGCTCGCGACACGCAAATGGATATCACCGATGATAATACGGTACCTGCGGGCGAGGCAGCGCGAGAAGCAACAATCCGACCGCAAGCGAATCCCAAAGCAAATCACCCACTTGATGGTTTAGCGATATCAAAGGAACACTCACAGTCACATTCGTATGGCGAATACGATTTCACCAGTGAACGTGACAGTAGCAGTGGCGCCAACGTATCGCCTGAGAGCGACAATACATCGGAGCAGCGCCCAACTAGACCTCGTGACCTGGACCCAGATCGAGAGCAGGTCCCCTCGGACAACATGAATTATATTCGACATCTGGGCTTGGATGCACCCGAGGGTCAGGCGAGATTCTCCAAGAAGGATGTTTCAACAGATGCGGATGGCTGGGTGTACCTGAATCTTCTCGGTAACCTGGCGCAGCTACACATCCTCAACGTTACGCCCGACTTCATTCGTCATGCGGTGTCGGAGAAAAGCACCAAGTTCCAACTTTCTCCCGACGGACGAAAGATTCGCTGGCGAGGTGGAAATGAGGGAACGAGGTTCGTGAGGAGCGACAGCAGTGGCGGCAGCTCGGAACGCACACATTCAAGCGAGGACACCGACGGGTCGAATGACCAAGACCAGAGGAAGAAGCGGAAGACAAAGCACTGGGAGGATGACGGCATCGCCCAGAAACCGTCGAAATTCGGGCTGGGTGTTCAGGACTCCAACTCGGATGAAAGCTTCCACTACAAGCCGATGTTCGTGCATCACCAGACATCATCTTCGGATGAGCAGCCGTCGGTGGCTGACGAGACCGCATCATCATACGAAGCTGCGGAAGAAAGTAATCTGGGCCTGGGACTGCGCTCGCGGTGGAATCAGAGTGGCGTGTCGACCGGGGTATCGCAGCGGCAACCCAAGCGCCGGCGCGACGGCGCCATCATTTACTACAGCGGAGCACCCTTCTGCACCGACTTGTCCGGCGATTCTTGTGGCCTGTCTCCCGAGGCACAGCCCCAGGTCAACCTCAACGACCGGCCGCAAGTCTACCGTTCCTCGTCGGGGTCATCTATCCCATTCAGACCGCTCAGTGGCTCCGCCACGTACGGTAGCAAGATGAAGCCTGATGGCTCCGACTCATCAGAGTTGACGTGTGATGAGACCGACGATGAGATTGAAGCTAGTTTTCCCTGGGCTGACAACGCTCAACGAGCACCGTTGCTAAATCTCGAGGCCAGCGGTCTGGGAGGCGTATACCCAGATGATCATTTTGTGCTCGCCGTGTCCACTCGACGGCCCAAGAGAGCCAGCTCAGAATGCGACGACAGCTCTGATGATGGCAGTTCATCACCCAGGCGCCCAAGGCAGCTTGAGCGCCCGAGCCACGACACAATAGCGTCGAAGACGACCACTGATACCATTGCCGGTGGCCTGGCGACCATGACCACAGACTCGCCCTCATCATCACACGTGTCGACGACCCAGGAGCCTTCGGTTGAAATTGAATATGTCGGTGCCAAGATCCGTCGACTACCGCCTGTGCCACTTCCACCACCGGCCTTCTATCAGGCGAGTTGCGATTCGGATCTGGATTCGGACGATGACGACGCCTACGAAGACGAGGATTCGCAGGACCTTATCAGACGTGACCGCGCCGTGATTGAAGATGGCCCATTTCACGATAATCGTGATCTGTCTGGAAACGATGAAGAAGACGAACATTCCGAAGACGAACATTCCGAAGACGAACATTCCGAAGACGAACATGGCTATGATGCTAGCGGTGATGCTTCCCCAGAGGATGGCGACAAGTTTGGATGCGGGCGAGGATTGTCAGATTTGTCCAAGATGGCCACTGGCAGTTCCGTAGCTACTGCCGGCGGCGCGGCCAGCGGATACAACAGTTCTATGGAAGATGTATGAAGTATCTCGGGCCTTTCACATCTACACGTTTTTGATAGCGGAGCGGGTCAAAGGATGCATTGGGCAGGCGTCAGGATTGGGCTTGGAATTTTTGGATGATACCATATCGCGAAATAGGACGGCGTTTTCATCATTGCCACGATACCTACGAGATGCGATGACTCTCACGCAGCTTAAAATCATGTATAGGTTGGCTGTATATTCACATATCACGTGAAGTGGTTGTCTGACCACTTGAATGTACAAGTCTCTTGAAGTCCTGTTCTCATTTTCGTGAATGCTAGTCCATGATTGCATGGCTATTGTCCGATACCTGACGGGCGAGCGAGCAGTGAATATGACGAAGATGCCGACATTGTCCATCTGCTAGCAGCCTAGTCCATATCCTCCGAATCCATCGGAGGCCCACTGGGAATGAAAATTTGAAGTCATGACTGGACTGGGCGCCGTCCGGCTTGTGATCATGCTACTACATGTGGGTGTTAAGGTTGTAAGCATGGCATTCATAGTTGCGTGGCTAGGCAGGGCCTGCCCATGCTTGCCTCGGGTCTCTTATTCGGAGGTCTCTACCCGGGTTACTTCTTCGCTCGGCTCTTCATTCAATCAGTCCACTCGGTTTTTTTGGGGGGGGCGTTGTGCCCCGTGTCATCGTCAGTCGCTGCAGAAGATGTAGTCGGCGGCACTAATTGTCTGTCCAAGCAGCTGGGTAATGAAACCAGAACAAGAAAAAGGAGAAGAAAACCATTCATTCCTCTCACATTGGCGGCCGCGTGTGAGACTCTGTCATATAGGTGAAGCGGGCAGGTGGGTGGATGCATGATAGAAGCAATCCGGTATCCCCAAGGCGCTGTCCACGCGACAGGTGGGATGGATGTCCATCAGTAAGATCCGCCATCCTACTCAACATGCTCGTGGTCCGCATTAGACACAGGAAATCCCTTCTGCCTCGCCAATACAGCTCGCTCATAAACTTCGTTGTCCCTCTTCAACGCCCGTACGACCTCGTCCCTAGGCAAGGCCCTCCGCCCACCAGCGGGGAAAGCACGATAAACCGTCGGGCTGAGAATCCCCTTGACGCAGAGGTCGTACAGCTCGCGGTCGTGCCACCACAGCCGCCAGGCGCGACGGTTGAACATACCGTTGAACTTGCCCCCGAAATGCTCGAAGATGCCGGTACCGGCCGTGCTGTCGAGCCAGGGGAGCATGACCTCGCCGGGAAGCAGGCCCACGTAGAACGTGCCGTCGTGGCTGCCGCCGTACCTCCGCATCAGCGCCTCCCGGTGTCTGAGATTCGCCGCGTGCCAGGCTAGCATCTCGGCGTGCGGCGGCAGGCTTCGGACCGCCCGCCAGACCTGGCTGACGGCCATTGCCTGCAGCTCGAACTGCACCAGACCGGGGTAGAGGAAGGACGCCTGGCCGAGGAACGCAAGCGAATTCCGGGCAGCGGGGTCCGAAGCCAAGGGAAATATGTTCATGTACAGCCGGGGTTCGTGTCCGGGCCCGTCGGGGAACGGGTGAAAGGGGGATGGTGCGGTGGTGGTTGCCGGGTCTCCTCCGCTGGGGTCGGGTGTCGAAGACGGAATGAGACTCGCCGGGATATTCTGGTTGTAGCCGGTGCAATACAGTATCGTGTCAATGTCCCGCAAGACCCGACCATTGGTGAGCTCGACCGTCCTCGGGCCAAGGACCCGGGCCACAGCCGGCACCGGCTCTGCAAAGCCCGACTTCAGAAACGGGTAGAACGTGTCGGCGCGGAAAGGCGTCGCGGTGGCTATGGATGGTCTCGGCGTCAACCCCCACTCATCAGGCAAGTCTGGGAATGCCTTGCTGGACGTGGCGTCCAGCCTTCGGTCTACCATGTAGGTCCACAGGCCCGGCAGATGCGACTGGAACCAGTTCTGCAGCATCACCAGCGGTAGCCTCTGAGCGGTGTCATAGGCCTCGCCCTTGTCGTTGTACCGTGGCAACATGAGCAGGCCGTGGCGGTGACTGAGGTAGACATGCTTCGCCGACTCGGAGAGCACGTTGGTCACGTCCTGCGCAGTAGCATGCATCCCAATCACCAGGACGTTGTCGCCGTTGAAGGGCTCGGATCCGTGGAAGTCGATGCTGTGCTGCGTGTACGTTAATATCTTGTCTTTAAACCCGCATGGCAAATTTCTAGATGAAGGGACCGACAAAACTTTTTCTCGAAACCAAGCCTCAGGGTCTTGTGATGGGATGATTCTACACGTACGAGCACCTTGCCGGTGAAGTTCTCGATGCCGGCCAGTTTCGGCCGTCGAGGGGTGGTGAAGGTGCCGGTGGCAACACAGACGCGATCGAAACGACGAGTGCTGATCGTGCCTGTCTTCGTGTCCTGAACCTGCAAGATCCAGCGATCTTGTTCCCGGAGGATATGCTCCACCTTGTGGTTGAGGTGGATGTGTTCTCGAAGTTCGAAATGGTCAGCGTAGCCCTCGAGGTAAGCATGGGTCTGCGCAGCTGTGGGATACACATCGGCCTCCTCGGGGAACGGGAAGTCGGAGATTGCTGCTCGAAACTTGCTGGTGTTGAGGATGGTCGTGGCAAGAACGGATATCGTGCTGTCATCCGTGTCTTTCCACAGACCGGCAACGTACGGCCTTGTTTCGAACGCGACGGCCTCAAAACCATCCTCTCTAAATTGTTTGAGAGCCATGAGGCCCAGGGCCCCAGCCCCTATGACAGCGACTTTCTCTCTTCCTGTCATGATGATGGTACTGATGATGAACGCGCGCGATATTGGTCTACTCCAGGGTGAAAGGGAGATGAGACGCTCTGGCCGAGAAATATTCCAAACGAGGAAGAATTAGACGTTTAATACTCAACCAGGGTGGGCGTACCATCCAACCGCGAGGGGAGCTTCACCGCAACATCTGGCTCACTGCCGCTCGGCCCTTCGATAACACGCCATTGTTGAACGGCACTCATGTCTGCGCCCCTTATTAAACTGGCGGGTTCATCAAAAAGAGCGAGACAACATGCTGACATGGTGGTTCCGTATCCGGTAGAACTGCTCGTTGTAGGAATGACGCTTATGTGAGCGACGGGCTGTGATAGCACCATGCTGACGTCTCGGACAGAGGTGACTGCATATCTGGTAGAACTGCTCGGTGTAGTAATAGCTGGTCAATCGCTTCAACGCTTCAACACGCTGTTCCAGCACATCAATCTGCCCAAGGGCTCACACCGGGTGCGTCCCGGTATAGGGTTTCTTAGTTGGGTCATTACTCGGTCCATTCCAACTCCGGTGTTCGGCTTGGTGCTCATACTTGGGCTCTGAGATGATTAGTATCATACTTAATACCCATCCCTTCCGTGGTTTTTATCCTATTGAGTTTGAATATTCCACAGCAAATGCCCTGTTGTGGCAGAATCGAATCAATTGGCGCATGGCTCGCGATGACAAAGCTCTTCTCATTGAAAGCACCCTGGAAACCAGCCGACGTTCGTCACTCGCTCCGGAGGCCCCTGTTCCACGGCAATTCGTCATGTCTGCAGCCAGCCGAGCTGGGCCGCTCAGGTTGACTGGCAGGCCTGATTGACCCCAGTCTCGGACGGGGAAGTCATTCGCTGGCGCTCACGATCAAGCGACCATATTTCTCACTCTCACTTGTGGACGGAACGACGAAAACCCAAGAGAAGCTCAGAAGGTGAGCGCCAACGGGTGCTTGCCATCTTAGATGTCTTCTTCGTGTCATTCTGCTTCTGGTCTAACCTGCCATCGAGGGTGGTTGGTCGCGGAAGACACAAACATATTGGGTTGCACGCCGGTCCCGTGCTTGTTCCAGGGAAATCGATGTAAGATTCGTCAGACAGAGGGTGGCGAAGCATGCAGGCGGTCATCGTGCTTCTCTCATATAATTGCGTTGTAACCTGTGTCTGGGTGTTGTCCTGCCGTATAATGTGGGCTTGAATTCCCCCTTCATACCTAGGTAGTTGACGTCGTGTAGTTGATTACTACCATTATCGCCTGCTTCCTCCAATGCCGAGAGACTGCCGCCATGCGTCTCATGAATACGGAGACATTGACGCTCGAAACCCACGATAGGCAGGAGAAGCCGCCGTATGCCATCCTGTCTCATAGGTGGACTTCGGAAGGCGAGCTCCTGTTCGCAGATGTCGAGTATAACGAGCCTTCGGTTTGGCTGACCATGCCGGGCGGTAATAAGATCAAGAAAGCTGCGTGAAAGCGCGCAAAAAACGAATACAGGTACATCTGGATCGATAACTGTTGCATAGACAAGACCAGCAGCTCCGAGCTTACCGAGTCCCTCAACTCCATATTCCAATGGTATCTGAGGGCCGACGTCTGTTATGCGATCCTTGACGACATTCATGGGGAAGGGGACCTCGGGTCCAGTAAATGGTTCACCCGTGGCTGGACGCTTCAAGAGGTCGGTACCGTTCATAAGGATCCTTCTACTGGTGGGGTAATTAGCAGGAACTCATCATTCTCACCCTTTGACACAGTCATGTAATATGCCTCGTGGGTTTGCTTCTGCTCTCAGGGCGCTCTTGAGAGTCTGCATGTGCAAGTCTTGCTGAAATGAGCGCGTGTACTAGCTCGTCACACCCCAGAATGTGAAGTTCTTCAACAAGGACTGGGAGTATATCAACGACCGCTTCTCAATGGTCGCCACCCTATCGTCGATTACCGGAATAGACGAGGAGGTATTGAGACACGGGCACAACCCGATTCCCGCACAATGGGCAGATCATGTCATGAAGAAAGATCATGTCATGGAGGAAAACTGGATGACGTACATTTGCACTTGTGGCGCCCAGAATCACAACCAGGACATGATTCGTCGAGTTCTCAACTCCGTGAGTACGGCAACGATCATGTCATGGGCATCGAGACGCGAAACGACGAGAGAGGAAGATTTGGCGTATTGCCTGAGTGAGCTCGCCCCTGGTCTGACGTTTTACAGGAAGGCACTGACCTCTGACCACAGTGGGATTATTCGACGTCAACATGCCCCTTTTCTATGGGGAGAAGGAGAAAGCCTTTTATCGTCTGCAGGAGGAGATCATCCGACGGTCTGATGACCAGTCAATCTTGGCCTGGTGTGCGACTGTTCTTGACGTTCCTGAACGCGCAAGTTTGCCAAGCAAACCCTCCTAATTTCGTCAGATCGGCATCAAGCCTCGGTGGAGCCTCAAGGGCATTTGCGGCAACGACGACGAGACGAGTGCACGCATACTTGTTCTTCCAGAGGGACTACAAGCGAACCTGCTGCTTTGTGGTTTCGACGCTTCAACCTTGGGGTTGATGCCAAGCGAGTTATGCGTCCTTGACTGTAAGCTTGGCAGCAATCCCTTGACAAGGCCAGCGATTATCCTCAGGCAACAGCCCGGATCCGAAATCTATGACAGGCAGATACCTTTCGTCATTATGGCAGTGAAGCCTGGGAACTCTACTGACAAGGGTATCTTGTACGCTGCCTCAGTTGACGAGCGTGATGATGGTGAGACGTTCACCGAGCAAGTCGACGAGAGTGATGATGGTGAGTCACCCCGATATGTGTCTAAAAGAGTGATCGTCTTGACGTATTTTCAAGATGGCAACCCGAAATACGAGCCGATTGATTGGCGTGAGTGGCAGCAGGAAGTGGATCTCAGAACCGCGCAAAGGAGGCGGATCATTATCTCGAATCGCCATATATACGCTGATGTCGACAAGGTGCCCCATCTATATGGACTACCACCACCGCGAGTGAAGGATGTCGTCGACTGTGACGGAGGCCAGTGGAGGATCAAGCACGTAAAGCCCGTGTCCAGTACTTACACAGACAGAGAGGTGTCTTCACCTTCAAACGACGCTAGGGGCGTTGTGTCCCTGGTAAAATCCAGCTCGCAGTGACTTTTCGTCGATTGGTTTGCATATGGCAACGGAGGACAAACCTGCAATATCCGTCCCTTTGACCAAATGCCGGATAGGAATATTCCCCACAAACCAGATCATAGAGCGATACTGAGGTTTGGAAGCGTGTATCGAGACCTCAAAGTAGTTATCAGAAATGCTAGCTTCCTGTGCAAGGCGCTGCTGGAAATGGAGATCAGTATCAGAGTGCCTTCTGGTGATCCGACTAGGATTCCATATTATTGGGACAAGTGGGTGTACGGAACCTGACAGCAAGGATATCTGTTAAACCTCTAGTTAGCTTGTATGCGCCCCTTCTGGTTGGAGCATCTAAAGTGGCCCGGTGTATTTACCTAACTTACCATGGAAGAAAGAAAAATCCCATTAACAACGTTAATGCACAGTTTTTGACTCGATCACGGACCGCAAATGCCTCTGAAGTTGGTGTTGTAGGATGGAGGTTCGGGTGTGGGCCCAGCTGGCCTGTAGAACCACTCATTCTCAAGACCCAACCACTTGAGGGGAAGTACGCTCGCGAACGGTTTCTTACCTTAGGTAATCAGTCTGCCCCACCCTCGAATTTCAATTGTCAATTGACCTCGCGCTGCCGCCCGCTGCGGCGCTGGTGATGAGCTCTGCCCCGCTTCAGCCTTTGCCCACCTACACGCCAACACACCGAAGCTATCATTGCCGAAATTTCTAGTTCTACGACATCTCCCTCCTACGGCTGAACCTGATTGTCGAATTGCCTCCACTCCTTTCCTTCGGCGTGTTCCTCTCCTCCTGGCCTGATGCCGAGGGTGAAGGGCTTTGGAAAGAATCTGTAGCATGTCAACTAAGGGCAAGGAGACGGCAGCCGGGTACGTTTGAACCACGGCATTTCCAAGCCGCGGGCTTTTACTGATACTTCGAGTTCGTGACGTAGCCAAGATCCCGCGCCCACGAATCTCCGGGGCATCCCCTTTGCGCCATTTGTCGACAAGGTCGAAGACTATGTTTCGTCCAGGAATGAGGTCGAAGCGACCTTGCGAAGCTTCCAGGAAATGATATCGTATGTCGCTCCCCTTTTGGGACCATATGCAGGCGTTGTTCGGGGGAATGTGTGTGATGCGGTCGGGTGACTGGACATTGATTGGCTGATATCGGCGCTCGCAGCAAATATCAGTTTATGGAGTTGAATTTGCAACGGCGAATTGCTGGGCTGAATGACAAAATGCCCGATATCCAGAAGACCCTGGAGACAGTTCGATTCCTCAAGACAAGAACGGTAGGCTATTTCGAGACCGCGCAGAGGGCCCACGCTGAAACGAGAACGCATGGCAGGACGACTCAGACCCGATCGAGACGACGTTCGAACTCAACGATACCCTGTTTGCCAAAGCATCTATACCGCCGACGGATGAAGTGTATCTATGGCTAGGGGTAGGTCCAAAAGCGCATGGCTCGCACAAGACGCGGTCCTCACGGCGGCCTTCTTGCTGACAATTGCTTGATAGGCCAACGTGATGCTTTCATATCCCATCGACGAAGCTGAGACGCTTCTGACATCCAAGCTCTCAGCTGCAAAGCAGAGCCATGCCAACTGTGAGGAGGACCTGGATTTTCTGAGAGAACAGATCACAGTGAGTTGGACTCTTGCTTTCCGGTGCTTGTCGAAACACATCTAACCGTCCGCACTTTTAGACCATGGAGGTTGCAATAGCACGAGTGTACAATTGGGATGTTGTCCAGAAGCGCAAGGAGAAAGCCGACGACGATAGTAAAGAGAAGGAGACTAAAGCCGGTGGTGACCAGCCGGATGGGTGAAGAGCTGGAGACAGGAAGCTAGGATGACACAGGATACAATGCTGGCAGCCCTCTCGAGGTAAAGCTGATGCATGACTGGTCCTAGGGCCCGGCTGAGGCATGAAGCGAGGTCAAGAAAGATGTTGATGGTACAAATGCCGTATAATGGTCCGCATCTACCTACCCTCAGGGGCGTCGCCGAATCTGCCACAGATTCACCCCCTGCTTCTGACCCGCAGGAAGTCCCACGCATACATAGGTTCTACGATTTGGGCGTCCGATTTATGGACACTGTCATCACGAAACATGCAACTTCCAGCAAGCAGGCATAGGTGGAATCTACCTAAGGTACCTGACGAATGATAAGTTACCTTGATGCAGGCGAGGAACGAAGTGAATGTTCTGCAATTGCAATAGGGGGAGACTGGTCGGTGAATGCTTATGTAACACAAAGCGTGGAATCTTTTGTTGCGCCAATGAGCGCCAATGAGCGCCAATGCGGGACAAGATTTGGATGTGGAAATGACGTTGGCCCACTGACGGTTATCCACTCAGACACACGCCCGCCCACACATGCCCATCGTTAGGTACATGTAGGCTACGGGCTAGCCCACCGCCCACCGCCCTCTGCCCAGATTCTGGCAGATGCCCACAAGGCCTGGACCCCGCCACGGGCATTACTACACCTTGACTCGGAAAATCACAAGCAGCCGTCTCCTGACCACCTCCTATGCTCGAACCTGAAGTTGGCCCAGGCAGACATCAGACGGACTTTGGTATCCCTAGAGCAACATCCTTTTCGCTACACGACCTGCCCAAGCGTCGCCCTCTTCGTCTCTGTCTTTAACGGAACCCACGCCTACATTCCATCTTTCCGACAAGGCAATCATCAATCATGGCCACCGCGACACAGGACGCCATGGAGTTGGACCCCAAGTACGACCACTATGACTTTCCCACCGCCACCGCCGAGGCGAGACCTGGGCTACCAGGCCACTTGACGAAGGAACAGCAGGCTCAGGTCAACCAGCTCCGCTTGATGCTCGAGAGCGAAGGCGCAACACAGCGTATCGACACCCTGACGTTGGTATGGCAGACCACCTCCATTGGTTGTGCAATGTTGACCAAGGCTGTTACAGTTGCGATTCCTCAGGGCCCGCAAGTTCGACGTGAACGCGGCCAAGAATATGTCAGCAAGCCCAACCCCTTCGATAGCCATACCACATCACATCTAACGAGCCACGTCGGAACAGGTTCCTCGAATCCGAAGAATGGCGAAAGGCCGTAAAGGTCTACGACTACGATACCAGCGAATACAGACTACTCTCGCTCGAAGACCCAGTGCCCACCAACGCGAAACATAGCGGCAACGCTCCCCCGCCAGCCAAGGAACCTATCAACCTAGACATGTCCATCGCCGATTGGGACAAGGATGGTTCCTTCAAGCAGAACCTATCCAAGTACTACAAACAGTTCTACCACAAGACTGACAAGGTATAGGCGGCCCCAATTTGTCGTCATGGTTCTCCGTAACTAAATTGACGACTTCTAGGACGGACGACCTTGCTACTTTGAACAGCTTGGTGGCGTTGATCTCGCGGCTCTCCACAAGGCGGGCTTCACATTCGACAAGATGCTCTTCAATCTAGCTGTCGAGTATGAGAAGATGGTCGACCCTAGGCTGCCGGCCTGCTCGCGCAAAGCCGGGCACCTACTTGAGACGTCCTGCACGGTCATGGACGCTGCTGGGCTGAGTATATTCAACCCTGGACAGTTTGCAACCTACATCAGAATGGCATCTACGATGAGCAACGCCAACTACCCGGAGCGCCTGGGCCGTATGTACATCATCAACGCAGGCTATATCACAAGCAAGATGGTTTGGCCCCTTGTCAAGGGGTTTTTGGATCCGGTCACCGCCTCCAAGATCTTCATTCTGACCGGCAGCTACAAGAAAGACCTGCTGGCGCAGATTCCCGCCGAGAATCTGCCCGAGAAGTATGGCGGTAAGTGCAAATGTCAAGGCGGGTGCGAGCTCAGCGACGCCGGCCCATGGAGAGAATCAGAGTGGACCAAGCCTGCATGGTGGCAGAAGAAGGCGGACGACACCACCATCGAGAACAAGCCCACCGAGATCGGGACTGGCAATGGCGCTGCCCAGGGCCAGGTCCAAATTGCTTCATCCGACGAGCTCAATGCACCTGCACCAGCCGCTGCCTAGAGGAGGATGCTTGAACGCAGGGTGGTATACATTAGACGGAACCAGCTCTAGGATTGTGTTCAGATTTCGATGAGGTCTTCATCTCAGGCGAGATGAAAGTTTGTCTGCTAGCCGGGAACGGAGCGAATACGTAGGAGTGGGGATCAGGGACAGTAGGCATGGTCTTGTTTGGTTCCCATTGCATTTTATTCAACGTCACTTCCAGACAGATGTTCTCCACCGGTTCGATTGGGCTCGCTCAACATGGGCAGAAAATATAAAGCAGGCAACGGACACCTTTCGACTTTGAGGTTTCTATCCCATCTCGTGAATGAGTGCTATCCCACGCCTGTGACGTCGGATCCTACCAGCTCGACGGACCTTGTCGTTCGTTCATCACAATGCAGGATGACACCCCCAAAGAGGTAAGCTTGTGAAGGCCGACCGCCAGACAGGAAGCATCTGCAGTATGAAAACACCTCCAGTGTTGTCACTGTTCTCGACGTCTCGTCACACAGGGCAATTAGCTGCGTCGCAAATCTTGGGTAGGTTCTCATATCTCGTGCGAAAAGACCTCGCCAAAGAGCCAGCCAGCCAGATATAAAGATCGGATGGGTATCAATTCCACTCTCTTCTTCGTCTATGCACCCACCCACCTATCATCCTTTCATCTATAATTCATTCACCCATCCACCCATCCATGTAGCGATGTAGTGATATAGCGATGTAGCGACATGCCTCAACGTTGGGTAACCACATACTCGCCCGCGCCCCTCGCCCTCTCCATGCGCGCCACCACGGCCGGCATCTCCCTCTTCAGCCTGCCCAGGCCGCCGACCGCGCCCGCGTAGGTCTTCTCCACGTCGGCTTGTCGGTCGAGGCTCTTGATGTCCAGACCAGTACTGGCACCACCAGCACCACTACCACCACCACCGCTGCTACCACTACCGCTACATACACCGTCGCCATTCGTAGCTGCCGTCGCAGAAGAAGTGATAGTAGCCGCATTCACAGCCGCCAGCGCCTCCTCGTCCTCGCGCACGCCGCGTTTTGTAGTTTCGGCCCAGGCGCCGGCCGCGGCGCCCGGGGCGCTCCGTTTCAGCTTGGCGATCTCGCCGAGTAGTTTTTCTTCTTGCGCCGTGAGGTCCTCGACGCGGGCGCGCTTGCGGGCGTCGAAGGGCTCGTAGACGACCTCGGGCTCGGACGGGTTAGTGGTGGAGGAGGAAGAGGAAGAAGAGAGGACGCGCGCGGTGTCGACGTCGAGGCCGTTGATGGAGAGGTTGGGGGCTGCTAGGGTGAAGGTCTTGGCTATGTACTGTTTGTTGCTTGTGGTTAGTGGGGAGTCGTTACGGACCGGAATGACCAAACAAAAAAGAAAAAGGGATCTTGGGAGATTGTACAGAACAGATGCGATAAGGGGATAGCCGAAGAATGGAAATAGAACAAAGGCAAAAAATCAAAAATACAAAACATACAACACCGGGGATTCGCTGGTCGTCACCGACCCAACTACTAATCCGGCGGTATCAGGCTTATTTAAGGCAGAGCGGACGGGATGCCAAGTTCTCCTAATCCTATGGTCGTATGTGGTAGATTAACCTTCTTTTGCGACTTATAAACCCGGCCTGTGCCAACCCCTCCCCGGCACGATACTGGATAGGTATTCCCGCAATTGGCCCGGACAGGGCGAGGAGTGAGCTGGACGGAGGGTCGGACCGCCAAGGATCAAGCAGGGGCCCTTCCACTGAATCGGATTGAGGAAGTGTTGGAGTGCCATGAGATAGATGGATATGAGATGACATGACACGAGGTGCACTGCAGCCAAAACGACGGCGGCAACAACAGCAACTTTGCTGCAAGCAAAACAACAGAAACAGAATACAAAGCAATGAGAAACGGAAGCATAAACATACCTCGTTCACCAGCTCCTCGATCCGCGTCCGCAGCTCGTCCTCGCCGTGCGCGCCGTCGACCATCGGCGGGAAGGCCTCGTCGATGCGCGCGGCCGCGGCGCGTCGCACGTTGGCCAGCAGGTAGGCCAGGTCCTCGGGCGTCTGGAGCTCTATCTTGCGCTGCAGCGAGGCCTCCATCGTGGGGCTCGGCTTCCTTGCCTGAGGTACTGACTGTGTCTGCTTTGGGGCGCTTTGTTGGTTTTTGTTTTGCTTGACGGTCGGAGTCTCCTTTACTTAAATGATTGGTTGGAGACCGGAGAGGTTTGAGTGAGTGAGTGATGGATGAGTGATGAGGGAGGGAGGTTTGTTTGGTCGAGTCTGAGTGATAGACGCTGCGGGTTGTTGCTTTGTCGATTTGCTGCTTATTCGGAATTTGTATTGACGGTTGATCGTGTGTACGTAGGCGTCGCTGGTTTCAAAATGGGTGGTGATATCGAAATGTACTGCTGCTGCACGTGTTTATTTGCTTCAATGTTGTTTGACACGCCGAGTTCAATTGAGTGAAGATTGTTGACTTGGAGGGGCAGGTACGGCTTCTTGCATATGCCCACTTATCTCTACAAGTCTGGTTGTGGCTCCTCAACCCCATTTCCAGCCACAATGACAGATGGGTCACGAACCAGGTACAAGGTACCTTGGAGCCCAACTGGTAGATAGCTACTTCTGGGACGGGGACACCACCCATCCCTTCTACCAATCAAGCAACTTCCAGAATACAGACCAATAGCCACCATTCGTGACCCTGGTCCTTGTTCTGGATACCGCCACCACAAGGCACATGGTTGTCAGAACACTGGTTACGTGCATATACTAGATGTCGCCAATACCAACTTCGCAACCATCAGGATAGGATCATGTGTCGATGCACTTGAATCTCTCAGTTTTCATCTGTCTGTTTTCCATATTTGTTCGGCACTGAGAAAGACGTACTTCCATGTGCGGACCTTCGTATGTGAAGTATGGCTACCAAGACCTCCTTCGATGAGCGCCTCAAGCAAGTCATATCCTTCCTCCTTTCCCTGCCTCGGATGATGGTTTGATAACTCGAACATCGGTTTGGAGTTCGGAGTAATGGATACAGACTATCTTGATGTGGTTGTTTCACAATATTCTCAATCTGGGTGTCCAAGGGAAGGAAGGGCGATGAAATAAGGCACCAGTTGTAACCCAACTGAAGGAATGTTCGTCAACCCAACCGTCGCAAGTGTGGTGTGGCGGATTCGCGGTTTCTATCATAGAAACATTATTCGTAAGATCAGTCCTGATTGGAGGAGCGCATGACCCTCCATACAGGTGTCATCTCACTCCATCTGCCTCATCTTTTTGCTTCACCCCTCAGACCCGCCCTTCTCTAGTATGTAAACCTCAACAACCTCGTCCTCCTCGCCGATCTTAAGTAATGGTACCGATTGTAGGACACGGTATCGCCAGCCCTCCGCCTTCAGCAGCACGAACAGGGCCTCCTCAGACTCGTGCCTCGGCTTGGTTGCGAGGAGGACCGTCGACTTAATAGAAACTCCATCACCACCACCGATGCTGCCCCGCTTCCGCTTCTTGTTTCTCTCCTTCTGTCCACTCTCCTCTATCTCTTCGGTCTTTCTCTCCCGAGCAGGTCGAAGGTTCTCATTGACAGTATGCAGCGCACTGAGCGTCCCCACGAGCGCCGGCAGCGAGTCGACATTGTAAGTGCAATCGCTGAGCACCACAAGATCCCAGGCCGTCGACCTCGTCAGCGGGCCGAAGCGGCCATGGCTCCCCTCGTCCCAGTCGAGGTTCTCGTACTCGATCCGCGGCACCGGTGGTGGTGGTGGTGGTGACGCAGTATTGTCCTCTACGCGCTGCCTGTACCATGAAAGCGACGAGATCGTATCCCGTGCGCTAGCGATATTTGCGCGTGCGCGCTCCTCCGCCTCGGGAAGATCTGTGAGCAGAACGGTAGCGGCTGGCCAAAGCCGCAGCGGCATTTTTTGCGTGGCGAACGCAAAAGGGAGTATGGCTGCGATGCTGAGGCCCAGGATACCGACACCGGTGCCGAGCTCGAGGACGTTGAATTTATCGTCCTTCATTTCTCTTTCTGCCGCCCTGGCAAGGATATGATGTATAATGCTGCTCTCGGCGTCCCGCGATCGACAGGTGTACCCCAGGAGCGCAGCGGCCACCACCCCAGCATCCCAGACGTGCCGCGCAATGCTCTCGCCGATGTCCTCACCGAACTCGAGGGCCACGTCTTCGCCCAACCGCAGCCGCCGTTTCGACACAGGCGCGCAGATGCCGTTCACGATCTCTACGTTCGCCGGCACGACGACCCCGCGACTTTTGTTTGCAGTAAAATTCGTCCTTGTCACATCCGTACTCTGCCTAGGTACCAAGTCGGCCGTGTGCAAATCGCCCAGCGGCGGTTTTTGCGCCGCGGGATGGATGCTGACGGTGCAATTGAGGTCTTCTTTCCTCTTGAGCAGATACGGCTGTAGCCGAAGCTTCAAATCCAATACGCGCATGCCGGCGCGCCATGTGTACCGCCGCTCTGGCTCGAGCAGCAGTGAGGTGGGGCCATGGCTTTCATCTGTTTGGCTTCCGCCCCCGTCTTGCTCTTGACATTCGTCTGAACCATGATGCAGCAGAGACGGATCACGACGACCCTGCACTGCGACGACCAGCTCGAACGGCTCGTCGTCCGGCGGGCACAGGAATGCGTCGCCCAGGTCTGTGGTTATGGTGATGAGGAGGGAGAGGCATGGGGACGGAGGGTTCCGGCGGTCTGGCGACGACGGGTCGAGTTTCGCCGGACGCAGGAGGCGGATGTAGTACATCTCCTTATTAGGTACATGTAAGATAGACAGGCCTCGGGCAGCCGGTGAAGAGACACCGGGGAGTTTCCGGGTGCCGGCTGGAGTCGGTGAAGATGAGAGCTCGGGTGGCTCTGCGACGTAGAATACCGTAGAAAACGGTCTTCGCTTCCAGCGCTAGCTCCGTATCATGCTAGGCCAGCTCGGATTGACAGTTCGTCACACCGAAGCTGCTGCTGTGGTAGCACCATTGCTCTCAAGAAGTGAATACATACATCGCTAAACAAGCATCGTCAGCCTCTCAAACTCATCAGTGAGAGGAAGTCTTGTCGCAACCCTGGAATTGTCAAGTATGGGTCACCTTTGGATGAAATCATAAGGAGGCGTCACGCCGGACAGTCAGTCATCAGGCACGGCATGCCAACGGCAGTAAGCGCCCCAGTTCAGTCTAATCTCAAATGAGTGCTAGTCGAATAGACTGTGTGGGCCCGTCTGCATGGGCTCATCCATCCGATACCGCAAATCGTGGGGTAAAGGATGAACATTGAACGGGTACGTACCTAGGTACTGTGGTCCTATCCACCCGATAAGGGACCTCAAATGGAGGGGTGACGATCGGGATCATGGGAACTTCATGTGATTACAGCCAGCTGACGAGTATAGGCGATGTGCTATAACCATCATGTGTCTACTTGCCCGTGCTCAGTGTTTCAATTCCCAACGGCCTGACCCTTGGCATTCTTTGATAGCCCACCAGCTAACAGCTAACAGCCAACCTCCATTTGCATTCCAGTCCCGGTGGGCCCGCCCTGTACACGTGGTGTTTCGTGCTGTTTTTTGGACCTGTTTGTCGAGGAATGTCTTACCGGGAGAACCCGGCTTGGCCTTTTGACTTCACAATAAGATGGAATTTGGCTACCTACCGTATCAGGTATGGTCTATGCTGTTGGTTGCAGGTGTTGGACACTAGAGTGGCACATTAGCGAGTTGGATACAGTTACCACTTGTAAGTCTTTGTCCGTCATGCTCCAGTCAACTCTTCAATACGAGTGCTACATTTGTATTAATGCAATAAGCGTCCTGGAATAAGCAGTTTTAAAGAAATAAGCCATATTTGATGCTTATTCCAGAGCGCTTATTCCGTTTATAATAGATGTGCTCCTCACTAACTGAACGAGGGGTGTACGGAGACTTTGGGAGGTTCAGTGTAACATGGACTTGGCGATATCTCGATCCCTTCACTGAGAACCTACAAAAACATGTCAAGAGGCTTGTTATACGTTTGGCTTGTTCTCATTAAGCTATGATAAGAGTGAGGAAAAGAGGACCGATGTAGCACCTGTGAAAATCATGGCTGAAGCAACTCCATCGCCCATCCTCACCATACAATAAAATAGAGGCGCCCGAGAGCTGCCAGCGACTAACTCCGGGCTCCCTCCGTGCCATGCCCTTTCAGTATAGTGTACTGTGCTATGATAAAACAATTCCGTCATGTATCGTGCACTGCGTGTGTAGTTCAGGCAAGTCAAGCCAGCCTCGTTCAACGCCTACCGTGCGAGTGCAGTGTGCGCCCGCTAGGAAATGTCGAGACCAACGGCCCACAGTCCATCCAGGAAGTGTGATAGTCCGAAATCCAGACGCCGTAGTATTGCGAAAATGGTGAGGTATTCTTGCGAAGCCGTGGGTGTATCTATGAACGAGGAAACAAGTGAAGCAGTGAGCCGGGCTGCCATCGTGTGGGACCGTAGCTCGATTCCCACCGACTGCTGCGGTGTAGATGGTCGATCAGACACAGGAGCAGTCCACCAGAAGGTAGTTCCGTCACGGCAACATTCTCTTCAACTCCTCGTCGCTGAGTCGGATTTCGTGGACAGGCTCTCGTCGGTTCTCTAAAGGCACGTAATCGCAGTCGACGTAGGAGGGCAGGAAGATTTCGGGATTCCACACAAAGCCTTGGCTGGAGGCGAGGTAGGAGATCTGCTCCATCGTCACTAGTCAGTATGGTGACTCGAATGGGGGCGGACCAAGCAGCTGGAAGCTCACCAATCGAGGGGGGCCGTCAGGGTCGCCAATGTTGATAACGGTGCACTCGTCCTTCGAGAAGGCTGAGCCTAGGTAGCATGTAAGTCAGTGACAGGGCAGGGCAGGCATGTCGTCGTCGAGCTGTGACAAGGGCACTATGGGTGGTATGACTCACTGAGCATGCTGGGCCGTCGCTCATGCACTGTCTTGGGTTTGTGGGAGGACTGCGACGGCGACGACTTGCTGAGACCTGGAGTTTGGGGAGAGCTGGAGTAGGACGACGAGGAGCTGGTGGCAGTCTTGGGCGAATCCTCATACGTCGTCGCCGAGGATCGGGAGGCAGGGATGGCAATAGTCGACGACATGGTATCGGCGGTGGGACGAGCCTCGAGGTACCTGAGTTCGGCGCGCTCCCACGAGGCGAATGAGAGGCAATTCACAGACTTCTGAATGGTGACCACAAGTTGACGGCGGTCGGATGTGGAAGAGGAGTACGACACAGAAACGTCAGACGGAACAGTGAGTGTGAATTGTAGAGGCAGAGAAGACGAAGTGGTGAGCTACAGACGGACGGAAGAGAGAGGCGAGGAGAAGGCGTCTCTTCAACTAATAAGAGAGACACAAGAATGCTGAGATGGTTGGTGATCTCTGAGGTTACCTCAGGGCCGGAATAACATTAGTAGGGCAACGGATGAAGAAGGCTCAGGTCAAATGCAGAGTGCAGAGTGCAGGTTGCGGTATGTTGTTGCGGGTTGGAGGTTACAAGAGGTGAGGCAGGTGGTGGAGGCGGAGGCAGCCTGTCGGGTGTAACTGTACTGTACCTGGTCAGTGGTAGGCAGTGAAGCTATTAGTGTACTGTGCCGGCTAAGAAGAAGCGCACGGTACATTGAATGCATGCGCTTTGCAAGGAAGGCCTAGTTATACTCAGTGCGAGATGAAGTGTTAATACATGGTGGGTCGATGGGCAAGTGGGCATCCCTGCTGCATGTCTGGTGTTGCAACAGCTCGGCTAATCATCTGGTTGGGTGGGCATCTTGAGTCCAAACTCCAAAGTAGAATAACTCCGTCTGGTCCGTCTATCGATTGCATTGTGCCCACCTGCCTCTACGTCTGCATATCTACGCCCCTTATCGCGACTGATGACGGTGGTGTTGAACCCCGAGGACTACTTATTGTCCCCGTTCCCAACCTGAGAGATATCAAGGTGACGAAAGAAAGGAGGATCGAGGCTCCCTTTATTAAGGTAGGCTACAGTAGATTGCTGGAGTAAGCGTATTGATCTGCTCTTTGCAGGAAATCCAGCCACAAAGAACATCACCGATATCACCGATATCGGATCGTAGTTCGGGCACGAGTACCATTGCAACAAACCAACAAACCACCACATTTCCCATCTAATAAGCTCATCACTCCTTCCAGGTTGTTACTTGCATTCCCTCTTCGACCGGAGCCAACTATCTGATGTTAGGTAATCTTCTGGGGCATTCACCTGTGCGACTCTGCAAGCGAGAAGACGGGTAGGTCAGAGCCCAACAGCCAACAGCCAACAGCCAACATTCACTGTCAGTCAGGATTCGAGATCAGACCCTCTCCTGCATGTGCACCGAAGGGACCTTGAAGTCGTCCTCGTTCCTGAACTTGACATCCTCGATCATCCTGTCAAACACACCACAATGCACCTTCTCTACCTGGGTTGGGTAGGCACGCTTCCACGTCGTGAAGTGGGACTCATCGAACAAGTCATCTTTCGACTCCCCATGCCTGTGCCTTGCATCAGCATCTCTGTGGGGAACGGGCGAGATTATGGGCACAACCCCATCTCGACTTTTGAGCTCAGGGAGGCAGAAGTAGATGGAGACGACGCGAAGGTACGTGGCAATGGAAAATAAGTGGGAATGTTGCGTAGCCCATCTGCGTTGTCATGCTGGTGTCGCAACAGAAATCCTGTCGCAAGATCGGCGGCCTGGCTATGCTGGTTCTCGGACTTCCTTGCGCTTACAGAGGTAGTTGGTGCTCCAGTTTGTGACCGGGCAGGACGACATGCACACATATCAGATTCTCGCGGGAAAGGTCTCAGCCGCGACGACGTCTTCGAGTATCCGAGCAAGCCACCCATACGGGATCCGCTAAGTAACAAGAACAAGAAAAGGGGAAGTGGAAGAGAACACCGATATGGCGCAACACTATGGCCGGACGACAGCCAAATGCAGACCAAGATTCAGATGGTGCCAACTATCCCGCCTGCGCTCCTATCCCCACCAACCTCGACGAGGCGGCGGCGTTTGCTCGCGTTCTGCGCGGGCCCCCTGAATATTGTGAGGTATATATATCCTGGTGCAAGCCGATCAGTCGACATAGCCACCTCAATATGGTGGCGCAGCGACAATATACCATTGTCTTGGCCTTGCTCGACATCGGCCTGCGCATATATTCCCAGATATCCACGTTCCCCATACGGGTGGTCCTCCAGTAAGTCGCGAAGCTTGCAAAGGTTTCACAGACCGACTTCGTGCTTGCCCTTGTAAATCACTGCTGACGGGGATCCCGCGGCGGCCGTACTCACACCAGATGAGCATGAACAGGAAACGTCCAGGGATAAGCTTGATGTCCAGAGCGAGCTGCCACTGCGTCTGGGGTGCATGGGGTATTCTGGTCACCAACTGACAGCGTAGTTCGCCCGGAAACCGATGGCTGACGCTAGGATCATGAGGTTGTACGACGCGGTCAGCTAGCCTTGGACCGACTTTGCGAGTTCTGTTGCGGTGCACTAGCAACGTCAGTCTACTTTCCTCGTGACGAACGACGCGAGATATGAATCCACCACAGCATTCAGCTTGTACTTACGCCGGCCAGGTACTGAGGTGCCAGCATCGAAGTAGCACCGATAGCAACTGTGATCAAGAGTCCGCCGGCGTGAAGGACGTCGAGCGGGAACATCCTGCACGGCGCAACCGACGAGGAAAAGCAATGCATCGATGTCACAACTCCCTTATGACCCAGGTAGTCGCTCAGGGGTGGGCGAGAAGGACGCCGCCAGCGCCTCCCACGGCTACCTCACCGTGTCAGCGACACTTGGTAAACTTGATACACTCGAGGTGATGGCTGGGACTTGTACGTACGCATTACCGGAATATTGCCGGGTCCGGTATACTCTGATCTATTTGAGTCTTGCCGGTCTCGTCCGCTTGGGCTTCTGACGTCGGTACCAACCTCCTCTGCCGTTCAAGGGTCGAAGCCGAACGCGTAATTAAAGCTCGCACGCTTCAGGGCGCCCCCGATACTCCCTTGGTCAGAGCCAAATGAACATCCAGCGAAGGCCACGATGGCGCCCAACAGCAGCATGTGCCCCTTGGAAGATATCCCGCGGGTCGTTCTTCCAGTCGGGAGACGCCCAGAGAAATATAGCGCCGCCATGATGGAAGGAGGATTCGTGGCTGATATTTACTCGAGGGTGCAGTAGGAATTTGCGCAGTTGCCGGACATAGGACCAGCTGCTCCATCAATACCTAGGAGCACGGAGAGGAACAATGACTGACAATGTAGAGCCAGGTATAAGTAGCCGTCGTACACTTTTATCCCCACAGACCAAGATCCCCATCATCGCTATTCTAGAGTCCGGCCCATGCGCGCCCGAAGTTCCAGTCCAACCCCACGGGGTTTCTCCTTCCCAGGCTGGGGATCGGGCGGTAGTGTACTTGGCATCTCACGATGGCCTGTCGCAGCGACACATTCGCTAGTTCATTAGCTTGTGCGGGCGGCGAGCTGGGAGCACAGCAGGTTGACCGGTCCGGTCCTTGATTTCATACGCCATGTCGACGCGGTTCCGTCGGTGATATGTCCGGTCGGGCCACCTGGTTGCGAACTCTCTAAGAGTACGTTCTTCGGAACCGAGGCGCTTGGGATGCGTCGATGCTGAGTGTTATTTCTCGGCTGTTGAGAGTCACAAGCTGCTTCGCCGGGCTTGGCAAGGAGGACCAATGTGGATTCTTACCGAATATAGAGGTTCGTGCTCCTTCGTAAGACGGCTGACGGCGTCCCTCTGGTAGGAACTCTAATCAAAAGACCCAAGGTTCAACATTGAATACCTAGGTATCAATAAGGCAAGCCACTCGAAATCTCGGCCCAAGAAAACAGCTCTTGACTCTCAATCACACTGCATGATAAGATGCCCTCGCCGTCAATCCCTCTCTGGCATTCCTCCTTCTCCTACCCACCAGATACCCATAGCCAAGACAAACATCAACTAGTTCCGATCCTTTTGTCGCTCCTTCGTCTTCATCAGAAGGAGTGACTTCACCGATGCTCCTGGATCCCCTGTACTGGACCCTGCCTAATTATTTAAAGGCTCGAGGTGGAGCTGAAACTGGGGCGTGGGATCGCCGTTGCATCATTTCGCGGCCCTGCCGTGCCAGGAGGAAGCGCGCGGATGTACACGTTACCAGTTACCCGCCACATCGTCTGAGGGACTCTAGCCGCCACCCAGGTGCTGTAATCCTATAAACACCTCTCGTCCCATAGCCATGCGACGAAATGTTTCTTAGATCCAAAGCATGCAGCTCTAAACGTTGCACCATGGACCACGCCAGACCCCTTCTTCCCCGGTCCCACGAAAGCGAGCCGTTGACTCACCACCACCATGGCCGCTACGAGGAAGGGGTGAGCTCCGAGAAGGTCTCGCCCGCAGACGGGTCGCGGGACAAGATCAAGTGCCTCGACGGCCTCCGCGGCGTTGCCTGCTTCCTCGTCTTCAACTATCACTTCCTGTGGCCATGGACGCCGCTGATCATGCTCGGATATGGGGCGAGGCCGCCCCGTACCCTCGAGCCCTACGACCACTGGTCTCAGCTCCCCATCATATGCCTGCTCTACCGCGGCCGGCCCATGGTTGCTATCTTCTTCGCCATATCGGGCTACGTCATCTGCCGCCACATCTTGAGGTCTCTGCACCAACGGCGGATAGATAGTACTTACAAGCTACTGGGCTCGGCTATATTTCGACGAACTTTCCGCCTGTACATACCCGCGATTATCAGCATGTTCGCCGTTGCCATGCTCGCCCAGACGGGCGCCTTCAAGTCGGAAACGGACATTTTCAAAGGGCACGACTCGGTCTACATTAACGGCACTATTGGGACATACTACGGCAATGTCAATGCTTCCGCGCTTTCGGGGAAGGACGAGACCATCAACGAGCATGGGACGACCTCGATCTATATGGGCACTATGAGGAATACTCTGGGTTTCAAGAAAACTTTGGGGCTCGGACCGACTGTGGACGCTGCCGATATTCGGAACGGCACTGACATATTGAACGGCACAGTGATTTGGGACGGTACCGATGTCTGGAACGACACTCTGCCTCTGAACAGCACGGCGTGCAATCAATGCCTCTGGGTAAAGCTCGGGGGTATGTGGGAGGAGCATCCCATCATCTACCCCGACATGATGAGTGCGCTGCAGAACTTCGCCGTCGTCGTCTCCGAATGGGCCAATCCTTTCACGTTCAACGGCTACTTTCCGCGTTACGATCCCCATACGTACACGATGCCCATGGAGTTGCGCGGTTCGGTAATTCTGTACACCCTCCTGCTCGGCACCGCGGCCCTGAAAGCAGGGTGGCGTCTGGCCATTGCAGTGTCTCTGGCCATATACACCCTGAGAATGGGTCGATGGGAAGTTGCCATTTTCATAGGCGGCATGGTCCTCTCCGAGGTCGACGTCCTAAGCTCCGCGGATCCCAGCGAGTTAGCCGAGGCCGACAGGATCTTCCTGCCGGAAGGCAGGAAGCGCGGCGGGCGTTTAGCGACGTGGCCTGCCAGGCTGCTCCGCTACGCGCTTCTCGTGGTAGCTCTTTACCTCCTGTCGTACCCTGACGCCCACGCTAAATATACCCCCGGCTTCCGGCTCCTCGCCTCCTTGGCGCCGAAGTACTACTCCTGGGACGATAAATGGCGCTTCTACCACTCCATCGGGGCCCTGATCCTGCTCCCGTGCGTCCTGCGCAGCACCAACCTGCGCTGGCTCCTCGAGACCGAGCCAGCGCAGTATCTCGGTCGCATCAGCTTCTCGTTCTACCTGATCCACGGCCCCGTGCTGCACAGTCTCGGGTTCTTCCTCATGCCGCGGCTGTTCGAGCGCGTGGGCCGGGCCCCGGCGTTCCTGGTCGGATGGGCCACCTTGGCGGTTGTTAGCTTGGCTTTGGCTAATGTCTGGTATAAGCGCATTGATTCGTGGGCTATAGGCGTCGGGAAGAAGGTCGAGCTGTTCATGACGAAGAGCTGGTAGGAGTTTGATTTGGCTATATGGCGGCGTTTGGCATGGGGCGTTTATAGGTGCGGTTCGGCTTTTGGGACGGTGCATAGAGTTGGAGTATTTGATCTAGATACCATTGAATCTCGCGGGCTTGAGCCTTGCATTATCCTTGAAACTAAGCGGTTACAGCAATTGTGTAGCGATTCGTACCGTGATGGGCGGCTCGGGACTACGGACACGAGCCGGTCCGCAGGCGATCAGAGCCTCTGAAGACTAAACAATCACTTACTTCAAGTCTACTTGTACCGTACGTTCTGCCCCTACCCAGCAGCTTTGCGAGGTACTTACGGTCATACCGGAACCTTGCTGATACGACTCAACCTATAGACCTACAGCATGAGATTTGGCTCTTCACTCTGTAAAGTCGTCTGCACAGGAGCGCGATTGCGGCTAGTGTACCGTCCCGTATCAGATATGGACTATGGAACTCTCACTCTAACATTGATCAGAACTGCATCTATTCCTTCTGGTGTTGTGTTCCACCTTTACTTACAACCACATTACTCATATCTACAAGCTTGATCTGAACTACAACTTGGGCGCTACGAGCCAAGGTACGCTTGTGGGTGTTGATCGCAGATAGAAATCTTGTGTGTATGTACGACTTCCTGTGAATTTAGGAATGGTTTGTATCGGAAGGGAAGCAGGATAGCTGATGAGGGTGCCATCCTACTTCAATAGGTGGGAAAGGTACCTCTGACGGCCAACGTTATATGCGATCCCACCGGATGACACATATACTGCTCACAACAGGGCTAGATAAACCACAACAAGGCTAGATAACGCCACTGAGCACGTATTCTGACACTCCCCGAATAAGCGGAGAACAGCGACGAAGGTTTCGTTTGAACCTTGGTAAAGTTCACGTTGTAGATATAAATTAAGAGGGTTTAGCTCTCAGGAGGGAGTTCCACTTCTTGCAGATTGTCGTGGCTGAACCTAAATATAATAGTATATAACTCACTACCGTATCTCCATTTGCTTGGTTGGGACGCATAAAAACTCAGCCAACCCATCCATACTTCAGCGCCTAACCCCCCCTTTACCCAGATCTCACCATTTACCCTACCTCACCCTTCACCCAGATTGAACGTCAATATTGCTGTTCAGCACCACCGATCATGAATTCCCCAAACCGATTCGACATACTGTATTTCCTACCACGCACGAACCTCGGGTCCAGAGCCCCGACGGAGCGAAGTCGTGAAGTCGCCGCATCAGACAGCCAGCCGGCCATGTCATCGACCGAAGCCGTGCAGGCCCTGCGAGAAGAATGCGCGTGCCCGATCTGCCTCGAGATCTTGGACAACCCCGTCACGCTGGTGGACTGCAAGCATACCTTCTGCTCCAAGGTACGCTATTACCCTATCACATAGCCAACTTATGCGAAGTTTTCTTTGGGTAGGAGATGGCTGCCGTCCGAAAGCGCAAGAAGAGAAACTAACAGGAGTGTACCAGTGCCTGCTAGAATGGGCCACAGCCTGGGTACCCAATCCGAGAAACAGAACCGCGCTCTTATGGAGACGCGTCTCGTGCCCTGTATGTCGGCAACCAGCCTTCACCTCGAGTGGCAGAGTTGGGCCAGTCGTGTTCCCCGAGCCGCTCCTGAGGGCAAGTCGCCCTGGAGACATGCAGTTGGGTCCGTCGTGATGCGTGAGAGATGCTAACCTACGAGCAGGCGAACAACGTACTGGACATCCTCCGGGCGGCGGACAAAGACGACGGGACACCAAAGGCGAGGCTGTGGACAGCGACGACGGGACACCTAAAGGTAAGGCAGTGGACACCACCCAAAGTCGAGGCAGAGGTATCTGAGGCCGCAGTGCCTGATGACCCCTGGCGTGTCGACCGCCGCGCATCGTGGTTCGTCCGCGGCCGGATCAACGCCGTTCTCCTGCGAACCGGCGTCCGGGACCCTGCTGGCGTCGCGGGTCTGACGCTGGCGTGTGTTGTCGTACTCATGCTGGGATTAAAGTACTGGTCGGCTGTGAACGCGCTGGAAATACATAAGAACATTGCAATTCTAGTCAAGTGGTGGTGAACCTGGGCGAGCTGGCTAGTGTATCGGTTGGGACACATCATTGGCGCCGCAAGGGCAGCTCGACCTCCTCGTGCTCGTGCCTGGAGCCTGATACCAGCAGCATGGGCTGGGCAATGGCGTGATTGAGGGTAACAACCGACTTTGAGTTGGAGGCCTTTTAGCTACTCGTTGAAAGATGGGCTTATGGTTTCCCTGGCTAATGGACAATTGTCTGCCAGGCTGCGGTGGACAGGAGGAGTATTGTGGCGACCACGCTGCTCAGAGTATATAAGTAACGCCGCTCCATATCTCGTGCTGGTGCAGCGACTTACTGATTTCCTTGAATAGTCCAAGATGGTGTGATTGACTGAGCGAGGACACCTCGCGGTGAAATCCAAATATGAAAGGCGCAATGAAAGCCCCCAAGTGATAGCTGAAGACCTTCCCGGGCCTTTCAACTCCACTGAACATCGTAGAACTGGTTGACTTGAGACTCTCGTCTGCGAGCGCAAGCCGGGGTCCAGTGTGTTAGGATCATGCGCTTGTTCCTTGGCTGGGACGTAAAAATTAGCAGACTATCATCAACGATGCACTGCCCAAAATTGGCTCGCTCCTGGTCGGCATGTATTTGGCGTCCGCCAGTGTGCAACCCACGGCGCCGACAACGAAGTAAGTCACTTGGATGCGGCTGAGCCTCCTGGGGTGGGGGGATATAAGGCGGAATATGAGCAGAATTTCCAACGCACCAGAAAGATTCAATGCAAGCCTGCAAGGAATTCCTTGTACAATCTTATCTGGCGGACTGGTTTAACCAGTGTGCTTGAGGAAAACCACCACATTTTCCGGAGGTTGCTGTAGTGCTAGACCACAAATTTACAGCCCAAGTCCATTAGGAGCCTTTCTTTTTGTCGAATCCCATTCCCGGGACGAGGCGGGTTCGAGCCTAGACGGAGGCTACTTGTCCTTTTATCTTTTTTACCGTTTTCCATTTCCTTCAACTAGACTCACCCCATCCCATGAGCATTGCCGTTAGCAACGATACACTCCCGGGCCTACCCTGGCGACAGGCTTTCATCATCTGGTACAATCGCGGCCGGTGGTAGAAACAATCTCTCAATCACTCAACCAGATTGGTCGAGGTATGCAGTGGGTGTCCCTTACCAATTCTTGCGTAAGCGATAAGAATATGTCCGTCGCTAAACACAGCATCGGTGCTTGCCTCACGAATATGCGGTGCTGGAGGGTTTTACCACTGAAGAAATGGACACGGTTCGATGCGGAGCTTATAGCATGCAGGTCGACAAAGAATTGTATCGAGACTCCTATAGCTTCGGTGCGTCCAGTCATCCAGGCCGTTCCAGCTGCAGGGGAAACAGAACAGACCGAGAGGGGTGCGGGTGAAGCCGCTGGGGCTTGAGATCGACTCTGTCAGTCGAAGTCTTCCCATACCGTCGTTGTGGTTCAGACTCCTTCCGCTGCCCGGTACGAAGAACACAGCCTTTAGGCTCCACCGGGAAACGAAGAACAGCCAGGTAGCTATAGCTCGGAAGCGCAATGCTGGTACTATGATCCCATCGCAGCAACTTGTCGGTTCACCCCCGGCTATAGTTGGATCCATGCGTCAAGAAGTCTGTCTGCCTTCAATACCAGCCGGGCGACGTCGCAGATGAGGTCGCCCGCGGGATTGATTGGGCAGGGACCCCGGGTTCGATCAGCAGCTGCCGGACACTGGGTATTCCCATTGGATTATTGAACCGGGTCGCCTGCACTGCGCAGCTGAGGTGTGCATCGTGTGCGTCGTTGTACAGAATACGAGGGTTTGCCCTGCATTTCCGGGCGGTTCGTAGCCAGCAGTTGTCGTAGATCATTAGAGCGTCAAGTTGAAGTGACCACCTGCATGCAGGTGCTGAGTAGTAAGACATCGACGCTGGTGGTGGTCCAAGCGTTTTGCATGTCCGGAAGAACTCAGCGGCCTTGCTTCTGCCCCGGGCCTAAGCTGAATCGGGTCTGGCTCAGGTCTGAAGGCTGCAAGGCTGGCGACTGCTCTTGGCGCTGTGGCGCTTGGGGATCTGCTGCTGAGCTCCGAGCTGCCTGGCTGCACATGTAATCGACCATTCCTCAATCTTCTACACCCGACACCTGCTCCAATCACAAGCGTAACGACGACCACCTCACCCAAGGACCGCACGCATACACCCGAGCGACCGTATTCTCTAAACGCCAGCGCAATACTGCATTCTCTTCAGACGTACCTTCCGAAGCAAACGAGCAAAGATGGGTGATGTTATGGTAGATAACCCGGCCAACACCGTGGCGCCGCACAACAAGCCCAACCCGTCCACCATCTCTAGCATCGAGGCCATCGAGGGCATTCCATCACAGGGAGGAGACGAGTATGCCACATTAAAAAAGCTACAAGGCCATCTGGAGTACATCCAGCTGCAGGAGGAGTACATCAAGGACGAGCAGAGGTAAGCCCTGGGCACCCATTCTCGATACGGGCGACCCATTCTGACACAGTACATCAGGAGCCTGAAGCGCGAACTCGTCCGCGCCCAGGAGGAGATCAAGCGGATTCAGAGTGTGCCCTTGGTCATCGGTCAGTTTATGGAAGCTATCGACCAAAAGTAAGCTCCGCATCCGTCTTCCCTGTGATTCGCGTCTGACTAGCTCCAGCACCGGAATCGTGCAATCAAGTACAGGCTCCAACTATGTCGTGCGCATCCTGTCCACTCTCGACCGCGAGCAGCTCAAGCCTTCCTCCTCAGTTGCCCTCCACCGCCACTCCAATGCACTCGTCGACATACTGCCTCCCGAGGCCGACTCGTCCATTGCTATGCTAGGCGCCGATGAGAAGCCCGACGTGACGTACGCCGAGGTTGGAGGACTGGACATGCAGAAGCAAGAGATCCGCGAGGCTGTCGAGCTACCTTTGACCCACTTCGACCTCTACAAGCAAATCGGTATCGACCCGCCGCGCGGTGTCCTGCTGTATGGTCCTCCAGGAACCGGAAAGACCATGTTGGTCAAGGCCGTGGCCAACTCGACAACCGCCAACTTCATCCGCGTGGTAGGCTCCGAATTCGTTCAGAAGTATCTCGGTGAGGGCCCGCGCATGGTTCGAGATGTTTTCCGCATGGCCCGAGAGAACTCCCCAGCTATCATCTTCATCGATGAGATCGACGCCATTGCCACCAAGCGATTTGATGCCCAGACCGGTGCCGATCGAGAGGTGCAGCGTATCCTGCTGGAACTGCTCAACCAGATGGATGGTTTTGACCAGACTGCCAACGTGAAGGTCATTATGGCCACGAACAGAGCCGACACCCTGGATCCCGCTCTTTTGCGACCTGGTCGATTGGACCGAAAGATTGAGTTCCCCAACCTGCGTGACCGCAGAGAAAGACGTCTCATCTTCTCCACCATTGCGAGCAAGATGAGCTTGGCGCCCGAGGTCGACCTGGACAGTCTGATCGTGCGGAATGACCCCTTGAGTGGTGCTGTCATTGCCGCCATTATGCAAGAGGCTGGCCTCCGGGCTGTCCGCAAGAACCGGTATAACATCATCCAGGTCGATCTGGAGGATGCTTACTCCAGCCAGGTCAAGGCGACGAGCGATGAGAACAAGTTTGATTTCTACAAATAAACTCGAGGTCAATACTGTTATCTCCCATTCCGCAGGTGGATGGATGTCTGGGAGCCGTCGCTGGGAAGAGGCTCTCTTGCGGCGAGTTTCTCCGAGGAGGCATAATTGAGAAAGCTCTGACCGCGGTTCCAAGCAGAGCCGAATAGCGGAAGCGAGCATATCACTGTACACTGTACCATAGCAATACAAGCAAGATGACGGCGTTTCTTCTGCGCTAACTGAAGAGCATAAGGGCTGATTCTTCGAGCAGGTATGGACGTGTCGTACGTGATATTCCTCGAACATGAATCGTTTCTATATCCATCCTGTGAGAAGTTACTGGAGCCACTGCCAGTTAAGAAAGAGCCTCGGTGACCCATTCTCGAATTGATCATCTAGCCCTATGTCATCCTGGTTGACTGTATTGCCCAACATTCAACAGTCCCTTCCCATTCTCTGCGCTCTTCGCCTTGGCTAGCTTACCATCGACTGTCATCGCTTGCCAGCCCATCGTGCATGGAAGACCGTAAAGGGATCTCGGCTTGTGGGCGTGTGGCACATTTGTCCCCGCTTCTCATCAGGGTATCCTGTGCTTGGTTTGGCGGCTATTACTTTTATGCTGGGAGTTCTGTTGATACTGCGGTAGCCTTGAGTGGTGGTTGTGCTACATAGCGAACACAATCTTCGGGTTGTTGGACAGCAACGTCCAGTCTTCCTTTCTTCAACTGTGGGAATCACCACGGAGAAACGACCTCGATAGTCAGACGAGCTTTGAAGGAACGAAGGGAACCTATCTGCGGCGAACATAGCACGCGAAGATTATAGCCCGCTCGATGATGGTCATCATCGTGATAAACAGCCTGTGAATAGCATACAGGGGAATCATGAAACTAACTTCAAGGGATGAGGGAAGGATAGTGTGGGCGCATGTCGGCTGTCATGTACTTGGTTACAGGTTACAGGTGGAATTATCACTCAATTGGGCTTGGTTAATGCCGTAAAAATCACAGTCACATCTCTTGGTCTTTGGCTACCGTGCTGCGGATACGCGGTCTCATAACCCGTTATTCGGCGGCCTACTCACTCACTCACTCACTCACGGAGGTCATGTTCGACGACAGTGAGTAAAAGACCATATTCCCCTTCCCGCATGCGCAAAGGGGGATATTGCTGTTGACAACATACCAGCTGGTGCCGGCCGGTCAAATACGACGGCACTCTGGTCGACGAGAGTAACCCCTATGGGTTCCCGTGGGCAGGCCTGGATCTTGAGTTGATGTACGTCTTAGCATGGTTTATGCGAGATTGGATAATGGCACGTCCGTTGAATAAAAGACCGCGAGGTCCGGGCGGTAGCGGAAAGCGGGCAGTGCCCGGCGACGAAGACATTGTGACAAACCTGGTGATGGATGGGTGGTGACGACAGCAAAAAGGGAAGGTAGCGAGAAATATAGAGGAGTAGCTGATTCCGTAGACAGACAATATCCTGCCACAAATCGTGTTAGCCACTAGTGTGTCGTGTGAAGCGTTCACTGTCCACGAACCGACGAGGCGGGTTCAGAAAGGGATATTTATATATTCCGATCCACGTATTGGCGACTTCGGGGGTATCTAGCTTTTGAATGCAGTTGTCTCTACTTTATACTATCTACCTTCCTACGTAATCCAAACAAGCGTCTTGATTCCACACAGCGAAGACGGCACTGGCTCGCCCTCGACCCCTTCCTTCTTATACGCCGACATCGCCCACGTCACGCCCCTCAGCATGAGCACACACCACGCGGCCTGCTAGTCATTAATATGTACGCCCTGGTCACGCTCGAGCGGATTATGGACCCGCAGACGTGTGAGCTCTCCATCGGTAGGCACGGGCACAGGAGCATGATGACCTCGCTGCGGTGCATGGGACGGAGTGTTTATTCCGCGCCTATCTCCTCGCATACCGCGGAAGAACAACGGGAAAACCCGCGGAACATCTGGCGGGCTGCACGCCAATGTGCGTAGAGAGGCAGTCGTTTTCTTGCGGTCATTAACAACGAGCCCGAAGTCGCGCTGCACGAACTCCTCGTCGCCGGGGACGATGCCGCTGAGGATTTGTCGGCGGCTTGGCTGGGGATCAGCTGCGAGGTCGTGCGCTCGCCCACGGCGACGGAGCGCAGAAGATGCCCAGCCCGTTGACGTGCACTGAGCTTAGACTGTGGCGGCCTGTATCTTGCGGCTCTCGGGCTCGAGGGTCCTCCAGGCCAGTGACGTCTTGGCAGGGGCGGAGTCAGGTTGGGCGACAGGAAGTACAAGTTTCACTGCCGAGGAATGATACCCACGTCGGTTCTTGCCTGGTTCTGTGCCTTTCGGTACAATGCGTGGACAAAAGTCTCCGCCCGATCCCCAATTTTACCCCTTCCATCTACTATACCCTCCAACTCAATTGAACCATAACGCATCCAATTCTGGTGATAGAATTCTCAAATAAATTTTATTTAATAACTAAGTCAATAGTGTGTATACCCACCACCGGCGCGCCTCACTGCAGCTATTCGGTCCTCCAGTGACTCCATCAAGGCCCGAACCTGCTCCGGATCGATCTCTGACCACGCCTGTTCAATTAACTCGTGTGCGTAGCGATAATGGGGGATATTATCCTTCAATTCAGAAAATTCAGGCTCAAATTCACGTATGTTCTTCTTCAGAAGTCGCCAAACGTGCTCGATTAGGTTCATATCGGGGCTGTGAGGAGGCCAGTCGATACAGTGGATGCCGTGCTCCTCTATCCACTCCGGAACACCGCCAGTGAGGTGAATTTTCGCGTTATCTTGAACAAAAGGATCTCCAGCCTCGTAGAACAGAAGCAGGCCTTCCTCAAGAACCCATTTGTATGACTCTGCGGATACTCCTCCGCGCGGAGCATCCGGATTGAGTGGGCAGAAGACCAATTTGCCTAGTCCTCCTTCTCCGCCGCGTAGCCAGATCATAGACCACACCATTATCGAAATACAAAATTTGCCGTGATCCGTCTCGTTCACGAGATCATAACGGTACCGCTCTGAAGAGAATTGGATGGCCCAATCGCCTGGATTATCAGATGAGTTTTGGACCGTATATTTGTCTGAGAACATAGCTCGCAACAATTCCTCCAGGCGCTCTAGTGTACTATAATAATTGGCAAAAGCGATCCTCTTCTGAGCGTCCTTATCTGTGAGCTTGATTCGCTTTGCTGTGCGCCACTTCTGGAGGCCGTGTGTGTGACATATCCTCTTGATAGTCTTGGGAGAGCACGAAACGCAGGCTTCGTTTCGAATCTTCTGCCACGTCGCCCTAGGGAGCTCTCTCGCCTTTTCAATCACATGAGCGCATTCACGACTATTCAAAACGGGTGGGCAACCGCTCCTTGGGGCAGATTTTGGTATAGAAGTGGCCTTAAAGTTAGTAATAATATCGGAGATGGTTTTTAGGCGCTTCGTTTTAAATGCAGTTGCAACATCCCTATGCGTTCTGCCGTTGATTTGCACCGCCACGATTGCCGAGCGAGCTTCTGAAGTGAATTTGCCGTTAGCGACGCAATTACCGCTTAATTCGTCCCCAAAAGATCATAAATCCATTATCAATTGCGGTGTTGAGAGAGTGGTGAAGTCGAAGGGTGATTGACACGTTGTTTTGATCTGAAGGAGATTGTGGTGGGTCGGGCGGAGACTTTTGTCCACCCAGTTTACCCAACAGTCAGTCTGGCCCCATCAGACCCCGTGTGGCCCCTGGGATTTCGCGTCGGTTGAACAGCCAGGCATCGCATCGTAGAGACCGCACTCGCTCGGCAGTAGATCGGGTGCAGGAAGTGAGTTACCCGCAGGACTTATATCCATATGATCAGAAGTTCACTTTCTCTAGACTCCTTGGGCATCCGTCTGTTCATCGTCGATGCGTTGGTATTGTTTCCTTGCACCGGTCTCAAGACTCGAATGTGCCTCAAACACAGAAATCAACTCTGCTCAACTACGTGATATATACTATCTCCAAACCAAACATAATCACATACGACCATCTATCTATACCAGAAATTACACGAGCAAGCCATCCATAAATTCAACGAGGTGTTACGCCGGAGCTACCGCATACTTGGAACGGACCTAGGCATTGTGGCTATTTACGCGCACAGGAATCTGGGCTGGATCTATGAGGAGCTGGACAAGATGGCATCGGAATTCCATTGGATTGCGGTTGCTAAGGCTGCGCTACGGATATGGGGCACAGAGACAGAGAAATTTGCGTATTTTGCGGCTGAGGCTAAAGGATCATTGCAAAGACAGAATTTTAAAGTATGTTTGTATGTTTGTTTTGTATTTAACGTGGGGGATTGCTCCTCAGTAGTGCAAACCACGCCTCCCAGAGCCTCTGCATCGCAGGGTTGTGGAGGTATCAAGATAATAAGTACAGTCAGTCCCGCTCACGAGCCCATCCCCGTTGTTGCGGCGGTATGACCTTGGGTTATGATGAATTTTAAAGTAAAGACTTGGATAACACGGTATTTCTTGGTTGACTACAGTGAACAGACTTAAATCACTTGCATGATAAGCTCTGTTTATAATGGCAATATATAAAATGATTTTCTAGGAGGGTATAATCAGTGGCTTTCATATATGTATAGTATAGCTTTATATATTATTGAATTGAACTGCATGCCAAAGATATTTATATGTGAAATCAGTTTCTTATTTTGTTTCGTCTTTATAACCACCTTTTTTATTAGATATATATCCAAAGATGCACTGTTATCTGTACAAAGATATAAATCCTAAACCAGTGAGGCTCAAGATACATCTGATACTATAGTACCGTGGCCTTGTAATTTCTCAGCTAGGGCGCAGTCACCCTGAGTAAACCGGTCAATGAAATCCTTAGTTGCCTCATAAAGCATTACATAAAAATGCTCAATACCATCAACCGACTTTAGACTCGCCCAGTTCTTGAACCAGATGATCCTTCTTTTCTCGATGTCAGCGCGGACAGATGACGATATGTCCTCAGAGGGGGAGCCCATCTCAAATTTGGTCCAGACAACTAGATACGTTATGTCTATATCGATACCGTAGGGCCAGTCGTTCCAGAGAATCTTGTAGTCAGACAGGTTGCTGAACGGAGTATCTTCCGACAGCATGATAGAGGGCCAATAAAGGCGCTTCTGCTTCATATAATTTAGCATTAAATTATGAGTCTTTTTGATATTAAACTTGAACTTTAAATAGCGTCATAGGTCACTCAGGACGCGGCAAAAATTGCCGATATCGTTTTGAACTAATTTCAGGATATCAGCAGGTACAGTGCAATCGAGGTGAAAGTAAAGATACAACGGACCAATGATTTCCTTTACCTCTTGCCACGAGGTGTGCCGGTAATCCTCGTCCCTTGTTGACAGAATGCCCCGGTCTTTATCTGATATGTCCAACAAGAAGTCTGGACACTGACCGGATCTTTGGTCTGTCGGGACGTTCACCTGCCAAAAAAGGAGCTGGGGTGGTCCTCCAGCATGCTGTGAGCTGGGCATGGCGTTCCTGGGTGCCAGAAGAGAAGAGTGCGCTTTACTGGGACTATTAAAGAATGAGTTTGAGCGAACAATGGCCCTTGTGGAAAATAACTTTGCAGGTCCAATGTAGTGTAAAGCGGGAGGGTTGTAGATCCCAGCCACTGGATCCAGCCACCAGTACCTTATCGGATCTCCTGTCATCCAGGGCGTTCTACGATAAGGTTACCTAGGATGGCTGCCCTAGGTAACTGGTACCAACCCACTGTAATTTAGGTATCCCATCCGAACAGAACCAAGCACCAACTAGAATACAGATCATCCCAGCCAAGACTTGTGATAGATCTCCGTTCTGGTTCCGCTACCACAAAGGCACAAGGTTATGAGGTTAATACGAATCATCATGGTTGGGGGTCGGTCCTTGCATGACAGTCTTTCCAGAACATGCCTGGGGATTCATTCCCACACCCCCATACGGAGGCCGGAAAACAAGTATGCTTACTAACTCTGGTCCGTTCGCGCTCTGAAGAACCATTCCCCCACACCCTGTAGATCATTTCCCTACACCCTGCTTGTCCGGGAATTACTAGCCCATTGTGGTGCGTTAGACTGCATCTGCCACAATTGGCCAGGATGTGGATAATGTTGGATTGAACGAAGTTCAGAAGGCACCTTTCCCGATTCAGCTCACACTGACACCAAACCTGAGTCACGGTCGGTCGCGTAAGAACGCGCATCTTGTTCGATGTCGATACCTAATTCGGCATGATGGGAATAGGTCTCTTGAACCACTGGCCACGGCCTCTATCAATATGCGGATATATTCATATAGTTGGTTTATAGCTATTAAAACAGGTATAAGAAAACATAGTTTTAATCCCTGTCGCTAAGATGTTCATGTAGTAGGAAAGGTAGCTAGCTACACCGAGGGCACTGTATATGAACGAATCAGAGGCCATAGAAGTCACTAATCTGGTGGTGATCACCCAGAAAGAGGGTGGGGTGTGCCTACCAGTGACCGGGGTGGGAGAAGCAAGATGACTTGACGTAGGTTTCTGGCCCACATAAAGCTAGCCTAGCCGGACCCATAAGCACCACCACTCATTGTCTCCTCTCGTCCCCCCTAGTCCCCTCTCGTCCCCCCCTCGTCCCCTCTCAACCCACGTCCCCCTCCTTCTTGCCCTTTGTAGAGTCGACCCCCTTTCAATCGAAGGTTCAGAGATGTCAGACTGTCGACCCTGCAATACATGTAACAGACAGATCTCAAGAAGTAACTTTGCATGCCACCAACAACGGCATAATGAGACACATCAGATAACTTGCAAAATCTGCGATGTCATTATATCAAGAAAGAGAAAGAAAAGGCATATTAGAAACCAAATATACAAACACAATGCATAGCAGAAAGCATATCTAGTAAGTGATCTTATTCTTTAAACTACAAAATATGGGTTTTATTATCTTTTTTTGCCTTGTTAAATACGGTTTGTAAAGACCAGCCACCTTTCTGATCTTTAGCCACTAACAGAAGCACAGATCATAGCAAACCCCCTGAAAGACGAGATAGATTTGCTTATACACAAATTCCTTAGCACCACGGGTGGCCTTTTATTGTATCTATCTTCTGCGTACGCGAGGGAGATCGAGAGGACTGGCAGACTGTCAAATCTCAATCCGTCTAGTGAGACAGCGGTGACTCGGAACTGGGCTGGCCTTGGGTTACGATATCCCATGCTTTTTCCTGCAGTCGAATGTTGGAAGGAAAAGCCGTCTTCAGAGGATTATCTTGCAGACCTGCTTCATGGGTTTCGAAAAGAGACGACAAAAATCTACTCCAGACGTAATCTTTCTAATCCTCCCAATAAGCCGCGTTTCCAAACCGTCATGCGACAGACAATCCGGATCCATTGTCTACTCTATACACTATTAACATGGCCGCCGAGTCAGTCGAAATCAAGATCCCGGAGCGATTACTTGGACAGTCCCTATATATCAAGATATCCGCTCTATCACAACCACAAATGTTACTCCTAGGTATTCAGCTGTGGGGTTCCATGTTGGTACGTGAGACCTGATCATGCTGCAAGCGATATGTTAACGAGACTATCTATCTAGACCACGGAATACATGGTGTCACGCTGCTCCGTGGAGGATGCGTCAAGCTTTGGGCACTCGATCCCTTGACTCTTCTTAATATTCAAGAATTCTCTGCAGCACACCGATCTGATGCCGCCTTTATCGAGTTCTAAGGCCGGCTTAAAGGCGGTGAATTCTGTGTTCATACAAAAGATTAAGCAATCTATCTGCCTCCAGGCTGCATTCATAGCACTTACACTCTCCGGGGCGGCTTCACTCTGGGCATCGAGTTTAGCATAGTCAAGTGCTTAGAGCTAGCAGCGGCGATTTTGGATCTGAACTCGCAGGGGTTCAGGCTTTGTGGGAATAATTGTTATCCTTTTCTTGAAACTATTACTATAAGAATCCGCTCTGAAAACCCAGACCGGCGAGAGAAAGTCATAAAGCTTTTATGCCCGAGGTACAAGAAAGTCTATAAGCTCAAGCCGAGAATCCTGTTCAAGGTCCTAAAGGAGCTGCCAAAGTCCTGTTCGAAATGCGCCAAGGTATGGGCGAAACATTAATGTACTATCTCGAGTACTTTGCTAGTCGAAGGGGTTATTGAGTGGCGTGATTGAATCTACAGACTGCTTTTTCTAGAGGCGGAACTAGAGGGATGCCCTTGGGTGGCGTCGGTGTGTGGCGCGTTCAAGCAAATTGTTGACTTGTTGTTACAAACCAACAAAGACATACAGGGGAAGAGGCCCGATAGCAGGCCCAACGGAAGAGACAGGCACGAAAGAGAACCAGGAAGACACACGGACCACGGACCAAGAGCAAGGATCACGTGAACTAGGTATCACGTGACGGATATGTTGGATCATACATATCCAACATATCCACCTCATCAGTGAGGGAGAGATTGGATATATAAGGATGGACATTTCCTAGCTAGACAGATAGACAGTCTCTACCTCAGTGATCAATCTAAGCATCTTAGCCAACCCTAAGGTGAGAGAAATCTCCTGATGACTCGACTATTCAGTGATCCCTGGATCAGACCAAGCCCCAGCATCTGAGTGTCTTCTAGTTGACAGAAGCCTCTATCGTCCTTTGTGTTGACTTACCTCAGAACATAAACCCTATCGAACCCTTTAGCCTTATAGGTTAGACGGGCTCGTCACACTTGTATCCGTATGTCCTACAGGAGGGACATTGCTACTGTGGAAGGTAAATTTGCAGGTCCCATATTCGGCAAGGTCAGGATCGAGATGGAGAATATCGTAGCCTTAGAGGCCTGCACGTCTAAAATAATTCCTGCTCTAGTGTTAATTTTAATCGATAGGTCTGTCTCTTATAGTTACCAGCTGTGGCCGGAGCCTTCGCCTTCCCATTCCGAGAGAATGAGGCGGTCGGGTTCCGATCTTTTAGATTATGGCGCTTAGTAAGGATGAATCACTATTGGTATTGGTTGGCGCATCCCGTCGTTCCTTTCGAGGTGGTTCGTCTATAGCGGCAGTCGCAGAAGGCCGGTTGCCGTGAGCAGGTACATCGGAGTGTCGCAGTCCTGGATCGCTGTACTTCCGGCTGCTTTGGTAGAAATGGCTGAGGGCATGCCCGAACGTCGCTTTGTGATTAGATTCCTCATACCGAGTACCTTAAACAGCTCTTTCTCGTGGGAGCTAAGGACGGGGTGGCCGTTGACATTTTGTTCGCGTAAATGAATCTCGAGTGGTAGGGGAAGATTTAACGAGGCTGCGGGCCTCCTCTAGCCTCGCTTTTAGAAGTAGATCCTCTTATTGAAACAAGTAAGCGCACATATGTCCAGATTTAAAGCCCCTATCATAGTAAGTAAACCTGCAACAAGTTAAAAGATAAGTGCACAATAAAATCGTAATAGAGATTGAGGATAAATCGGGAGTGGTGAATTGTAAGTCATAACAGTTCATTGGATGCTATCTACGCGACCATTACGAATAACATATCGTCCCTTTCTTTTGCGAAACCATCAGCACGCCTCCCACTTAGAGAAGCTAGATCCCACGTGGATATTGCAATTCCTTCCATTCTAACAACGACTAGTCGATCAGCCGTATGAAGTATGAAGCCGTGTCTTGCCACCATATCCGAGACCAGCATATGTAATGGGTGCTTCGTTGACCCCACTCCATATCCTGACAACTGCAGGTAAGGCAAGTGACTCTCTCCTGCATGGACTCCCAGTCTTGGATGAAGTCAATCAGAGTTTCCAGCGCCCGCCATTGTATGTCAGTCCACTCGCTGCCAGTGGGAGAGGATTCGTCGTGTGGCATCCACCAGCGCTGGCGCGTTGCCAACGGTTGGCTGACGGTATTGGTATGTGAGCGCGAGACCATCCAGCTTGCCTCGTCACATCCGCGGCCGCTCAACTTCGGCATGATCTGATCAAATGACTGCTGCTGCTTTTCATAGGCAAGAAGAAGGGATACAAGGACTTGGTATTTCTTCATAACAGGTTCGATTGAGGCATGGATCTGTTCAGTAATAGCCCTAATGTTCCGCATCATTGCTTCAACATCGAGGTCTTTGTTGTCCAGGGTGTCTCAAGTAATATCCAGCCAGTCAATTGAAGCTTTATAGTTTTGGAACTGACGCTTTAGATCGTAGGGTTAAAGAAGGCCGACACGCTCGCATATACCGGACTTGCCGAAGTCCTGGGCGCTAGATTAATGTTAGAATGCTATCCTTGTCGCAAGTACCATGGATATCACCTTACCTCAAGGCAACGATCACGAGGCTTTCTTAGAGCCATCGCGGACTGGATTGCTTCACCCACACGGCAGATTGAGAGATGTTGGTCTTTGGGCATCGATTGCAGCTCTGTAACGTGGCGACCCGCATAGCAGCCGGACGGAAGTCAGTAAACGACTGGAAGCTTGCCATTGTCAGGGTGTTGGAGGTGTATACGTTGTAATAGATTGGGGCCTGTAGGACTGGAAGTTCAATCCAAAGTGAAAGTCTGATTGATAGGTGCCCGTATGATGTGCTGGTTGTCGGCTTGATGAGGTCAAGTGGAGGAAGCTGCGCCAGCTATGTGGATCCAGGGATCCCGTTACCTGCCCACAGCACCCCGCAACAGGTGCCTGGGGACGTAGGTACCAACCCCTGTGTTTATTTAGATAAGTACCTCTTCACATGAACCCACAGACTAGGGTGGTGGCGTCGCCACGGCAAGCCACACACTGCCACAATATAGATGCACTCATGTGCTAGCCAGTAAATCCAGTATGTGGGGCAGGGGTCCTGCCTCCCCACGTCAGGCAGATCCCTCAGCCTTGCCGACGTCTAATTTTCCCACCCACCATTCCGCATCATCACAGTCAACCCCTTCTTTACTAGCACCCACGCCCACGCGCCCAGTCACGTACATTGAACACTGCGCCAGTACAATGACCAATCAAGCTGCCGCAAGTTGTGGCTGTGTGTGCGTCCTACCCTACCATGCAGAACCGCCCCCAAGGACCGGTCAGCCGAGACTGCGGAGTTACCAAAGGTAAGACCCATAAATGGCTCATCAGCTCGCCGGACCGCCTGCTCGCAACAAGCTCGCTCTTTCTGCGCCGAGGCATCTGCAACGCAATGCTTGCTCGATTATTGTAGTATATTTTCTCCAATCTTTCCAGACCAGACAGACCGTTTCTATGGAAGCTGCGGGGCTGGCTATCAGAGTGGCGGGCCTTGCTGGTTTGGTAAGCACCGCCCGCGACATTACCGACACAAGAGACACCTACAAAAGTTACGGCTTGGAGTCTCGGCCCCGTCTCGCCCAACGTGACGCCCTTGCAGCCCTAGTTCAGCAATGGTGCATCAGCGTCGGATACGATGAGGGTGGATTGAAAGAGAACCACCACCAAAATCTCAACGACCCAACGGTGCTAAAAGCAGTTCAAGACATTACCCAGTACATCAGCACAATCAATGGCGACGGAAAGACCATCCCGCCAAGCACATCAGCAACGTCTGAGGCGGCAGCCTCCTGGCCCCAGCACTCTCGTACTCACCCAAACGAGCGAAGGCAGCTCGAGCAGCCTCAAGGGCTAGCGCTACGAAAGGACAAGTTGAAGTGGGCTCTCAAGGACAAAAAGAATGTCTCTGAACAGAACCAGTTCATGGAAAGCCTACTCAATACCCTGCTTAAATTGGTTCCTCCTTCTCAACCGGGCGATCAGGACCATGCACAATCAGCACTAGGTACGTGCCGTTTAACCATGCCAATATTACTTCTCAGCCCTTCATTAACTGGAGTCTAGATGCACATGCGCCAAACACGCTATTTCTTGCCGTTCAGGAACTCAAGACGGCTATTGAAAACCTCCAGGAATGGGATAAGAAACAGAAACATGGTAAGCCGAGCTCTTCTTTCCGGGCCGACGAAAGCTAACCAACCCAAGACGAGTTCAAACGGAGCCTGAGCTCTTGGTTAGGGACCACCCGGACACCCGCGACGTTTGACAACTATGTCCAGAGGCGCTTGGATGGCATCTGCGATTGGATTTTCCAACGCCCTGAATTCCGCAATTGGGAGTCATCAACAGGTTCGGCACAACCTACGGTCTTATGGACCCATGGCCCTGCTGGATACGGCAAGACAATTCTCTGCGCGAGGGTGATTGAGCATCTGGCATCATCCATGAATTCGCCGTTGGCATACTGCTTTTTCTCGTCTGGGCTGGAGGGCCGCGCGGACCCCTTTATTGTCATTCGGTCATGGGTCTTCCAGATCGTTGAGCAAAACCAGCAGGCCTATGAGCTGGCCAGGGAACGTTGGGAAGCCGCCCCCGACCATTGTTTATCACAGAACGAGATCAAAGGCCTCTTCCAGGCGATCGCGCAGAACATACGAGGTTGCACCTTTGTTGTCGATGGCCTGGACGAATGTGCTGGCACGGTGTCAGACCGCAGGACAGATTACCGACAGCCACTCGTAGACCTCTTTGGGTTTTTGAAAGAGGCTACCTCCACCACCGAGGCGCGACTGCTTATAGTAAGTCGTAAAGAGCAAGAGATTCGCGACGGACTGTACGCTGCAGGTACGCCCTGGAGCGTGACTGAGTATCAGATACGTCCCGATGATGTTAAGCTTGATGCCATGCTGTATTCCCAAAGTATTGTTACAGAGCAGTTACCGAACAAGACCCCAGCGCAACGGGAACAGTTGGCGCATCAGATGGTGGAACGCTTCGATTCCATGTTTCTCTGCATCAAACTGGTAGAAGGACACCTCAAGGGTGGGAAAAGCCTGGTCAAGTTGCAGAAGGCGATTGACCAAGCTCCAACCCGTTTGACCGATCTTTACGACCAAACTTGGAAGAGGATATTTGATCCATCGAACGCCGACCAAAAGCGCGCAATAGCGATTTTGAGATGGGCCACGTTTAGTCTGCGTCCGATGACGATCCTAGAGATTACCGAAGCCTTGCTCCTCATGGATGACGACTCTGATGATCTGTTAACCGAGGAGATCCCTGACACTATTGACGAGATCTATATAAAACACCAGATACTAGATCTCTGCGGGTCGCTCATCGAAACGAGAGACACAGAGTCAGATCTCGGATCCCAGACTGTTCACCTCACTCATTTTTCTGTCAGGCAGTATATCCTGTGTCATCAACTAATCCGAGGAAACCAACTTCTTGTGGAAGAGAGATTGAGATCTCAGAATAAGGCAGAACAGAACAACACCCTGGCCAAAGTGTGCCTGCGCTACCTAAACTGCAACCAAACGTGGGACGAAACACAGCCACAAGGAAGGCGTCAACAGATACAAGTGTTTCGAGAGTACGCAACTAATTCGTGGTACCGCCATGTGAAGCCTGATGCAGCCAACTCAAAGGCAACCATGGAATCTGTCAACACGTTTTTCCACCACAGCAACATGAATTGGGAGTTGTGGAGAAAGCAAGCCGAACCTAAGCTGCGAGATACAATGTTAGGATATGATGGTAGCATCGAATCTGGGAGCCGGTTGTTCTACGCATCCCGTTTTGGGTTTGTAGAAACTATGTCGTCACTAATTAAAGACAATGGGATACCAGTGAACTCCGTAGATGCATCCGGCAGGACGGCATTGCTCGCTGCAGCATCACAGGGATGGAGTCTGGGGGTTGAATTTCTCTTGGAATTTGCAGCAGATGTGGATATTATAAGCAACCAGAAGAGGAGTCCAGTGTATGTTGCTGCATGCGAGGGTCATGTTGAAGTGATCAGGATGTTACTCGGGAAAGGGGCAGATCTCAGGGTAGCCACCAACGATGGGTGGACACCACTTATCGGAGCTTCATCAGAAGGTCACGTTAAGGTGGTAAAACTGCTGCTGGAGAAAGGGGCAGATCTCAGGGTAGCCACCAACCACGGGTGGACACCACTGAACGAAGCTTCATTCAACGGTCACGTCGAGGTGGTGAAGCTGCTACTAGAAAAAGGGGCAGATCTCGATGTAGCTACCAACGACGGGTGGATACCACTTATCGGAGCTTCATCAAAGGGTCACGTTGAGGTGGTAAAGCTGCTGCTGGAGAAAGGGGCAGATCTCAGGGTAGCTACCATCCACGGGTGGACACCACTTATCGGAGCTTCATCAGAAGGTCACGTTGAGGTGGTAAAGCTGCTGCTGGAGAAAGGGGCAGATCTCAGGGTAGCTACCATCCACGGGTGGACACCACTTATCGGAGCTTCATCAGAAGGTCACGTTGAGGTGGTAAAGCTGCTGCTGGAGAAAGAGGCAGATCTCAGGGTAGCCACCAACCACGGGTGGACACCACTTATCGGAGCTTCATCAGAAGGTCATATTGAGGTGGTAGAGCTGCTGCTGGAGAAAGGGGCAGATCTCAGGGTAGCCACCAACCACGGGTGGACACCACTGAACGAAGCTTCATTAAACGGTCACGTCGAGGTGGTAAAGCTACTACTAGAAAAAGGGGCAGATCTCGATGTAGCTACCAACGACGGGTGGACACCACTGAACAAAGCTTCATTAAACGGTCACGTCGAGGTGGTAAAGCTACTACTAGAAAAAGGGGCAGATCTCGATGTAGCTACCAACGACGGGTGGACACCACTGAACGAAGCTTCATTAAACGGTCACGTCGAGGTGGTAAAGCTACTACTAGAAAAAGGGGCAGATCTCGATGTAGCTACCAACGACGGGTGGACACCACTTAACAACGCTTCATTAAACGGTCACGTCGAGGTGGTAAAACTGCTGCTTAAGAAAGGGGCAGATCTCGGTATAGCCAATAACGGCAGGGGGACACCACTTATCGCAGCTTCATTAAATGGTCACGTCGAGGTGGTGAAGCTCTTATTGGAGAAAGGGGCAGATCTCAGGGTAGCCACCAACGGCGGGGGGCACCACTAAACGAAGCTTCATCGGAGGGTCACATCGAGGTGGTGAAGCTGCTGGTGGAGAAAGGGGCAGATATCATTGTGGCCGGCAACAGTAGGGTGACATTATCACACCTAACTTCAATTGTCGACGTGACCGAGATTCGACTACTACCAGAATATAGCGATCCAAACTTGCGTGATAACACGGGCCGCACAACATTGTCTTGGGCATCTGGTCAAGGCCATGACGATGTGATAAAATCGCTCCTTCAAACCGAGAGAGTGGATCCAGATTTAGAGGACAGCCAGGGGTTGACACCCTTACTCTGGTCTTTGAGAAAAGGTCACACGAGTTCATAGAGGTTGTTTTTCTGACTCGGTTATTGTGTGTTTATTGTTCAAAGAAGACTTACTACTATTTGAAGGGGCCATGTGTTTAACGAATATGGTTTTTTACGAACTAGTAGAGGTGGCAGGACTCTCTGAATACGAGGGTCTATTCGGCTTGCAAGTTTTGTTTGAGACTTAGGGCATTTGGCATTTGTTTAGTATTAGACATTTTCACAAGGGTTTATTTGCCGTTCTCTAGACGCCATACAGTGCTTTTCTATTTCTAATTCAAGAGATAGAGAGAAATCTAGGAAGCAAAAGAACTAGAGGCATGAGAGGTCTAGCTATGATGCTTGGAGGTCTAGAGACCTGGCTTTTCAACGGAGGACTCTTTATGACACGGCCGGTAACCTCTGAGCAAAAATGCGGTTAGTTGTAATAAAGGGAGATAAACATCCACGGAATGGAAGGAATTTAGGTCGATGTTGAGGGAGGAGCGGTATCGGATAGGAAGCACGGTTTATGTCACTTTCAACTGACAGGTTTATATGAGAGGTGTTTTTATTGAGGTCCGTTTGCCAATAAAAATGTTTCCAAAGAGATGTAACCAGGGCGCAATGCCTCCCGAGAGAAACACATCACTAAAAAATTGCCAGCATCTACAACATAACGCCAACTTGGCCATGGAACACATCTTGTGAGCTAAGTATCCTCCTTACATCTTATAGGGCCATGACCGGCAGTATCTCACGGCACCCATGTCGGCCCTTGGTGCTCAGCGTAATTTGGTACACGCTCGGTACAGGAGGCGCAGGTCAGGCAATCCAAAACTTCCGGCCCCATCCAGCCAGGAGAGGAGAATACCCGACAAGTCGTTCCTACTGCTCAGTAACAGACAAGGTGAGACCTTCCATGCTGTGCTCAATTCTCTATCTTGAGCGTCGTAAACCAGGATATTGACAGTCAATCTGGACTGCCCATGCCGCTTGGTCGCGGTGCGGGGCGGGGCGGCTACCCCGGGCATGATCATGTCCATTGCACGATTCTGATACTCAATGGCCAAGAGAAGCTTGCCCAATCCGCGGGAACAGTGTCAGGCAGAAACTGGTTTCGAAACTGCATAGATGACGCGTGGATCGCGGCCAAGGTGCGGCTCATGAAGAGATCGCCCTCCGAGCGATAAACATGCAACTGTTGGATGTTGACGTTGCCCCCAGTATTGCGGATTTCGCGAGTGATTTGGTACGGAGGAGGCGCATATTGAGAATATCGCAGATACTGTTGATGTTCAAGAGTTGGGGGCTGCAAGGCCAGTTAGCTAGATACCAACCCCCCATAGCGAGACTCCACTCACGACAGTGACTCCAAGTAAAGCTCAACTAGAGCTTCTCCTGACTAGGACACCCAACCCAGACCGTACGCCCGGGTGCAATCCGGTCCTTGCTGCAGGCAGGGCAGTAGGCGATCGCAACAATGCGAATGCGCGCAACCTGGGAATTTGGCGAGGCCATAATGTCAAATACGGCTACATTGGTGGGCCGGGGGCAGCAGCACCGATGTACAACGGGACAAACGGGAGCGAGAGAAAGAAGTTGGCCTGGACAGCAGCAGTCAAGCATGACCCTTCTGAGCCTCTTAGTTGATTAGGGGCTAGCAAGTTCTAATGGCACGCTCTTTCGGCTCTTCTTCGGAGCTTGGTGAAGTGACCAGAGAAAGTTAAAGCCGCTGGATGCTGTGTGCACTGGCATCACGGGCATACCCATCACAGACAAACAAGACTCGCAGACAAACCGACACCTCAGCGCCCTTCCTGTTTGCCTGGGCATCTGAGACGAATTCTCATGCATGCTAAGCAGCTCTTGTTTCATGCCTGGATATCGGCGCTTAAGGTAGATAGCTGATTGGACTCTCACCTATGCCCTGTTATATCCTTGTCATGTCAGCGCTTCAGCTGGGCAGCTAATGGGACACTCACTTATTCCACATATCATATTCTTGTCCGTGTTTGACCAACCGACTGGCCACGATCGAAACGGGATATAAACGTGAAAGATGTGAGGTGTACCCGTTTCTCTCTCGGTATAGCCGCCCGCATGCAGCTGGCTCGAGGTCCGTGCTGTGTGCTCTGCCCGAGGCAACCGGTTTCCAACTCAATACCACCATAGATGAACGGTCATGATTCCCACAGACATGTCCTAATACCGCCGGATTAGTAGTTGGGTCGGTGACGACCAGCGAATCCCCGGTGTTGTATGTTTTGCATTTTTCATATTATCGCCTTGTTGGATCACGAGTTTTGGATCTTTTGGAAGGCTTTCTCGCTGACTTTTTGGTTGGCTGGCAAGCCGTCACGAGGGGATAGGTAAAGTCGCACTGAACGAAGGCGTGCTTCAAGGTTTCAATGCCGAATTCGTAGAGACGGCATCGGTTCCGTATCCTGACCCCGTTTATCCCTGTCAGGAAGCACTCCTGGGTTCCTTTGTTCCCATTCATGTACATATACATGGCCCCCAGGCCTGAATAGTATGGTAGCCCTCTGCAGAACAACATACATCTATACCCCCCCTATGGTTAGCCTTCTCGCCTTCTGACAATCCCTTCCATCTCGAGATTTGTATCACACGCCTCACTTACGATGAAACGTTGAAGCAGAAATACTGTCGACAGAGACTGGGGGAGCTGGGTCGCCTATCCGTGAAAAGTCATTGGGAATGGCGTCTTGGTCAACCCAAGGTACACTCACCCCTCATAAGTCTCCGTACGCACCATGTTAAGAGGATTCCAGATCACACATCAAATGAAAATTTGGGAATACTGTAATAAGTAGACAGGAATAAGCAGCTTTGGTTTGATACGCCACTTCCAATACTGATTCCATGGTGCTTATTCCAAATCGTTGAATGTACCGTTTAAACGTTTGCTGGACGGGTCGTGTACGGAGACTTATGGGGGCTCAGTG